TGAATATAAATTAAAAGAGTATAAACCTTTTTAAAAACCTACGTAAAGTCTTTATTAATACGCGAAAGTAGTTTATTTCTTTCCTCCTTTTATTATATTTAAAACACTTATATATAATAAGAATAAAATCATTAAATAAACACTTTAACATTTATAATAATAACTTCTCGTATTCGAAATAAGAAGTTTTAATTCGTAAATTAAAACTATAACTGAAATAAATTGTTTATATTTATAAAATTCAGATTAATTCATTTTTTATAAAAAGTAAATGTTTAACTTTTAAGCTTTACCCGTTTTAAAGGCTTCTTTTAACGGTTATAATCACTATCGCTTTATATTACTAATATTTTAATTTATAAATAGAAAGATAAGAATAAGAAATTATAAGAACTTTTTTTTAGGAAATTAAATAAACATATAATTAAGCTATAAAATTATTAAATGAATTTCACTTTATAACTTTATAAACGGTTTAAGAAAAACATTAGATATCTTGTTTTATTTAGTTAATAAAACCTAATCGGTTTCGGAAAAGAAAATTCAAACATATTTAATATAATCCGAGTTATTATAAATATACGTTAAAGATTCTTTAGACTTTAAAGTAACTTTAATTATTTTATACGTAGAATTCTAATGAATGTATGAATTTTTAAATCCTGTTAATTATTTAAATTAACCTAAAGATATTTAATAATAAATATTATACATATTATTTAAAATTTAAAATTTAAAATTTCTTAAATCTTTTTAGTAAATTATTATATTAAATAGGTTTTTCAATTCCGTTTAAAAATAAATCCTATATTTTATAAATGTATTTTATCAATAGTACGATGTATTAATTTTAAGTTATTAAATTTATATTTTCATCGTTAATAAAATAATAAGATTAGAAATATTATATTATATTTCCGAATTTCGATTGTTTTAATATTTCGAATTCTATGATATTATTTAATAATTAAATAAAAAACTCGTATATTTAGTTAAACGTTCCTCGTCGTTATTAATATTTTCAATATACGTATTTAAAATACTATATATTACGATATTTAAAATCCGTTCTCGATTCGTCGAAATACTACTTTTAAAACGCTTTAATAATTAAATTATTATTCGGGGCGTTATTTTAAATAATATTATTTAAATTAGAATTTTTAATATTAGAAAGATAAATAAATAAGTTTTATAAACTATTTATAATTTCGGGAACTTAATTTTAATTAATCTAATCTTATTTAAAATTAAAATTAAATTAATAACTAATAACAAAACCTTGTATTTTATTTAATATATATTTATATATATATTTTTTTCTATTAAATAATAATTTAAAGTATATAACTAATTCGAAAAAAACTCGTAAAAAAAAAGGGAAAAGGCTTTTTTTAGTTAGTATATTTATAAGTTTTTAAGCTTTTCTTCCTTTTATATAATCTTTTATATTTATTTAAGTGATTTTAGTTTTTAACTTATTAATAAAGTTAACTATTTAATTACATTAAGATATTATTAATATTTTATTTTAAAAATAAATTACTAAAAAAAAGGTACATTCGAGATAAGCTAATATAACTAGAATTACTAAATATTAACGAGTTATAACTAATAGAATCGTATATTTTATAAAGTATTATTTCTAAAAGATTATGAAATTTACTAAATAATAAATATATAAATTTAAAACAAGTACCTTTTTGAACTTTAAAGTAAATTAAAATAATCCTTTAATTCGTTTTTAATCCGAATAAAATTTTAATTTAAAAAGAATTCGTTATCCAAAGTATTCGAAGTATTAGAATTATCTTTAATATTTATTTCATCTTTATTTATATTGCTTTGTCACGGATATAATTTATTTTTTGTTTGTTTAATAAAATCTAATTTAACAAGTTAAGAAACGTGTTTTTAATCCGTTATTAAAAGTAATATAATAAATAAAAGTTAAAGCTTCTTTTAATTCTAAAGTTAATTTAATTATATTATACATAAAGCTTTAACGAACGTAATAATTTAAAATATAAATTAATAAGCTAATTTAATGAGATTAAAATACAATAAAATAAAAACTTACCGTTCGGGATTTTTGTTTTATTATACTTTTCTGTTGGAATATAGTTATCCGCGGTCTCGCACGACCATATAGTCTAGCTAGTTACCGGGGTACTAACGGCAAGCCATTATAACTACACCGTGGCTGTCGGTAGCTTACAGCTGTATAGGCCAAACCCCTATCTGTAGATCGCGTACGACGGGAAGAATCCCTTCTTCCTTTCGTATAATAGCGCTGAATAGATCTATTTGTCGCCCAAACTGTACGGAAAGAATTAAATGGAGAAGCCATTCCACATTTTCGTTAATTCGATTCTTTCGTTTTATAAAGCTAATATCTGTTAATAATTATTTATTTATTTTAGAAATATATTTCGTTAAAACGGTAATTCGTTTAACCCGGTTAATTAATTTTAAAAACTTAATACTTTAAATAAAAAGAATAAACGTAAGGTCGGGATTAATAATATATTATTTTAATATTATTTATATTATAATATTAATAACGTGGGATATATACTAAATATCGTATTAACATTTATTAAATATAATACTTTTGTATTCGTTTTTAAAGGCTTCGATTAAATTATTTTTATTACTTACATTATCTTTAAAGTTAAATAAGTATTTAAAACGAATTTTAATTCGTTATAAATATTTATTTTAGTATGTTATTATTTTAATAAAAGTAATTAAGAGTTATGAAAGCTTTTTTAAATCGGGTTTTTAAATTTTCTTTAATTTTATAACTATTAATAATCTAGGAATTTTTAATTAATTAGTTAATTATTTAAACTAAAGAAAGTAAAAGTGTTACGAACGAAGGCCAGGAACCAGGCCTAAAGTGGAGAAAAGAAGCATGGGGCAGCCAGTCACCACTGCTAAGATTCTATTGGACAAAAGACAGCACAGGACTCTGGGTCACGTGACTTAGGAGCGACAGGAGCATTGCGCTCCTAGCGCTCCACGGAATATCAGTGAAGGAATGAATGGATATAATAAGGATTGGATTTCCTACTCTACATAGACAGTCATTACTTCAGTGATCAATCTAAGCATTTATCTTACCCATAGGTGAAGCTCACGCTTTGACGACTACACTTGTGAATCTCTTTGCTCAGTATATTCTAAAGGTCTATCTCTATAGTCTTCTATTTCGCGGCTAGCATATCTTGTTAGCATAAACCCCTTGCATTATATTATTTGTGGTTATATAACCCGATAGTATAATCGTCACAAAAAGGTACTTAATTATTAAGATAAGATAACATTTCTTTAAACGACAAAGTGTTAAGATATTTAAAGAAAGTTTATTATTTGTAATAAACTATTAAATCTTATTATAGGCTTTTATTTCTTTAAATTTGTTATTTCGTTTCGGAATTAATTATATTTACCCGTTGTCGTTTATTTCGATTTATGAAATCGAGAAAGTTCGGGTGTCGTAAAAGAATTTTAGTTTTTATTAAACAAGGAATTACTATAATAATATTATATAAGTAAAAGGTTAATAAATAACTTACTTTTTTAACGGCCCTTTAATTTACTTTTTTTATTATAAGCGATTAAATAGTAATACTTTTAATAATAACGAGAGAAATTTAATAATTAAAAGTTTTAAGTAAAAACGATCGTCTTTTATTTATAATTAGACAAATTATATTAATATAAATAACAGAGTAAAAAAAAGAATAAAGAATAAATATATAATATAAAGTTATTTTCCTTTCCGTAAAAAATTAATTGGATTTAATACTTAATTAAATAAATTAGGTTTAAAAATATAAATATTTTCTTTCTCGTTAAGCTTTAATGTTAAAGACGAATAACTTAATTTCGTAAAAGACGAAAGGTTAAAATACGTATTTTACGGCTTTAATATATTAGAATTCGTGTTTATAAATTATACTAAATTTAGATTCTATAGAATTAAAATATATAATAAATAAAGATAAAAAGGATATTTATTATTATTAAATACGTTGTAAGACTCTAAGTCCCTCGGTACCTCTCCGAATTATACTGTACGGTAAACCTTTACTTTATAATTCGTAACATTATAAGCTTATTATCTTATACTATTATTATTAGTTCTTATAACTTAGTGTTATTTACACTTATACTAACTTTAATTAATAATAATAATGTTTTATTTATTTCATTTAGTAAAAACTTTATAAATTTAAATAAGAATATAAAAATATTTTAATAAGTTTTTAATTATTAATTATATTAATTTATATTAATTACGAAGTTCGTAATTAAGATTAAATAATATAAGTCTTAGTTTTAATTAATATTAATAATTCTTAATTATAACTTACTTTAATTAATAATTAAAGAGAAAACAAAATCTTATCTTTAAATTTTAAGAAGATTTCTTTTCTTTTTAATAAGTTAAATATTATTAAATAAAGGTTATATTAAGACTTTTATTTAATTTAATTTAATTCAATTTAATATACTTTTATAAAAAAGATTTTAAAATAATAATTTAAATTTAAATTTATAATAAAAGCTTATGTTAATAATTATCTTTAATAAAATAATTTATATTTATTATAAAAGTATATTAGTTATAAAAAAGATTATATTTATTATAAAAGTATATTAATTATAAAAAATATTATATTTATTATAAAAGTATATTAGTTATAAAAAAGATTATATTTATTATAAAAGTATATTAATTATAAAAAATATTATATTTATTATAAAAGTATATTAGTTATAAAAAAGATTATTATAATAAGATAATAAAGTAATATAATTTATAATTTATAACTTATAAGTAAAACTTTTAATTAATAATTCAATTATAATTTTAAATAAATCTTTTAATATAATAACATTATTTATTTCCTCTATTATTAAGTAATAAAGTTATAATTTATAAAATTTACACCTAAGACATTCACTGAACTATATAAGCTTATACTTAGTTATCGTGAAATAAGAAGCTGCTTTAACTCTTTAAACTTGACCGGTTTCGTTAGAAATCTGGACATGCCAACCTCACCAGCCTCCTTACATGCATTCTCACTGCCCACACCCGTGATCGCAATGATGGTCGATGCTTTAGAGATACCCTGCTCTTGTTCATACTCCCGTATCTTCTTCGTAGCCTCGAAGCCATCCATGATAGGCATTTGTAGGTCCATCAAAATGTACTCAAAAGGGCTGTCAGCTTCCTTGTACTTGGTGAAAGCCTCCAGACCATTGGAAGCTTCGGCATATGGCAGTTGAATCTTTTTCATGAATGTTACAAGGAGTTTGAGATTGATCGCATTGTCGTCAACGAGGAGGACGCGTGGTGGTGACAGTGCGTCTTGTCGAGAAGGCTCTTCCTGCTGATGTACCACGACGGACTTGGTTGGACTGGTAGTAGCTCCCGGCTCCAATGCGAAGCCTGGCTCTTCCTCCGTGACGCTTGAGATTATATTTCGTTGTGGCTCGTCGGATTTCCACCTTAGAGCCTCGACTGAAGGTCGATACCGCACCGCTACTTTGTCGTACACGACTGACGAAGTGTTTAACTTCACCCCAGCAGCACGCTGTTTGCTGTTGCCAGTTGAAAATGTCGATGATGATAGGTCCGATGCATCGGCTTCATCTCCATCTGATCCACTATCCTGTACTCGCTTGATGCATCGCACCATGGCTTTGGCCAATTTGCGCAAGCCCGCGGGCTGGCTGACGACCTCGATAATTCGTCCAAGCGAGATCAGGTGATCGATTCCAGCCGCACGAAGCGCCGCTGCTTCGAAAGCGTTCGTACATATAATGAGTAATGCAGCCTCCCTCGTCCCGTGGCCCGCCGCGATTCGCTCACGGTGCTGGCTCACGAGATACTCGATGGGAGGCGGCTCGGCATAAATGTAGACGCTTGTGTCCGGAGCATTGCTGACATTCCGGCTTCTGACACAATTCATGTCGAACCATTTCTCGCAGATGTTCATCACAGACGACTCCAGCTTTGATGGTCGTTGCTCTTTGCTATCTCCCGCATCATCAGCGGTTGGGTTAAGCATGCAGACTTTCTTGCCTGACGTAGCCAAATGTACTTCATTTAATATGTCATCATGATTGTCAGCGGATATTCCCGAAGAAGCAGCCTTCATAGGTATAGAAATGTGAACGTGTGTACCAACACCTTTCTCGCTGTGAATATTGATCTTACCCCCAAGATTGTCCACAATCTGGGATGTAATTGAAAGACCCAGGCCAGTACCTGGAGTGAAAGAGTCCTCCTGGGCGAAGGCCTTGAATAGGCGGTTGGCCATGAAATCCTCAGACATGCCGATACCCGTATCTTTCACAGCAAACTTAACCTCGACATCAGACGAGCTTATCTTGTGCACTTTAGCAAAGATTTCGATGGATCCACATTTGCAATACTTGATCGCGTTGCCCACTACGTTCATGATGGCGCGACGAAGGGCGCCGGTATGGCCCCGCACGTTCCAGAACGGAGATTTCTCGATGTTGATTGTCAACTGAACCTTGCCGGAAAACTTCGCGCTACCCGAGTGAATCTGCTCCTCAGCCGGTGAATCATCGAGAGCCATAGCCTTGATTGCTGCACTTGCATCATCAACGGGATCGTAGTGCCGAAGGTTCATCTTTCGAAAGGTCTGACCAGCGAACACTGCTTCAACTACCTCCTCTAGAAGAAGTGAGAAGTCGAATGCTGTAGAGTTTAAGTTCTCCTGGCTCGCAAGCCTAACAAGACCACGATCTCCTACGAGCTTCTTTCCCATGGTAGGTTCAAGAGCTGTGCTCGCCCGATTCAAGTTATTGATCTTCGCATAGTCCAGAAGATGGTCTATTGTGTCCAGCAGAGTCTTTCCACAGGTTTCCATGGAGCCAACCAAGCTCATCTGATATGCCGAAGTCATTGTATCTTCTAAGAATTCCAGACTGCCAAGCATACCATGAAGAGGAGAGCGCAAATCGTGGGATATCGAAGCAATGAAAGTGGATTTTGCTATGTTTGTGTTTAACACTTCCATGCTCGCAACTTCGCTCATCATACAAGACCCAAAAGTCTTGAAATATGGCAAAGCTTCATCAGGATCACCCATTTTGAAGTCATCACCCCAGATGAAGCCAGCGGCAAACCATTGGCTGTGGGCGTAATTGAAAAGCGGCAAAAATATTAGCCACTTGGCGTCAGGTATACTTTCGAGGACCTCCGGTGGCAGCAGCGTGCGCTGGCCCTTGAGCACACTCGGCATAGCCTCGTACACAGCTTCTCCGGCATAATCCTCGTTGAGTTGTAATTTTTGGTCTGCGACAACACGACCTTTATTCAAGTAGAAGCATTTTCCAAATGGATATTTCAAAATGCACTTCTTTAGGTTTTTCCGTCTCACTATCCCTTGGCTAAATGCATTGTGTTCCTCGTATGCGAGAGCAGTGCTTAGGATCTCAGCCATGCCGGTGAGTTTGTCGTCGACATCCGCTTTAGTACCCCTTGATCGACTTTCGGCGGACCGAGCTATATCCATATCGTAATCCTCGTCATCAGTTGCGACGAATTCGGAGTTTGTATCGGGGTCAGTATTACCGGGTGGAGAACTCCCCTGATCCGACGGACCGGAAAAAATACCAGATACCACATCGACGAAGACACAGCCGGTCGCTTTAGCTTGTTCGCGTAGTAACTGGGAGGCCTGAGTGAATATCCTTCGGATGTTGTTCTCTGACTGCTTCGGGTCATCTTTGCTACGAGGCTTGCTATCACGAGAGAACCGGGGCACTGAAACCTCTGACTCTGGGCTTGACTCCATGCTTTTGTTGGCTTTGGGCGACAATTTGGCGGCAGAGCCAGGTGAATTCACTGATGCGTTGGACTGGTTTTGGCTTCCACGTCCTCTTGAAGGCGTGCTTTGAGGATCAGTCGCTTGCACATCGGTCGTTTTGTAGCGGCTTTCCGGCGTCGTGGTGTACGTTTCGGTATTGCTCAATTTGTACTTGAATTCAGAGAGGTCCTCCAGAAAATAAGTGATGCCATTCATGAGGTCTCTCTCCGAAACGCGGCCCATTGTATCGACTAATAGATTATATGTCAGCATTTATTGCTTCAGATACGTGCATGTGTCGCGTATCGGCAGGAGAATGATAGATCATAGGCCCCCACCGAGGGTTGGTCCGTAAGAACCGACATGTCAACAGGGGTCATGTTATATCCACGAGGCAACCTACCGACCCTATCGAGATGTTCCGCAACTATGTGGGCTACATCTTGCATGAATAGGATTTCATCCACCGTGAGACCTTGAGGTCGTGGTTTGGTATCGGAGACGCCGTAGACGCCGATAGAATGACCCTGTTTTGTGACAATGGGCACGCCGGCATAGAATCTCACACCTCTTTCGGCGGTTACATATGCACGGTGCTTGAAGCGGTCGTCTTCGAAAGTATCCTTGACGACAAAAGCAGCAAGATCCACGTCGCGGCCGTTGGCGTCCCTGCAGGTGGTGGTGCCCTTCAAAGCGTGCTCGTCCATGCAGTCTCGGCGAGGGAGCGAGACATTGCCAAGCCAGATATGGTCGCCAGGATCATGCCGCGTTTCATCAACCAGCGAAAGTGTTTGCGTGGCTTCGGCCAGAATGATCTGAGTATTGGTCTCAATGAGCGAAATCATGGCACGCTTGACGTTTAGTCTGAGTGCGGCGAGCTGCGCAAGCGCAGTTAGGGTGGTGTCGTGCGAGCAACGAGTGCGCTCGCGGCCGGTGTAGACGGGCACAGCCTTCAGCTTCTTGGAATCTAGCCATGGCTGGTAGTATCTGTTCAAGTCGCGTTGACGAGCGAACTCGGAAGAGCTGGCACTCGAAGAACGTCTTGATGCGACTGACATGGCCGGCTAGCTGATGCAAAACTTCAGATGCGCAAAACACACCCAACCCTCTGTGAAAGTATAAGACTCTCGCATGTAGTCGGCAGTGGTCCGGCTCCCCGCGAGTCTCGAATGCCGCATGGGTATCCGATCCGAACCGAGTACATAAGTAAGAGAGCGACTCGATTTTGCTAGGTTTGGCTTAGACTAGTCTAGGCTTGGACTTGCGCCTGTGGCAGCAGATGGTGCCTCAAATTCTCGCTAAGAAATCGCCACCAGAAACCTGCCCAGATACCCATTCTAGCGTTACTTTCTAGGGTACAGGACAACTTGGAGCGGGAAGATATCTTTGTCTTCGGGGAAGCAGACCTAGTAATCCAACCATATCTTTATGCAGTCATGTTTTCAGCAACCTTTTCCTTGCATCTTTTTTCCCCAATGCGCTCATTCCTCTCACTGACCGTCCTGACAATTATTTTGCAAGATCCTAGCTACAGTACCCACTGAGCTCCCCTAGAGTAGATGATCTATCTGATGTGCTCCAACTGCCGAGGATAAGCCGTATGTGTGCAACATAATTTTTTTCAAGTTCTCTAATTTCAACCAACAACCGGGGCACTTTGGCGGAGTGGTTAACGCGCTGCCCTGCTATCTATCTCTGCGGTCGATATCGGTCTAGGCAGTTCCTTCGGGAGCGTGTGTTCGAATCACACAGGTGTCGTTTTTGACCAGTTTCCACGCGTCAATAATTTTTTTCCTACTTTGTTTCATGTCTTCGTTGCATTTTATTCCCCCCTCCCTCTTCAATTGGTGCTTAGATGTGTTACCGACGATAGGCGATATGTGTAACTTATAAACAGAATATAGGACTAAAAGTATGATCGATAATTATTACCACTTACCATATAGATGCTTTTCAGTTTGTATTAGCTGTGCCACGTACAAAGCATATCATGTTACGGACTAGGGCCTGGGGTCTTTTGGCATTTCGTATGGAGGCGCTATATATGGGGCAAGAAAAAGAGTTCGGAGGTTATGAGGTGTTCAGCGCGCAGTTGCCTGCCGGTGCCCGGGCTATCATCCCAATATAAAAAAAGGTGCCGAATACAAAACCATTCCGCGTTTGTTCCAAACCCCTTCCTATCCCTGTGTGATCACTATTAAGGTTGATCACTAAGGCATCTTGAAAAACGGTACTACACTAAATGAGTCGTCGAAGACGCACCTTATAAGTACTCTAGAAGAGTAGTGGAATGATATGGTGATTTCATCACCGCCCGTTTGGCCATTCCGCCCTAGATTACTCGTCTACAAATCTCGGGGTCTTATATATTGTTACGAGATTGTTGATTTGCTATTTATGTTAAGAGTGGCACAGCTGAAGACGAGATCCTGGTTATTAATTACGAGTCTTTTCATTAGACTATGTGACTTTATGTTTCAGGGCGCAGGACAAAGTTTAAACTTCTCGCCGATGATCGATATAATCAGCAACAGTGCTGATGAACACGTAATATTTGACCTAGGATATTGCCTGACTATTGTCACTTGACATTTCCTCAGAGCCCTAGGAATCTTGAATCGATTTTCTGCTTCCAAGTTCGATGTTGTCGATACGATTGTGGTTCATGTCATGCTCCGTTTGTTATTAGTTCTGATATAGACGAAGTTAGGCTTCGTCAGATAAAACTATTTTCAACGATTGCATCGTAGGTTGGCATATGTGGGACAAAAACAAAGCAGTAGCATTTTGGCCTGCTGCCATTGATGGTGCGATCTCTTGTACCATCGAATTCATCTATATCGGGAGAGAAATAGTCAATAGAATAAACTCATATTTGTCTTTATCAAACTTGGTCCCATGAGTCCTGGTAGCAATGTCAACATATTGTTCGAATGGACGAGTCCCGTACACCATAACCCAGCCACAGTATGCGTACTGCTTCTTGGAGCGAAAGTAAGCTTGCAAGACCAACCACCCAAGGTTGGTAGTTCGTTTTGACCTGATTTCCGCATTGTTGTAAATACTTACTACGTCAGTAAAGAGCGTTGTCGTGGGTAGTGGTGCTGGATGGTGAACAACTTGTGACCTAGTGTCTTGTAATGAACAATTTGGTATAAGAAGCCTAGAGAAAAAAAAGCAATCGCCAGATAGGATGCATGTTGTTACAGTATGTATCTTGGTGTGACCTAGAAGCTGCAAATGTAAGAATAACCTATGAGGACATCAATGAGAAGTTGTGAGTCAGCGAGGCAGCTTAGAACGGCACATAAATGAGTTGCGCCATTCCAACAAGGACGACGGATACGCTCTTCACTCCTAATATCAAGACACATGCGACTCAGTCCTCGCAGTCAGTGCTTTTAAAGGCCGCCTCAGATCCGATAATAATATGATGATATCGAAAACACCTGGTAAAGAGAAGCCTCTTGTTCCTAATTTGAGAGAGGCAGGAGCACTCATAGTAGATAAGTACCAAGTGGGAAAGAGAAACCCCGAAAAGAAACCAAACAGCCGAGGGATGTATACACAAAATAAAAATAAAAAGGCTAAAGCGAGTGAGTGGGTGTTAGTCTATGATATTTTCTCTTGACGTGTAAGCTGAGCGCTTGCTCAGAGAAGTTTTACCAGTATGGACTCCACAGTGCAAGAGTGACATGCGATCGTTCGCCATTATTATCAGCTCGTGTAACAATGTGATTGACTCAAAACTTGCACAGGGGTATCCTTTCTGCGTACACAAGTTTGGGGTACAGTAATCAATCAGTGTCTTGTGCTAGAAACAAATCAAAAGGTAGCGTTGACCGTGAGACAATAAGCGAGAACGGCATGCACATGACCATGGGGCGGAAAGGTGTGGACTTTTCAAGTCATAATAAGTCTATCATTCATTCAAGTCACTACCGAACACCAGACTCCATATCTATCTGATGCTCAAAGGTACTATTCGCCCGTCCTTGCTTAAAGATACAATAACGCCCAGCTTCATGGCCCGCAGACACACATCGCTTAAATATCTTCCCCCTTAGAACCGCTGCGATTCCTCAGTTGCGGGCTGGGTGAGTTGATTGGCCAGCCGAGTCTTCTCGGCAAGCAGCTTTCTGTCGCTTTTGGCCGCAGATACCATGATTTTAGTGTGCCTATTTGCTGCATCGGCCCTACTTTCGTCTCTGGGTTGGGAGTGCTCAAAGTCCTAGTTTGAGCCAGTCGCGGTATCAGATCCTCCGCCGACCGCAGTATCTTTCAGATTTTGCACAGCGCTTGAAATTTTCTGTCCAACATCGCCAATAGCCGGCAAGGGTTGCTTCTCACCCGCCTCGGCGTTAACCTTGGTGAGCTCTTGAACGAAACTTTGACCCCACCATGCACTGGTGTATTTGAAGACATAACGCTCAAGTTTGCGGAAGTTGGCCTCTCTCATCTCGGGGGACATGGTGACAGCGTCGTGAATGGCATTAGCAAGTTCCTCCGTGTTCCAGGGGTTGACGATGAGAGACCCATTCAGGGACTGGGCAGCGCCTGTGAACTCGGACAGGATCATGACACCATGGCGGTCATGTTGGGTAGCAATGTATTCGTAGGATACGAGGTTCATGCCATCCCTGGTTGAAGAGACGAGGCAGACATCGGAGACAGCGTACAGTGCACAGAGCTCGTCGAAGTTGACACTCTGGTGCAAGAAGTGAATAGGCATAAACTCGACAGTACCAAACTTGCCGTTGATGCGGCCGACCAGCTCGTTGACGACGGCGCGCAGGTTCTGGTATTCCTCGACGTCTTGACGCGAGGGGACGGCGACTTGGACAAGGACGATCTTGCCTATCCACTCGGGATGCTCAGTCAGGAAAACCTCGAGAGCATGCAGCTTCTGCGGTACTCCCTTGATGTAGTCCAAGCGGTCGACACCAACGATGAGCTTGACGCCCTCGAACTTTCGGGACAGGGTAGCGATGCGCTCTTGTACCTTTGGCTTCTTGAGTCCTTCGACGAACTTTTCTGGGTCGATACCAATGGGGAAAGCGCCGACGGTAACGAATTTGCCCTTGTAAGCGACGCCGTTGGGGGTGGTAGAGGTCTCGAGGATACGGGAGCAGGAGCTCAGGAAATGGCGAGCGTAGTCGTAGGTGTGGAAGCCAATGAGATCGCACTGCAAGAGACCCTGGAGGAGGGCCTCTCGTACTGGCAGGATACGGTAAATCTCACTGCTGGGGAAAGGAGTGTGCAGGAAGAAGCCGATCTTGATGTTCTTCTTGCCGTTCAGCTCTTGGCGCAGCAGCTCGGGCAACAACATCAGATGGTAGTCGTGGACCCAGATCATATCACCATCCTGCACGTCCTTGACGACGGCCTTGGCAAACAGCTTGTTCACCTCCTTGTATGCCTCCCATGCGCCCTCGTCGAAGGTGATCTCACCGGGGTGGTAGTGGAAAAGGGGCCAGAGGATCGAGTTGGCAAAACCATTGTAGTGTCTGTCGGCAAGGTCGTCGTCGATGAAGACGGGGAAAGCGCCGTACTCGTCCTTCAGTTGCTGCTTTACCTTTGGGATCTCGTCCTCGGGCACCTCTAGGCCGGGCCAGCCGTACCACTGAAAGGTCGTCGTCTTGCTCAGGCCACTGAGGCCAGTGACCAAACCTCCAGAGGACATGGAGAAGCTGTACTGGCCCTCGTCGGACCGCTTGATGGTGATGGGCAGGCGGTTGGAGATCAACAGCAACCTGCCGTTGGTGCCGTCTTCTTGCGCCATATCGTCGAGGTTGGCTGCTTGGTTGGGGGCCGGGGGCTTGGGTCGAGAGACGGGCAGAGACGAAATGTTGCTACTAGCAGCGCGGGAATCCCTGTTCTCGGGCGGAAAGCAATGGTAGGTTTTGTGTTGTAGAGTTGCTGCCAGCCAGTAGGTTTTGGTTTTGGTTTGATTTCCTTTTATTTTCTTCCGTTCTAGGGCAGTTGAACAGATGGATGGCGGGGTCAAAGGCAGCACGGAATACGGGAGCACGGGGAGTGCTGCAGGGTGTGTAGTGTGTATGTGACAGGTAGAGAAAGTCGCGAAAGCAAGTTCGTTCAGTCCAGGTGTCCACTAAAAGTTTTAAGTTGATGGCGGGACAAATTTCGTCAGCAAAACATCATCGGGACTGAACTTATGTATTTGCATGGGAGGAGGCCATGGCCGGCTACAGCATACAGAGGTAACCTAGTAGACATGGCTAGGCATGGCTAGGCATGGCACGTCCTACGGATCCGTACACGCTGTACACTACAATCACCACTTGCCAGCATGCAATCCGATGCGGTGCGATGCGTAACAATGTGATACAAGCACGCAGACGAGACGAGACGAGACATACGTACTGTAACTTATCCGTAGCCTGCCACTTTCTTCTTTTCTAGAAATCCTTGCTCGCAGATCTCCTAGTCAGCCCAAACTTTCCCCTCCCCCCACCACCACCTTGACCGTCGTCATTGTAGCTCAGGTACCCAGCCTGCCAGCCAAGCCAGCCTGCCAGCGATATTTTTAACTTTGATTCCAGCATCCCTGTCTCTCTCTGCCCGAATTATGTACATAGTCACCAGAGCATGTGTACTGAAGTTGCGTTTCCCACCAAACCCCAACGACTTTGGACCTCCCTTTCGATTTCTCCAGCATCCTGCCCGAACCTGCGAACCTCCTCGACTCCCTCAAAGTCTCACGTACACTGCTGGAGGAAGCTGTCCCCAGCGACTGACGTAATTGTGTCGGTGCTGCAAGGATTTGCAAGCATCAAAGTGACACCAACGGCACGCCTAGCCGCAAGAGCTGCGCCGGAACGGAGCCTGAGACTGTCTAGCCCAATCAGTCAAGCTCGTGGAAGTCATGGAATTCCCGCCATTCATCCATAGCCATATCGTCGCGATCCAGACGCTCTTAGTAACTTACGTGCAGCTTGTGCGTGCCCGTCCAAACGTCCTTTCTTTCGCCTTTGTCAACTTTGTCAACCATTCCATAAAATCTCTCAACTTTATTTCGATGCTACCCATACTCTGACTCTTGCCTCCCACTCTGAATATCGCACCGCTCATGATTGGATACGCCCATTCGCGCGATTTCTAGTCCAACCATTGTTCATTCTAACCTCACCCCGCATTGGGTATGTTGCATCCCAGAAAACGGCCCGGCAGGATACACTACACAGCCCTTCCAATCGTCAAGGGCTACAAATCCCGTATAGTTTTCGCCGTTCCAAACATTGGAGTTGAATCTCACGGCTGATCTACAATAACCATAATCATAACAACAAGAATAAGAAACTGTTTGTTACCAGACGATCAATGCAGTGCAGAGCACCCCCTAGTCATCCATCCACTTGACGTGATCGATTATGGAATGGACAGACCTTTATACTGTGTAAGGAGTTTCAAGCCACGGTAGGAGGTTGCTGCTTGGAGCGATGAGCAATGCGCAAATTCCACTCCTCTCGAATGGAAAGCCGCACGAAATATCATGCTCCTCTTGGGCATCTCGATGCACTATGGGCACCTCACATGAATCAATGTGCTCTTTTATCAGCCGCTCCGCTAAAAATATGAAGTCTGTCACAGTCACCCCGCTATCAGCGCCTGTAGCAGTGGACTGCGGAGTAAAACTTCCGGCGCCATCGGATTGGGCCCATAAGGATTATGGGATCTTGGGACCGCCGAGTGCCAAGCGGGAAGATGGATAACATCGCCACGAGTTTTGATGTCTTATCGAATTGCCGCTCCATTTCAACGACTTCTTAAAGGCAAGTGAGTACCAGCAAACATTCTAACGCCACGGGAAGATTCATCTGTTAGTTTGCCACGAATTTAAACGATGAAATATCGCCGAAAGGAATAAGCCGTGACAATACGAACCATGTAGAGTAGCAATGGCTCTTATGGGACAGCCCGACATTCGACTTTGTTACAGATGGGAACTACACGAATACAGACGGAGTATGTGCCTAGGAACCCGTGTTGCTTCTACATCCTTCTTCCTTGCAACTAGTCTAGTACGTAGTATAGGCATATCGTGGTCCATATATTTCCAGTTGTCCGGCTTTTCGAACTCCCCTGTCGATAAGGTCGATGCCCAGTAGGTTCAAGACCCCCTCAGAATAGCTACCCTCTCCCGAGGTAGCCCATCTCGATGATCTGCCATGGTGTCGAGGTTTTCAGGGCAGCTTGCACGGCGTGGAACGCCATCGTTATAGACACCCTCGCCGGGGTAGGGACGAACGAAACATTGAGGTCCAACACGCACCCTCGGTCCAGGAATGCAGTCTGAGGAAACAAGGCGAAAGTTTTGTGTAAACAGATAAATGTAGGCTAACAAATGGAAGCTGTACATTGCAAGGAATCCACAACGGGTGCGTCGTCGCTATCGCAGCAATGAAATCTGTTTTGGAGGTCGCCGGAATTTCAATCGTTTTTTTCATACCCAACCATGTCTTCATGCTGTACTTAACCAGTCGCCGGTACGATTTTATTTTGCTCTTTCTCCACGGGAAGGTGGCTGTATTACTAGCGAATGCATGACCTGCTTTATCGCCCACGACGAATCTATGGGTTTGCTCATAGCCACCTTCGGACGCGAGACATGCAGACAGCAATCTCGCCTCTGAACCCGTACGAACGAACAACTTCACCACTGCCTTCTTTTTCCCTTGTGGAAGCTCGTACCAGGAAGAGCATGGCAAACTCTCCACCAAGCAGGGCATTACAACGTCCAAGCATAGCTCGGAATTCGAGAGGGTTCTAGGAGAAGCGCCGAAGAGCAGCATTGATATTCTAGTCTGATGCCATCCAGACGCAGATATGCTTGCTTGCTTGATACGAGCGCAGCGCGTCGCCGATATCAAGTATGCTAAAAAGGGGATTTGTCGGAAAGGGCCATCCCGACTCAGATCAAGAAACTTGACCAGACAATCGACAGAAACGCCCTCATCAAGCCAAGTAGCTCGGTTCTCCATGCCGGTGAAGGTGCTGGCTGAGATTATGAAATTGCTGGGTGTGTAAATCATTGTCCACTCTAGCAAAAACAAAAAAACAAAAAACCGGACGGTGTCGCATCCACCATATAACTATGGCAATTCGATCAGCCAACGAAGCAACAAACACGAGCGCTTGCGTAAGCGACACTCAGTACCCGTACACTGCCAATGCCACGATATGGAGCAAGAGGGTACTGGAATGCTGTAGCTAACACACAAACATCAAAACGAACCTCAATGGGGCTGTCAAGCAGTGTACACAAGAATGCACCTATACTTCGAGTATTATTCTATCATGTGTCATATGTGTCATGTCAGTAAGTGGCATCCTCGACCATGTTATTGAATGCCATGTCGGCCACTATTTCCAAACTATGCATTGTATCAAACTCGACCTGCCAGGTGAACGAGGGGATGATACTATATTAGACGATTTGTTGGGCTTCAGCGGCAATTTCAATTAAACACACCGCCAATCAAGACATTAAACATCCACCCTGGAATGATGAATAATCTGCTGTACGCGAGTATCGGTACTATTAACTATCTCTTCTGGCCAACATAACCGTGCCAGACCTACTACGTCGCACTAAATCGTGTCCTGAACGCCGGGGGAATATTGTGTTGTGAAAAGAAAATCAACAACGACTCGCGGAAAACAGATCTCACACTCTCGTAACTCCATCATGTCATGGGCCATCATGCAAATCCCGCCTCGCCACAAACCGTCGCCCTAATATGGTGAAGCAACCACGTCGTCCCTGCCCAGCTTGTATCGCCCGCTCTCCTTGGTACCGATCCTTCCTGAATTTTTACGGGGTGTGCTCAGTCGAGCACCGAAACCGGCGATGCTCTCGCGTGTCGGCCTCTTGAGCTGCGTCTTACCAACCATGTTAACTTCGTTCGGCAGTGCGACAATGACATTCTGATCAGTGCCGAACTTGAAGTCATCAGCCTTGACCTCGTCCGAGTATCGCTTGATGGTGTAGGGGGCCTTGGCACCGCGCAGGACCTTCCTCAAGTTCCAGTCAATGATGTAAGGGCCCGTGGCAGTGATGATGGACGTCTCCTCGTTAGACTGGCCCGTGTTGAAGCGAGCAGGAGTGAAAGTGACAGGCTTGCCAGTTTCGTAGGCGAACTGTGCCACATGCTCCGGAGTCAAGGCCAAACGACGTGGTTGAGGCTTGGAATCGGCAGCGAAAGACTTCTCAAAGCCGAGCTTGCCCTCGTTTTTGCCAGTCTTCTGCATGGCGTCGATGAGCAACAGGTAAGTACGGCAAGTACCAAGGACCCAGCGACCATCAGCAGAGACGTCAAGGCCAATAATAGGCTCGCCGAGAGCTGGAATGTGTGTCTTGGCGTTGATGCCCAGGCGGTCGAATAGACGGATGTCACCCTTGTTGGAAGCAACGGCAACGTAGCCCTTTTCTGTGGTGGAGATGGAGCTGAAGTCATTCTTGGAGGCATATTGCTTGAGCTGGGAGTCGACGAGCTTGTCGCCGGCAAGTCGAGGATCGACACGGAAGAGGGAGTTATGGCTGATACCAAGGAAGGTGGGCTCGTGGGTCATCTGGGCGAACTTGTTCTCGGGGGCAAAAGTCACGACGGGGATATCATCGTGGACATTCCACTCATCGACGACCTTTCCATATTCGAGATCCATGCGGTAGAGCTTGTTGGGATCGGTGTCGTTCTGCAGTATCATGTTGCGATCTTCGTTGTGTAGCATGGCCTTCTTGGGAGAAAAGAGCATGCCCTTGGGCGTCTTGACTTCGGAGATGTTGGTAGAAAACTCAAGATTGTTGTTGGGAGCATGCTTGAAGACACCAATCTTGGAACCCCTGACAACGAACGAGCGGTCGTGCTTGTAGCCGACAGCGATAGACTTGTTTGTAGCACCATCTTTCGGCTGCGTCTCGAGATCGTCTTGGTCCTCGTCCGAGTCGTAGTGCTCACTTCTCGCACCAGGGTCCTCATCTTCCACCTCCTCAAACTCGGGCTCCTCCGGGTCTTCCTCGTCTTCGTAGCCCTCCTCGGGCACATCGTCCATCTTGAGATCCTCGAAAGCATCAAGGACGTACTGCCTCTCCTGGTCCTTGACCTTTGTCCACTTGATCTCGTTCAGTTGCTCCCAGAGAGCGCGCATGAGGCCTTCCTGGAACCGCTCGAGGGTTGGCTGGTCCTTGAAGCGTATCAACCACGAGTAGGCAGAGCCGTCATCGGTAAACTGGTTGAAAATAAAAGACAGAAACTCAAAGTTGAAGACTGGGTTGATGTCTGCAACAACCGGGATGCCCAGCCACTCTTGGTCCTTGCTTGCGACATGTAACCAGTATTGCCAGTTTCCAGTGTCGGAGACCTGGGCTGTGACGGAGGAATCCTTGAGAACGAAGGAGCCCGAGGGAAAGTCGAAAAAGTGCAGCTCTCCAAGCTCCATGGACAGAATCTCTTGAGGCTCGGGTTGGGCGGGCACGGCCGGGGGACCCATCTGTCGTGTCGGGGCGCGCACTTCCTTGTCTTGTCTTTGCGGTTCAGGGCTCCCGTCAGCGGTGATGCGAGCGACTGGTGGTTTCTGGGGCGTGGCATCGCGCCTGACGCTCGTGTTGGCTGGGTTCTTGATGGACAACATGTCGTCGGTGGAGTCAATGTGCCGGCCGACGGTAGGGCTATGAATGGGGCTGGCGTGAGGGATGGGCTGCTCGTCGTCGAACTCGAACTGTGCAAGGTCGGACTCTGAAGCAGTGGTATGTGGTTTGCGGTACTTGCGCTCGTACTGGCACTGTTTTGCGATGCGCTCGAATGCTTGGAGCTGCATGGACTGGACGGAGCCGTCGCAAACGAATTCGTAGACGTCGCCGAGGTCGCCGCTCAGGTCCTTCCAGGCAACAACGGTGGCCGATGCGTCGCGATTCTCGACGCGGAAGTGTAATGCTTCGTCGAGCAAGAAGGTCTTCTCGTCTCGTTCGGTGGCGAGGGCATCGATCTCGGCGTCCTCTCCTTCCTCGTCGGCGAGCAGCTCAGCCTCGCCTTCCTCATAAACCCTCTGGACAACGAGCTGGTATTGGAAGTCCTGGGCGGTCCTGCGGATGCGGGCAGTTGCGTCCTTGAATATGAGTTCGGAATAGCCCTTGGGAGACAGTGGGCGGACCAGGTACAGTTGACCTTGCGGCAGCTCGATCAGAGACTCTTGGTTGTTGCTGCCAAAAATCAGCTTGCCCACATTCTTGAGGACAAACATGTTGCGAGGTGCGGGGGGGGTCCCACGGAGGCGCTGGTGTGATACCAAGGAGCGACAGAGGGGTTTTGTTTTTATTTTTCTATGGGTTGTTTCTTCTTCTGAGGTGAACTGGGACGGGGAGATTGCAGTTGCACCGGAGCAAAAGAAGAAAAAGAAAAGAAAAAGGATCGGGTTCGGATCAGGAATGCTGGATTGCGACAGCAGGTTGATATGGTGCTGTGATACAATATCAAGGTATTATTGGCCCTATGAATGGGAGCTGCGTCATAACAAAAGACCCTTTGGAGGGCCTGCAGCTTTGAAGTCCAACTTTTGTACGGATCCCTAGGTCAGAATCAGAAACGAGGACCGAAAACCAAAACCCAGACTTTGGATGGCGGGGTGAAGAGTGGCTGAGCTCCAAATCACGCCACCTTTCTTCACTCAAGGTAGGCAGCCACATTCTCTTTTTATCGTAACCTTCCATGTCTGCCAGATTCTTAACACAACGGAAAGGCGTGTGTTGTTTTCATGTTGAAATCTGAAACTGCCGGATAACTTTCTTCTCTTCTCTTCTCATGTTCCCTCGGGCTTTGCAGCATGGACGGCTGACAACCCAAGAGTCTTCCCTTTCAAACTTCACTTTAAACTTGTCGGTCGAGAGCCTCTGGCCCCCCCTCGCTCAAGGGAAATCCCATGTCATTTTGGCGACTATATAAATTAGTTAGCACATGGGGTCAAAGCTATCGTTCAATTCACCTATAGTATTCTTCATGTGTACTGCTTGTATCGTTCAGCATGACGTATCAGGTAGGGAAAACGTCTAGTCATTTCAGTCTAATAACATGTATAATTGCGCCATGATACACTCGGTCCTCCCGCTCTGAGCCAGTATTTGTGTCCCGCTTGCACGACATTCTACACTTATAATTAGGTAATATACGTAGGTATGCTGCCCACCACCCACACGACTATACCGTACCTGGCGCATATATTACGGCGGACCTATGACTTAGCGCTAGGGCCCGATACGTCACCACTCTTTAATGCGACAGAAACGGAAACCCTATATTGGTTGCCAAGAACCTCGAAGCATTGCAATTTTGTCGGGGAAGTTCTATAACCAACTACCCAATTTCGACTTTACTGGTTCATTCACTCAGCTCTCGTGGACGCATTCAGATAATCATCATGGCCTCATCAAACAAGACAATGGACTTCAAGTGCGCCCTCGTCACTGGAGGCGGCGGCGGCATCGGCAAGGCGCTATCGCAGTGGTTCATCTCCAAGGGCAAGAAGGTCATCATTGCAGGCCGGACAGAGTCTAACCTCAAATCGACGGCTTCTGAGATCGGCGCTGCTGGTTACTACGTGTTGGACACTGGACGGGTCGCCGACATTCCCGACTTCATCAGCAAGATCACCAAAGAGCACCCCGAGCTGGACTGCCTCGTCAACAACGCCGGCGTGCAGCGGCCCCTGGAGGTCGAGAAGCAGGACCCGGAGGAGTTCCTGCAGAAGGCGGACCAGGAGATTGACATCAACATTCGCGGACCCATGCATCTGGCGCTGGGCCTGCTCAAGCACCTCAAGACCAAGGAGCACGCAGTGATCATGAACGTGTCGAGCGTGCTGGGCTTCGTGCCCTTCTCGGTCATCAACCCTGTCTACAACGGAACCAAGGCGTGGCTGCACTTCTGGAGTGTGGCGCTCCGGTGAGTTATCCGTATCGCTGGCTCTGGAATATGCAGCTGACAAAACCACAGAACACAACTCAAGGGAAGCAATGTGCGGATCGTCGAGATCGCACCTCCGGCCGTGGGCACTGATCTGCACCGGGAGCGAGAGGACCCTGATGACAACAAGAAGCACAAGAACCCGATCTCTTTGACGCTCGAGGAGTTCATGGACGAGATCAGCAAGAAGTTGGAGAATGGCGACGAGATGATCACGGCTGGTCCCGGTAATGCTATCGTGAAGCAGTGGGATGAGACGATGGGTGCCAAATACAAGGAGATGACGAGTAAGAGCAAATAGGCTGCACCGCCACTAGTCACGTACCGGCCTAATGAGGGAAGCCGACCAATGCTTGACGATCGAAAACAAAAGGGGTGAGAAAGAAAAAAAAAAAGAAGACGAGTCTACTGTGCGAAGCATTGTGAAAGGTATATTAAATTTCATGATACTTGAAAGCAATAAAAGTGAAGGGCTAACTAACTTATTATTTGTGTAAGCCAACAGTGACACAATGCGCCATTGGAAGAGAAAACCCCGAATCCTACCCGACTCAAGTCGTATAACCATCGTGCTGATTGACACCTATATGTGTTTGCATACACGATTCTCCTTGCTTATAATCATTTCTATATGAAGTACATTCGGATTACAACTTGAAGTCCTGTCTCGCTGTAGTCGAGCAGGAGCTGTGGTTGAGATGGACGCGGAAATGGTGTATTGCTAGTGATCACATTGACCTTTTCGGGCGATGGTCTTCTCAAGCAGCTCGGAGTCGAGAATTTTGAGTGATTCGGCCTTGATAATCTCAGGATCATCAGCGAACATCGTCGGTAGACCGAAAAGAAACCTGCTAGGCTCTCTCACCCGAGATTCCTGTCCTCTATGTTTCTCTACTTAGTTGGATATCTGAGGCAATTCTGTGCTGCCCACCATGTATGGTTCAGGATTGTAAAAACGGCGTCGACGACATCTCAGTGCAGAATCCTCAAGCATTTCATAAGAATTTGATCTCATCATGTAACAATTTGTTTTTGGTTGGAGGAACGAGAAGAGACAGCTAAAACCACGATTACATGAACCTCCCTGGGGCTGCCGCTCTTCAGTGAGGGACGTTGTTCTTCGGCCAAGACATCATGGGACCAGAGATCAATGCCCTTGTGGCCCAAAAGAACAACAGCGGCAACGGAAATGGAAATTATGAGTGGTAGGTAGTGGCAACATAAAAATACCAATATGAACACATGATGCACGCAGGGCTTCATAATCCACGATCGAAGTGCTAGGGAATATATATTCGTGGTAAACGCAGGTGCACTAAGGTTCGGGGTTGAATATCAGGTGTCGCGACCTATATAAGATGTAGGAATGTCTTCCTGGGAGACCGCATGTGAAAGCCAGATCCCCTGTGATCGTCGTGCTTGCTTCGGGCATACGAGTGAGGGATCCTGCCATGGCCCCTCACAACTGGGGAAATGACCGACACTTTTTGGAATCAATTCCAGGCTTCCAAGAAAATGCGTTGAAAGTACAGGAATATTCGATGGAGTGAACCCATGATTCTTTATATGTACAGTTTTCCACGTAGGTTTTCAAGGAGGCAGTTGAAATTGTCATGGCCACGTCATACCCTCTTGCAAGAGGGCCAGTTCATTCATGTCTATTCACAGACTTGCGTCGTGCCTCTGTGGAATTAAGTACGGCTGGTATCTTAGGAAGGCTTTTACATATTCTCCTCAGGACCATCCATGCCCGGGCCAGGGCCGCCTTGCCGTCCCATTTGTCTTGCCTTCAATAGCTCGTCGCAAAGGAGTAGGTTCGATGCAATACTCGATGAACTCGCGATGCAATTTCGTAGTACTCTGAAGGAATCATAAACACCCTCCAAGGTGGGATCCATGGGCTCGCCTGTGGTCAAGTCCAAACCAACAACGTTGCCATCCGCATGCTCGTCCTGGAGTGCCGCAACTGCTACAGGTTAGTGGGTAAGTCGACAACGGGGAGGGGCAGTTCACTTACGGGCATCCTGAATGTCGTGACCGGCGTTTGCGGCAAGTGTCTTGGGAATGATCAGCAAGGCGTCAGCGAATGCGTCAACACCCCACTTGGCCTTGCCCTTGACGGTCTTCTTGAAAGAGTCGCTCTTGAGATGAGCGGCGCAGGCGACCTGGAAAGCACCGGCACCGGGCACCACACTCCCGTCGACAATCATGTTGTAGACACTGCGTAGACCATCCCTGACGGCGTCCGAAATCTGTGTGATGGTGTGTTGGTTGGGCCCCTTGATGAGGAGAGTGACGGACTTGGGCTCCTTGACGTCCTCTATGAATGTGTACTTCTCCTCACCCAACTGCTGCTCGTAGACCAAGCCAGCCCAGCCGAGGATATCAGGCGACAAGTCCTCGACACTGTTCTGTGCGATACCGCCGCAAATGAGCTGCAGACGCTCCATGTTTCTCCTCTTTGCTCTTCGCAGGGCGAAAATGCCGTTCTTGGCCAGGACATCAAGGGATAAGGGATCGATGCCCTTCTGATTGACAATGACGAAGCTCTTCTTGGGGTCGTTTCCGCAAACCTCCTTCTTCAGGTCAACGATCTTCTTGAGCTTGGAATCGACGAATCTTCGCTCGCTCTCGACGAGCTTGTCACGCTGCTCCGCACTCGAGTAGAAGAAACTCGAGTTGATCTCGGACTTTTCGTACTCCAGACTGACGTTCAGGGTCAAGATGAAGGCGTTCTCGACACGCTTGGGCATGTCGGGGTGTCGGGGGCCGTGGTCTAGTGCCAAGCCGCGAATCAGCTGTGTGTCGGCGGCGGTTCTGTGCTGCATCTTCATGATCTCGACCATGTGCAGATCGGGCTTGGCGGGGGCCTCGTATATGGCAAGGACGGAATCGACGATGTCCGGGGTGAGGGCTCCGGCCAATGTTGCGTTCAGCTTGGTAGCGAGCGAGGTTCTGGCCACGGACAGCAGCAGCTCTCTGTCGACCTCTTTTGGGAGCTTGAACGAGTCGAGGAACTTGAGCGATTCGGCCTTTGCAATCTCGAAACCTTCGGTAAGGATTCTGGGGTGCAAGCCCTCGGCGATGTACCTCTCCGCCTGCTTGAGGAGCTCTCCGACGAGAAGCACGACCGATGTTGTTCCGTCACCGCAGATGTCGTCCTGTGCTGTGGCGGCTCGTGCGATCATGACTGCTGTGGGGTTCTGGATTTGCATCTCTCGTAGCAAGACGTTGCCATCCTTGGTGAGCTTGATCTGTCCAGCGCCGTCGACGAGCATCTTGATAGTACCCAGCGGACCGAGGTTGGACTTGAGGACATTTTGCAGACCCTCGCCGGCACTGATGTTGACTTTCAGAGCTTCACCCCGCCGCTACAACAGACAAACAATACAATATTAGCGAGCGTCTCACTGCACTCGAGATCAAGTGTACGTACGCGGGACTCGGCCTTGGGGTTGAGTAGCTGTGCGGCTGACATTCTGGCAAATGTCAGTTGGGAGAGAAGCTGGAGATGTTGGTATGCAGTTGCAACCTTTGTATTTTTTTTTTCGGGGTAGCAGCGAGTTAACTCAAACTCAGCAGTCTCTATCTTGCTTAGCAGCAGCCTGGGACTTCCCGAGTTGGTTGTTGCAATAAACAACCTGCCGGTCCGGCGAGGGGTAGCGTGCCAGCTGCAGCACCCACGGGCTGTGCTTTGTATTGTACCCCTGCTTGCGGATCTGTGCTTCCTTAGCCTTCTCCGCCACCCGCCAACATAAACAACACCTGCCTGTTATCTCCCTTGTTTTCTGATTATAGCCTCATAGCACATATCCTGTCGCCATATATTATTACGTGCTAATCTATAGCGAACCTGACTTCGGCCAGCGATTGCTCTGCATGTTCTGTTCCCACTGGGCACTTGTGCTACTGTGCTTGTCTAGTATGCCCCTAGCACCCTTTGATCCTGCCCGCTCTCTGAAACTACCGAAGCATTATTGCCCTTGTCATGTCCATCATTCAATGCCACGTAATCATCGACGATCAGCCGGGCCACGTTCATCCCGGCCAGAGCATTGGTTTCCATTGTCGAGATGAAGCTCTCCATACCAGATGTGTAGTACAGACCCTCGCGTAGAATTGGGTCTTGGAAAGTCACCCTCGGGAGCTTCTGCGGGTAAGGGTGGAAGACCGTAGCATGGTACCATGAGATCGGCTCCACAACCTCGAAATCTGCTTGGTCCTCGGAATCCACTGAGCTCGTGAAAGTATCGGGGATCTTGACTCCCAAGAGCGAGGACAGAAATTCCGGTGTCACCTTGTTGGGAGAGAAGATCTTGTACACGTTCTCCTGGCGTTGAGTCTTGGAATTGAGCACAATTTGGTTCAATGTTGCTGAAAAGAAGCCAGCCTTGCCCGCCCCTTCCGGGCCAGGGCGTGCTTCCTCGTCATCCGCCAGCGTAGTCAGCACCGAGATAGGTGCTGTCGTGCCTGGCTCAAGCTTGAAGAACTCTGGGCTAAAACGGAATGGCGTAGCGAAAAGAGTGACATGTAAGGTCGTGTAGGGTATTTCGTCGATCGGTTGCTGGAGTAGTCCGTCCTCATGAGTGATATCACTAAATTGGTAAGGCGTGGCAATCACCACGTTGTCAAACTCAACATCCTGCACTTCTGCTTTCGCACTCGAGGAGCCAGTACCTTTAGTCGCGATGACGAACTTTGAACTCGGCGAGGCAGGATCCTTGCTATTTGCCAATGCAATCGACGAGACAGATGTGTTGAGGTTGACGTTGGATCCAGACGCCCCAACCATGTGTGCAAAGATCTGCCAATTGCCTCCTGCGACTTGCACCGCACCGTCCGTAGCCAGCGATACCTACAGTAATACATGTTAGCCACCAAGCTTGGCTTCGCCTTGTCGTAATGGTTATCCACATACCATAGATCCCATGCCATGGATATAGGCCAAGTTGGATGCATAATTAACACGAGTCGCAGTCTGCACAATATCGTGCGCAAAGGCCCCGTACAGCTTGTTCTGTTCGAGGAATTGACGCCCAGTAACGCCGGTGATCCTGTGCAGGCCCAACTCATATATCCTGGTCGTCAGAGATCGAAATGGAAAGTATGGTTCCTCATACAAGTTCAGGAAAGTGGCGACCGTCTCGCGGACGAGTCTTCTGGTGTAGTAAGGGGCACTGCCGTACTTCCAGACGAGTTTGACCAAGCTCCACCACTCCCATGACTCTGAGTCCTGCTCAAAGACAAACTTCTCGCCATCCCAGATACCCAAAACGCCAACTTCATCGGCTCCAGGATTGACGAGCGGAAGGTTGAAATCTCTGCTTGCATTGTAGAGAATATGGTTGATGCTCACAAATATGGACGCACCAAGCTCAACAGGCTGGTGAGGATCACCGTAGGCATCGACTGTCAGTGTACGCCCACCAATACGTCCCGTCTTCTCAAACAGTGTAATATTAACAGCGAGACCTTCTTGCTCGGCATATTTGCGAAGGTGGTACGCCGTTGAGGATCCAGCAGCTCCAGCTCCGATGATAGCTACCTGTTTCACTACTTTGTGGCTTGAGTTGTCGTCAGCAGTGACGCCAAGGATCCACGGCACTATCAGTGAGGTGAAGGCGACAAGCCGGTTCATCAGGCTTTGAGTTCGCATAGTAACCATCTAAAGGTTCTTGATACAAGCAAGCCTAAATGTCTTTATGCGATGCGTGAAAAGAAGATCAAGTTGAAGTTGGTCGGTCGCGTTGTAGTCATTGTGGAAGGCGTTAACTATGTAACCTAAGTCGATGATTGAAGAGTGGCGGTGCAGACTGATCAGTTTGACCACCTGCACCTGAGTATTACAACTGTAGTCCCACTAAATTCCCCCTTAACTGTCGTCCATTGAATTGACACCTGCTTTAGTGCGTCTCAGCTACCGCTGCCCACCGTATTCTTTCTGCCTCCGGTTCCTGCATTGAATTAAATGTCTGAATGTCGCGCAAGCAATCGGAGCAAAAATGCTACTTACACTCTTCACTGGAATAATTAGCCCAACTACATACTATGATTCAATTTGTTTCACCTCATATTGTTCGAGGTTGTAACTGTATGTGTCCGTGGTAGTATACTGCAAAGCCGAGTGAATGCGAGGTATAACTGCTCCATCATGTCAATCAAGTCTAACCTTAGGTTAGTCTAGACTAAGGTTAGATAACAACCACCTGCGCTCTCGCGTGGGTTTCGAGTAACCTGGAGAAGTAATCTCAAGGCCTTCACCCTCGCCAATGCTAACGTTGCATGATCAGACATATGTTGGACAAATTACAGTTACAATTTCAGCGCTATTGAAAATTGTACATCCTCTGTGAATGTAATCGCAGAAACCCCGTTGCTTTCAAAACTTAACATACAATATCAGTGCCGCCGTACCACATGGGAGGGCCGCCGGCAGCTGGATGTCCTCGCTTATCCTCACCCTGACCCTACTTCTTGCCCGCACCAGGTGCAACTTCGCCGAGACCAGCAAAGACGTTCTCCATAGCGTCTCCTGTCTTGCTCGCAAATTCGAAATGTCTGCTATCTCTCGTACTTTATTTATAACGTTTCCTACCTTTAAGGAGATAGACTCCACACCTTCTGTAACTCTTGCCGTAGCATTAGGGGTCGAGCTAGATGATAAGCTGGATGATAAGCTAGAGATTGAGTCTAAGACCTAGAAACCAACAGTGAAACCTTTGTTCGAATCTTTAATCTAATCGCCATTGCTTTGATATAAAGCATTATCATCGGCCAGCGTCTCAACATATCGCCAATCTTGTCAAGTGGGGCTAACATTAAGCTAGTAATGGTCTCGAACGGCGGCTTATTAAATACGCTAGGATGACTACGAGTCGGTGTTAAGTACTTGGTCCTCTTGAACATGTTACTCAGCTCGCTCGACTCGATATTATCGAGTGCTTCCTCAAGCTTAACTAGATCGGAATACGCTCCTTCCTTAACATAGTACTTTAGGTTCTTCATTAACTTATCCAAGGTAGGCTGGAAATTGGAACGATTAGGCTTAAGCTTCTAAAATTAATAGAGAAGCTCCCTATCGATAGAATGGCGGGTAAGCTACTAAACAAAAGAATTCTAGTAGCGGATCTTCTCGTCGTCGTTCTTTCTATTTAGAATACGGTCATGGTAGGACTTAAGCTAATAGTGGCCTTCCTTGATCGCTTCGATTATCTCAGAGGAGGCAAATTGTTAAGAAATAACGCTTATGCACTGGGATTGTAGCTGGGGTCTAAGCCTTCCGCTCACACTTTAAGATTATATTTATAAAGTTCGTAAAGCGTCATTAGCCATACTATAGCGCGGTAATACATATTAATTGAATTTATAGTGTTTAGGCAGGGCGTATTATTACTAGACTAGTAAAGGATATCGGGAAGTAAGAGGCAAGTAACAGTTATCTACAAGCCGGTCAATATATATCATGAACACACCTCTATGACCTATAATATAAGTGAGTTTCTATCGGCAGTGCCGTTTTCGAAACAATGGCGATTTCAAGCATCACCGCTTAAGCTATCGATGCAGTTGTCTATTCAGGGCTGTAGTGTGCAATCTAAAACATGCGTTCTTCTATGACAACGAGTGTTCCTCCGTTCTCCTTAAAATATTGCGCCACCGCCTCCTCCTTTAATGGATTGTTATCTACGTTTGCCGTGAATATAGCAGATTTCCCCCAATCCATCATCTCCTTCCCCCTTTCCTTGCCCTCAATGGCCACGCAGCCAGAAGACCAACTCTTCTGGAATCTTAAAAGCCTCGTGCTTATATCCCCGTCTGGCAACGGGCATTGCCCGGACCTGTTTGGTGCGCACAAAATTGACTATGCGACGATCTTGGCACACGTATTTCTGAGGGAAGTTATCCTTAAGGGAAGCATCAGTCTCGTCCTGATATTCTAGGTCATTTGCTGCGCGACGCTAATCCTCCTCGTGTCTGCGCGTCTCTGTTGCACGCTACCGTGTTTGAATGTATGTCCCAAACACATACTCATTGCCGGCACCATACTCCTTGAGTATGTAACCCTGCACCCCCTCCAAGAAACGCTTTGAACGTTCACCCGGGCCTGGCTTCTCAATGCGAATAGACGTGGCTATCTGGCGAAGTTCTCCGCACTCCTCGAACTGGACTGCAAATTTGGAGTAAGAGTTCCTCCAATGCACCTTCTTTTCAAAACGCATCACAACATGGTAACGCACATGACCATCTGCGTGCAACTCTTTTGCACCGAATATCTCAACCCTCCCACGCCTGTTGTTGTCACTCGACATACGGGGCATCCGCTGCTCCATCCACGTGTGCAGATACTCATGAAACTTCACGTGGTCAATGACACAGGACCGACTGTAGGTTAACCAAACCATCCTGCCCTGGAACAAAAAAGGCGTATTCTCAGTAATCAGCATCTCCGGCGGTGAGTGATGAAACTTGACACCGTCTTCGTCGAGTTCCGCTTTCTGTTCGGGCAGATCCAAGTCCATGCCATCCTTGGTGTCCTCGGGCTCCTCGTAGACAAGTTGAGTCTCCATCTCCTGATCCATCTCATCCGCCATTTTGCCATTCGCAAAATGCATAAGCAACTAACATTTCTCCATTGAATGTGGCCGTCCCGTCCTACTATTAGTACTTCGATAGTGGCGTGTAAACTGGCGTTTGTTAGCGTAATGGGTCTAGCACCCTCTGGCCCCCCAACTCGCAAATCCATTGGTTGTCTGCATTGCTGCCGCTCCCATTGGTTTAAATGCCACTCAATGGCAGGGGCAGTCTTCCAGCCTGGCTCTCACACCTAAAGTCTGGGGATGGGTTCCGGTGTAGCAGTTATCGAAATGGATAATCGCGTCACACGCCTGCTCCAAATCCTGCGGCCATGCGTTGGGACGACCTGGAGATTTACGGGGTCGTACGTAATCGACGTTTGGGACCAATCACTGCCATCAAGTGCAACGAGTAACACCGCCGACGTTAATGCCCGGCTCAAACTCTCCCTCCACGAAATTATGTACGCAATAGCACCAGCGTTGCTATAAGAACTTCGCTGGACAGAAATGCTCGAGCTTATGCATGGAGTCAGTAGCCAAAAGCTGGGCTGCAGCGAGTTAGACTGACATACGCGGCCCAATATACTAGATATACTTACAGTGTATAATAACTGACTCGTGTAAGTTCCATGGGGTCCTGCCAGGCGCAACGCCTCAAGTATACCCTATCACCCGCAGGAATCTAATGACCGTCAGGATCGCTGTGTCTTGTAAACTAGTTTTAGCAACGATTCCGAATCAGCAAATGACCCGCATTTGTGTTAAGTAGCTGGCCTGGCACTTTCCTACAGTACATGTGTGGCAACCAATATATACCCTGAGATTACCATCGTTCTATTGACGGTCGACCCACTGTTTTTAAATGTCACAACATGCTATGAGCGGTGCAGTCCAGCAGCAATACGGTGAAGACCAGCTCATCTATATATATCCTTTATATTTGCCTGCCCTGAACCCCTACTTCAAATTGGAATGCCGATTGCAGTGCCGGCACGCAGTGTCCACCACACTGTATTTCTGACTTCCCTCAACTCAAAGCATTCTTTTGACAATAGCTGCTCCCGAAACCTATAACTCTCTTGACCTCTTACTGAACTGACTTTTGGCGTACTCTGAGGTATAGTAGTTTCCTATAGAATATGTACGTAGTATAGACCATTGTCGAGTTAGAGCCTGCGTTGTGCCCCTGTAGTGAAAGTTGGGGGCTAAACTAGCTTAATTTTTTTTTACCGAGAAGGCCGTAGGCTGACCAGAGTTGCACATGCAATGCGTGGAGAACTAAGCTTGTGCTGTTTGTTCTGGTTGGGTAACTTGAGGTACGCATTAATTTTCCTTCTGCTTTGTGCTAACGTAAATCAATTTTATTTGCGTAGCACAAAACCTGAGCATACTTTGAGTTGTTCATCCCGCAACTACAGGCTGCGTATAAGAGGTTTTATACTGTCGCTCATGCTTATAGGTCAAGTCTACCTAGAACTCTCCTAGTCTCATTTCGCATATTAACAATCAAGTATTTCGGGCTGAATAGGAGATATGCAAACTCTAATACTCATCATTCGACTTCCGAGACTTGTTGATCTTCATCTTCTTTGTCAAAGTTGCTATCATCGTCTGCTTCTTCATCGTCAATCTGAATAGCATGAGGAGTGGTTACGGCTTTGTCCGTTGGTGCTAGTGTTGCTGATGTGAATTTACTACTGCTGATGATTCTGCGTACATTGATCAGCAGCTGGCTGGCTCCTCGTTAGCGCCTATGCTGTTCTTGAACCATGGGTTGGTGCAACAATGCTATTCTCGGGCCATCGAGAACCCTGGTGAGGCTGATACACTATATTGAGCGGTGGTTGAGCATACGCCGCGCCGTTCACCATAGCTTGACCTGCAATATTGAACAACGCAGCCTTTAGGCACCCTAATCTCCATTCTAAGTCGCATTTCTCCTTTTCCAGAAAATCAATACGATCCTGCAACGCCCATGAGATTTTTGTCGTCTGCACAAGGTCCCACATTAATCTTCTGAGCTCCTCATCCTAGGTTCAGATCGGGCCGCGGTGCCTTCCATCTGGAAGGGCCAGGATGTACTGAGATGGGCTGGGTAATTCCTGTATCGGTGTTTGGCACAGGTGTATTTATAATCTCACTTGTGAAGTCGAAGCTGATATCCGGGGCAGGATATCCTATTGTAACCTACCATTTTCCCTTTTTTGATAGGTTGTATCATATTCCCAACATCCTAGAACTGGGTGTGGCCCCCGGGTATGCTGCCAAGGCAGTCTCATAGATAGTTTTGGCAGTGTCATTACGAGCCACTCCTCGCTCAATCAAAGGATATCGTTTCTGACGCTCGTCCATGCGATACTTGGCGTGGAAGCCTAGTGATTCCGACGGAGGATGATTATGAAATGGATTGAGCACCCGAACTCTCCAAATATTGTTCTTCTTGTCATGATTGCACGAAGCCTTCCATTTACAACCGGTTTGAGACGAGAAGCTGATGCTACCACCAGTAAGGCGTTTTGGCCTTCGATTGTACCTAGATCCCACCTATCTATTGCAGCCCCTTGATCTCACATTGCGAGGCTACAAATTCTCACGATCACATTTATGTGCTTCTCAGTCACTTGACTGCTTGCGGTAAAGCCGTTGACTATTGTGTGCCCTTCGAGCTGCTATACGCCCAGATCGCTATTTATGTTTCTTCGGTTTGTGCTTGGTTATCTGTATTGGCCCGGGCCTTAAAGTAGACGTGGAATGATCTTATATTCAGATCATGGGCACACGATCGGAGTGCTCTCGCTTTTGGGTAGTTGGAACTAGTTGGGATGATTCTTGTGCCTTAGTCTGAAACGGGCATATTGTTTCATGAGCCTGCCAGGCATAATAACTACAAACATCGGCAAATCACTGCTGATACTACGGTCGTATTAAGACGATACATGTGCTTATTTGGCATGGATTTGTCATCCGGCTTCATTGTCGATACATTTGCTCGTCGTGGTATTACGCACTATACTACTAATGTTTGAGTGTTGGGACTCGGAAGACAGACTCACTGTCAAACGGTGTTTATAATTTCCGCAGTATAAGATTTATGTTAAGGCCTAACCCCTCTATATTACTGCGTCTATCATCGGACTTTTTCCATGCCTCGCTGGGGCTTGTATCGAGTTGTCTTAATTGCGGTCAGTCACATTGACATTGTGGACACGAAGAAAGCAATATTATCCGAGACGCTCCAAATTGAGAAGGTGTTGTACTTTGAAGTGGTAAAGATACGAATGCGTGAGGTTTACTTGAAGCTTAATCTAAAAAATAAAAAATAAAAGCATAACTTCTATTTAATATAGCTTGTAAAGTATCAGTATATCATTTCAGATTCATTCGAGGGAATCTCATTTTGGATTCTCCTTCAACTAGTCATATTGCACAGATAAAAATGCTGGCAAGTCATACGATAGGCCTGGATGCGCTGCGTTTAGAGGTAGCATGAGAGAAAACTTTTAGCAATACTCACGCCACTCGATCTCTGAACTTATACAGCTTGGCAAGTAATAGTCTTTCGAGGTCATGGTGAGAGATTTATGCAATCCAATCAAGTGCAACAAGATGAATTGTCTGATATCGGTACGATACCTGGTTCAAGATAGAGCTTATGTGGCGATTTCTTGTCAACGCCTTTTTGGTCATTGCCAAAGAGCAGGGTACATTCAACTTTACTTACCGTTACAATCAGCGATTCTCTCCGATCCTTCACTTAGTGCGCTTCAATATACCGAGGAGTTGTATAATACTAGGTCGTGTATGAAGAGCAAGACAGTTGGCACCAAAGGTGTTAGTTCTTGCCCAGCACATCCTCTGGACCTCAAAAGTTTTCTTATGGGGGTTTCCATCTGGCTATGTCATCTACGATGGCGACTATTCGTTCTATGTTGAATATAAAACTATATTTCCAGTCCTTTATCACTGGAGCGTGTATGTTATGTATCCCGCGTAACGTGTGTGATTATCGTGAGAAATCTCGGCTCCCACGGTTTGTCAAAGCATAGAGACAATATGTCGATGGAGGTATCGAAGCACTTGACGCAGCATGCCATCTCAGGCATAGCCGAAGATCGATAAGCACTATCATCTCTAGGCTTTACAATAACGTTCTTAATTTCGTGATCCGATGTAGTTCTGAAGGACCTTCACAGCGGCTAGCTCGGTACTTTGCATGCAACCTTCATTTCTCCAGGAGAGCACTTAAAATTATGTGGGCCTGAAGAAAATTTGACATAGTGGCACAATATGAGCAAATGAGAACCTGAAGCTTTATAAATGGATGGATGGCTAGAAGAAGAAATGAAAAACCAGCTCCTTGTCTTTGGTGCAGCTTGCTAAATTCGCCTCGTCCTAAGGGCTCATGATTGACAACGCGTATTGTTGTCACTGTACCGGTGCCAGCAACTCTATGCCACTGGTGAGATTTCTGAGTGTACCAAGAGAAAGGAAGGTGTGGAAAATATGCTGGACCTCTCCCCTGCGAATTCTACTTAAGTCTACAACTTTCTCGAACATGCCGTTTTTTTCTCCTAATTTCTCAATTAAGCAAGGCCATTTTTGAATAAATTAAATTATGCAGGGTATATTCGGCGTTTAGACTATCACATAAAGGCGAGCCCTGCCAAGGATGCATGGCTCTGGGATGAACTTCTTTTCAAGACTGCAGCCACTGAATTTGACGTGCAGGGACGTCCGTGGCTTTTATATGAAAGCTGTAACATCGACCTCCGACCACCCAAACTCAAGCTACCAGCGAAATTCCGAATCGATCAGCCACTCGATTACACACCTAACGATCTAGAAGAAGTGCTGGGAAATCTTAGAAGGACCTATAATCCCTCCAAAGGGTGATCCAAAAGAACGCAGCAGATGTTCAGTAGTTGTGGTATGAAATCCTGGTCAACAATCACGAGAATACTTTTTACGACTTTGGCCAATGAGTGTATTCGGGAGCAATTTCTGATGACGATGAGCGTTCTTCCTTGAAGGCACTCCGAGCTGCAGCTGCAGCAACAAGAACTATCATCATCGCAGTATATTGTCATTAACCACAATCCATCGTCCTTCGCCACCTGACAATTTGATGGGGCGGTGATTGGAAGCAATGTATCTTACTGACATTCTCCAATAGCCAGATAGTGGACTCAGAGGTTTTTCACATGAGCCAGAAGAGCCAGAAGAGCCGAAGGAACCAGAGGACCTGAATGAACCGGATGAAACCCGGGCGATAACTTGCAGCGGTACAATATACAACGTCGGTAATAATCTGCCAGTACCCACCGGCATCAAGTGGTGGAATGGCACGATCTGGAATGGTAGAAAGCATACCGACGCCCATGACTGCCGTTGGCGCAACGGGACGAATGTCATTTACAGTCCACCTGGCAATGTGACGAATGGTCATGGTGTCGTCACCTGCAACGGCACAACTTTCGGCGTTCCTGCGTTCTATCCCACGTCCGCGGGTACCCAAGCCTAGGATGGCGCTATATGGGTTGGTAACGACTCTACAGCTGCTTAAGACTGCCGTGACAAACGCTGTTGTCCCGAAAACCACAACTTGGTTGCGCACTAGTACGACGACTCGCTTGCTCTAAGCGTGGTATCAACTAGCATGGTATCCGAGACTCTGAATAAGGCGTTCAAGGGCCTGGTGTGGCAAAGGCATGGTTCATCCGTCGATGACAGGCCCTCTGTGATACATCCATTCATTCATACCGAGAAGAGCGCAGCCCAGTCCGTAGGCTGAGCTTGGTTAGGCGCGGATCAGAGACATATCAGCTCTGGTTATACTCGACTTCCCCTTTGCATATGACTTGCTGTCGGTGCTCTCCCTTCCGTGTATCCACATTGTAATGCAATGGCAATGAGTATTAGGTAGCATAGATTGTATTGAAATCAAAGGACAACCAAGCCCAACAGCTTATGGAGTGAACTTTGGATTGAGCTCGTATATGACCTCGAAAGTCGTCTAAAATGTGCTTGATCGGAATGCTTCTGCGATTAGAGCGTAGCCATGACCAACTTGTGCGAGATGGATCTATTTGCGCCCCAGGCCGCCCGATGTTTTTCCAACAGAACGGCATAGCAACTCCTTGGATTCGAACCTGCTATAAGTTCAGCGCCATGTGAACACTAGGGCCACCTTTGCCAAGTAAAGTACGAACAAGCCTCGAGGTATAATAAGTGGAAGCTACCCCACGACCCCACACTTGACACTGACGTCTATCCCGGAGCTCCACCGGCCCCTAGGAAACTTGACTTACAACATTCCCAGACTCGCCACCGAAAACCCGAAGAAGCCAAACCGAGGTCTGTTATATGAGATTGCTCAAACGCTTGTACTCCAACCTCCTCACCAAGATGGCCTGGCGAAGCAGCGGAACCACCAACTCGTCCCTGGTCGAGAACATGTGGCAGCACTCCCTCCTGACTTCTCCCGTCGTCAAGGCCGCCTTCCTTAGGGTCGACCGCGCACACTACGCGCCGAGGAGCCCGTACGAGGACTCGCCTCAGTCCATCGGGCATGGAGCCACCATCAGCGCGCCGCACATGCATGCCAACGCCGTGGAGAGCCTGCTGGAGTACGTGCTGCCCGCCGGGCCCGCGGCGCTGAAGGACGGCAAGGGCAAGAACGTGCCCGCCGGCAGGAGGGATTCGAAAGCCGGGGACGAGGTGGGCAGGTCGGATGTTGGGGGTGTCAGAGGTAGGCCCAGGCGTATCCTGGATGTGGGCAGCGGGTCGGGCTACCTCACGCATGTGCTGGCCGAACTGGCAGGCGAGGGCAGCGTGGTGGTGGGTCTTGAGCACATTCAGGAGCTGCGCGACCTGGGCGAGCGAAACATGTCAAAATCTGCCGAGGGCGAAGCACTGCTGGCAAGCGGCCGGGTCAGGTTCCGTGTCGGCGATGGACGGAAGGGATGGACGGAACCGAGTCCGGGAAACTCTCTACCGCCAGTGGGTGGTAGCGCGGATAGACCAGCTCACAGCAGCAATGAAGAAGGTGGCTGGGACGCTATTCATGTCGGGGCAGCAGCGATTGAACTACACCAGGAACTCGTGGACCAGCTGAGGAGTCCGGGTCGCATGTTCATACCCGTTGGTGGCAAGAATGGATGGAATCAGTATATCTGGACGGTTGATAAGGATCGTGATGGCAACATCACGAAGAAAAAGTTGTATGGAGTGAGGTATGTGCCATTGACTGATGCGCCTGGTGGAATGAAGAAAGGAGAGTCGTGAGTGGACTTTCAGAGGAAGCAAGCCGAGATAAGATTGATATGGTGGAAAGGCATGAGACTGAATTGAAGGTCGCCACTTGAGTAAGACACTTACATAGGCTAGAAATTGTACTATGCTGGAATCATTGAGAGCAACACCTTGAGTTTTCAGAGCAGTGGGCTATCTGAGCAGAGCAGATACCCTTTAGTACTGCACTCTCCAAGGAAAGCCATCTCGTGTCGCAATTGTTGGGTATCAACACATACGGGCTTACACCCGGATCAGGGTTCTGGCAGCGCAGGCATCTCTAGAAATGGTGACGGAAATGGTGATGGCGGCGACCTTAAATCAGAACATCAGCATGGTGTGAGCGGAAGTCTCACTGCGCCCCCATATGCACAAATGCAGCTGCACAATGAGTTATTGCTTCTGCCCTACGACGAGAGTTCAAGCGCCTTAATACAACTACTCTTGTCAAGGTATGCATACAAAAGTCCCAGCAGTCACTTGACTCGGACATGACTCAAATATCTACCGGCGCGAATGTGGCTACTCACTGTGGCTAAGACCATGCCGCCAACGTTTTACTTGTGACAACTACTCAAGTCTAGTGACTCTAGGGTCTTTCGATTCTTCTCTCTTGCATGGTGGCACAATCGAATAGGCATCGAGACCTTCGTGCCCATCGCTTGTTTTGCAGTACAGCTTATCAGTTTGGCTGGTGGGGAAATTAGACATGGTCGCAGAAGTTCACGTGGGGGCTTGAAGTGGTACTCTTTATGACCACTATGCGTGGTAAGAAAATCCAACTTGTTCATATTATGCAAATGAGCTTACTCTTAGGGATTGCGTGTTGCCCCACACCTATCATCAGGTAGAGAGGATCATTGTACCAAGTAATTCAACCAAAATTCCCAACGCCATAGCCATGCTTAATCTTCAGATGATTTCTTTCGCTTCAAATCAGTCGAGCCCTTGTTTCCGAGGATACAAATAGTTAGACGACCCGCCCGGGATCCTCGCTATCAATGACGATAGGAATGTGCCTGTCTGGGCCCTGCAATACCAACTGCTCGTGTCGCCTTGCCCTGATGTAATCGCTGACAGATCGAATCAAGATAAACCAGCCGACGATCATGAGAATGTACGCTACCCATTCGGAACTGGCGATATCGCTGAGAGAGCTTCCATCACCGCTGGCCGAGTTGACGGCGTTGGGGTCGAAATCGTGGCTGTTTGGGTCAGGGGGCTGAGCATATCCATCTGTAGGGGCACCAGTCATGCCATCCGAGTTGGAGGTGCCTTTCATGTAGAAGCCGTACTGAATCAGCGTGATGCCGAGGCCAGCGCGAGACCCGTTCTTTGCAGCGTGTGTCGAGTGCAGCAGGTAGGTGAGGAGAAAGCCGACAAGTTGGAAGGACATGGAGATCATGCCGTTCCAGATGAAGCTGAAGATGGAGCCAACGGGCATGCCGTCGATGTATACCTCGTCGGGACCACCGAGGCCGGGGGCCAGGATAGTCGTTTCCCAGTAGGGCGGTGCGGAATCGGCGGCAGCTTGCTCATATGTCTGTGGGAATTAGTAGAGTGTTGCAACATGGTAGACTACAGTAGCGTAGCGCGGAAAGGGAGACACATACTGGAGGTTGCTCCTCGACAACCTTTTCCCCTCTCGCAGGCCTTGCCATCATGTTTGAAAAGACGCCGTCTGACTGCATGCCGCCACCGTAGATGCGCGAAGAAGGCTGCGCATTGCTCCCACCAGGTGCGTCGGGCCGCTGTGCCGTCTGGCGTTCAGGAGCGGACGGCCTGTCTGGGGTGGCTGAACGTGTTGAGACGGGAAATGAGGACTGCCGTACTAAGCGCTGCCTGTCATCGGGTTCATCGTCGTCGCTGTCGTCGCCATCGGCATCGAATGCATCGGCGAGGGTGGGATCGACATTCTGCTGCCTCCTGCGCTCGAAGGACGAAGCGCGAGAGTGGAATGAAGGTGGAGGCGAGCTTGGTATCCTCTGTCGGGCGGATGGAGGGATGGCTGAGATGGGAGTATCGCCGTCGTCGTGGTCGTGGTCGTTGTCCTGGGTATTGATCTGATTGATGAAGGCTCGAGTTAGTATGCGACAGACCACGCACCACTACGTAGCAGATGCGCGAGACGACGAAGAAGAGAAGCAGAAGAGGCGGGCATGTCGGTGGGGAGGCCTCCACCCGAGTTGAGTCTTGTGCTGATAAGACTTACCCTTTCGTATCGCCCTGCCATTTCGACTTTGACTGACTAGAGAGAGTTTTCTGGGCGGGCAGATCAAATGTGTGACGAAGAGGGAAAAGAAAAGTGGTAGAAAGCAATGAAATGACCTTGGCTGTTGTGGTCACTGAAGAGGAGTTGGTGTTCGGGGGGGGAAGTGATGCGCAGTTAGGCAAGTACAAGTACGGAGTTGGTGGTAAAGTATGTAGTAAGTACGGACCCGTAGTATGTAATGTGATACTACCAAATAGGTTGGTTTCGGTTTGGGTTACGGTCAATCGGGGATAAGGTGTGGTGAGTAGTTTAAAAAGGTGGCAACGGAATGCCGTACCCTTTTTTGGGGGGGGTGTTTGGAGGAGGAGGAGGAGGAGATTTGAGGCCGATGAACTCAAAAAAGAAACGAAGATGAAAGTAAATAATAAAGAGAATTTAATAGAGAAGAATCGCCCAAGACAAAAGAAGGCTCGCAGGGGGTGAAAAGGAGGGTATCGAAGACTGATCTACGGGATCCGTAAGGTTCAAGTAAATGGATCAGTTAATAGGAGAGTGAAATCTGGATGGGTGGTGTTGGGGATGGACAATCCGTACGGCAGACGGATGCATGGGAATCAGGAGATCAAATGCGTCAAAACCGTCGGAGACGACACACAGAAACAGGGCCCTTTCTCTCTTGTCTTCTCTTCTCGTTTCCCGGGGGCAAGCAACCAAACGTCCAGATGGGCTGCGAATCCCGGTGCCTGTCGGTGCCTGTCGTGCCCATCGTGCGCCTACCGCTTGCTCTCGCTCTCGCTGGCAGTACATGGCATGTACTTATTGTCTATGCTTATGCCGAGTTGCCGCTAAGCCCGCTGATGGAAGATTATTACATACTGCAGTACAATTGCTAGAAGCGCCCATGGACAGTCGCTGACCAATGCCAAGCCAGTACGCCGTACTCGCCTGCCGTGCACGGACTTTTACTCGTTAGAGGACAAAATGCGACATGCGACATGCGACACGCGACTTCGAGGCTTTAAGTTAGTCCCCTGCCCCCGCTCTCTCATGCATGCACTAGAACCCGGAGATATACCGGCGCGAACCGCAGCAGTGGTATCGGCATCATCAATTTTCTGGGGCTCCGTCCAGATAGCGTCAAGCTCTGTGAGAATGCGCTTGTGCTCATGCTATATACACGCGGTACCGTAGTAGCGAGAACTTGGTCTGGTTGCCGCATCTGTTGAACCTCATAGTAGCACACAGGTTATGCCACAATCGTCCAGATCATTTTGCACCTAGTCACAATGTCCAAGCAAGCAGCTGTAAGTCCGCACCCACGCAGCCACAGCCCAATCGTTCTGTTCCCCTACAAGAGCGTCGTGACACTGATGCGTCGCGCAATACAGAGCGCCCAGTTCCACCTTCTCAAGGCCCTCAACAGGTGGCCCAAGGACAATCTTCGGCCTACCGTCCAGCTCCAGGAAGTTCTGAAGAAGCGATTCGAGGGCAATGCCTCAAGTTTGTCCGAGGACGAGAAGCTGAGACAGGCCAATGCCTTATACTCGTTACTGGACAACCGATACAAGAAGAAGGCATGCCACCGCCCCCTCCCCCGCCAGTTGCGAGTTCACGCAAAGAGGCAACACGGCAACCCTGCTAACACGTTCGGCTTAGTACCCCATCATCGGAGAACACTCATTGCTCAAGCCTAAGAGCAACCCAACCTACTTCAGCGACCTCGTGCGAGAAATGGAAGACGCCCCGAGTCGATCCTGGGTGGATAGACAGCTGCTCTGGCTCAAGGGACTCATTCGTCTCAAGTGAAAACAGTCTTGCACGGAAAAGAGGCACATCTTTGGGTACCATAGGTCAAAGTGCCAAGTCGGACAGGTAGAACCGGCATGTACATCTCATGTATAAACGAATCAATATTATACCCTGAACGCCCTCGGGCCCCTTTTTTGTTATCCACCGCAATGGGGTATTTGTCTAGATTCTATGCTGGGCTCTTATCTTGTCTCCGATCACCTCCCGAGGCCTGGATTCCCTCCCCCGCTATATGATCGTGCCTTCGGGATCGTACTTGTTGAAGAGTTCCATGCTCTTCTCATACATGGCGAAAACAATGCCACCGCTCAGAACCAAGCGTCCCAGCCGCGGCAACGCTCCGCTCCAGAAGGTCAAGACACCCTCCTGCTTGAAGATCATGCTCGCGCACCGGAAACTGTTGCCGTAGACCTGCTTGGCCTCGATGCTCTGCATCCTCGTCTTGACGGTGTCCAAAGGCTGCGTGGCGTAGACAGTGATGATGCCCGCCACACCACCAATACCAAATGTCCCCAGCATCCCCAGCTTCTCGCCCGGCGCCGTGTAGCTCTCTGCCAGTTGCTTCAAGCTGGTGTATGAGCCGAATCGGACGGCCGAGTTGGCGCTCTGTCTAGCTGCTGTCGGTACAAGACCCTGGAAGAAACCGCGCAGACCGCGCTCTCTGTAGATGATGGGAATGGCGTCGAGGAAGCCCCTCATGCGCGGGTTCGGCTTCTTGCGGTCGTCGATCAGGGTCGTCTTGATGGACTCGGTCGGCGTCACCGCTATGAGCGACTCGGTCATACCGGCGAAGAATCCGGCAATGACGTTCTTGGGCCCAGAAATCTTGCCGTTCTCGTCGGCCAGCATGCGCTTGTACTGCTCGAAAGAGACGAAGCCTGCGAGGGCGCCGGGTTAGCCACGCGGCACCCGCCTGGTTGGATGCAAGGTGTAGAGATCAACGTACGAATAGCTGCCTTTGCCGAGTTGCCGATGATCAAGGTCGTGCAACCCGCGTACCACTGTCCGCCGAACGGGGGCCACGGGAGCTTCTTGCCCTCTCCGAGATGGCGGTTGAGTTGTGACCTCGTCTTGGCGACTGCGCATGGTTGTGAGATGAGATTAGATTCAGATTCATGCCGCGAGCTTTCAATCGGGTGCGCTCATCGTTGGACTTACACTCGGCAGGGTATGTTATAGCTGTTTGCGGCAGGCACATTAGTAACCGCTCCTACAGTCGTATGTATATACGCTACATCATCGTCAGGTCTTACAGATTTCTACCGCCCCTGCTAGAGCTCCGGCGAGGATGGAGCGTGTTGTGCTCGGCTTCTTGGACTTGGCCGGGACATCTTGTTGTACCGCTGCGGTCGCCATCTCGGCCGGAACAATTGCTTCTTATATCGGGAAGCTCTCAAGCTACGGCGCGGCTGGGTTGGATTGACTGATGGCGTCCGAGGATAGACTCGCCGTGTTCTATGCGTGTATGTAGTAGCTAGCTACTGTAGCTGCAGTATGACGGGTGCGTTCCGATGCCGCTATCCGCATTGGAAATCTCGAAAAGTTTCGGCGGGGCATTCTTGTCCGTAGCTCAGCCTGGGCTTATTTATGTAGGTACTATCCTTACACCATTAATTAATTACTTACATCTGTTCCGTGCAAACCCACGTGCATCCGAAATAACTCGGTGCGTTCCACTTCTGTAGTAAGCAAATTGCATGCTCGTAACGACATCCATGGTTCCCAGTATTCAACTTTGCATGGACAGTCGACTCGCCGTTGTTCGCTCTTCTGCCTCTGGTGTCTTGAGGAGCAGAGCACACAATCATCGCTCGACTTTGGCATTTGTCGATCAGCGGCCCTCGTAGTGGGTTCACTCGCTGCCGTAGAAACCAGTCATGATTAATTGCCTTCATACCAACGCCGAACTTGTCAACTAACTTACAGCATGCTCGTATTTCCAACCGCAATTTTCCCCCACCCCATTTCTCGCAAGTACACGAGCGCTCCGTAGGCTGTAGGATTTCAGTTCGCCGTTGCCTGCCCGTAACCTGACGAGCCACTTCTGCAAGTCGATTGCCAAGTGCTAAGGTTAGAGCTGTAGCTATTCCGGTTCTACTTATGTACGGTGCCTTATTGCAGCCCGAACACTCTCGCCTTTGGAAGAGCACCGCCTCAAATGCTGACGAACACTTCTTGCCATGCGGCATAGGCTCAAGTTGTTGACATCACTGCGCTAGGATAGCCACTTGATATCTTTATTGACGTGGCCTCGGCTGAGCCTCCACCCTGCTCATTTGACAGCGTCGCCGTCTTTTTCTTTGATTAAGCTCAAGACTCGGTCCCCGGGACTGCCCTGGCAGCGGACCCTGGCCCATCTGCTGCTTGTGCATGATTTAACAACACGCCAATAGCCAGGCTTATCACTCCAGGAGAAACGAGCTTACAAGTACACAGTTGTACGCCCACAACTTCGTTCATTACTGGGGATAACTGCTCCATTCTGATTCTATCAACGAAACTATTCCTCTTTGTTGCGGGAAAGGCGCCTTCTCCGCTCTTCAGGAACCGATCAGAGGCAGATGGCGGAACATGTAGAGGCTCGTTCGTTAGCCTCACTCAACGCCCTTGCCAGTAACCCACCTCAATATCCCACAAATCCAACCGAAAAGAAGCAAGAGCCTCTTACTTTATACATTTCCAGAGTACCAGGCACTCGAGGTATGTGTTGTGACATACGTATAAGAGCTCACACTAACTCTCTTTCAGACATCATCTTATCGACCTTCAAGCCACAGATTAAAAACGTCACAGCCGAAGATGTTGCTAGCTCTCTGTACTATGTGCATCTCAACACGCCAGAAGATGAGCTCTTAGTCTCGCCACAGGAAGGCCCATCGCGACCAAGCCTGGAAAGTGCGAGAAGTGGAAACCTTATCAACCGGAAGCCAGTGGCAGGCGTGCCCAATCCCTCTGGCTTGGGCAAATATCCTACCGCACAAGCTTCTGAACTGCCATCAGCAGTACCAAGTGGAAAGGAAAACCAACCATTTGTTCCGCATGCCCAACAGGAGCCCCCGGCATATGCGGGAAACGCTTCAGCGCCTGATCCATCTCGTCAGATGTCTATTCGCAGGAAACCTTTGGCCTTGCGAGATGTGACGTTTGATACACAAGCCAGACCTCCAACGCCCCCTCCACATCGAGAGCTGCCCAATCTTCCTCCAAGGCCGGATGAGATTGATAATTATCCTGAATATGGCACGACTCCATTAGCGCCACCTTTCCCATTGCGGCCAGAGACTCGTTCGCCGTCTCCATCAAAACGCAAGCCCTTTACTCCTTTTTCACTAACCTTGATTCGCCGCGATCGCACCTCTCACCAACAATGGAACGTAGGAAGGCTCGCATCATTTCAACTCGATCATCCCGAGGATTTCACTGACGAAAAGTACATTCCTTCGCCCTCGATCAGCATACACCTGGAGACTCCCGGGTACTCGAAATTTCGTGGTATGCCACTGCCAGGTGCAGCATTCGATATCAGGGACATTAGAGAGAGTCTTGACATAATACGCCCTGGTAGTGCTGCTCTGGCACCTGGCCTCTCGCACGCCTCACCTCAGCGTGCACGCGCAAAGCCCGCTGAGCCTGCGCCGTTGCATACCTCACCAATATCAGCTAATATTTTCGAGCGCGAGGTCAAGATGGTCTACGCTCCTTCTTGGTCTGCCAATATTCGCAAAGCCTTCCGGCGTCGCGAGTCACGAGAAGACGACTTGCCTGTCTCCCCTCGGCGGCCCGGCCATGACAGGCACCATAGCAACATCTCCGTCGGCTCCTTTGGGGGGGACTTTGATGGCAGCGAAGCACCAGTAATCACAATGCCTAGTCAAGGTCTCAAACCACAAGGCTATATGTTCATAAGTCCCTGGGACGGGCGGTGTGAATTTCGAACTGGCAATGGCGGCCGCAGCCTGCGATGTCGACATGTTCTGCCTTTGCACGCGAACCAGTGGAATCCACTCGCGGATGGAATTGACGATGGACCGGGCGGCTCCAAAGGGCATAGTAGAAATGGCTCCCGGAGTCCTAAAGTTAAAGGCAATGATATATCCGAGCTTCGGTTCAATCTACCCTCATCGGAGCTCTTCAACGCTAAGCACTCAGATCCTAGTAAGCCCCACGAGGCGCGCGAAAGGACTAGGGATAAGATCTTAAACTCCATAACCAATAAGACCGAAGACGACGTGGATGATGAGGAATACGAGAGTGTTGGCTTTGACATGAGTCTCGGCCGCGAACGAGCTGGAGGAGGTATAAGGGGTAAGAGGGCCAAGATGGGCAAGCTGATCATCTGGGATGAGGGGTTGAAGATGTTGGATTTAGTTGTTGCGGCTAATGTTGGGGTTTGGTGGAGTGTTTGGGAGCAGAAGGCTGAATGAGAAGTACCGATTTAGGTGCTTAGGTGAGATTTCGTCAAAAGCTTCATTGGGAATCCCCGAAACCACAACTGCACGGTCATAGTAGTCGCTTTCCAAATGTGATGGTAAGATCCAAGTCCCTTTTCTTCTTCTTCTTCTTCTTCTTCTTCTTCTTCTTCTTCTTCTTCTTCTTCTTCGTCTTATTTCTTTTGCTTTCCTCTTTTTTTCTCCTCGAGAAGCTACCCAGCGCCACGACTCCCAGTTCATGTGGTCTTGGAGTAAATGACACCGTCCAAATGACATGACACGCCTGAGTGGGAAGCCCTCAAGTTGGCGGTGTAGTTTTGACATCTAACACTAACTGCTGACATTGGTGATAAGCTACAGCCTTGAAACTGTTACACCATGTCGAGGTATGCTTGGATAAATATACCAAGCGCAAAATGGTGACATGATTGAAGACATCAAGCTGAGAATATGTTATTGTTCTGCAAATGTTCCCTTACGCGGGCGTTAGGGCCTTATCATATTCAAATAATCATCAGCTGATCATCAGCTGAGCTTAATGAAATAGGATTGTATTTTTTTTGGCTATTGGCATGGATAAGCTCAGCCACTAAGTGAACTTCTATATCTGTGATAATTAGTCTTCCCACAATGCATTACTGCGATTGGTCGCTTATATCATGTAAGCTGGGTTGCTGAATGCAGACTCATCATTCGCTCGGGCTGACTTAGCAGGTATAATCACGAGCCCATTGGCGAGGCTCACGAATCAGTAAGACTATGCATCATCAAGTGGCCTAAGATCTGCAGTATGAAGAGGCGTCTCCCTATCCTCCTAGTTGACCGTAGAACAAAGTCACCAACTGACCATCTTAGGCTTTCTAACATGTCTTCTGACCGATGTTTTCGATCCTAGTACAAGATGCGCGGGGTGGTCTGGGAAGGCAAGCCCTTCACGATGACCGTCAAGGACGTACCAAAGTCCATGATCAAGCGCCTAGAAGGCGCGATCTTCCGCATCATCACCTCTGCTCTTTCCGGCACAGACCTTGATGTATATCATGGTGTTCTCGGAAGCTCCATCACATTTTTGACAATGGGACAAGAGGCCATCGGCGTGGTTGTGGTGGAAGTAGGCAAGGCCGTCGATTCGCTTTTGGTTGGCAACCGTGTATCACCCCCGTGGACCCTCGATGACGGCCATCTGGAGACAGATGGGAGTTTGGTGGCGAACGTGAAGGCTGTAGGCCTGGGAGAGGATCTAGGGTTGATTCAGGGGTGTCAAGGTATTGCCGCCAGCTCACTCTTGGCCGGCGTTGCCCGTGAATTGCGATCAAGCTGACTATGCTCCTTTGAACAATTAAGTACATACAAATTCCACTCGCGAAAAAAGGCCCTGGTAAAGATTCCTAATAAGCCTTCAGGTAGTTTAGAGTACGTGTTCATGTCTGAAATCTGGGTCATCGCATGGGGCAAGGTTTTCTTTTTCTTTTTTTTTTTTTTTTTCAGGATTCCAGCCTGGAAACTCCATCGCTGTCTTCGGGGCTGGCAAATACTTTTTTCGTCCCGAAGATCTGTTCAGCTCTGTTTGCCAACAGAAATCTAGGCCCTGACGGTCTCTTCTGCGCTTATACCACCGTTCTGTGCGACGTAAGTAAGGTCTTCTCTATCGACCACGTGCGAGTCAGCCTCAACAAGGCGGCCTCTACCGGCGTAACCCCCATGAACTTCACCAAAGGTATCCCATCTGGTCAGATCACCAAGGCCCTCCCCAGAAGGTGTCGCGCAGTCCTGCGACTGCTGCGGCTACGAGTGCCTCAACAAAAGTTTCAAACCACTAGAGAACTATGTCATGATGGAAGCCACCCGACATCACAGAGGTCTCAGGCGGCATCGGCGTCGTCGGGGTTACGCCGCAATGCCCAGATCATTCGGGCGTACCGAGGGGTAGTATCATGGCTGGGGACATCAAAAAGCTCCCGTCATACTAAACCAAGGTCTTTTTCCTTTTCTTTTCGCGGGCGGTACAACTAAGCTCCCGTTATAATGCTCCCGCAGCAATCCCGGATACTAGACCATCTGCGATAACTATAAGGTCGGCCCGAGTTAACACAATTCTTATTAAGAGTCTTTTAAAACATGGTGGGATCGGAGTCATATAGTCGTTGCGTAACACCATCTACAGTAAGTGATCGAGGCAGTGATTTTGGTGTATCATACCGTGAATAGCACTGTTAAGCGGGTAGTAATCAGGGTAAAATGCTTCTCTGAGGTGATCTAAACAGTGGAGTGCTTGTGTGACCTTGAGCCTGGTCTCATTTAGACGGCCGCAGGGTTAGAATATCAGGTATCTAGGTATGCTATATTATAAGGGGAAGAGAGTCTATCGTCTGGCTTACTCGGTGGCATATCCTCCTGCCCCTGGGGCATAAAACTGCTCGTATCCAGGCCCCCATGTGTCCATTGCCTGTTTTTCGGGGAGAAGAAAGAAGCGGCCTGAAAGTCCAAACAGTCATCAGCATAGGTGAGTTTTATGATTTAGGTGCTTCACTCAACTTGGTGTAGACGGTCCCGTGCATTATCAATTTCTTCGCTCGGGTCATCGACGTATTATGCCCGCGGCTTCCCATCGGCACGGTCCGGCAAGCATTCAGTACCATCTTCCAGGAAGCATGGGTTTCACTGAAACAGGCACTCCTCAATCCTGACTAAGTGGTCTGCCGCCACGAATTAGTTCTTGAAGATGCAAACGAGCTGTGGCACCTTACAATATACAACTACGAGCCCAGCCAAGCAGATATCAGCGTAAACAGCGCAGTGATCCTAATCCAGAACCTGACCGCCCAGCGCGCCCGGGTAGCCTGCCGTTTCAAGAATAGCTTAGCTTCGGTGGCAACGGCTGGGATGCAGACCCGACTCAGCCTGCGGAACAGCTTCGTATTTTTGAGGCGTCACCGCTTTCGACTAGGAGCAAAGCAAGTAGGTTGATCACGGAAAATTGGACGCCGGAAAAGGAGCACAAGTTCGCGGCACTTTTTGATGAGATAGGGTCGAGGTTAAGCGACACAGTTGCCCCACCTGGCCCTCCTACGTGGTTATATGGCCAGAGGGCCTCCTTTTTGACTACCTATAGGCCATAAGTCCGTGTTAACTGACATAACCCTGTCAGTTCCCCGCTCTCCGCTACGCCGCGTGCGACATACCATCGTTGATATGCGGTTTACGGCACTCATCTTTCCTTCACTCAAATCAGCGTTTTCTGTGGTTTTTGTATCCTCTTTTCACATTGTTAGAAGACGCGTCGAAATGGCCGATGAAATGAGCACTCTTCTGACACCTGAACTGTTTGAGACGCTGGTCGTTGCCAAGCTCCCTTTCTCCATGACAGAGCCGCTTGACTTTGAAGACGTTGGCCAGAAGCAGTTTAAAGGCAAAACACCGATCCCAAGCAATGTGGTTGAGAGCGTCTGGCCAGTTCTCGAAGCTCTCAGTAAGCTCGGGCTGGAATCTATACCCAATCTATTGCAATTCCTCCCGCCCATCGCCGATGACGGTTTTCCACGCCAGGCGCTAGGATTGCAGCTACTGCTCGACCAGATGACCAGGTCCCTACTAAGAGACATCGACGGTCGTTGGAGAAGCGCATATTTCGATGCGATTAGTCTAAAATATGCGTATAACTTGGACGCGCTTCCCGATGAGCAGAAGCCGTGGTCATGGAGTCGCTGGAAGACATTTGCTACGCTCGACTTCTGGGTCCTTGCCCGAACTTGGTATATTTGCCCGTTTGTCCACTCGGACGAGGCCGCAGACCACGAACGCGCGCTGATATTCACCGAAGAGACTCGCAATGTGGTCGAAAAAGAGACTGGGACTACTGACCCCTACCGTGCAAAGCGAGATGCCATTATGTCTGACATTTATGGTGTATCCTTGATGCTCAATGAAGGACCACCTGGAACTGGGGCAACAGTCCAGATGTACGCATATTGGATGTGCAAGCTCATGGACATCCATACACCCATCTTAAACAAGTTTGGGCGTTATCCCTATAGAAACGCCTACTTCGGGAGACAAGACACGCCAGAGGAGGAGGCCTGGGCTAAGAAGCGGGCCGGAAATCCCATGCCGTCCGAGAAACTCAAGAGTCGTCTAAAACAGGACATAGATGCCGGAATTTGGACGCCTCTAGGCGCTGGAAGAATTGCCTGAGGCATTAGAGACAAGATTGTGATGAATAAGATGAGCCCCCGGTGCCCAAAAGTTTTTCTTCTTTTGCATATCCGCCCAAACGTGCCTTCAATGAGGAAAAAGGGGGAAGGGATGGTTGTCGATGTTGAGCGAGTCGGTTGGAAAGGAGCGTAAGTGAGATAAGACTAGATCAGAGGATCAAAAGCGGCTTGGATCCTTCAACCATCTACCATATAATGAGTATGGTGCATGAATTCTTTCCAAAGTGCGAATGAAGGAGACCCATTTTTCGCATATCCAGGTCGAGGACAGTAAAATAGTTTGATGTGCGTTGAGAAAATGCTTTCGGAGGCTACATGCCCTCTCAAACGTACGATGCGACTTACGGTTGAGGTAACCACATTTTTATCACCCCTCTATATCTTAACAGCCCTGTTCACACCCATCCCACGGTATTAATTTGTTTGTTGACTCATAAGCGGTACATGAGACATGGCTAGATATCCCATCTTTTGACGTGATCTAATCGAGATCACATGAAGGATGGAACTGAGTGGAATAAAGCTGGAACTCTTTTTGGTAGCTCTCGTTGTTGTTTTTCTGGGTGCTAGATTTTGAAATTTGACAATTGTGAAGCGGCTAGCGTCGAATGAAAGACCAGTGTCCGAGATATGTTCCAACAACACGTTTAATGGTACCAAATCTGTACTCCATACACTGTTGACTCCTCGATAGGCACCGTGAAATACACTGTTTCGATTCCATAATCGTTCGAATTCATGGTCGCATATGAGCTTACTAAGCCAAGGCCATGGCCGATTTCCGATATCCGATATCCGACAATCCTGCACACCTGTTCACTTGCTCTAGTCACTTTATTGATGAGTCTTTTGGCGACGCATGTTGGACATTGGTTGATGAGGAGATGTGTAATTCCTGGAAAAAGCTGTAAAGCATATATCATACAAGTGAGAATCAAATTGAGTAGTCTCTTATGAAAGGTCTCCATGGAGATATCGATAGCATGATGAGACATGAGTTGGCGTTAGAATTAGAATACTGCCTCATGTATTTCCTCAAAGCCCAATACTGGGCCTTTTGTTGTGGAACTGCAGGAGATTTTGAGGGACACATCACGACTAGAATTTATCATCAATCCTGTCGGTACATAAAATACAACCCTACAACTTTTTGGCATGATAATCTCTGAGTAGTTTTACGTTTGTTCAGAATAGGTGATTAGTATAATTGGCAATTTGGATAAATTCTACAGATTTCAATACTTTCACCATATAGGACTGGCCTTTTGAATACCTATGTATTTATAAGTACCGCCGGAGGGACTTTGCCTTTCTACGATATCTAATTGGATAATAAACCCCTGGAGGCGCGGTCCCATCACAAAGGCCTGGTTTATGTTTTGAGAAGATATGTTTAGTAGATCAATTATTACACTAGCTTTTCATCCCGTGTACTAGCAGCAGACGCAGCCTCCCTGTCAGCAGCTAACATGCTCTGTATAGCTGGTCGATTTGTGCAGCGATCCCACCAAGCACTTACAGCTTTGCGACTGATGATGATATGCCCGTACCCGCACGCGAAAAGCCTTTGGATTAGCGGAATGTAGTAAATATCCGCGAGAGTGAAGTCATTTCCTCCCATGTAGTCTTTACAGTGTAAGAGACGTTCTGCAACGTCGAAAAACATCTCGACCGACCGCAGTGCATCTGAGACCACGGCGTCATCGGGAGGTAGCCCCATGAATTTCTTTGCGAATTTCTCGAATGCGATTTTACCTGCAGACTCTGCGAAGTAGAGCATTTCTACAGTCTGCGCCTGGTCGAATAGTGCCGTAGCTTCGACATCGGAGTCGGGGGGTAGAAGTGGGAAGGAGTACTTCTTGGCGAGGTATTTGCAGATTGCGCGACTCTCGTAGAGGGTGAATCCCTCGGGGAAAGTCACTACAGGTACTTTACCCCAAGGGTGACGTTCCATATTTTCCCTGGACTAGGCGTAGCGGTGTCAGCTCCCACGAGAATCGGACGCTGCAAGCAGGGCATCGTCTGCGAGAAAAATGAGCCACTCACCTTTTGGTCTCCTTTTTGAAGGTTGAGGAGCACGAGTTCGTAATCCGTGAAGCCACCTTCTGCAAGAGTCAGGCGGACACGATCGGTGTTGGTCGAACCGCGAGAGCCATACAGCGTAAAAGCTGGCATTTTCGAGCTGTGCAGCAGTACCGACACGAATCTAGGGCTGTTTGCGAGCCTGGACATTGTGCAAATGCTCATTTCGAGAGAGATCGGGCCAGCCACCCAGTATATATAAACCTATCGAGCCAATTGGGGCTCGGGACGCTAGGGAGGCAGCTATACCTCATCGCGTGCTAGTAGAAGGCCGAAGCCCTTCCAACAGCACGTACAATTGGTGGGTTCGCTTTTGCTGCCCAATCGAGCTAGCGCCAGTGTCTGCTCCTCGGGCGTAATAACAACACCACACTTGTCTGACACGAGATTTGCTGGATCTGGTCAGTTCGGGCTCGTTTGACACGGAATAACCCCGACTCGCCTTCCCCATGGTCCCGGTGATAGAAAAATCTGCATTATTTGATTCGGCTGCTCGGACCTCTTGCTTGCTACGACTCTTCCTCTCGTCCGTGAAATGTTGCGCAATAACGGGGAATGTCCCACCTCCTGCCAGACAATGGCCAGAAGCGTTGTCGCCCGCAAACGGAACATCCAAGGTAGAACCAAGGTGAAGACCGGTTGTGCAACCTGCAGGTTAGTTCTAACGCATATATTCCATCTCCAATCTGTACCCGTAAGATCGTGAAATCGGACGAGAGGTCAGCTCTGCAAGAATTGTGCTCAATTAGCAATAGAATTAGGAAGGTCAAATGCGACGAGATTAAACCGGTTTGCAAAAAATGTGTCAGCACGGGTCGTACTTGCGACGGCTACGCGTCCCCATTCAGAACTTTTACCATACAAAGCATCTACAACGCTCATGCTGGCGGCAATAAGTCACACATTGATCTACAACCCATCGGGCCCACCTTAACTAAGATCGGCCCCCGGGACTGCGTGTCGTATAGGCGGATCAATCAAGCTGGCTTGGAGGACTTGCCTGGCTTCTTCGTCACAGCCCAGCTTCACGTCGAACATGGTTTTGGTCGAGAAGCAACGACTGAGAAGTTCGATGTCATGTCTCTCAGAGCTCTTCGGGAAGATCTGGAGACGTCCAGAGACGGTTCAGCATCTGTCGTGCAGCAGACCCCGAACTATAACTATGGACTCCAACAATACTGTACGGCTTTGGGGGGTCTTGCGTCTAACCTCTCATCCCCGGGCGCCAACGGATTGAAGTCAACATTACTTTGCTGTCAGATCTTCATCAGTATTGAGCAAGTGCGAGGGAATTACTCTGCCATGGCCCAGCATATCATTCGAGGACTCAGGATCATGCAAGAGTACCGGGCAAGGCCAGATTTTGTTGCCGAAGATAAACTGGCGCCAGCAAACCATGAAACTCTACCCTTCCTGGATGTTTTCATCATCAAGCTGTTTGCTGCACCATGTAAGTTCGCGGATCCTCCAGCAACAGCCGACATGGGCGGTACGACTTTGTCCGGGGTTTTGATCTCGCATCATCAACCGCCTGCGGAATCTCGCCATTTTCACACAATTGCTCCCAACATGCGGACAGAGCTTACAAGGATCGCTAAATCAACGCTTGAATTCCTCGGAAAAGTGTCGCGAGTCGAATCAGTAGGAAACGCTCTTCGACTACTATCCGACAAAGCCGCTCTGCTGGACTCTTTAAAATCGTGGCTCATTGATCTCGAGCGCGTCCAGACAGAGATAAAATCTTCTCGCCTCGAGCCTCTTTCAGTGTCTTTCATGCGCTTCTTCCATTTGATACTAAAAATCGTTCTCTTGGGTGCTCTAGACTCCTCACCAGATCTTTATGCCGAGCTGCAGACCGAGAACGATCGATTACAGGGCGTAGCTAACAGCCTGGGTGAAAGAGTCATGGCTTATAGAATGTGCAGTGGGACTAGTAGTGATCGAGGAGAACGATCTAATATGCGCTGATATTCAGGGCAAAGAGGCGTGATCTTTCTTAGCCACGCAGTTGATTTGCAAATTCGACGGAGAGCTACCTCCCTTGAAAGTTTAAGGTGCAGGGACGTTTCTAGCACCCGTACCTTAACCAAGGTATATTACAAGGCGCGCAATAATGTAGAAAATCTTTTTGTTTGTAATAAAATATAGATTAGAAATAAAACACTTTTGAAAAGTGCTTTATATTAGTGTGTATAAGTTATTAATTCAACCGTTTATAATTAATGCAATTTATGCACTTTATAAATAGCTAGTCGAGCGAGAGAAGGCTGGATGCACTATCGAACGTGACTAAGCACAATTCGAGGTGAAAAGAGAAGAACAATAAGTCGATCGCCTTATATGCATAAGATTATAAGCGCATTCCAATTGCAGTATACAGACCGAACAAGCCAATCAGCAGCTGAACAGACCAATCAGCGGCCGATTTGTATCTGAACCGACGCCCCTCATCGATCACGGTGGTCAACTTTATAAATAAATCCGCGACCCCCGTCGCCCTTCGGTAAACGAAGCCTTTTCGTCTCACCATAAGCGCAAGCAGACAAGTACTCAACAGCACGTCTTATTGTCAAAAGTTATGCATTTTCTCCTCCTTGGCGCCACTGGGCGAACTGGCCAGCACGTCGTATCTGAAATACTCTCTCAGGGTCATACAGCGGTAGCCCTTGTGCGTACTTCTAGCAGTCTCACCCCTCGTCCTGGGCTCACTGTTGTCACTGGCTCGCCACAATCGAAATCCGACATACGCAGCGCTCTCTCCGCGGCAACCCCTCTATCACCCTCCGCAGCGATCATCACATTGAACACAGTCCGCGAGTCCGATAGCCCATGGGCGGCGCAGGTCTCACCTCCTCGCTTCCTGGCCGACTCGTGCGCCAAAGTTTGCGAGGTTCTGGAGCATGCCAATATTTATCGCGTGGTAGTGCTGTCCACAGCTGGTGTCGGGGATTCATGGGGTAACCTGCCGTGGTTGAGCAAGGCATTCATGGGTTGGACCAATATCCGGTATGCGCTCGAGGATCATGGCCTCGTAGATAAGGAGATTCGGCTGACGAAGATGGATTGGACTCTCGTGAGGGCTGTAAGGCTGCAATTCGACGAACAGAAGCAGAAGCCGACCCACACGAAGACAGACGTGAAAACGATGGGTAGTGATGGCGTGGGAATGCGCATGACCGACGGTGTGAGTGTTATCAGTGTGGCAAGATTCCTGGTCAAGGTTGCGGTCGAAGAACTTTTCGTCCAAAGGGCAGTGGTTGTGGCCAATTAACGCAGCTGGGCAATTTCCTGACTGCATAATATTAATAATTATTTATATTTAACGTTTAAAGAATTCTATTCCAATTAAAAAGTAATACGGCCCTTGCGGCGTACTGGGGATATTGCCTAAGGAGGCCCGAATGGCAGGACGCCCGCATGGGAAATTACACACATCCATATTCCTTTATCCCTTAGACCTAGGGTTCAAGATCTACGCGGTAAATTTAAGACTCGGGATGTCGTAGGGTGCTTCTAGACCGAAGGTAACTTCGCGAGCAGCCTCCAGCAACCCTACACCAAGCATAGCCGGGGGTTCTCTGTCAATAAGTAGCGAAGTAGCCTGCCTGAGCTTTGTCAATTCCCCTACTCGATGTGATTAAGCTAAACCTGATAAGTCATTCCGTTTTTCATGGCCAGACAAAGTATAGCATAAAGAGTGTATGACTAAGACTTACGTGTTGTAAGGGATGCTCTACGTTGTCATCAGTCCGTTTGTCAGTGATACTTAGATTTCTGGTGATTAAAGGAAATACCTCTTTTTGGTGAACCACCGTTGGAACCAAGGTGGAATTTTGAATTTTCGAGTTCCTTCATACGACCTGAAATAATTGATATTCGAGTTCCTAGTTTAGCCGAAGCTCGCAGAAGTTCTCTGGTATCTAGAGTCACAAACCCAACTTGGTTGATTCTGGGCTCCCTATCAAACAAATACAACTGCTGGCGGCTTTCGTCGACCTCAATATCGAATAATCCAAACATAGAATTGGTTGGAGGGAAGCCATCTTCTCGCATCCCTAGCAGTCGTTGTAAATACTTTAGGCCGCCCTCTTTTTATTTTTTATTTTATTATTTTTACGCGCGGCATTCCACTGTGTCGGAACACGGCTAACCGGCCATATTGCAAAAAGCACCTTAGATTCGAGCTTAGATAGATGTCAGTAGGCCACCGTGAACCGAATGAAAGATGAGGGCTTTTGCTGCATGACAACGCCAAAAACGAGTACTAGTCGCGATGTACCAATTTAACAACTCATGACCCCCATAACACTGTACACAGCCACTTCAGCAACTGACGCATTTAGCAGCAACACGCAAAGCGTCCATAAGAGAAGATTGAGGTAAGAGAACAGGTCATTTTGACCAAGCGAGTTGAACGTCTCGTTAGTGAGTCCGACATGATGTTGGTTGACCGCCGCGATTTCAACGAATCATGCGACTGGACACACTGAAGATTGCGTTCACCACCCCGTGAAGTGCTGTGGCTTTATTGTGGCAAGTCGACTCTGCATATCGAGACGCGTCCGCTAAAATCCAAGTATAACTAGATTGCCACTCCGACCGTGACCTGGGGGGTGTATAAGACAGGACACAGCAGCTAGCTGCAAGGATCCTAGTTTTGGCCCGTGCGATGATCATTTAGTGGTTTTCAAGGTATTTCATACTGGGAGGCAATCACTTGAGCAAGATTACGAGGTTGCTGGATTCGATATTTGCAGTAGTGGATAGCGTGCTTCTTGTTTGGAAGGATATTGTGATGTTTGAGCAGTTCACCAATTCCAAATTTGTTATGACTTACGCCAAATGAATCCGTGAGCTCATCATGTCGATTTGGCAAGATTTGTCCTGAATTGGATGTCTCTTCTGGCCTGACACCCCTTGGAAGGGGTTCTTCAAAATTTCCTTAAAAGAATCTTGCTGAGGCTACTCACAGCTAGTGTTTCATTGTTGATGCCATTATTCTGCGCTTAACCATTAATGAGAGAGGTAGAAACTGATACTTGCAGTTGCAATGTCAGTATACTTGACTTGTCAAAAGCTGGAACGGACTCAAGACTTCAGAAGTATACGGACGTGATCACCACTGATTCGAACTTCACTACTGCGACGTCCAGCAACAATCCACTCAAGCACCGCGAATCGCCGTGATCCAGTCCGATAAAAACCCCAATGGCACCTCAAAGAACTCTTTAGAAGCTCGCCGAATCACGGTTCACAAGCAAAACCAAAAGGCTGCCAAGGTTCGCAAGGTCAAAATTTATATAGCCGATCAAAAGCGCGGTATCATGGTGGTTTATTATTGACAAGCGGTCCGCGTGCTGCTTTTAATGGCTTAAAACAAAGGAAGCTAGATCGTAAGATAAGATACGCTATAAAGAGAAAAATAGAAGCTAAAGGCGAGGCCTATATAAAGGGTTAAATTAGGAACGAACGCGGACTTCACAGCTTACATATTCGACAAAACGCCCTTGAAGCCGAAGTGACTTCTATGAGAGCTGCCCGTGACAATACGCCAGACCTCATAGATTACATCCAAAATATGAAAGACGGCGAATAACTTTGCAAAGGCTGTGGCACATATGAGGATGTGACATGATCATATAACTGCCGAGAGTTCTTGGCCATGGGCTGGATGGAAGGGCCCAGTTGAGTATCGTTTATTCAGAGAAGTTGATGGCAAATTACACATTATTGTACTCATGTTTCACTAGTATCGCGTTGGGATTCAGCCTACGGTTATTACCGATTAACATATTGATGCGAAGACTGGTTCCGACGGTGAACGAGGAACTTTAGTAGACACATATGTTTCGAAGGCAGTGCACTGCACGGCGCCGTAGTGATTAAAGAATCATTTTGTGCATTGATCACTAGTTATCATACGGGCAAATACAGGCGGCAGTGCCAGCTGAAAATCACGACGAGAAGGGTAATAGCAAAGGCATTTTGGGTGTCGTGTTGATAGTTAGCTGGCAGTCAAACTTGCATGTGCACTCATTTCCACTTTGGATGAACGTTGATATAAAGAAGATTATGAACAGTGTGAGGCTGGCAGGAAGCATGTTCTCTTTGAAATCTCTTCTTTAGACAATACCGGTTAATTAGAAATGATTTATTTTTTCGTTACGCTTAAGATGATCTACACCTTGTGATACGAGGCGTTCGAAAATACGTAGCTCGCTTGTGGCGTGCGTTGGGATGCTAGGCTAAGTACAACTCATAGCACAAGGATTTAAGAGAATGATAGAGTTGAGGGGAAAAGAATTGAGACTACGTCTAGACTCTAGATTTCGTTCATCAACGACTGCGCTTTTCCCCGCCGACGTGACCGCCACCACGGTATGAAGTAACCCAACCCAAGGAAATCCATGGTACAACCATGGACCCGACTAGCAAGACAGTTTCATTGACAGTGAACCAGGCTACAACCATGACAAGACATGACGTCCAGAAATTTAGTCTCTGCTTGGTCATCCACCTACGGTATATTTTCCAGAGTGCGGCGAGAATGAGAGCACAATTACAGGCATAATATAGGGGAGTAGACATTGTTCAACCACTATTACTAATCATAACAAAAGCTGCACCCCGAGAAAGGTTAAAAGAATCACTAATATTTTACCGATTTCGTAGTCTATATGACTGTTGCGCGCACCCTGGCGCCAATCATAAGCGAAATGGGCAGAGTGAGAAGCAGACAGCCGGCTATAAGTCTGAAGGTGAGCCAAGTAATACCTAGGTTTCCGGAACTACAATTAACGGATACGAGAGCTTGAGTTGAGTTTTGCAAGTCTATTGCAAGTGCTGCTAGTGTCTGATTGGTCCATTTCAAGAAGTCTTGGGGTCCGTCTAACAGGTTAGTATCTATGTTCGTACCGAGAAATCCTGGTTGCAAATGAGAGAAGCAAAAACATGGCTGGTAGGATTGAAAGCCGAAATAGCGTCATATCTTGCAAAAGCTGAAAGTCTTGGCGAAGTTTCGAGCGATTTCGGTCTTACATTTAAGCTGCTCAAGTGTTCATCTTGGAATATATAGATCGCGTCAGATATTTTCAAATCGGGCTCATAAGGGAATATCACCATCGCGTAACGTTTTATCTCGTGGTTGGCGTTTATCGGTTCAGGATTGCATGGCACCTACAGCCCCTTGATCCTTCCGCATTCCACCTTGCGCAGTTAAGAGACACGAAACGTATGGATTTAATATTTAACGGGGCACGATGTTTCACAGGTTGGCAAACACCAAATGAATTTATGAAATAGCAAAAGCCACGTCATGCTCGACCCAGTATGCCCCTGACGCCTAGCCATACTTGTTAACGCTGCCTTATCCCCGCCAGCAGGGTTCGCTCGGCAGACAACAGACAAGTAGGCTTTCAATGCCGAGGCCAGGTAGTGCTTCGGTTGCCGGTACTGGACACCTTTTGCTGAATAGCCTCGTTTCCAATAGAGTCTCGTCTGTAGTCTGCTATAAAGACTCCCTTTGCTTCCGCACGAACCATAATTTCTTTGTTACCATATGGGTGGTACGACATTCCAATCTGTGTTCTATGGCTGTCTGTAATGATCCGGCCGTATGCCGCGTCACCTTTCCCATCTCTGCCCTTTCGATTCTGTCCAGCATAATCAAAGCTGCGATCAGGGTAGGCAGCCAGCTTCGGCAATCCCTCTACCCTCACGACGGCGACTTGACTTGTTTCGTGGTGAGTGCGGGGATCAAGAAGGATGAGCTCATGGGCATAATGTCCTTCATCGTCCTTGTGAAGGTGTGGTCGTCTACCTCGTGGTTTCAGATCAGCTTTGGGCGTTGGTGCACTCTGAAGCAAGCGGTCGCAATCTTCCACAGCCACCCTCGAAGTCGCGTTGCCAGAGAACTCAGTGCGGTTTACGGCATAATACTTTTAAAGGATAAGGTTAGTGCTACCTTAATAGAGGCTTATAGTCGGGAGTTACTTACCCGCTGATCTGTGATGATTGAAGTACCTCTAGGCATCTCGACGGTTCCAACAAGAACTTGATTCAAGAATTTATCCAACACACTTCAGTAATACTAGGCACTGCATGGCAGGTGGTATGTTAGGAAGTGATAATTTATGTTCAAACTGAGACTGGATGTCAGTCGAGTTCTATTCTAGTCTTGGGAGAACACAGGGAAGTTATATTCCGGTGTCAGAACACTTCAAAGGCTCATATACAACCAGAGGACACCCGATATACCCGATGAACCTATTTGTGGTAACTTGCCGCCATAATTTCGATTGTTGGTGCTTTACAATGTCGAGATTCCGACTTGAGATAGGTCGCATACGTGGGCGGGCCCAAAACAACATATTCAAGCACTATTTTTCTAGGCGTGAGCCAGGTATGATACCGGGGATCCAAAGTTGGCACCGCTCTACTATTGGCCGAACCATTACCAGCACGCCGGTACGTTCATATGAATGGCGCTTATGATTGTGGTTTCGTGGGCGGGGAAATGAATAATTGCTCCGAGTAGTCTAACTTTAGTGGAACATGTTTTCATAGACGCTCTATCAAGCGCTCAAATTGAATGGATTGGCTGTCTAGAGTGCAACTGTTACTCATCCTGATATCCTTCGAGACCAGCGCAAGCGTTTGTAGAAGCGTAAGCATGTCTGACCTTCGGTCTCTCTGTTGGTTTCACATCGATTGCGCCACACTAGGTAAAGTTCTGGGCGAATAGCAAGGCTCCAATATCAGGGCTTAGCGCTAGCCAGTAACTACCATTATAAAACTTGCAGGCCTCCCAGAAAGCATAGGCTGTTACATACATAAACTTCACTTTGCCAAACCACTTTTTAACGCCAGTGTTGACTGAGATTTAGCATCACTTCGTCGATTTCAATATCCTATCAATTGTTTACATTGAAATGGAGCTTATCCGCTTCTTTTTCGAAGGTGTTGATGACGTGTCGCGCGAACAAGTGGTCAAAGAGGCCATGACGCAGGACCCCCTGTTTGAAGTGAAAGTCACGAAGCTCTTCCGCCAGTATCTTCGAGTAGAAGATCCCCTTAGCCTGGAGAGAACAGCTTATTCGATCGTTCAACTATTACCGGAGCGAAAATCTACGAGCCATTCATCCGCAGAACTGGCCACGTTTTGGGATCTGTGTGTTAGGGTAGCGGAACAGATTCCCCATGACCACCCATTCCAGCTCAAGCTAGCACGTCTCCTTTACTACCTACAATACTCAAACAAGACTGCAGCATCCACACAACTGGTAAGACAATTAATTACAGCACTGATTATTCTGGATAAAGCACTAATTTCCTCCATAAGGGTGACAACGAGAAAAACAATTTTGCGATTGTTTTACATCCTTTTCGAGAGACAATTCGTGACAGCCTCGACCGTATGCTAACAGGGACTCCTAATCTGAGCTCACCAGTGCTAATATTGTTGTCTAGCTGCCTTCTCGCCAGGAGACCGTGCTGAGACGTCCAATGCAGAACATACAAGCCGATGGATAAATGTCAACGCTTTCTATGCTAACATGCATGCCCAAGGATGGCGCTTATCAGCGTCTTGCACTCGGGCTATGAAGTATGCATTCATATCTACACCTAAAACCGACTACCAAGCTCTGGAATGTCATGTAGTTGCTGCAGCTCAGTGGATGTTATATGCTGGGCAATCAATTTTCCAGTCCAGCTTATATCCACCAGAGGAAACAGTTCTTGGAGAAGAAGCTCAACACTGGTCACTTGATACATGGACACAGTGGAAAGTTGGTTTCAGTAACGCAGCGAACGAAACGAATCTTATGGATGGAACAAGAGACATAGCCAAGAGAGCGGTTACTTTGATGGATGTGTTAGAATCAGCCTGGCAAAAGGCTTGAGAGGCAGGACGAATTCGAGTTTAGAGCATGTAACCTAATGATGTCATATTTTGAACCGATACAGTTAGTTAGAAGCCTTACAAGCAATAAGATCCTATTAAAACCGCTTGCATTTAAGCTACCATCAGTCGAATCTGTCCTACTTAATGAGATTCCGGCCAGATGCTTGATTGCAAGTACAATAAACCCGTCATAACCACTCACTGGGCCTAGGCCTAATACAGAAAATTACCTTCCCGTCTTACGTCGTGGCGAGCCAGAAAGTCCGTATCAGCTCGATGAACTCGATGAATCGCCGCTTTTACCCTATACTTTAACTTCATCGTCCCATCGTTATCTATAAATACATTCATCTTTAACAGGTGTTTTAGCATTATCTCATTATGATATATTAGCCTATATTCTTCCTTTACACAACGGATTTATCATATAAATATAAAGTCTTTCCTTTTAAAATATATCAAATCTTTTTATATATCCTTTTAAAATAAACGTGCTGCAATGACTCGGCGAAGGAGCGCGTTGCGCAGGCTCTCTTGGAGAGCAATAGCATTGGCGTTGGCGCCCGGAATTCGGATCCTCGACGAAGGGACGGCACGATTCCAGCGATGTCGCTACTGAAGTTGAGAGCTGGGCCGACATTGTTGTTGAAGAAGTGGACCAGTCGATCATAGCTGCCAACGACCGCGTCTGGCAAACATGACGCCAGAGTGGAGGGGTGAACCCACCCACCGGGCACAGATGGCCGCATAAGGATGGGTTGGGTGAAATTTATGCCGCAGGTGGAGGAGCACGTTTGCAGCGTATATGGAACCACCGTTGTAGCAGACAACGGAGATGTATTTGATGGAGAGGTGGTGCAATAGAGCCTCTCTGATTTCGAGCTAGACGCAGATCCTACCAGACGGTCCAACGTCGGTGGTCTCGCCAAAACCGGGACGGTCCGGGCTAATGATGCGCACGCCGTACTTCTTGGCATGTGTATCCTACAGTGGACTACGAGCAGGTAACGGCTCCGACATTACTTAACAAGATCAACCGGGCGAAAACAGAACTTGTTTGAGATGTTTGTTCTCACCCTTCTTGAAGAGGGTCACAGAACAGGATAACTCAGTCATCGTTGTGATGACCGAAGTCAGCATTCGTTACCTTGAACTCCATCGACTGATTGACGTCGGGTGGCAGCGTCAAGGTTCGATGGAAACGTGTATCGTCTAGATACCGAGAGACTGCTGCATCTCTGCTGCCGTCGCTCGTCACGCTGACGGTGGTAAAAAGAAGTTATTTGTGACAGACTAGTCTCGCTATTGTCCGAGTCATGGCACGTGAAGTATGAAAGATAAATTTTCTGTGCATACTAGAACCGATTAATACGACAATTGTATCAAGTTTGAAAAACTCTCGAGAGTAACAAATTGGATATTGGGATATCCAGCGCTGCACTGGAGCTTGGAGCGACGGTAACCAGCGTCCCGACTCATATCGCCTAAGCACGTTAATGGCTACTCGTTCACCGGGATTCATCGATTCGTTCCAAGAATTCGCTATTCCATGGTGGTCCCGCGCATATGGATGTGCAAATATACGAAGCCCTTTTCAAGCTTTGGAAGAAATACTGAGTGGGTAATGCCCAACGAAGCCAGACCTGGCTGCTAACTCGCCCAGCGATGCTCCGGGCTTATACGTCCTCACCCCTTTTCTTCTTCTCTTATCTCATTTTGATCAAACTATTCACCATCTCCTCTGCTCCGCGTCTAATTCAACGATCGAATTCTGATCTCTTGCTCTAGGATGCTCTCGTGCCAATTGAGAGTCGTTTCCATTTAGTTCTGGTATCAGCTGTGGCTCTCCATACTCCGGCAGCTCTCCTAGCACCCTTGACTGACCAGACAATTCTGGCTTCTCATAGAAAATTCCATCGTGTGTAACCTCTTTTGAACTTTTGGTAGCTACGCGTCGCCGGCGGAGCCAGAAGCCTGCCAAAAGTAATAGGAGGAGAGCGATAACACCAATACATATGCCTGCGATTGCACCACCCGAAAGACCAGTCTGAGGAGGGTTGGGGGGCACGGTGACAGTCGATGAAGCCGAGGTCGTGGTGGACGACTGCAAAGAGCCTGATGTAGATGTAGACGAAGAAGTCAACGTCGACGACAAGGTCGAGGTTATTGTCGAGTATACAAAAATGTACTCTGCCGTCGATTCCACGAGGCCAGGACCCGTTATGGCTGCAATACCTGGCGTGACGAGCCCGCCGGAGAGGATGGATCCGGAGACGGTCGTCGTGGCCGGCATGCTCCACGATTTCACGCACATCCAGAAGCCATATGCGGTCCCGGAGACCCCGTTGCCGTTGGAGAAGACATTTCCCCAGCCGTCTGAACAGCAGATGGCCGTCGTTATTGTGCCGCTAGAGTATGTCTGCGCGACGCTCTGACCGGATGGGCATATCGGGTTGCCGCCCCAGAAGTTTGCGCCTTTCGCATACGAGTTGACTGCTGTCGTCCATCCAGGTGCGAAACAAGCGCTTTCTTGCGGGTATACTGCTTGTAGAACGGGGCGGCGGGTGCCGCTCGCGTCAGGTCGTATGCCGTTGTCAGCAAGGCTATCTGTACATGATGATGGGGCAATGAACGGAGTTGTGAAGGGAGAATGTAAGGTGTGAGAGGTAGTTGACATTGTAAAGGGAAAGACAAGATGATAATGGGAGATGAACAACAAGTGCAAAGAAGGAAAAAGACGTGTAAATCAAGAAAGAATCCCGGTGTCTAGATAAAACCGCACACCATTCCCACGAAACGGGGATATGTAGGCGATGCACCCATTACTACTACTTCCTTGGGTGTACCGATCTCTTTGTATTGTTTCGTGAGGAGGCTAAGTGTACAACTACAAGCCCTACAGTACGAAATACCGTGTCCCTCGCACTATTCGTACCACATAGCCTGGCTGTGGCTCGCTTACACGCCGAAGTTATACTGTGCTGACCTAGAGGCGTACCGGTACTACCAAAATACACATTAACTGCTGCTATGTAATTTCGCCTAATATTGGTGCACAAAATAAACAAGCGCAATCAAAGATGTTACCATCCTTGGGCGCAGAGGATTGTAAACCTGGCTGCAGCGACTGGTCGCACCATTGGGGGCCAAGAAACATGGTCGAAAAGCAGGAGACCGCTTGGAATGTAAAGCACGATGGCCGGGTCAATATCCCACGTGTCACTGTTACTTAGAGCACAAAGACTTAGCTTGCTGTTTACCCTTTATATTGTAAAAATACAAAGGCTAAAGAACAGAAAGACTTAATCGCGAAGCACGCTCTGGCACGTCGTCGCATAGCTTAGCCCCCACTGAGAGGGGCGAGCTTTCCTACCAACTCTCAGCCCTAGCCGTCACATCCCCAACCCAGTGTTATATATTTTTGCATTTTTGTAGGGTTTTGTGTATACTAGCATTGAATAACATGTGTTTCACTTCTTTCCTTCATCTGTTCAATTTGACCATGAATTGTTCTTGACAAGCCGATGCACTACCGTGAAACGTCGTGTGCGAGGGCCATCCTCTTTCAGCCACGGAATGTGGTTTGAATACGAGTGCATTGCAAGCTAGGGCCATTCTGACACAATAACAAGCCCCTGGCGCCGATGTAAGATCAGCCCTATTCATGAATTCTCCGCGATTTTCATAGGCGCGGATCTGATGCAAAACCGCGTTATGCTGTCATACCATGAAGTCAAATTCGACCAAAAGATATGCGCATTAGCGTACTGCAACCTTAATGAAGAGGACCTGACTTTTCCACGAACTCGATCCTATCGATCTATTCGATCGAGTACCGCCCATATCATCCATGCACAAGAAATCATTGTGGTACTTGATATAAGGTTCAATTAACTACCCCTGTTATAAAGACGATGCGAAGCGGGGACACGGAGAATCTCTAAGCGAGCCGAGGGTTCCTCCGGGGTATGCGATATAGTATGATCCGCACGGTTGTTAATTTAGAGTCCATAGAGTATTATATGTTTGGATTGATGAGTCGTACACTCCGAGAAATCGTTCTTGATTGTCATTGTCTGACCAACCTTACATTCCCTATTTCAACTTTCTCCTAATTGGCTACCATGCATCTTTATACTCTAGTACTATCTCAAAGCCTTGTGGCAGCTGCGCAAATGATATTCGTCTCCACAGGCAACCCTATTCTCTCCGATGGATCGGTCTACTCGGCAGATCCCGCTCCCCTGGTCGTCAACGACACACTATATATCCTCTCAGGCCGCGATGAAGCTCCTATTGATGTAAACGACTTTGTTATGAATGAATGGCAAATGTTCGTCAGTGCGAACCCCGACCCTGCTGGTAGTGACTGGCAGCTCTATACCGATATTGCACGTCCAAAATCGGTGTTCACCTGGGCCGCTGAGGGAACAGCTTACGCAAGCCAGATCGTTCAGGGACCGGACGGAAGATTCTACTTCTACGCTCCTGTGACGGAGGCCAACTCGGCGAACGCTGATAGATTTGCAATTGGCGTTGCCGTTGGGGATAGCCCTCTAGGCCCGTTTGCTGATGCCCGCCCTGACGGGCCTATCATCTCGCAGTCGGTACCTTCGCCGGGGAATAACATCCAAAATATCGATCCCACCGTGTTCATAGATGATGATGGCAGAGTATACCTTTATGAGGGTACTTTCGGTCAGCTCCGCGGGTTCGAGCTCGAAGACGACATGGTGACTATTATCTCTTCGGCCACCACCGTCACCTCGTTGACTGGATATTTCGAAGCTCCATGGCTCACGAAACGAGGCAGCACCTATTACATGATTTACGCGGCCAACAATGCTGGGGCAGAATCGCCGTGTACTCCTACGTCATACCACGCCTGTATCGCGTATGGTACGGCTAGCTCGCCCCTGGGACCTTGGACCTTCCAAGGTGTCGTGCTGGGCATTGTGTCCTCCACTACATCCCACCCTGGTGTCTTTATTCTTGATGATACGTACTATCTTGTCTACCATACTGCCGATGCTGATGGCGGTGGCCATTTCCGCCGCAGCATCGCTTTTGACGAGATGACCTTCGACGACAGCCAATCGCCGCCACGTATCAACAAAGTAATCCAGACTCATCGCCCAGAACCCGAGGCTGCACCGAACCGCAACATTGCGCCGAGAGCAGTAGCAAGTTCTATCAACACGACTCCTGTTCAGTACTGGGTTGCATCCGTCAATGACGCCAAGATCCCAGGGAACCCGCTGCCGCCAGATTACTGGTGCTCGTATGACGGAACCGCGTCTCCTCAGACGAGTCAGCTCGTTCTCAGCTGGAATACCACCGTGACATTGAACGGTACGCGTATGGCATTTTTTGCGGACCAGCCAGCAGGTGCTGATATAGGCGTGCCACCACCTTCGAGCTGGAGTGTCGAGTATCTCAATTCTGGCGGCGCCTGGTCTGCTGTCATCGCAATTAGTACATATCCTACAGATGTGACCGACGACCCGGCTGAAGTCGGCTTTGATCAGATTGATACGACGGCGCTTCGTGCAACTCTGATAGCGTCAGGGGGTGTTAGCCAGTATGGAGGTGTCGGTGTCAAGGAGTGGGAGGCACTAGCTCCAACCTCCCAATGAACCCATGGGGCGTGATGTTTCTTGTTTCTAGTTGTAGTTGAATCCGAGTTATATTTTTAGCATGCTATAACGAGTAGTCCGTGTACTCGAGATCCACCATGACCATTTACATGAAGTCTGTCTAGTCGAGTTGCTTTCATAGAATTGGGAAATGTTAAAACAAGGCGAGTGAGGCGATCTTAATCTGGGTCGTTAACAGGACTAGAAGTGCTGTACAGAAATGCAGATCTTTCTTGGCACGCAGACAACTTACTCCAAGTTTATAGTGAGTCGGAGCAGAGTGTTAGCAAGCCCAAATGTAAGCTCGCAGGAAGACCAAGAGGCTGAAAGTCATGAGTACAACATGTTTGCTCTTGTAGTAGTCAAGAAAGGTGCAGAAGCAGTCTACCGAGTATGCATAGTTCAGTCGGACGGCGCCAGCTCTTTTGGTCACCATTGCTGAATCGAACACCATGACTCAGCTTGAGCCACTGAACAGTGGAGGGTAGAACAATTGTATCTTAAAACGATGTAGAAAACGCCGAAACTCTTAAAACAATTGATATAAATGTATTATAAGGGTAGTTCAGTTAGAAGAAACGACGCAGTTGTTTAGTTGCTTTATGTTTTCATCTGTATGCGCAATTCGGGAATAGTGCTCGAATCAAAGTGGGCTGGGTTTTTGGTGTGTTGTATCGCAGGCTCCGCCCTATCGATTTTTGCTCGGTAACCCCGTAGCCAAGATGTCAGCGACGTGGTGTTCTCAATAGTAGCACCAGCACTTGCTCGCACACGACTGATGGTGTTTTTTATTAAGTGAGTCGCATCTTGAACTCATCTCGGACTCAAAACTTCGGCAACTTACAGAGCTGGCACAAAACAGACATTATTGACCATAGGAGAATGTTTTGATATACAACAGAACTTGATGGTCATTGAGGTGGAGCAGATATGCCGAGATATGACCCATGGTGGTAAGCGGCTGAGAACAACTGTGCAGGAACCCCTGCACTAGGTGAAGTCTCTAGATATTTATGTCACAACTATAATGTATGTAAGCTGTAAGTCAGATATGATTCTAAATTTGCCATTGTTTAGAACATCTAGACATTCATTCGGTGAAGGGAATCTTATGGGATCATGATCCGCCTGAAGACGAGCCTTGCGGCTGGAGAGTATAAGAGAGGTATGAATGCCAGACCTACTTTTCACTTCTGCTTGCTCCACAGACAACCATCGCATGCCTTCCGACCAACACTTGCTGCATTTTTGCCTTTACAACGAGATATAGATTCCGCTTCCAAGACTCTTCAAGCGCCATCTGACGTCATGATTGCTCCAAAGCTACTGCTCGTCATCACAGCCGTGACCACAGTATGTCCGCCTTGAGCTCAACCACAATCTATGGCCGATTTTGTGGTATATACTGACGAACTTGTAGGCCCTTGCGCTGTCCATCAATCTAGACACCCGTCACTACGACATTGACGGGATGATATGGACCGGGTCAATCTTTCCAGGCGAAAAGCCAACGGTGCTTACCGGGAGTGCAAAGGTATGGTTCGACGCTTCATAGCACCGGACGTGTGGAGCAGATCGTGCTGAACAGTTTGGGTCAGGATATACTCGGTCAGATCACCGCGATCAATCCGGACTATAGTCCAGATGATTCATTTGAGGCCATCAACTCCAATCATACCTCGGTCGGGAGACGAGATTCGAGCATGAGTTGTGGCAACATCGCAACTGGAACCGATGTTGACATTGGGGTAATTTGAAATCTTATCTAAAATCCCAGCACCAGAACTGACAGGTCCTCAGAGCAGCGTGAGTTATCTTCAGCATCTGGGAGGAACATGTGGGTCCCCAGGACGACAATGCCGGCGTCTGACTTGTGACGGGACCACTGGTTCCTACTTCTGCTCGGTATGTAACACAACACTAGACAGAGATAACTGTTCAGAGTTTTTGTCTTTCTTTTTCTTTTACATCTTGAGGCTAATCATGACTTGAACTTACAGGAACAGGATGCAGAAACGCATGCCCCTTGTAAGGACATCGGTGACTGGGTCAACTTCATTCGAATGCAGTGCTGCATGGGGAGCACTGGGCGTTCCGGTTCCATAGGGTTTACAAATAAGCCATACAGCGTCTGGACTGGCTACGCCAACTGCAACCATCCGAGTTCGAAGCGACCAACAGATTACCCTTATCCTGGTGGGAGCGTGAACGGAGAGTGCAAATGAAACCCCTCAACCGCACTTCAGTTTTACGCTAGAGCCTTGGTAGGGCGAGGGATGTGAAGAAGCAGAAGGTGGGCTGACTTTGGGATACAGATGTAGGCTAGCCTTCGTGTGGATATTTGATGGATTACTTGCAATAGACTTTGTTCTGCCATACTGCCTTTCAACGAGAGCCTAACTACTGTTTTAAAGTAATCCTGATTCGAAGTACTAGGATGAGATACGCAAGATGCGCAAGATGCGCAAGATGCGCAGTTAGAGTTTTTATTAATTGAGGGTGGCCCAAAAGGCACAACCGTGCTATGATCAATAAAACTTGCGCGCTAGTTGCGCGGTCTAGTAGAAATATGAGAGAGCTTTGCATGTACTAAACCGCCATTCTTCGCGGGAACCGAATGGCTCCGAGTGATGGTTTTGATAACCATGATGGGTTGCTGAACTCGTCGACTTTGATGTACAAAGTGCGTGGCTCTGATCCTATCACAACAAATTCATGAAAAGTCCACATGTCTGATAACATTTCCATGGTTATTCTGCCTGTGGGCACTAACCTGGTAGATATCCCACCCACAAATATCTCACCCGTGGATACCTGATCCGCAGGTACATCGGACGGAATTTTGCCCAGGTCCTGGCACTCATACCTTCTTAAGAACAGATGGTTTGTTTGGTTCTAGGTGGAAGTCCCGGAGAGGCTCATCGACGAATGATTAATGGTTCAGGTTTATTGTGGAACTACCGAAGGAACGTAGACGCAGGATTTGGAAGCTTGTAGCACATCTTGACGTACTGCGCGGGCCTATGCAAATCTCGAGTGATTGTATTTGACCTGTAGGTATCCCAAGTCAGGTAGAGATCACCTTCAAAAGCATCCTCCCCAAGTAACGACATCACTACTATCTACTCTGCCGCTTGTCAGTATGGTTGCAGCCAGATTACTACTGGCGCTCGTAGGCATTCCCTTGGTATGTGTGCTCAAGATCAGACTTCGAATATCCATTCCACCAGCCGGAATGTTATGTTAACATGCGCTTATAAAGACCATGGGATCTGCCCTGCAGGGAATATCACGAGGGCTTGACGTTGACGAAGGAATGATATGGACCGGGCCCATCTTTCCTGGCGATAAACCGACGAGACTAACTGGTACTGTGGAGGTACGTTAAACATATGCTCAACAGCTACGCCGGAAGTAGTGTTTAACTATCCCGTTACTGTGAAATAGGATGTCTATGCCCAAATCATGGCGATCAATCCCAACTATGATCCGGACGACTCCCTCGAGGCCGAGACCCGCAACATCACTCTGACCGACGACGGCGACCTACCCAAGCCGCGGTACTTCCCCGGGGACGCCGACTTTACGAAGTTTCAGTGTGGCAACATGGCTACCGGACAGAAAAACAAGATCCAGGTAGGTAACAGAGCCCCCCCCCTTCCTCACCATTGTGTAATCGCAAGGCTAAGGAAACAAACCCAAAGGACGCCAAGGTGCGACTCGTGAAACTCGGAGGGCAGTGCGGATCACCGGGGAACCAATGCCGGCGGCTGAGCTGCTACGACACGACCGGAACATATTTCTGTTCGGTAAGTTAAAAGCCACCAGACGGTGAACACGAGAGCTTGCACAACCGCGCTGAGTCTCATCAATGATTCTATATCAGCCTAATGGACTTAGGCGACTTGTTGTCCTTGACCCTTGATATGATGAGTGGGTATTTGATAGGCTGCAAGTCTGGGTGGTGCGCCAAGTTCTCGGGTCCACTGCTTAGCCACGAAAAAGAAAAAGAAAAGGAAGAAGAAGAAGAAGAAGGCTCCTCCCAAAATTGATATCTGCAGGACGCGAATGTTGACTCTTCTTTCTGAACACAGGAGCAGGATGCTGAGACCCATACCTACTGTAAAACAGTGGCCAAGTACATCAACTGTATCGAATTCAACTGCTGCAGCTACAGCAAGGGAAAGTCAGGCTCCCTTGGCAGCACATTCCCCTATACCATATGGGTGGGTTATGCCAACTGCCGCCACAACCTGGCGACGCACCCCAAGGACTACACGTACCCCGGCGGAAACATAAACGGGGCGTGCAGAAACGGGGATGGCAGGTGAGACACCATAACGGAGCAACCAAAAGTTCGGCATGGGGCAGGGCTTGTTCCAATGGTTGAATGGTTTGACTGACAGTCTTCTGTAACTGGTGCCTGGGGGTGTGTGGCGCCTAATCATGTCTTCCGTTCACTCTTTCCGCACTTTTGTGGATGGAGTCAAAGATCATCTCCATTCCAAAATCGCAAGCAGTCATGTTGATGTGAGATGTCTCTATGGCCCATCTTTCTTCGCGGCATCCTCCTGCATGCCCTTCATGATCCATTCTCTGGCCTGCTTCGCGATTTCTTCATTACTCAGAGATGGACCCTCCTTTGCAGGCGGCACGTTGGAGCCCTTCTGGAAGCCTTCACGCTTTCGGCAAAGATTCACCCACTCCTTCAACTTGGGAAAGTTATCCAATGAAATACCTGCCCATGCTATATTACTGTCAGCGTTACGCCCGCCAGTCGACATGATGGCTTAGAGAGGGAGAGAGAGAGACATAGAGAGAACGGAGACGCACAACTAGCAGACACCCATCCAAAACAGGCGATATCCGCAATGGTCAGGCGGTCGCCGACTAGGTATCCTGATGTCGAGGTCTCAAGTTGTTTCGACAGGACACGATAGAGTCGCTTGGTCTCGTTCTGATAGCGATTGATGCCGTACTCGATCTTCTCAGGGGCATATCCTAAAGCAGATCAGCAGTGAGCCGATCTCTAGTTTTAATCCACCAACAGGCGGACTGGTAAAACGCACGGAAGAAGTGGTTTGCTTGACTGAGAACCATAGCATTAGCACCAGTGACCCCACGGAGCCTTAGGAAGTCCCAACTCACCCCTGCATCGGCCCCAGACCACCCATCTGCCAGTGAAGCTGTGGAACGGAGTATATAAGTCATTCGCGTGGTTCCCAATGAATGGCCTTGGCAAGACAACGACATACCCAGTTGTTCACTTCCCAATACTCCCGGGTGCCCCTGGGGTACGAGATCTTGTGATCGGTATCATAGCGCTCTACTAGATACTGGAGGATGGATCCGCTCTCGAAGATGCGAATTGTGCTGCCATCCGTGAAAGTGTCTGTGATGGCTGGGATACGGCCATTGGGATTGATCTCGAGAAACCATGGTTCCTGGAGATATGATAATCAGCCGGCGGTCCCCTTGTTGTCCGGGGAAAACAGGGCTGCTTGACATTATGTTGTTGTTGTTGGGGGGGATGGGGGTGTTGAATGGCGTGGAGGCACTGTGTGGGGGAAATAGTGGCATTACCTTCTGCTCGTCCTTGCCAAAATCGATTGCATGAAGCTGTGCATCTTGTCAGTCTGGTGTAGATAGAAATCATGGCTGCACGGCGGGGGTGGTTATACGGTATACTTCAAGCCCAACTCCTCCAAAAGGATGGACGCCTTCAGCCCATTCGGGGTCTTGGTGGTGTAAAGCGTGATTTTTGAGTCGGCCATTGTTAGTTGATTCCTATGTATACCTTGAATCTTGTTACTTTTGGATCTGAGTTGGCAATGCAGAGAAGCGCTTTCGTGTTGAATGGAATGAGGGGCGAAGGCATCGATGGGTGGGTGGGTACGTGGAGATATGCTATACTCGGAAGGAGCCGGTTATTGGTAAGCATACCTTGGGTAAGCATGTCTTGCACTCCGCGTGACCTCGCTACGGTGCCGCGCATAGACGGGTAGCGATGGGATTCGTGCTCCGAGTGGGAAGCTGCTGTCCTCAAATCTCTGGTGTTGTGTCGCCAAAACGTGTTTACAAGCGTGGGCCAAATTCGTTGCCAGATTTAGTCATTGTGGGTGGGAGGTTTGCGTAGTCAGAAGACTTGGAAGCCAAGAGCACAGCACCTTGTGTTTATATGTATGTGTATCCTTTGTTGGAACATGTAAATGGAGAAAAGATCTATACACTAGTACAAGGAGGCGCGACACGCTTCTTTTCATACTATCACACACCATGGTCTCGCGGTTTCTCCGTATATCCATGCTTGACCATTAACGGATCCCACGGTATCTCGAGGCGATTGTCCCATCGCGTCGTTCCTTCTGAGCAGGCATGGCCGTTCTGCCAGGTACCTGTCGTTCTATCGAAGATGAGGGGGCAGAGTGGCGTAGATTAATATACAGGGTTGGGAATAATTTAGTTGGCATCGGGTTGGCTGACGATGTACTCAACAGCCTTGTCCACTGTCGGGAGGTTTGATTGTTAGATGAGGTTTCTTTGGGTTTGCGCCTGGACGTTTCCAGGGAGGGAGGTAGGGGGATTTCTCTTAGAAGAGCCGCTTACCGCTGTGAATGCCATCTGCATCCTTGTCGGGGATCTCGATGCTGAACTCCTCCTCTATCGCCATGACAACCTCAACCGTGTCCAAGCTGTCCAGACCCAGGTCGTTTGCGAAGTGGGCAGTGGGCTTGATCTGTTTGCAGAGAACGCTGTCAGCCAGAATGCCCCGATCCTGTTCGGGGACGGAGGGTGGGTTTCCCACTGCCGTTATCGGGATCTTGATGGTCAGGGCGAAGGCCATGCCATCCGATACAGCACTCCAGGGGTAAAACCTACGTTGCTTGTGTCGTTGACCTTGTCGAAGCTCTGCAGAATGCCCATGATGCGACCCTCAACCTCGTCCTTCTTCAGGCCCGAGGCGGCAGAGTACATGCGAACGGTCTTGAAGGCAGCGATTCTCGACGTGGCAGGCAGGGCGACTCTAAGGATGGGGGCGCGGGCGCTGGCGCTGGCGACGGGGCGAGCGGCGATACGGGAAGCCGAGGCAGCAGTACGGACTAGTGCTGTGCGGAACATGATGGCGGATGCGAAGGAGTCAATTGGGATTGCTGATGGGCGGCGAGGTGGTGAGTTGGTCTCGAGAAATGACGTGGGTGATGGGGGGTGGTTTAGAACTCAGGTCAGGCTTCAGATGGGATCGAGTACGGAGTAGAGCAAATGGAGGCAAGTCATGATAAATTTCTCAGAGAGCTCCCGGGGAGCTAGCCAAGCCTAGCGAGGCCTATCAGCCCCCAAGATTTTGTTTAAGTGGGTTCTCTGGAGAGGCTTCACGTGACCTTTTGCGAGCTTTCCACTGGCTACCTGTTTTTGTTACTGCTGCTGCTGCTGCTGCTGCTGCTATTGCTACAGCGAATGAGATGCCTCATAATTAAAAGCCAACAAAAGTGGTAACGATACAAAACCATGGTGAGCATGATAATAATATAGAACTTGTCATGAAGCCGTCAATGTCATCTCTTGTCTATCTAGCAGTACTGGGTTGATGACCAAAAAAAAACCCCAAATACAAAAACTGACAATACTATCTGTTTCGAGTTTATATTCACGTGGCACACACAACTCGGCGTCTATGGGCAAGCACGCACATGGCACCGACGGTACCAACATGAAATAACCCATCTATACCTCAGGTGCTCCGTAGTGGATAGGACATGATGGTAACATGGCACAACAAAGAAAATGCTCTTCGGCTCTACGTAATATGTACAGTCCTGTAATTTTTCCATCGTACGCCCGTCACCCCGTCAGCCCCATCGACCCCGAGGGCGCACCTCGCTCCTTTATCGGTAAGGCTGGTCGGCCTTGATGACTGCCGCCAGCTCAGGCTCCCACTTGTCACCGTTGGCCAGCAACTTCTCCTTGTTGTACAGCAGCTCCTCTCTCGTCTCCGTAGCGTACTCTGCGTTGGGCGACTCCACAATGGCGTCGACGGGACACGACTCCTGGCAGAAACCACAGTAGATGCACTTGGTCATGTCGATATCGTACCGCGTCGTTCTTCGGGATCCATCCGCACGCTCCTCGGCTTCAATTGTGATGGCCTGGGCAGGGCAGACCTGTGCAAGTAAAACGTGTCAGCATTTCCCGCACCTTCGGTAGCATTGGACCAGAAGAGACAGAGATAAAGACGAAGACATACGGCCTCGCAGAGCTTGCAAGCAATGCATCGCTCCTCGCCCGAGGGATACCGTCTCAAGGCGTGCTCGCCACGGAACCTGGGGGAGATGGGACCCTTCTCGAAAGGGTAGAAGATTGTGTATCTGTCGTTCGACCATCAGCGTTTCAGTCCTTCGGCTCCAGGTCGGGTCGGGGCCGGGGTCGGGTCGGAAACCAAGACCAACGCCGCCAAAACATACGGTTGTCTGAAGAACTGCTCCAGTGCCACATACATTCCCCTGAACATCTCCGTCATGAGGAAGTATCGGCCGGCCTTGTCCAGTGTGCTCTCCTTGTCCTCGTGCCATGAGATGGGCCTCTTCTGCCTGAAGCCGGTGGGCGGGGGGCCGGAGGGTGTGGCGTACATGCGCTGCGCGACTATTCTGGCGACTGCGCTGGCCGTGACGGGCTGGCGCAGAAGCTGGCGGGATGCCAGCATGGCGGTTGTCGTCGATCGAGTGAGCCCTTGCATGGTGGTATGGGGGTTGCAATTGGGCAGATTGCGGGGAGCGGAGAGGTGTCGTTGTCGACGAGTTTAATCGGGTGAGAATGGCTAGGCGAGGGCGAGGGCGAGGGCGAGGCGTGATCGATAGCTACGAGGTCGATGATGAACTGAATTTCGCCCGGCACCTCGGACTGTGGAGCTCCGATTAACAAAACGCCGCCCATTATTGGCCAGAGCTATCCACGCGGCGCCAAACTGGCCAGCTTGTGGCTGTAGTGACCTGCCTTGCCTGCCATCCAAAAAGCCTTGTGGCTGTACCTGCCAACCTGCCTTCTCAAAAGCCTTGTGGCTGTACCTGCCAACCTGCCTTCTCAAAAGCCTTGTGGCTGTGAGTATAGCCATTAAACTCCGAGGCGTCTGATTGACCACCACAACATTCCAATGTGTCCACTTATCTAGCCACAGAGCTCCAAACCTGATACGCATGTCTTCCGAACAGAAACACTACTGTCGAGGATATCGCAAAGTAGAAGCGAATGGCACGTTCGTCAAGTCGACAGACACATATCAATAATGCGCAGTGGTGTATTGTTCAATGTATATTTGTGGTCTTGAGTTCGTCCATCCCAAGGTTAGCATGCATGTGACGCCAAGCAGATAATGTAGGCAACGGGTTCCCCAGGTCAATGCATCATGTTACTGTGAACTCGGAAAATGCATTACTACAAAGTCGCCTTTGGACCAAGGTCAATGTTTGCTATCTGGCGCAGCAGCATGGGATGTTGGCATAGTAGAGCAACGAACCACTGATGGCCGCATTGCGGTGCTTTTGTCTCGCCTTAGTATCCCCGAAATATGACATGATAAGTTCCAAGCTCTAGACCTATGAGCATCTCTGCTCCCCTTGACCAAGCCGAACAAGCGCAAGAACTACGATGGAACATGCACGCGGATCTACGTTTCTTATAGACCCAGGGCTCGGTCTCTACTTCAGACACTCTGCACATTGCACGCTGTTTGCTGATTACTCGTCCGGCCGAGAAGCACTAACAGCAGAGCCGACTCTGCAGACTACCGCACCCTTTTCGCTGGATCCTGCACTGTCTGGGTGTTCAACAATAAAGCGAGTCTGAACCCTTCCAAATTTGTGCAGGATACTGTACCTAGACTAGTTGCTTTCCTTGCATGACAAGTCCGACTTACGACCCAGCAGCCACCAATGATCACGAGGTACCAGAGTGACACGCCAGTCAGATGTTCGACATCCCAACCAGCAAGAACAGCAGCATCTCATGCAATGGGCCGTCATGTCGATCGTAGGGCTGAAAACACTTGCCACGCTTGGGTTGCCGCGCCACCACTGGTTGGCCCAGTTGACAACCTATCTTTCTGAGAGACAAACATGGTTATCACCTGGTCTGTTGAGACGCACGTGAAGGGCGAAAATTTTTTTTTTTCTTCTCTCGTAACCTGTAACAGTCAGAGAGCCAAGATTCTGGCGTCTTTATGTGTGCAGGACGGTAAAGAAATGCAATCCCGGATTTCGCAATCTCCCTTCAAAGGCATCGAGGAAAGACCCGGCTATTTCACGGGCTAACCTTCCCATCTATTCCTGATTCATGTGAATTACGATATGCTCCATGTTCGACTCAAGAATGTAGTAGTAGTAAGAGTAGTAGTAGTAGTGACGTAAGCCCCCCGGGGCAAATGATCGTGGGGTGGAGTGAAAGCGCGTTGTACTTTCTCCCGATATCCGGCACATCGGGCATTTCTTGGGCTAGAAATTCGTCCACTTGCACGGTTTGCCTGCCGTGCACAGTCCCGAACAGTCTGGCTGCTTGTCATTGACACATATTCTTTTGAAGATTTATTTGGGGGTCATGGACGCGAGACGCGATGCGGAGGACTTGCCCTAGCTCCCCCTGGGTCTTTACCGTAGTACTGCGGGTCGAAAAACCTTCGAATGAGGGCCCAATCAGCCGGTTCTGGGGTGATGCATCGAGGAAACCCAGGAAACCAGCATCAGATACGCGAACACATCGGCTTCTCTAGGACTAGCTTGCGGCGTTCTCCCTTCACCGCGACCACCAAGGCCTTGTGACTGTCATGAGTTTTCCATCAGACGGAGTCGTCCATGGGGAAAAGGCCCGAATTCGATTGCGGGGTGATTGGAAATTTGAATGCATTTCCCCAGTCTGGAGTTGCATGTCATCATCCTATTGTTATTTGTATGGATCTGGAGAAAAACGTACTAGTCTTGCCTTGCTTTAGCGAGCGATTAATGGCTAAACATCGGCCTCGGGAGTCCATTTGCCGGGTTAAAGACTGCCGGATGGGCGACCGGGGCCCCAAATCATGACCTTCTAGGTTCTGACTTGCGTTCAGTAACTGCCACAGATGACCGTTATTGGTAGTCTTTGGAGAGCCTAGTCTAGAATGAACCTTCCAACCCTTTTAAACCCTGTATGAACATGATCGTCTCTATCCCACTCGGGGCTTGTTTTCATGTTAGGAACCATCTTCGCCGAGCCAGTCTGGTAAACCTCGGAACTTCGGAGTGGACGAACATGGGGATACACACGGTCATCAGTGTGGACCATCCCATATTCTTGGATATGACAGCCATAACCATGCTCGCCATGTTTTTTTTCTTCAGCACTCCACAGTATACCCCACAAACGTCAATGAATCAATTAGCCTACGGCAAGCCCATGGGCACGGTGTGATCTCGGTCCTTCTTCTGCTCCCCAGCAAAAGATATGGAGATTCTATGGATCGTAATTGCTTACAACTCAATTCATGGGGATCGAAACGGGACCAAGAAGTCTTCAAGTCTCGTAATACTATTCACCTTTATAGCCTCTATACTCCGATAAGCGCTGGACTTCGGAAAGTTGAGGCCGGTGTAAGCGGGGTTTCCAGACTTGGACGCAAGGACATGATGGTGTTCGTATCCGAGTACGATCGTGGGTGGTCACGATCGGCTGTCTATATAAGTTCTAACATACCCACGGTGATGAGGGCTTCTGTGTTGTCCAACAGCCTCACGCCACACATCAATTCACTATGGCTTCTCCAAGGTCGCTCTTGCTGTCCTCGCTTCTGCTACTGCCTGCGGTTAATGCCCAGGCATATGACTCTGGCGCTCGTGATGAAGATGCTTTCAGCTATGTTCAGCCTGAGAATACTACCATCCTGACACAATATGGCTCTTCGCCAGCTGTCTACCCTTCACGTACGTCATGTCGCATTATCCCGCGCCGTTGTCGTAACTAATTTCTTGTGCTAGCCAACATCTCTACCACGGGTATCTGGGCGGACTCTGTTGCCAGAGCCAAGGCTTTTGTTGCTGAGCTTACTCTGCAAGAAAAGGCTGACATGGTCACTGGTACTCCCGGTCCATGCGTTGGAAATATCTATCCCATTCCGCGTCTCAACTTCTCTGGTCTTTGTTTGCAAGATGGTCCGCTTTCCATCCGTGTTGCCGACTACGCCAGTGTGTTCGAAGCTGGTGTTACCGCCGCCAGTACTTGGGACAAGCAGATTCTCTACGAAAGAGCTTACGCTATGGGCGAGGAGTTCAAGGCTAAGGGTGCCCAGATTGCTCTTGCACCCGTTGCCGGCCCTCTGGGACGTTCTGCATACTCCGGCAGAAACTGGGAAGGTTTCTCTCCTGATCCCTACTTGACTGGTGTGGCCATGGAGGAGTCTATCAAAGGCTTCCAGGATGCCGGTGTTCAAGCAACCGCCAAGCATTACATTGGTAACGAGCAGGAGACCATGCGCAACCCAGAATTCGACGCCAATGGTACTCTGACCGATGTCACATTCGAGGCCCTCTCTGCCAACATTGACGACAGAACCATGCACGAGCTTTACCTCTGGCCCTTCGCCAATGCTGTCAAGGCCAATGTCGCCAGTGTCATGTGTTCATACCAGCGCCTTAACGGTTCTTACGGCTGCCAGAACAGCAAGGCCTTGAACGGTCTCCTGAAGGAGGAACTTGGCTTCCAGGGTTATGTCATGTCCGACTGGGGTGGTACCCACTCTGGTGTTGCTGCTATTGAAGCTGGTCAGGATATGGACATGCCCGGTGGTATCGGCAACTATGGACTGCACCCCGAGGCCGGCTCTTTCTGGGGCAACAACGTCACCACTGCCGTCAACAACGGCACCCTCGATATTACCCGTCTGGATGACATGATTGTCAGAATCATGAGTCCTTACTATTACTTGGGTCAGGACGTTGACTTCCCCAGTGTTGATGAATCCTCCGCAGACCTAAACACCTTCTCTCCTCGTGACACCTGGCTGAAGGAGTGGAACTTCACTGGCGAGTACAGCCGTGATGTCCGTGGCGAGCACGGCGCAGTGATCCGCAGGCACGCTGCTGAGGCTACTATTCTTTTGAAGAATGTAAACAACGCTCTTCCTTTGAAAGCACCCAAGTCGATTGCTGTCTTCGGCAACGATGCAGGTGAGGATACCAACGGGGCCTACATTAGTGAAGACTTTGAGTACGGTACCCTTGCTGTTGGTGGTGGTTCTGGTACTGGTCGCTTCACCTACCTGACCACACCGCTCGATGCCATCAAAGCTCGTGCCGCCCAGGACGGCTCCCTTGTCCAATACTGGCTCAACAACACCCTGATCGAGTCCTCCGACGTATCCACTTTGTGGATCCCGTCAACTCCTGATGTCTGCATTGTTCTCCTTAAGACCTACGCTGAGGAAGCTGCAGATCGCGAGCATCTTTCCGTCGACTGGAACGGTAACGACGTCGTTACCTCCGTTGCCAGCAACTGCAGCAACACCATCGTCATCACTCACTCTTCTGGTATCAACACCCTACCATGGGCTGACCACGAGAATGTCACCGCCATTCTGGTCGCTCATTACCCTGGTCAGGAGTCGGGCAACTCCCTTGTTGATGTTCTCTACGGTGATGTCAACCCCTCTGGCAGACTTCCCTACACCATTGCCTACAACGGCACTGACTACAACGCGCCCCCTACTACTGCCATCAACACTACCGGTGCCGAGGACTGGCAGTCTTGGTTCGACGAGAAGCTTGAGATCGACTACCGTTACTTTGATGCTAACAACATCTCGGTTCGCTATGAATTTGGCTTTGGTCTTTCGTACTCTACTTTCGAGATCGCCGACATCCAGACCGAGGCTCTCGCCGACGACATCACCGAGGCTGCCGAGGCTCAGGCTACCGCCCCTGGCGGTAACCCCGCCCTTTGGGAGTCTATTTACAATGTCACCATCTCTCTCAGCAACACTGGTGATGTTGATGGCGCCACTGTTGCCCAGCTTTACGTCACTTTCCCCGACAGCGCCCCTGAAGGCACCCCACCATACCAGCTCAGAGGCTTCGAGAAGGTCTGCCTGGGCGCCGGCGAGAGTCAGACTGTTGGCTTTGAGTTGATGAGACGTGATCTCAGCTACTGGGACATCATCTCCCAGCAGTGGTTGATCCCCACTGGTGACTTCACCATTAGTGTCGGTTTCAGCAGCCGGGACTTGAAGGAGGTTGCAACAATCACTCCTGTCTCCGCCTAGAGGAGGAGGAGGAGCCTTATTAGATTAGTAATGATAATGATAGCATGAATAAATCATGATTGACCAATCAGCTCTCTTTCCGGGTTCCACTTTATAATGCCCGTGCGATTCTACCAAAAGCTTCGAGAAAAGAATGATACATCGGAACCTAGTTATGGTTGAATAATCGTCATACCAATGATGTTTGAGCTTTAAAGCTTCGTGCCATATTATCAGCGACTCGCAGCCTGTACAGCCGTCGCCGTTACCGTCGAGTCAGGAGCTTCATCATTGTTACCTGACTTTATGTGCTTCTCGCAGATCTACTTCATGTCACATTACAAGCCTCGACCAGCATGTCCCAGAAACCAGATGATTGAGAGTTTCTAATTGATCCACCAAAGGCTTTCATACCTTTCTACATTGACACTGAATTATAAATGCAATGCCGCACTCGTTAAGTTAAAGTAGCTGGAAATAGCTGTTTACGCCACGTTCAATCAATCATTCTTGATCTTCCAGCTAGACACTAAACCGGCATAGCAAATCAAAACCATCGAATCAGTATCGAGATTGGGCGCGATGGTTCTGCTATAGTCGGTGTCTAGTGACGCTCTCGGCCAATCTGGACGGCTTATATAGTATATTTCTCCTCACCCTCCGCACCGGAAAGTCCGCCAAGCATTGTCACCGGTAATTCCGTAGCGACATCACATTGGCGCACTTATGAGAACTGAGATTAACTAGCCTCGGCAAATGAGTCAACCAATCCTGACCTTAAGATATATCATACCCCTGCATGATTTGAAGGCTAGCCGCCTATGTGACCTCCACCGCCGGAAAGTCGATCCACAGTGGATATGGGGAAGCGGATCAAGTGGAGGGCGTGGAGATTCCGGGGAAGTTGGGGGCCTGGGGACGGTCTGGGGATTCGTTCTTCTTGTCTGCATGATAAAGAATGGCCTGGATCCTCTGACGATTGTCGTATGATGTAGCGTGGTTTAGAACTGTTTACTCTTCCGAGAAATAGATTCAGAACCCAGCAGTCACCAATATGTCGGGCTGGAAGCACGCGTTTGCCCTCTCGAAGGCTGACGTCAAAGACGCCACACCGCCCGGAACGGTTGTGTTGATTGGTACGCGATTAAATTTTCTTGTTATTTCATTTCCAACACCGCGCCTCAGGCCCCTGTGTTGTGCCCTACCCAAATCGGTTCACCATGACTGATATATACTACCGGTAGAGCATCATACAGATAAAACAGACCCAGAAACTGCACAGTCCCAGGGGGATGGCGATGTCACTCTTCGATTTCCAAGACCTTCGGCAGATCCTGCAGATCCACTCAACTGGGCAACATGGCGAAAACACGGGGTACTTCTCGTCGTGTCGTTATACGCGCTGGTCGCAAATTTTACATCCTCCAGCATCGCTCCAGGACTGCAGCTATGGATGATGAACTATCCACAAGACCCGAGATCCTTCTCGGTCTTGGTTAGACTAGTAGCTGTAAGCCAAGCACAGGTTCACCATCCTGTACCAACCCGATGATGACTGACTCGATATCCTTACACAGGTCAATGTGTTGATGATGGGAGGTGGCAATATCTGGTTCGTGCCACTATCGAATATTCTCGGTCGACGACCAGTACTCATTGCATCGACGTTGATGTTGACGCTTTGCACCATGTGGTGCGGTCTTGCTACGAACTATGATTCTCTTTTGGCTGCCCGTATATTCCAAGGAATGGCCAGCGCCGCTGCGGACACGGTTGCGCCGGCTTTGATTGGTGATGTGTACTTCATGGATGAGCGCGGACGAGCAATGGTAAGAATCAACGATAAACCATCAATTTTTGTGGGCTGACACTGCTTCAAGACGGTGTACACCGTCTGCCTCGTTATTGGACCCATCATTGGAGGTATCGCGGGTGGTTATATCGCGTTCACGATCGGATGGTTTTATGTCTTCTGGATCGGGTGTGCGTTATCGGCAGCAGTCTTTGTAGGCACAGTGCTGTTCGTCCCCGAGACGCTCTACACACGGTTTTCGACGCCACCGACTGGCGCGGAGCTCACGTACGGAGCTCCCCCGAAGGATGGTGCAACTCATCTCGAGCGGACGCCAACACACGCAACCGTGACTGACTACAAGCCGTATACGTTCGCCCGATCGCTCGGCTTCATGAAACCCGCCGGTGGCTGGGCGCACCACTTCATCCAGCCCTGGCGCACCCTTGGGCTGCCAGGTACGTGGGTGGTGATGCTTCACTACGGTGGCTTGGTCGGCGGTATCGTGACCATCTCCACCATTGGTCCCCAGATTGTTGCTGCGCCTCCATATCTCTGGGGCGCCAATTCTGGGCTGATCAATATTGGAGCTCTGATCGGTTCCATCCTGGGTGCCATATACACCTATCTGCTGTCCGACTCTCGCTTGAAGAGCCAGGCTAAGCATGAGAGTCACGGATACGCAGAGCCAGAGAGTCGTCTGCCTACCATGTTCCCAGCGCTCTTGATTGCGACAGCCGGTTTCCTCACCTTCGGCTTCTGCGCCCAGAATCCTTCGATCAAAGGCTGGGTCGGGCTGGAGTTTGGCTATGGTATGATCTCGTTTGGACTGATGCAAGTGCCGTCGATTGGTTTCAACTATGTAAGTGCCATTGGCGACTCAATTATCTGACCAAACCGACTAACTAGTGTTTCAGTTGATCGACTCCTATTCGTCCCTTGCTGCAGACTGTTTTGTTATGGTCACCATCCTGCGTGCAATCATCGCGTTTGCCTGGACATTTTTCGTGTCGGAATGGATAGCAGAGGATGGGGCAGCTGAAGCTTTTGGAATCTTCGGCATGCTTATGGGCATTTTTGGTCTTCTTACCGTGCCGTTGTGGTTATATGGTAAGCGGATGAGGATTGCGACCGCGTCGGTATTCGGATACTAAGTGTTGGGCATGGAGCTTCGATGAAAGAGCAAATGGGATCGATCATTAATGACAACTTAATTGGAGCGAAGGGATTGGAAACCGAACCGAGCCCATGATGTGATCAAGTTGTCCTTTTCCATCCGATAATGTCATAAACATGTTTGGCCACAACGCCAACCAGAGACCAACCCATGCATCCAAGACTCACCTGTAGGGCCTCAAGTCGCTCAAAACTTAGTGCAATTTTAATAACTCGCGAAATTCTATATTTTACCGCTTACTTTCTGTCTGATAAATTCGTACACTCATCGTAACTTATTTAGTTTACTTATTAGTCCATTTTATGATGATCTACTTTTATCCCACATAAATCCACCTTTATTTTATAATATTCGACTCCTCGAAACCATCGTCAAATGGCACTGATCGCGAGATTTGCGCCGCGCGAAGATCGATATAATCGCAGTTGTCCGGTGTATCTTGTGTGGGTAAGATCCCAACCTCGGTGTCGAAGAAGCGGTTGTAGAAGTTGATGGCATTTGTATTGTCACCAATAGGCGCAAGGTACTTGTTCTGGCACATAACTGTAGTGTTGCCGCACTTAGTATCGGAACGATACCCGTGCTGAGGCGCTCGTCGAGCATCTCGGCGACCTTGTGGAACACGTGTCCGGCCTTGAGCGACGTTCTTGGGCCGGCTATTAACAATGGAAGTCGAAGCTAGTGGTGCTTGTTTCTAGCGAGGCGAGATTTCCTCATGTAGGCTGACGGCCGACTTGATGTGGTCATGGTCATAGATCATGCTACCTAATAAATTAGCGACGACTATTTCGCAGAGTCCAAGGCGATCTTGAAAGACGAGCAGAGCACATGGAGGAGAGGCTATTTTGAGATGCCAAAAATCAATGTTGAAACAATTGAGACAGCCATCGGCGAACGGGTCAAAGACTTTCACCCGTTTACCCGCCCGGACTTACTAGATGCTCCGGCACTGCCTACGGATTTCTTCTTGCTGCAGTAAGAAGTCCAGCAACACCAGGCCCCTTTTGCACCGACTGAAATCGCGATCGTACGTCTGCTCCCACTTGAGTTCCGGTCCATCAAACTGTCGACCAGAAGATTTCAAGAACCGCATGAACCTGAAGATAAATAGTGCCGCATTGGGAAAAGACTCATAGGGCTGACGCAGACACTGTTTCTCAATGTATCGTTCAGGGTTTCGGTGATCCCGCCTCGCTGCATATATGTACTGATCAACAGTCATCCAGTCGGGCAGTTGTTGCGCTAAAGCGCTAAGGCTGGTGGATTTGAGACATCTGTTGAGATACTGCCGAAAAGCATCTTGAACCGATTCTGCAGTGATAAGAGCGATGGCACCTTCGATGGCTGGAAGCTTGAACGACTTTCGAAGCCCTTCGAGAGCCTCCAAGAAGTGGTTGGTGCCTGTGCTCATTTTCTTGAGAGGTTGCCAGTACGAATCAATCCTGAACATGTCACACGTATAGTCGAAGCGTTGGCAGCGTTGTACAGATATGTGGCAATATATACTCCATACCCGAGCCCCCACGGGGAAATTATCGCCATAAACTCGTTTGGCCTAGAAATGTTGGTGCACCAGGTTTCGAAACAGAAACATAGGAACAAAGCACTTTCGTTTGCTGGCCTCTCGTGCTTTAGAACAATTCGATCACGCAAGGAAGTAAAGCGCATTGTTAGCTGGGATTATGATATAGCTTGTATTCGTGGATAGTGTCTTTCAGAGCACGTCTTATTCTAATGGTTTGGGTTTTACGTGCATTGCTCGATTTCAACTGAACAGTTCATCGCCAACTGTTGTCCCATCCTGCTTGTTCTACAACAAAGGCAATAGCCAACTCCGAGAAGCGAGCCATATGCTGCGACCAATTAGCCAGAATCTGATAGTCGACGAGTGAGAACTCACGTCAATAGAGAAGTATCCGTTTGTATCGTTGACGTCCATCGTGTCCTTTGAGGTATGGACATACGGGTCGTAGTCTCCGGGAAAGCCGCCGTGCATTGGATCGCCTTCGGAGGCAAAGGCGGCGGGATAGTTGAGCTTTGTGTAAGACATATAATCGGATCCGGCATTCCTGTTTCGATTCAGAGGTCGAACATTTCACGGCGGATAGATGGGTGACTTACGGTCCAAGCTCATAGACATCAGATTCGATGGAAATGTATTCCTTGGCAAGCTTCAGGGCCCAATAAGTCAGGGCATCATCTGCCTGGGTCTTGATGAAACCGATAGACTCAGTAGAATTTCGCGCAATATAAGCAGTCATATCCTATTCCTTGTGAGCTACTTGTGTTTTTGGAAGGAAGGTTTCACGATGTACTCACAAACTCCATCATGGCTCCAATAACTGCATTCGAGTCTTTCTTGTATCTGGCAACTGCCTGGCTGCCCAGCAGTCCACCTTCTTCCGCAGCGTACCAATGGAACTCGACTGGCCCGTCCTTGGGTATGAAGCCGCTGTGCGCGAGAACTCGGAACGCCTCGAGGATGCTGACGGAGCCGGAGCAGTCGTCGTCAGCGCCCGGCGCTGGCAGCAGGGGGAACAAGTAGTTGGCGGAGTCTTGGTGGGCGCCTAGGATGGTCAAGGGATGTGTCCAATTGCGCACCTTGGGTTCGAAGCGCGCAATGATGGAAGGCTGAGGGAAGACGTGGGTAAAGAATTCGAGCGAGATATGCGTATGAAAAGGACTCTCGGCAATGATCTCGGCGACGTGGTCGTGCAGCCACTGAGCGCTGTGTTCTCCGGTAACCCCACCATAATATCGGTTATAGTAGCTCGTCAAGTGCTTGAGCACATCATGCATCCTCTGCGTCGAAATTTGGGGAAAGAGAGGCTTGATCAAGCGATGATGTCTGAGATCTGGCAGTTCTGGGGCCCATGTTAGCCGAAAGTGCGCCGGCGGCACGCGTGGATAATCACATACTCGCTTTGCCTGATAGCGCCCCCAATTGCTCTGTGTACATGTCCTGATAGTCTGTGACGTCCATGAACTTGTGCTCTTTTCTCCGCAGGCGCATCTTGTCTCCGTTGGTCATCCATTTCGGCTCTGGTTCGCCTAGGACGTGGAGGAGTCGCGGCTCGGCCAGCTCCTCAGCAGCCTCGGGCCGAAGCGCGAGGTATGCATCTACGGGGTCTTTGTGGGCTTGGACAACCTGAAGCAGCTCTGCGTGTGCCTCTGGGCGAAGGCCGTGTAGATCGAAGGTCTCGAAGCGGTCGGTCGACGGGCCGAAGACGACCTGGTTGCCAGCGGCCTGGGAGCTTGCGACGAATTCGGTCGTGCCCAACAGGAGGAGCAGGTTGGTGATTGACGATCGCACCATGTTGGTTATGTTGGCAGTGGCCGATTGACACTATACGAGAGTTTGGCCCGCAAGCGAGGCGAGGCCGTTCTTTTACATACAGAGAGCAGGGAAGCGCTTCGGAGTCGACATTCATGTCGCAATCGGAGACGGCTGCGGATCCGTACGTGTCACGGGCTCCACAGCAGCTCTTACAGGGGACCGGCCGCCGCTAACTTTGTGCTGACCTGCCTAAAACAGGCCTACAAGTAAGCATTGCTGTGCGCTAAGCCGCCCCAAGCTTCAGCCCTTTCGGCGTCGCAGTTCGGAGTTCAACTCATCCAAAGCATGAGAGAGTTGACCATAATTTCGAAGATTGTGAAACGTCAATGTTGTTCGGTGGCAGGGCGGTATCAATATGAAGAGGACTAGATAGGCCGATCGTGCCCAAGCGTTCATGTCAAGCCTGTTGGAAATGTTATACATACATCTGCGACGAACCTTTGCGTCATCTTATTACAGGCCCCTACTTTGCGGGAGCGCCACAGCAAGCTACCGCCTATAGAGGCGCAAACATCGAGTTCGTTCCGTCCATATCCTCCAGTTGAAAGGCAAAGTCAAAGTCCATCTCCCCATCTATGAGATTTAGAGGACCCCAGTAGTGATTCAAGTGAATCATTGCCTCGTTGGCGTCCACTGTAGGCGCCACCGTCGGCGGCGTCTCTGTGGAGAACTTCCTCCTCGCCTTGTCGATCGATTTCTGCATCAGCTTGGCAGCCTTGAGCGCTACCACGCACTCATCCATGGTTTCCAAGATCTCAATGGCCATGGCTACAACTTTGAGCAATGGCTCCGTTTCCGTTTCTGTCGCCTCTTTCATGACGTAGACAAGAATCACAGAGGCTGCGAATACCGTATAAGTGGTATTGTAGTACCTGCACCGTCGTCAGTGCCGCGTTTGTCGGCAGCCGCCGCTGGAAGATGCTCACCAGGTACGGAAGAAATCATGATGTTGATATGTAACATAGATCGTGTCAATGGTCTGCTTTGCAGAGTCCAAGCACTTCTGGATACCCTCGCGAATCCCGGGCAACGTGCTTCGCTCATTCGAGGAGGAGGTTAGCAGTAGAGAACCGAAGGTGAGTATTCGGAGGTTGTGATATCCTTAGTTGCGCCCATTAGATCGAGTAATCTTGGTGATGGCGGAAGACTTACTAATGCCTAGGACCAGCCTTTGTCGTTTGGCCCACTGCGGATCCCGAACGCTTTTCAATGAAACCGGCTCACCCATGGATTGCTTCGGTCGGATCGCCATCGGGAGGCTCTCTACCCATTTGTCGAGATCTTGCTCTAGTCGATATGCCACAGCAATAGTCCTAGGAGTAATCGTTTCCGGCAGGTAAATATCAAAACATATACTCCTGGTTATCCTAGATAAGTCAACCATTGATTTAATGATGGCGCACTGAGGTGGTTCGAAGCGGTCGTGGGAAGAAGATCCCGAGTTCTCATTGCCTATGAGCGGGAAGCTTCGATTGTGGTATAGGTCTGACCCGAGAGTGTCTGGCCGTCCCATGGCGAAAGACATTTCACTAAGCCCACTGTCAGCCATCCGTCTCGAGAGACGACAGAATGTGACTTACGTTTCTAGAGAGTATAGACCCCTATTTTATATTGGGTTAGCTATGCAATGAAGGGGGTCAATGCTGCTTAAACGCTTACCACCACGTCCGTGCCTCAGCTTTTAGTTGTGATAGAGGCTTTCTCGATTCGGGAGGTGGTTCTCTGTTTATGCCCATAGCCAGCGCCGTCCGCACCGCAAGGCCCACGTACATATAAGACCCTACAGAATCAGTTAGACCTACTGGCCAAATTCTTGCGGAAGAGTACTTACAATGGGCGTTCAGCTCGTTCTGACATATCTTGGACTGTTTGTTATTATGTTAGTTTTGTTTCGAGGATGATGGGACCGTTGGCGAGGCATACCAGCATAAAGTAGCATTGTACCATATCCAGATCCGTCACCATGCCAAGCCTATGGCAGCGCGAAATCGCCTCATCGAAGAAGGTTCGACTCCACTGAAGGTTACTAACACCACCAATAGGTTCTTCTTCCCTTGGCCCTACCAAGGCCCCTAATGACAGCATGCTGTAGTAGAGTGCAGCAAAGCTAGAAGTATGTAGAGGATCGCCTTCTTGCGACCATAACTTCTCGCACCGCGAAAGGAACTCGGCCTTATCCAAGAACGGGTGCACGAAATGTATACTGGTGAAATAATTCAAAATAAAGTTACGACATTGTGGATAATGCGTGACTCGACCCGGGCGGTGGCCTCCGAGAGCTGCATCGACGGCTGGTGAGAATGCGTGGTTGTGCAAATTCGACACGAGGGCTTCCCCGTCATGATCTTCTGGTGACTCTTCGGGCGCATCTCCGGCTCCACCTGCCCTCTGAACCTGCGACAAGATAGCAACTGATGATGAACTACCGTAGAACTCCACATTTCTGGTGTGCCGATTGACGCCAGAAACCTCTTGTCCGGCACCTGGTCTCAGCCGTGTGGATGCAGGCGATTCAGCATCATAGTTGCTTGAAGGATGTCGATCAGCATCTCTGTATGTTGGGGTTGTAGCAGATGGTTCATCTGTAAGTGGTGTAGTATAAGTGACTGATTGTCCGTTCTTGACTTGAGCCTGCAACGCAGCTAAACGTTTCACTTCCTCCTCAAGATGGCGCACATAGCTGTGGGCGATGTTAGCAATGGACTAATGCCAGTCTCCAATCGATGTTCTCACTGACTCCGGAGTAAACAGTCGCCGGCCAGAGTCTTGACCTCTGTAGACGCACTCGATGTTATGATCTGTGATTGTCAGGCCGGGTTTGTTCTGGCACTTGTTGTGGCAAGATACTCACTTCGGCAGTATGTACATGGATACAAATCGTCGCACTTGTTCTTCTTGATCCGGCATGCATCGCACGCCCGAGCTGCCCGGGGTCGTCGGACTTTACTACCGGAATTTTGGGTCGGTGGTGGTCGGGGACTGGCACGATCCATTGGTGCCTACGATGCCCGTATTATGGGCTAACGGGTGGAGCAGATCAAATGAATCTCATGATTCTCGTACGTTCATGTGTTCCCATCGTCCCCTTTTCATGTATTCAAGGTGTCGCTCGCCAAAAACCTGGGGTTTTCTGCACAGCATACTACCCTTCCAATACTCCGCATGAAGTCTCGAACAGACTTATCACGTGGCGAAGGGGGGAGTGGAGAACATGTGGAGAACCTTGATCAGTCGCAGTGTGGGATGGATTGCGGATGAGACAGTCGCATCCATTTGTACTCCGTACTTGGAGCTTCAATCACCATGACACCCAGTCACAGCTAACGCTAGAGCACTATTTATGGACTATGTATTTGTGCTTCTAAGAGCAAACGTCTGCGTCGGACCGAATGCGGGCTTTGGGAGTGGTACGCACGCTATATTCCAGCTTGTAACCGAGAAACACCCCACGTCAAAACCTGCACGTAGAGACTACAGTAGAGCGCGTGCGGCGCCCAAAGACCAAAGCCCCAACGCCGAGCGTTGGTGTCGTTACGTACATACCTTTACCTGGCTTGATTCCTTCTTGTGCCCACCTGCGACAAGCCAGATTGTTATTGTCGTCATAACACTTCAGCTTCAAGATGTCTAGGAAAACCTCATTCCGTATGCTTTCGAATACAGCTCAAGGGACCTGTTGTTTCACTGGGGACCGTGTACCTTCTGTGGCTTACAGGCAGGGGGGCCGCCCCAAACATCAATCGGGTTCTGGCCGGTTGATCTATCGAGAGCCGGGTAGAAGAAGCCCGCCGGTGGCATATGTCTCTTACTGAATAACCTAAGGTTAGTTGCCTCAAGGGCTCGAAAAACAATCTGCGTAGATGTCGTGGCCTTCGCACCTCGCACTTATGAAGTTACATTCGATGACAGTCTGCAGTCCGAATACCCCAGACATCGGACATTTTAAGGTCCCGAGGCTCGCGCCATGTCAAGCCGCTCAGTTCCCGTGGCGATCGAGCGCATGCCATGGCCCGGCTTGTACCAGCCGTGTAATAGCGAACTTAAGATGCGTCTGAAGCTTCTTTCAAGGTCCAAATTGCCCGGAATTGCCGGTTGCCACGGAACGTGAAGCATGGTTCGGAAATTCCGGTCGATCTTCCCCGACTTCCCACCAAGGCATTCGTGCTCCCATTTATTCGCCCCAATTCACCGGGGAATCTGGGGTCGTGTGGGGGTGCGATGCAACATCCTGGGACATCATTAGACCATTTATCTTATCCTTTATCGGCTGACGTTGGACACTGTCACTTTCTGCATTGCCTCACTCGTCTACTCAAGATAGATTCCAGTCATGGTATGTGGCCTCCGAGGCGTGCGACGCGTCAATCAGTGACTAACGTTTATCTTTTCAGGCTCAAGAACAACGCAGAAGCAGTGTCGAGTTGGACATTATCGTCGTGGGGGCTGGCCTGAGCGGCTTGGCTACAGCCATAGGGGCCGCTTTATCAGGGCACCGCGTGACCGTATACGAGTCAGCCAAAGAGCTTCTCGAGGTAACCACCGACCAGGAGCCATTGGTTTCTTAATGCGAATGCTTACTGTGCTTCAGGTTGGCGCTGGTCTGCAAGTAACACCAAACTCAACAAGAATCCTACAGAAATGGGGCTTGCCGGATAAACTGTGGCAGTCTGCCGCAGAGCCCACTTCTCTTCTTGTTCATAGATACTCCGGTGAAGTTCTTGCCATGGAAAAAGACTTCGACAAGAACATTCGGCGGAAGTATGGAGCTCCCTTTATCGACCTTCACCGAGTCGATATGCAACTATCACTTTTCGACCGTGCCAAGGAGCTTGGTGTTGAGTTTAAGCTCGGGCAGAAGATCAAGTCTATCGACTTTGATATTCCTGAGGTGACATGTGAATCAGGGCTCAAGGGGAAGGCGGACCTCATTGTCGCAGCCGACGGTCTGTGGTCTCGGAGTCGGGCTTGCCTGCTGGGCAAAGAGGATCCTCCACTGCCAACTGGCGACCTTGCATACAGAGTCGTTCTGAAGCTTGACCAGATCACAGATCCCGAACTAAGATTGTGGGTCAAGTATCCTTCTTGCCACTTCTGGATTGGACCTGGTGCACATGCTGTAGGGTACTCCCTGAGGGCTGGCGAAATGTACAATATCGTGCTTCTGGTGCCCGATGACTTGCCCGCAGGTGTCAGCAAGCAAACTGGCTCAATAGAGGAAATGAAAGCACTCTTCAAGGGCTGGGATCCCGTCTTGGGACGGTTCCTGGATCTCGTCGACGGTGTTGAAAAGTGGAAACTGATGCACAGTAAGTTCAAGGGATGTTCTATAACCTTCACCGACGTTACTAAATTGACTTTTACAGGAGAAGAACTCGATTCATGGGTCAATGACAAGTCCAATTTCGTCTTTGTTGGAGACGCCTGCCATCCAATGCTGCCCTATCTAGCACAAGGCGCAAACTCGGCTATCGAGGATGGGGCTGTTCTGGGAGGACTCCTCGGTCACATCGAATCCAAAAGTCAGCTACCCAAGGCACTGAAGATGTACGAGACGCTGCGGAAAGCCAGAGGGGAGGCAATTGTCCGTGAAACTTTCAAGCAGCGCGCTGCGTTCCACATGCCTGATGGGCCGGAGCAAGAGGCCCGTGATGAGATTTTCCGACAATACATGGACGGCGAGAAACTCGACGGCTCCCTCCCGAGTCGATGGACATGCCCTGAAGTACAACCATGGATTTATGGATACGATGCCTTCAAGGAGGTGGAGGATGCGGTGCGTAAGAGCCCCTTTGCTGCTGTCGACCAGACTGAAGATGCCTCCTGCACAAACTGGAGCCCACCTGTGATTGGCCGAATCGCTTCATGGATTAAGTCAAGGATGGCCTGGGCATCATTATAAGTTAGCATGATTACATTTACATATAGCGTATACCGGAGTTAGTGGTGTAACATAGTTCAGTTGGATTAGCCAATCATTGGACAAGTCCTGATCATTCTTTCAACATTGTGGTGCCACAGCCCGACCCATGGAATGTGGGCATCGTGGGTGGCGTCTAGTTTCGCTTCTGACATAAATTGTATCGATTTCCAGCCTGACAGAGTGCATACTTTAATGCTAATAGGATGCACAATCGGTTCATCGTGAGTTGGCCATTGCTTAGATTAACGATGTATTTATACTATAAGACTCTCCAGGAAGTCGAAGCCTTTCCGTTGCAGATCCCAAGTCTGAGTTCCGATCTTCATCTTTCCAGCGAAGGTATGCTCTTCACCAGGCACTTCGGTCATACCGCACTTGACGCCGGCCTTCTGCAAAGCTGCATACAAGTCCTTACTTAAGCTCAGCGGGACCATGGTATCTGCCTGGCCATGCACAATATACGTGGGAGGGAAAGTGCTAGACAGGTTGAGGAGTGGATCAACCTTCTTCCATTCCTTCGATGGGAAGATTGCATCCATTACTGTCCCGTTGCCAATTTGTGTCATCGCGAATGCCACACGAGGGTCATTGAAGTTTGGACCACCAGGATTGGCCTGGCCTTCCAGCGAGACACCGCCAACGATCGGAACAGGCCTTTCGTCGAATATCTTTGAGATGAAGTCCTCGGTCAAGGGTGGCAGTTTTGCCTTCACGTGCGCCACAGGAATTGTCCAGAATGCGTCTGCGAAGTTGCACGGTCCATACATATCGTAGATGCCGGCTACAGGACGCGGCACATCAAAGCCCTAAAACATGAAAATCAGCACAGCCACAAGAGGAGATTGCCATGCCAGGAGATTGCGACGTACCAAACTAAGAGCAAGAGTGCCTCCAGAAGAGGTGCCGAACGCGAATACGTAATCCAGATCGACCTTGTAGTCGCCCCTTTCCAGTATGGACAATTCCTTCTGCAGACCACCGTCATGTATCCATGCCAGAAGATCGCGGATATCCTTCATCGGTCCTTCAAGGAGGTTGACCTGAGGACACAATCGATGGTTTGGAACCAGGACTATCCAGCCCCGGTTGAGGCAATCTTCGACCTGGTCCTTATTGACCATGCCCGATGCACCGAGCATGAATGCACCCCCGTGGATGTCGATAACTGCAGCGGTATATGAGCATCTGTTCACCTTCTAAATAAAGTGGTTGGCCACTCACTCACGGGTTGGCCAGCACCTCGGATGTTACCCGAAAGGGGCGGCAGGTAGGCCTCAACATCGATGTCTTGGCCATCAAGGACTTTGTAGACAAGGCGGTTGGATGGTGTGTTCGCCATTTTCGAGATGCACAACAAGGAGAATTCGACTTAAAACTGAGACCCGGTCTTACTTCTGCAGTTACTGGTGGTCTCAAATAATCTTGCTGAGGATGTACACATCATGCGGAGTTAGGCGTCCTAGCTTGGAGTTTACTTAAGCGGCGTGCTTGGACTGTTCACCAGTCCATCAGAGCATACCCGCTAAGCAGGTGCCATTGTCGGAAAGGCCGGACGGCATTTTCGGTATCGTTAAACACAGAAAGGCACCCCACAGGCTACCAGATGCATAACATATTGCTTTAGGAGCAAGCAAACTAACAGAAACGTTTTGAGTCATCCAACATTATCTCGATCCTCTGTCGAGCTGCACGCAGTTTGGATTTGGAGTCTACATAAACTCTCAGAACATCTGGCTGCTCTAGTAGAGTGGGGTTACAAAACCTTTTTACTGGGCATAACTGGATGCTATAATTTTTTATCCGTCACCAAATGAACTGCCCTCAAGCCCAGCGATTTCCCGAGAGATCATTTTGCTAGCCTCCGAGCATTCATTCCTTTGTTAATATGATGAACGCACTGTAGCAAACTCGCGACGCGAATTCCTGATCATGCAATGTCCGGCAATTCCGGGCAACACCTCCACATTGCTTCGGCATTTCCAGATGAGACACACACCAAGTGTCCCTTACCTGTAGCCCCCTCATGAGTCAGTTGGCAGAGCCGTAGTTTTCTGGGATTGTGGGGTAACGGGAGTGTTGAAATGGAAAAGTCCGCTTAGTCAATCGTTTTGAAGGATTGGATAAGAAAAGGAGACCTCCATCTGAATTGCGCAGTTTTGTTGTAGATGGTTGCTGCACAAAGTCATACAGAACCTCAAATTAACATATTACAAAGTCACACGTCATACCCGCTAAAATGAGCATCCCACTTCACTCGCTACCCCCTCAAGAGAGGACCAACTACATAATCGATCAGCTTGAGGGTGAACGCATTACGCTTCCAGGTAGCAAAGGTGCATTCCGCATCCTCGCGTCCTCCAAACAGACGAATGGTGGCATTGCCGTCTTCACCAGCGGTGCCGTACTATCGGATGCCCCCGGCTTCCACTGGCATAAGGAGGCGCATGACGTATTTCTCGTCACTAAAGGATACCTCAAACTTTGGAATGGAGACAAATGCAGGATAATGGGACCTGGCGACTTTGCATACGTCCCTCCTGTAAGTCCATCTCACTCCTGTAGCATCAAATCACATGACTGACCGAGAACAGACTGTCATCCATAACCCTGAACTCTTGGGGCCACACACAGAGACGCTGGGTCTTGTGGCTCCCGGCGACTGGGTTGACTTCTTCCGCTATGTCGGAGAGGAGTACAAGGGTCTCATCATCCCCGAGTTTGACAACCGGGACCTGAAAAGCTTGCTGATTCCTAAGTTGATGGCAGCCAAGGATCGGTTTGACGTCAACTTTGAGCGCAACTACCAACCTCCTGAGGTAGCGGACTGGCAAGACAACGAGAACGTGCTAGGCGGCGACTTGGAGCCGTACTTCCTACGCGCTAACAGCGGACCACGCTGGGTGCTGGGCGGCGTGCTGTCACGGCCGTTCATCAACGCCTCGCAGTGCAGCGGCAAGTTTTCTATTACGAGTCTGGAGTCTTCAAAGGTTTACGGAGAATCTGCGTTCTCGTCGCAATGGGTCAGCTTCCCTGATGTGGATCACTGCTTCTGCGTGCAGGAGGGCCTGCTCAAGCTGAAAATCAAGGGCGAAGGCGAAGTTTGGAGCGAAGTTAGAGAGGGACAGACTGCGGTCATTGCTGCCGGACAGTCCTTCAAGTTGGACTTCGGCAGCCGGTTTGTGCGGACTATAACTTTCACGAATGGCCCCGGTATCGAGTATCTTATTCATGCCGCGGGCTCGTCACACCCTGGCTTTGTGCTACCGGACGAGGCTTCGTCTTGGGACAAGTCAAAGTTCGAGGCCGCGGCCAAAGAGCTTGGCGTACAGCTATCATGATAATGATATTATGCAATGAAATATTTATTAGCGAATTAGTTCTAAACCTTTTCCAAAGAGTATCCTCCGAGAGTATTCAAAGTATATCATCAAGTGACTACCAAAAGTTCAAATTTAATGTCCTGCGGAAACAGTGTCGGCACTCATTCTATGCTAATGGTTTGAAATTGCTCGACAAAGGCGGTTACGAAGCCTGAGCAGTCTCGTGCGGATCTATTTCACGTGGCCTTTTGTTCTAGCGTTCCGATGTCGATCGACCACAGCCACCAAGATGATAGTTAAATTCATCAATGATGGCACGCCCAACACAACGTCAATACAGACCGTAAGTACCCACTTGTGGTGTTTGTCGCAGCGGGCTATATGAGCCTGCGCCTCCACTTACGGAGGTAGTAAAGCTGACTGTAAGATAAAGAAACTCCCGTCGCGAGGGCGTTGGCAGTTTTCATCAACCAAGTCTTCTTGGGAGATGGCAATGCCGTTCGCTGCACTGCCGCTTTTGCGATCTCGACCTTTTGAAGCAGGGACAATGCAGAAGTTCATGACTTGACTAAGATTGAACATAAATTCATTACCAGTGACATCTGTAGTTGTTTCTAAGCAATTACAGGACTCGCATGTCGTCAAACAACAAATCACGATAGTTGCTAGTCTCCAACAGGCGACGGAGCCGAGATCTGGATTCAGCCACTGCACCAGCACGGGTAAGTTACTCCCAGTGCCGCTACTATTCTGCCAAAATATCGTGTAGTTGTGACCCAAAAGTAATAATGCAGGCATGACGTTTCCGGCTTCGGGGCTCCAAGGATATGCTCATTTATGCGTACCAAGGAGCGATGTCACATTCCAAAGTCGTGCAGCTAACATACATAGACAAACAGTACTTATTTGTAAATATTTCTACTTGAACGTTATTGTCAAGGCCTCCTGGCTAATCAAGAAAAGCGCGCGCAACGGCACGGTCGTTATTGGTAGTTGGCCATCTACATAGGACGCCTGTTTCAGCATAGCCACCAGCATAAGAATACCAACGGATGGCAACAGGCATCATATTTCTTCCCATATATTGGATAAGCTCACTATTTGATACGTGGAGGTTGGTGATTCTGATAGTATACTATTCATATTAGTGGATTCCTTTAGCCGTCCAAACCGCCTGAAGCCTTGAATATCCCATATCAGAATGGCCCTTAGCTTGGCTGACATAGGCGAAGTTTGGACCCGGTACTGTGCGAGCTATTACAAATAAATCTCGCGTACCTACCGGACCGAAATTATTTACTCGCGCCTCGTCTCGGCACCCAGAAAGCCGAAAGCGCCAACGTATGGTGCACCATTAAGGCCAGTCCGCAAAAATAAAAAATCTAGGATTTGGGATTACGGCTGGCCTTAATGGTGCACCATACCAACGGGATGTAACCATTCCTCTACGTTCGGATGATCGTTTCATCATAAGCTACCCAGTCACCACAACGTCGATTGGGCTTGCACTTCGAAACCAGGGGGAGGCAGTAGCTGAAAACAAAAGGAGATTTACTGCATTGCGGAAATGGTATTACGAATGGCTGATTCGATCTCATAGGGTTTAGGGGCTTGCTGTTTGCCGAAACGGCCAAAGGAGCATACAATGTCTAACAAGACTATCGAGCAGTATTAGTTGGAGCTTAAGAGTGCATTTCCTTCTGGAGAAGTGCGATATCGGTCTGTGTTACTCTAGGACCTAGGCTTGATTGTCACAGGCTGGATAAGCAACCGAAGAATCGTAAGGTGTTGTCTATGAATAATGCTTTATTTACAAGGGCCTAGGAACTATTCATGCTCAGTGATCTCTAACAGCACTAAGACGACAGTAACAAGATGCCTTGACAGGTATATCTGCCTTCTTCAGTGCTTTATTTAGTTGTGGCGCGATATTCTCTGCATCCTCTTTCCGGCCGAGCTTTACCAGACACTCGTGGTAGCCGTGTAGCGCCCACACATTATTTGGATGGCGCTGGGCCCGAGGTAGTTTTTCGTCGAATCCAAGGTCTTCCGCGTAGACCTTAGCAGCCTTTTCAAAGTCACCCTGCTCCATCAGCAAAGCGCCATATGCATGACGCGTCGGTTGCATCCATCCCCAGGGTTCATCGTATGGCAGACCGTCATCTAGTGCGATAGCTTCTAAGAGATGAGCGAAGGCTGAGTCATAGTTCTTCCGCCGATACTCAATCTCTCCGTTCATCATAGCTTCTGCGACATCTAGAATATCAACACATTTGTTATTGAACACCATGCGCGATTCTGGCACACTTCTACGGGCAAAAGAGAACCTTTTCGCTTCCTTGTCGGCATTCTCAAGATCCTCCTTTGATGCAAAAGCAACAGCTTTGGCATAGTGGGTCATGGTCGTTGTCATGCAGTAAAGTTTGGCATCAGTAGGGAAAGCCAACTCAATGATTTCCTGCCACCGACCGAAACGAATGAGGGCATGTATCTTCATCGAAAGAAAGCCCTCGAGCCAGTCTGCCATTGGCGGGGACTTGACCCGCAGCAGCTCATCGGACAGCGATTGCTCCATGCGCTCGACAGTCTGCAATGCAACTTTCGATTGGCCGGCAAACATGGCGGAATAGATACAGAAGTGGTAATCATGCATCCTGTATAGCGTGTAAAAGTTGAGTGGTCCGGCGCGGGCCAAGAACTTCTCATCGACTTCAAAGGCTCTTCGATTCCATTCAATGCCAAGATCATAATCGCCGAGCAGCAAGTCTATATGCGTAGGCATATGGTTAAGGTGACCGCTATCCGGTACCAGTGTACGCAACCGGTCAGCTGCTGGCTTTGCAGCTTCAGGTGTTGGCGACATCTCCATTAGGTGTATATAGAGATGCAGCAAGCCGGGATGCTGCATACCGCCTTGTAGAGCCATGGCATGATCCAGAATTGCTTTCGTAGCGAGCGTGCGGGCTCCCTCTGCCGGGTTGCCGGTCTTCAAATCCCAAAGCTGCCACGGCGTGAGATTCATGAGCGCATCTGCACAGAAGGCGGCTACATCGAGGTCGTCTGGAAAATCATGGTATACCTTCTCCATCGCATCCGCATATGATTTGTTCCATATTGACAAATCTTCATCTGCGCGTTCTCGTGGATATCTGAATAGCAGCGCATTGATCAGAGCCTTTTCTACGGGCGAAGCCTCGGAAGCTGTCCTTATAGCCTCGGATACCATCCTATGAGTCCTCTGTACTGTGGTTTCGAGCTCAGTAGAGTCAAAGAACTCCCAAGGCTTGTTGTAGTTTGGTCCCAGGGCATAAGCGGCACCCCAATAAGCCATGGCAAGACTGCTGTCACTAGCAATAGCCTTCTCAAAACAGTTGACTGCCTCCTCATGATTGAAGCCGTAGCTCCAAAGAAGGCCCCTGTTAAACCATTCTCGAGCCTCCTCATCTGTAGTACTAACGGAGCGCCTGTAAGAGCCCAGGTCGTAATATGCCCCGCTCGAAATGGTACCCTCGATTGATGCCATGGCGGATACAAATTTAGGGCGTTGGGCCCAATAATTTATGTAAACCAGCACTACTGGAGTGAGGCTCTCGCTGTTGAGGTTTTGTTGACAGGTCAGCCAGAGGGGATAGTGTCTGAGACGGCTGGTTGAGTGGCAACATGGCGACACTCCCAGTCTTCGCCATCGTGATAGCGTGCTAGGAATTTGGGCGGGGCACGTCGCGGGGCTGGCTTGCTCTGTGTTTCGTCAAAATTCCATTTGTAGCTCCAATGCTGAGCGGGGTGCTCTAACCTTAGGGCATTGTAGCCAACAATAAGCAATAACATCGAACGGCTATGAGTCGTCGCGATTCCGTCGAGATAGGCCATTCACACTACTGCTGCTCATCGGTATACTATTTGTCGTGAGAAAATAATAATAAAAAAATCGGTGCTTTATTCAATAATAGTTTGCTTGCTACTACCCTGGCCCATTCATCACACTCCACCTAGCCTAGAAACTTGCCACCAATCAAGAGCCGCTGTTCTTTGTATCGTCCACGGCGGCCAGGGCGACCAAACGCCTCTCGCGCGACACGTGTATATTTCTATGATAGTGTACAGTATCACTACATCCCAAGCTTCATATCACTCCGATTTAGCGCCTCTATAACAATTCGCATCCATCCGCCCTTCAGAGGGAATTGAAACTGAATGCAAGATTATCATTCATGGAAATATACGCAGTATCTTAGTACTAGAGGTAAGGGGCATTGTTGAGCTGATCCGCAGTAAACTGTGTTAGGCAACGAAACTTCCTTTCCGCATACCGATAAGTACCCGACTCCTCGCAGTCGTAGGTGTGCTTAGGGAATAGAATACAATTTCCATATGTGTTACCATCCACTGGCAGAGGTTAGTGTCGATGCCTTATATACACGCTACCTGAGAGTTCACAAAGGTTTGAGGATATTACTCACGTCCGACCATAGTATAGCCGCGATCCTTGTATAGAGCTATCATAGTAACGAAGGAATTAACGCTCAAAGTCTCATTACTATTATTGAAGCCAACAGTGAGGTTAAATGCTTACTCCAGTGATAGATTGGATTCGTCCCGTGGAAGTTCATCTCCAGCTGGTTGATGTTGGCGGGATCTCTCTCAACTCTTCCGTCGATATCTGGAAAGCAAGCGCTGCTCGGAGATGCCGAACACCGCATGCCTGTCTTTGTCCCGCTCACATCGCTCTGCCAGTTCCAGAACCACCTATCGAAGACCTCGTTGCAGCTGGGGTCAGTCGCGAAGACCTGGTAGCCGTATCGATAGATCCCTGCAGACGGAAGCTCTTCTATCGCAGCGTAAACGTCAAAGTTGGCAAAAGTCTGAGGCAAGAAAGTGGCCCCCAGGGCAAGGAAGGTGAAACCGAACCTCATCTTGATTCCCGGTGTCTCAGTAGATGCACAATCGATCTGTTGGGCAGTGGGAGATATCAGATGAGAATTTATACTCAGGTCATGTAGGTCGCGTATGCCTGGCCTGTGGTTCTCGTGTGTAGATTAGAATGCAGGTCTCGTATGGCTAGATCCATGCGAGTTCCGTATAGAAGGGCCATGCGAGTATTACTAATCTAGGGTATTCATTGGCTCTAACAGTGTTTACACTTACAAGTCCAGGTGGAGCGAGTTTGATGAGAACCTAGGCTTTCTAAGCACTCTCGCGTCGACAAGTCTACATGTGCGGGAAATATTAGAAGGACAAAGCATTTTATTCCACTGCTTGCCATCTGCTATTGAAAGTCCTCACTGTGGTGAGTCTCTTGAAACTTTTTCTCACGGGTTAAGCAAAATCCAGGTCGGCTGTATACGAAGCAACCCCATTGTCATTGCAACAAGAAAGACAGCGAATAAAGCTAGTACAACTATGTATCGATTCATTAGCTATCAAAGGGCTTGGCGTTCCTGCGTGATCCCACGTGAGCTAATTTTCGCTGCAAACGGACTTTTCCTCCATAATCCCGCTTTCACGCAGGGGCCATTTTGGTAGTAGTTCCCATGTAAAGTCCTCGTGATCCGATTGCCGCGGTGAACACTGAAGGTCTTTTGCAGCCCATAGCACCTTTAGACCTTGCACCTTCCGCTTTACTTCGTAGTATAACCAAACAACACTATCAATTGACCACTACCTTACTATGGATATCAGTAGAATCGTTGATCCTCTTAGTCAATTGAATCCTGAAGAATATCGAGCATTAGAAATCAAGTCATATGAGGTGTAACGACGGTGCTTGTAAGAAAAGCAAGAAACGCAGCCGGTTAACACCAAGACCAGCTACGAACAGTGTTGGAAGGAATGGCGGGCTTGGTATGAAGTAAACGTTCCTCTAAAGCCCGATCCTTGGCCGCTAGTAACACCATGGGACCAAACCGTACTGCTTGGTGACCTCGTTGATGAGCACAAGATGTTTATCTTTATGAAGTACATTATAAAACGGGCTCCTAAGGATGGAAAGCGAATAAAGCAGGCAAAGCTAGGCCGGGTTACTAAATAGCTCTTGCGACTTGACCAGAATACTGGGACTGACGACGATCTGCGTGAGGAATTGCAGGTTAAGCTATCGTACAATTCAGCTCGGCAGTCCATTAGTGCTATGCTGAAGTTGTATGACAACCAGTATATGAACAAGGAGAACCCGGTGCCACGACCAGTCCAGCTAGGGATCAAGTGCTTGTAGAGATACCTGCTCAGATCCAAGTGGGCAAAGGACCGCTGGGAACGTGCCGACCGTGGCGAAGGGACTACCAAGGATGCCTATACACCAGCTCAGCTACCTGACAATACCCGTGCTACTTGGTGTTGGCCAAAGAACCACTATAGTGCCCTCCGTACGCAGTGTGACTTCTTGTTAGGCAACCATATGTTGCTTAGATTAAGCAACCGGCGGCCCCTAAATTTGGCTGACTTGTTCTACTATGAATTGGAGAACGAGGGTATTCGTAGTAGTTAAAAGCAAGACCCGGTAAGGATCCTCGTGGTTTTGATGAACCGTAGCAAAACCAACTAACACGGTAATAAGGAGTATAGTGGTGCAATGCGCCACCGTGACGTCTTTAGTTGCGTCGTTGGCCAGCTCGCTTGTTGGCTATTCTACCGGTGGCATATTGAACGAGAAGAATTCCCAGACTTTAGCAATAGTTATGCTTGGTATAACGTGAAAGTCTTACCGAAGGCAAAGAATACACCTATAGAGGAACTATCCTATTAGACCTTTAATGCGTGGACCAACAAGATATATAGCGCCGCCGGGATTTCAGGATCCAAGACCACCCACTTACTAAGAGTAGCTGTTGCCATAGCTGATACACTTGGTGTTGCTGAAGCGGATGTAAGTACAGATATCCTCCTAGAACCTCCACCAACTTTTATGCATTCTGTACCCAATCTATGCCCTATATTTATCCACAGATAGAGCTCGTTAAGCGGATCTTCAGACATTAATCTCCATTGCAATCTGACATTGCTTCGTGGAGATATCAATCAGCAAGGTTGATTGAAAGTAGAAGACGTCGGCTCCTACCAATTCAACCATGTTCAATTCAGTTGATCTACAAGAGCTACTATAACCAAATACCTATTCCCGTCACTCTACCATCGATTTACCCATACTGCTACGATAGTAGCGATTCCAACTCTACGATGAGATGGTCACTGACTATTAATAGATCAGGCGGGCGGGTCGATGGAACAAAGGGGATCAGATGGCCAATTGCTATACAAACACCCTTTCAAGGCCAACTATGAGGCGCTTGCGGGCTTTGATCCTGAGTGGCCTGGGTCCTATTTTATAGCAAGGGCCACTATAACACCACCGTCTGAGCTCCAACGGCTGGTATTTCCACAGCTAAATGACTGGAGAGAAAAGCATCTCGATGCCGGCGATCCAAAGGCCACGGGAATTCAACCGAACAAGGCTGCTACTAACTTCCTCGATCTATTGCTATGGCTAAGGGAGGTATTCCTACAAGATGCTCCTTTCCTAATAGCTGAATTCCCTTAACACCCTATATGGCGGGATCCTCTGTTCACCTATCCCAGCTGGGAACCGTACGCCCACCTCGTCCGTAAAGTGGCTTGGGTTACTGACGAAGAGAGTTATATCAATATGGTAAACAAATCCTTGCCTGGGGTGGCAGAGAAGCTTCAGCTAGTTGCCCAATCCATAAGCACCCTCACCAGTGAAACCGCACTGAACCTCCCGTGGCCGTCCCTATAGCACCAATTGGTCACCGCCCACCAGTCACTATAGTCCACCGTTCTGGTGTCCGTCAGTGGCCTTTCCCCCGTTCCATCAACACCATCGTAGGACTGGTGAACCTGTGGGAATACGGCCATGGTAAGATGCCTTCTGTGAAGTCATTAGAAGCTCGATACGGATTCGCTTGGCGCCCGAAGAAGGAACGGCAGTACTTTAGTAGGCAAAATGCCTTGGTGCAAGAAGCCTACCGCCGCGGTGGGAATGACTTACAAAGGACCTTGATAGAGGCACAAAAATGGGATCTAGAAGTAAAAGGGCAGTCACTGAATAAGGTATTTATCAAGCTCAAGGCTACCCAACGATTGAAGGATCCTGGGGATTCAGTTGGTTGTGTAGAATAGTAGTAATAGAATGGCCACCATGGATAATACCCCTTAGTCAGAACTACGAACTCTCAAGTCCATGATATTCAAGCATTATTATCAGTCACTCCCGGATTTTACCACCACTATACTCTAAATATATAGAGACATCTGTGGCAATATGGATGACTATAGATGTCCACAGTGTACGGGGAGCACTCCGTACACTAAGGCGACGAGCTCGCGGATCACCGAACTTGGGAAGTGGTGATCACGTGACTAAGCCAGTGGGTATATGCCCACTTTCTGTACACCAATGTTCTCTTTTGTACTCGGAGACTTCTATATACTACTTGACAGTACCTATACTATCATTTCACGCTTAGAGCGTTACACTTACGAACCCATGCTCAGGCGAGCACCGTATTCACTATCCTATGCTCTAGTAGATTTAGGCTCTTCCTTTCAGTGCATCACACCAGACCTTCACTAGAACAGTCCTCTATATCAACTGTAGAATCTGTCATAACATCATATCGGTAATATTGGTCAATTCATGCGATATAGAAAAAGTGAGTGGTATATAAACCGAGTCGTTATTGCCGCCACAATGAATCGACGAAGCTATTCAGAGTTAAGGATTCCTACTTTAGGAGGGTACAGGGCGTTTTACCAGTCTTAGTGGGCTTTGGCGCGATCACGCAAATATAAGCCTTGTAAGCGCTATAACTGATCGCTAAAGAAGTTCGCATGATTTAACCTACCGCTAGGTTTAACCTTAGTAGGTTGAAATACCTGATGAAATTTTGTGCAGGTGCAGTGGTAATTTTACCTGGATATGTAGGCGATGTAGGCTTCACTAGTGCGACCCTCATAGCCGGGAGCGTTAGCACCAGCAAATCCTAGAGGTGCAAAAGTAAACATACGGCGTCAAGGAATGCCAATTCAAACCCGTTGATGGCACGTCCTAGTATTGGTTACAACTTATACTATTCTCAGGTGACAAAGAATTGTTTATTATTTGCATCATGCAGATCTACTTCTTTCAAACCCCCCTTCCGCTCGGGGGTTGGGTGTGGTTGATAAGCCTAAGAATATATAATAACGAGTCCAAAGCATCGATTGACACTTAAATAAACGTGTCGTAGCCTATAATTATGTTGTGGAAAGCTTCATATTTGGCTCATATTCGTACTTCATACTATGTTTGCCGCTATTGAGACGTACAAATGATTTGCAGTGGTTGAGCATTGCAGATACGGTTAACCTAACCTAGACGACTGAACATCTACGAACGGTTTTGGCATGTAGCGGTTGGGCGTTACCGAACCAATATTGCTCGTGCAACCTGAGCCTGCGTCTTGCTACGTAATCACCATACATAAGACAAGTTCTCTCAGCGCCAATCGTGGCCAAGAGTCTTGAATTGTCAGAGAGTTGTTCGTAGTCATCGAAGTACAAGAACCACAAACTCGCCAATACTCTAAACATGCCACACCATAATTGACGGAGACATATTCTACACGTCTGTAGAATGTTTCACAACGCGAAAATGCAGATCATACGCACGACAGCAAATCTGCAGCTGCTCGTGTTGGCAGCAACACCAAAAATCTGAGCCGGCAGCCTTGTGCCGCTATAAGCCAGGCGATGAGAAAGGCCGAGCGTAAGCGAATGGGCTGAGCTAAATACGAGGCAGATTGATCGTATCGACTCCACTAGCATCTGTCTATGATGGTCCGGAGTACTCCGATATTTATCGTAAGGCCCTCGAAAAGCCGTAGAATCATGCAGTCACTCAGCAAGAAAAAAAGAGTAATGGCACAGCTTCACCGACGCTCATCCTGATCCATAGCATCGAGAACCCATTCCCAATATACTCACCTAATTGGTTAAACAGCTCGAGCTCTCTTTTCATAGGTAGCATGCGACGTGCACGCAGGTGATACTGTATCACTTGTCTTCGGCTGCAGATGTGGCAGGCGGCATTAAATTCGCCACGGTCCACAACATTAGACTTACTATGAATAATAATGAAGATGACTTCCTGGAGCGGTGAACAGGCGAAGGTGCATCGAGTCTTTGGACGTATGACTTGAGAACATCTCCTTCTTCCGTTATGACTCAACCGAATACCAGGGTGATGCTCCACGCATGGAGGCTGTTGTAGGAGCTTCCGAATTAGGCTTCGCCGCTTCTGCTTACGGCATACGTACATTCGTTGGATGGAGTTTGCCAGTAGGCCATGCAGGAGGATACGTACAAGGAGGTGGGTGGCCACGGCCCTATCATGAGCGCATATGATCTTGCGGCTGGCAACAACTTGTAATTCGAGGCGATGATCGGACAGGCATCTCCTGGCTGCTAGCAAAAGAGCTCATTCTTATCTGTACTTGGCTTCGAGCGGAGGCGGTGCCGGCACTTATACGGTGGTACTGCCTCAGATCAGCAAGGCCTTCCCTGATGGCTTGATTGCCGGTTTAACATTGAGCCTTTCATATGGCAACTCGGATATTTTCTGGCAAAGAACCTTCGGGTTTCGGCAATCTGGATTGGCAAGCGGCGCGCTTGTCACTAACGAGAGCTTTGGCATCGTCTTCACAATCTCGTAAGGACATACCGGCTAAGAAGCAATCGAAAAGGCCAGTGGATCTATCGTTATTCTAAATCAATAGAATGGCCCCTTGAGCTTGAGTCGCCCTCTGATAATGCCAAAATCTAGATAGTCCGGTGGACCATGACGCGAGAAATGAGCATCATAGCTTACTGTGCAGTCACAAAAACGAGTGCGCAACATCATAGATAGGTAATTTTATCTGGTACAATGCCACATTATTATCTCGCATACTATGACAAAAAACCGAAGGAACGATAATCCGGTATTGCTCCTCTGGCATTATATCTTATACACATTGAGCAACCCAATTTTCAGGGATCCATCAAACACAATAGCAAAGCTGCATAAAATTTAATGAGTGGTAAATAAAGGAATCGAGTTCTCTTCTTCTATATGTTCACGCCCAGGAGTGGTACCTAAATAAGGACACCCCCCCCCCCCCCCCCCGTCTAAAGACATAGAAAGAGGACTACTACGGGGTATAGTACTACTGATTATTGGCCTTCAAGAACGGGTATACTTCGGAGCACATACTTCATGGTGATGCGTCTGCGGGCGATGAATACTGGGCAGTCGCGGCTGATGGGAGTATGTGTGAAGCGTCATGTTACATGTATATTATACAGAAGTTACAGGATTTCGACGTTGCACTCTTGGCGGTCCTAGTCTAGCGCGTACTTCAGCGGTGCATCTGCGACAAGCATTAGTTTTTGGCCAACAGGCAGCTCACGGATCTCGGATCTGCCAGGGTTATGGTGTTGCTTTACTAATAAGTTAATTCTCGGTTAACACTATGTCAAGATATAGAGGGCCTTCAAAAAGCTGAAAGCATTTCAGAGGTTGAGAGTGAGCAGTCGCAGAGTCCCTTGACACTTTTTCTATTCACGTAAGATCAAGAATTTAGAGAAGCTAAGCAAAGATTCAAGAAATGTCAATTCCAAGATTACTCCTGTCTCAAAATAAGTCTATCTAAATATGGCTATTCTAAATTTCATTCTTTCCGGTAACATTACCCTCATTCAGTGCTACTAACACATATACGAATACTAAGTCGCGGTTCAAGTTGCTCGCCTAGTCTAGTCTTGAAACTGTGTTGAGAACCAGTCCACCATGGCGACCACTGTAGGGTAATTCCATGTTAGCGTCTGCGGCACCTTGACCTTGAGTACGCTCTGGAGTTTCTGTCTCAGCACGATGGTCATCACACTGTCGACTCCAATATCAGACAGAGCAACCCTAGGATCGATATCCTCAATGTCGGCAATCTTTAGGATCGACGCGAGACACTCGCGAAGCTTCAGATCCAGCCAAACCTTGAGCTCCGGGAGTTTGGTGGGGCGATTGCCGCCATCGTCCTTGGTCTCCTCTACAGGTGCCGAAGAATCGCGCGCTCGTGGGCGGCGGATGGCGATCTCCTCGAACATTGCGCATGGAACCGGCTCGCCTTCATCAAACGCTAGACTGCGTGTCACGACCGAATGATCGACATCGTATTTCGAGAGATGCTCCCATGCGCGGAAAGCTTCGTCGGCCGTGACATCCGTGATGCCTTTGCTCTGGAGCTCCAGATTGAGGAACTCAGACGTGCCCATTCCCATGTTGCGCCATGCGGTCCATTGGAACGCGATGGCGTTATCGCCTTGGCTCCTGCGGTGAGTGGCGAGAGTATCGAGGAAGGCATTGCCAGACCCGTACGAGCTTTGACCGGCTGTGCCAACAAGCTGTCCTATAGAAGAATAGAGGACGAAGAAGTCAATCGTACCAGGAGGGAAGGCTTTATGGAGAGCAAGAGCACCGGAAATCTTTGGCGACAACACTCGTTCGAATGAATCTGCAGTGGTATCAACCAGGAGACTATCCTCTAGCACTCCACTGGCATGAATTACACCAAGGACCGGAGGTAGAGAGAGACGATCCAGTATCTCGAGCAACTTCTCATGTGCATCTGCTTTACCAACATCAAGAGAGATGACGTGAATGGTGGCGCCTAGACTCTCCATAGCCTGGATTCTAGTGAGGATAGGAGCTAGGCTGTCAGATGCGCCTGCCCATTGGTTCCGAGGCGGAAGCTCACGACGGGAGACGATGACAATACGGCGTGCTCCTTTCTCAATGAGAAAATCGCATGTTGCAAGACCAAGAGAGCCGAGACCACCAGTCATGACATAGGTGCCTTCAGGTTTGGGCAGCAAGGTCTTATTGCTTGAAGCTGGCAGACGTTGGCTCGCCGAGAAAGGTCGAAGGCGTGCAACCCTAGGCACACCGTCGATATAACGGATAATGTCTTGTTCCTGGACGTACTTGAATGGCACAGCAGGGAAATGCGATCCATCGTTGTCAATCAGCCCACCCCAAATGTCAGAATGCTCGGACGCAACGATGCGAGCCAGACCGTACAAAGCTCCTTGGGCAAGCGCGGTATCCGACTCGGCGGCAAAAACTCTATCCGTGACGATGAAGAACCTGACAGGAAGGTTGTTTCGGACAATGATCTTCACCGCTGTTGCCACTTCCCAGATGAACTTCTGAGCCAAGCTCGCAATATCCCCAGAAGCCTCAACTGGCCCTGGGCAGTACACCACTGCTGAATCTTTCTCGCGCAGCAATTGTGATACGTCTGCCTGTTTGAGTTCTTCGGCAGTATTGAGCTTTATGACCTTGGATACATGCTTCTGCAAGTCTTCGCCATACTGGTCAAGTATCTTGGTATCCTGTGAGATCAAGACGGCTCGCTTCAGGGGCAGAGGTTTCTCGGATAGACGGGCTGGGACCCAGGCCATCTGATGAGCCAAGCTATCCACGCCGCTATGGACTCCAGAACCGCCGTCAACTTCGGTAAGAGTGATCCCTTTGAACTGGGCCAATAATTCTCCAAGTACGTTGAGAACAGAGACATCTGCAGACCGGCTCTGGGCATCATCGGTAGCATCAGATTCCGTGACGTATAGGTAGTAAACCTTCGGGGGAGGCTCGCTGGAGTGTATGATCGTCCTGTCAATCTTCGAAACGATGCGTAGCTTTTCATCATCGTGGAAAAGAGTAGAGCCTACCGACGCAGCTGAGTCCAGGGTAGGAGCCCACGAATGAACGTCCCACGTTATATCCTTGTTGTCTGGGTCGTTATCAACTTTCGCGATCATTTCCTTTGAGTTACCATAGTGCTCAGTGACAGCCCAGGGGAAGGCAATACCAGAAACTCCGACCTTGGTGAGATAGTCGATGGAAAAAGTACTCGGCAAAACAGTACCAATACGCTTCTTGGCGCCATCTATGTCAAAAGCTGGGGCACTCTGACTTGAAGGCTCGAGGCTCCAGCGGGCAGCACTGTGAGTGACCCAAGAGTGGTCATCGGCAGAGCTAAGACGAGATGCAACTTTTACGTTGTCACCGTCAACGACAATCTGGACATTGCGTAACTCCTCAGTAACCTAAAGAAAAGAGATTCGAATCAGTCTTGCTCAGGAAGAAGGCGCAATACAAAAAGAATGGAACAATGCTTCACAGCATAAATGTTCACCTCCTAGATAACCAAGGTTTTCTGGCGTGTTCATTTTGAAAAGGCAACAGGACGCTGTAATGACTGAAGCTAAGGACTTACCGCAAGGGGAACACGTAGTGACATGTCCGAAAGGACAGAACCACCAGTAGCTTGGAGAAAGGTATTAACGTAGACGGCAGCAGGGATGATGTTGGTACCGTGAAGTTGATGTGGTCTAGGGAATGGCTTGTTGCTCTCGTTAAGCTTGGTGTTGAAGAGACTCATGTTGGTACCAGCAATGGCTGTGCGTTGACCGACCATACTATGCAGGTCCACATCATGTGCACTATCTTCAGCGAATGAACCTGTAGATACCTCCTTCCAGAATGGCTTCTGGCTCCATTTGAAGCCTGGGACTTCGCTGGACCATCTGCGACCGCCTAATAGAGCGACGTAGTCGACACTGGCACCCTTAATGTAGAGTTGGGCAATAGCATTCAGAATGCTTTTCTCGGCAGGCTTATCCTTCCTCATGGTGGAAATTGTGGTGAATTCCTTGAGATCCATCTCCAGAAGGGTTTCGTTGACGGAATGCAGGACAATGGGATGGGTCGAAACCTCGAGGAAAATCCTAAAGTCATCTTCAACCGCAGCGTTGACGGCAGAGGTAAGCCAGACAGGGCTCAGCATGTTGTTGACCCAATAATCGACATCTCTAAGAGCCGTTGTTCTGCTATCCGCCAGCGAAGTAGAGTAAAGCTTGGCTGTTGGCGGCTGAGGATTGAGGGCACCGGAAAGGGCCTCTTTCAGCGGTGTCGCCAAGCTTTCAAGCATGGGACTGTGAAAGGCGATGTCAGTCTTGACTTGGAATGTCTTAATCCCGCGCTCCTTCAAACTGTTGGTGTACTCGGTCAAAGGAGCAACCGCGCCGCTGACAACACATGACGACGGAGAGGAATCAATGGCGGCCACGATATCCTTTCGGTCGCCCAACTCAGAGGAGACTTCTGCGAACGGCAGGTTGACCAAAAACATCCCACCAAGGCCTCGGACCTGAGCATAAAGACGTGCACGTCTCGTCACAATGATAGCACCCTCTTCTGGGGTGAGACATCCCGCGGAAACGGATGCGGCGATCTCTCCCACCGAATGTCCGATTACTGCATCAGGATGAATTCCGCGGGATTTCAGGAGTCGGTCTAAGCCGACTTGTACCAAGTACGTAAGGACCTGGATCTCCTCCGAAACTTGGAAGACTCCGCTTTTCAGCTTCTCGAGGCCCGAGTAGCCAAGCTCCTGGGATACAATGTGGTCGATTCCTGCTATAGTTTCGTAGAAGATAGGGTTCTGAAGGAGTTCTTTCCCCATGTCCGCCCACTGGGCACCGTGTCCCGAGAAGACCCAGACAGTTTCTCTGCTAACACCGGTTTCGGAGGTGCGCCCTGAAGCGACCCATTCGCTCGCGGCACCTTTGGCAAAGGTTCTAAAAGCCTCAGCAGCTTCCTCATGGCTGGAAACAACGAACGACGCGCGATAGTCGTGATGAGCACGACGCTGTGCCAATGTGGTGGCAATAGCCTTGAGGCTTTCTGACTTGCCAGCGCCAGCGATCCATTCAGCCTGAGCATTACCCTGGATAGCAAGTCTCTTCTCCTGGGGAGCTGAAAGCAGTAGCAAAGTAGGCTCGCCAGGCTTCCCGGTCGCAGCAGGGAAGGAAACCGGGGCCTGCTCGATGACAGCGTGGGACACAGTGCCGCCATATCCGTAAGAGCAAATGGCAGCGCGACGAGGGCCACTGGATTCTTCCCATTCCGTCTTCTCTCTTACAACATGCAGTCCAGAGTTCTCCCAGTCAACCCTTGTGTTAAGCTTCTGCAGCCTTGCTTGGGGCGGAATGAGACCCTTGTTCACAGCCAAAACTGCTTTGACGAGACTGATAGCGCCTGCGGCAGCTTCGAGGTGACCGACATTCGGTTTGATGCTCTATTCAACTGTTAGCGTGAACCACTATCATAACTGCATGAAGTTACTTACCCCGATATAGGCGGGAGATTGTGATGGACGCCCAGCGCCATACACTGCAGAGATAGCAGATACTTCGGTGGGATCACCAAGCGACGTGGACGTTGCGTGAGCTTCAATGTAGCCTACAGTCAAGGGATCGATGTTGGCTACCTTGAGAGCCTTCCTGGCGACTAATTCCTGTGCCTTGGCGTTAGGTGCCATGATGCCGTTTGTCTTACCATCTTGAGCAACAGCAGTGCCCTTTAGGGTAGCAAGTACCCGGTCGCCATCGGCTATGGCGTGGGAAAGGCGCTTCAGGATGAGTACAGCAGCACCCTCACCCCTAGCATAACCATGGGCGTCGTCGTCGAATGAAAGACAAACGCCGTCTGGTGAAAGCGCACCGGCCGAGCCTAGCATGTAGAATAACGCTGGAGACAAGCAAACGTTGACACCGCCAACAATAGCAACCCTAGACTCTCCGCCCAAAACAGCCTGCCGCCCGACATGTACGGCGCACAAAGAAGATGCACATGCCGCGTCAACTGCGGCACTAGGGCCCATAAGGTCAAGGTGGTATGAAATCCTGTTGGGAATTCCGTGCGCTGTTGTGCCTATGCCCATCCATGCTTCGATGTTGGGTATATCTTCAAGAAGTAGTCTCGAATAGTCATCCGAGTCAACGCCCATATAAACAGCGGTATCAGAACCTGAGAGGGATTTTGGATTGATTCCAGCGTCCTCTAGAGCTTCCCATGTGACTTCCAGCCCTAGTCTCTGGTGAGGGTCCATCTGCTCCGCCTCCTTTGGAGAGATGCCGAAGAAGGCGGCATCGAAATTCTCCAGGTCTGGGATGAAATTGCCCTTGGAAATCGTCTTTTCAATAAACTTTTTGTTTCGAGGATCTCTCCGGATCCAAGGGTCCCAGCGCCAGCTAGGGTTTTCTCCGGAAGCGTCTTTCTTATCCATCAGGAATTGCCACAGCTTCTCGGGGTTATCATTCCCTCCGGCAGTACGACAAGCCATCCCAATAATTGCAACATCGTCGAGTGCAAGATCGGCTGTAGGGAATAAAGTATTGGGAGAAGCGGAACCAGAAGCGGAGGGAAGAGAAGAAGGAGCAGAACTCTGACGAGTCGAAAGCAAGGGTGTAGAGGCCATGTTTACATCGATTTCCGAACGGGTCAATGCCTGTTTCGCGATCACGCCTCTTGACGTTCTCCAGAAGCTCTATCTGGTAGATGTGATCAGATCCACGAGGGCTGTAATATAATATCGCCCTCGACTTGAATCGGATACAGTCTATAAGATTACAGCTGAATAGATATGATTGGAGAAAAGAATGAAGGCAGCATGTCTACTTAACAATACAAAAAAGGAGGATGACTGAGGAAAGATGTCCACTACTTATATGTCCCTGATAGATCCTCATTTTCAATATAGACAGCAAGGTTGCCGGATAAACTTACGTCTAAGAGCCGCCATGGACGCGCGATTGTGAAATCACACCACAATCAAATCCCATACCCTGCCTTATCATTTTCTCCTTGTAAACTGCATCATGCACGATGTGTATCATGAAGATATGCCTCATGGGGTGAGCATCATCGGCTCCGTACGGGGTTGTGAATATCAATCCAGGCCGAAGCTGAGGAAGCCGTCGTATTTGCTTAACGGCTATGGCATCCCTGTCTCGGTGATATGGCCTTCTATGCTTATCCTGCAGAATGATCTGCATTTACTCAGCATTCGCTTCGCGTGTATACGTACTACGCTTTATTTGTGACTTGTTACCTAACGGTTACTTTTCTACTGATTCGCAGACTGTTGGTGGGCGGAACTTCCGTCTCAGGAAAGATTCTCGTTGGTCAGCCGGTACCCTGCACTGCATGATATGCGGCATGGGCCGTAATCCTTCTGCAGAAGTTCCACATAAGCGAATGCATAGATCCTTGAATTGCTAGTCTGCTTACAGTAGGTACCTTATCTTCTTCGGGGTTACACAGTAGCAATGCCTTACACTTTCGGTCGAACCGTTAGAGATGCAGGTCCACCTCCGAAAGGCGTAGGAATGGGCCATGGATTATCAATCAACGCTACATCCCCGAACCGCCTAGACTATCAATCACAACATCACCAGCCTACCAAAATGACCTTATCCGGTTTCGGTCTTATGTAGAGCAGCCACGCCTGAATCGATGCTAATCATTGGTATCATCTTCGTGCAGCAGAAGGTGAAGTTTTGCCTATTCAGCCTCTATCGGTCCCTGCATACGACCCTTCGTCCTACTGTCGCATTGAAAGCACCACCGATTTATCGGGCATCGGGGATAAACATATCTAGATCTTATCCATTTGGCCGATAAGTCCAAACTGTATTTGCAGTAATCACATGCTAATCATACCACATTTTTTGGAGGATGTGTCAAGCTTGTCGCTGCTGCGTAATCGAAAGGCGCACAGTTCTCATTTATGATAATATACCTTGTAGTCCATACTTCGAAGCGAAGACCCAGGTTAGTTTATAGGATATGAAATGAAGAACGCAAAATTATGTAACCTAAGACATACGACTGCATTCTATATGGGAATTCCAGTGTATTGCGCCAACCAAGGAGGACAAGAGATGGGGTTAATCGTGCGATGAACCTCCTTGTTGTATTGAATGGGTTGTTCTATATACATATAGGAAACCAGCCTGGTATAGTCGCGCGCTCGGCAATGGGATGTCGTGCATCGGCCACATGCCTTAGTGTGGCGGCAAGTTTGCATCGGATTTTGTACCAAGTGAATCAGGCGCAAAAAGGGCTTGCTCCACACACGTTCATTATGTGGCTAATTTGGCGTCGTAGCTAGACGACGTGCAAAAGGGCTGCATCTAGCACATGGCCAAGAAAACGTGACACAGCAGTTCGCCGCCGTATAACTGCGTACGAGCATATACTCCAGCTCGTGCTCCATTGATCAAGAGACAAGAGTTTCGACGATCATACCCCTCATCTGGTCTCTAATAAAGAGCTTGTTCTCGTCTTCTAGCACCTTTGTTGCATGTTCTGTCTCGTACATCATTCTAGAGAAGTCGGCAGCATCCTCCCTGGTCTGAAATGTCACCTCATTGACGATGTCGTATGGTACTGTTGGGGCTGGTTGTCCAAAGACGGTGAATGGATGGCCATGGGACGGATCCGATGCGTCGTGCTGGATGTATCGTCGCGTGTAACACACCAGCCCCTTCGCAGTTTTGGCGATCTCCAAAACCATCGGCGCGTGATTGGCCTCATAGTACTCCCTAAACTCAGCGGGAGTAAGGTTTGGGTTCCGCTTGAAAAAGAGGAGCATTGTGTATTGTGGCTCGCTCGGCATGTTGGGCAGGACTAGTGTAGGGCTGGTGAGTGGGTTTCGAAGCTATGGTGATATGCGTTGCGAAGATGGTATGGTTACATTTAATTAAGTTCAGGTGCAGTGTTGTTTATAAATTGTTTGAGCGCCTAGATCGAGCTGTTCGGCATGTCAGATTAGGTACGGACCGAACAGATTCGGGGACCGAATGTATTATTTTGCAAATTTAAGGACAAGTGACCACCGAAGGATCAATTTTTAGAAGGGGCCAGACATTCTCTCATTGTTCTCTAAAACTGTACTAGTCAATATCATTACGCCCTTGCAGAAAGGATTCTAGAGGATACACCTGCAGTCCAACACAATCCACATTCCTCGATTGCCGAAAGCCTGGTAACGCAAATCTAGAAAACCCGATTTATCTTGTTGAACGTAGGTTGTACATGAATGAGTAAGTACAGCCATTTGCAACTTCTCTATATCCACAATGTTGAAAAGATGAAGAAAAGAAAGCCCCGAATACCCGTTGGAAGGAGGGTCTTGTGGACCCCAGACTAACTATCCCACAGGATTTCTTGATGGCATCTCACCTAAAGGGTGAGGGTATTCCCAACCATCAAACGGGACGTCCCACCAATCTGACTCAAAGATATTTCCTCCATGGCTGATCCAAAGGGTGTCCCCGACTGTGGACTGATACCCCGAATCAGGCGGTTCTGAGAGAACTCTTTCCGTACCTGCCCTGGCTTGTGAAAAATTCTGAAGCTCTGGGCCTGTACGATGAGACTCTGTGTTGTTCATGTGCCAGTCCACTTCCTGATAATCAGCAAGAATGACGTTTGGAGAAGTCCGAAGTAGCGGGTTCGAATTATTCGGAACACTTATGGTGTCATCGAAGTTCCAAGATGAGTGGCTGGAGCGAAATGTGTCCCATGGATAGATACCCGCGGTAAGCAATTCTAGGTCGCCGGACTGGCCGGTTTCAATTGCTTTGTTCAACTTGGCTGACTTCTTAGTGTAAGCTTATGACAGCCAGAGCGAAAGGAGAGCAACAAAAGGGTTAGGGTTATAGGGCATTAGCAAGGCGTACCAAAATGCGTAGTGGCTTCCAGTAGATGCTCAATACCCCTAATGTTGTCTTAATGGTCTTAAGCTCTTCCGAAAGCGGTACAGGGACCTGTCCGGATTGGCATCCCGATCCAGCTGACTGCATCGTGTTCCTGTATGACTAAAATTAGGAAGCAATAGTTAGCAGGGTACGACATAAGAGGAGCATAAACAACGAGCATGTAAGTCCCGCTCAGCAATGACTTCACCAATGGCATTGCCATGTTCCAATGTTACCTTGGCGTCATGCGGTGGAGATGGCTGCTTCGGGCGTCGCATTGGTCCCATAGGCTACGTACCACAAACACACTCCCTGCCACAAAGGTTGCATAACCGACGAAAGGCCATAGCCTCGTAATATCTAAGTCTTCTGAAGCAAACTGTTTTAAAAGCTCCGCAAATCCAGTCGCATGTTGAAAAGTCATCTCGCCGTTCTGCTGCACTGATTTCCTTGAATCTGCGGATTCGGCAAAACGACCCGAGAACATGGGGACTCTGGAAGCATACAGGAGCATTTGACTGAGGTAGTATACGGATGTCACAGATGTGAGAAGCTCAGGGCTCTCCTCGTAAACTTCAGCTCGAGCCTGGAGTTTAGTAAGAGGTAAGTTCAGAGACCGTCCTTCACGATCGAGAAGCTCGGTCAGTTTGTTTAGTTGAACGGTTCGTTGCGGGTCAGAGCTGTTTAGCGGTTCACAAATGAAAGCTTTGACTTTGGTCCTAGAGAATTATTAGAATCTAGATTCCATAAGACTTAGGTGAGTACATTGAGAGATAATGACAGGGTTAGGGAACATGCCACAACTATGAAAGGTCACAAAGTCAAACGCACTTACCATATACCCAAAAGCTTGATAAGTTCTGCCATCAACGAACACGGCGGCAAACCAGACTGGCTCGGGGGTGAGGACTCGGTGCTTGTTGTCCAGTCCACTCCCATCCGTTGGCCTAGCTTGAGCTCTATTGCTTGCGCCAGCCCTCCGTTCCCAAGTCTTGCTGGTAGGGGTAAACCCATGACCTTCTCACACACCCTCGATGAATCCAAGGGCTGACTACCGATAAGGATACTGCACCAACTCGCCCAGAAGCACCGTCGTTTTATCTCGTGATCGAACTGCAGGTTCCGGTACGCTGAAGGAAGTGCACCACTACCATGCAGCCTGTCATAGCCGAGGAGCTGACTAAGTTTGTAGGCCAGGGATGCGTGTATTATGGAGCGATGGATCTCACCCCTAGAGAAGTAGTAAAGCTCCAAAACTTGCAAGGCTTGTATTCTGACGAGCGTGGGCTCGTCTGCGTATGAGAGGGCCTCTCGACTTGCGGCCCGTGCCCACGACCAAGACTTTTCCGAAAGCTTTGGCATGGGAATTATCTTGATATTTTCTTCGTATGGAGAGTCGACTTGCTCCAAGAAGGTAGCCGCATGCGCGAAGATGGCACGAAGAAGGTAGCCAGGTATGCCATCCTGCCGATAGAGCTGGAATGCTACGGTCTTGTGAAACAAAAGCGTAGCGTTGTAGACTCGCTTGAAGTATATTTCCAGAAGTAGCAGGCCAACTTCCGTTGAGGGCAATTCGGCAGTTGCGGTATCTTCAGAGGTATGGTTGAGGTTGGGGTCAGGAATATGTTCACGTCTGATTTCATCTTTACCATCGTTTTCAACGATGCGTTGCTTCTTTCTTGAGCTCAACGCTATAGAAACTTCAGGCTGTTGAACATGCTCTACAACATTGACCTGCGACGCTGCTACCGCGGCTGCTGCCTTGGCCTCGCTCGTCTTCTGCGCGATGCGTCTTCGGTTTGGCGGCGATGGATACTTGCACACGGCTCTTTGCTTGCGGCACCTCATACATGACGGGACATCACGGTCGCACCTGAGCTTCTGATCCCGGCATCGTAAGCATGCAACTGTTGGTCTTGCTTCCGTGTCTTGCTGTTGTGGCGCCCCGTACGTCGCACCGATTTCTGTGGAACTTTCCCCTTCCATCGTGCCCTATCGGAGATGGATGAAAGCCGGAGGGATAAGCAACGCCGAAAGAAAAGTCGTTGGGCCAGGTGGGATGAGGGTTGGGAAGGGTCCGAACCGAGCTAAGTAGATTCAGCTCATAAGAAGGATGAAAAAGGTTCGGACCGACCATTAATGTAGTACCCAATCACACTGGCAGTGCGTACATCAGCGGCACCAGCATCGCAGCGCTCAACATCACGTCTTCCTGAAGGATCGCGACTTGCATTATCACGCATACTTTCGCGATGTCAGATTACCTTCGCGTCCCAAGGTCCCCGGTACACATGCAGTATGTTGCAGAATGTCTGAGCCAGGGCTTCGTACGATCAGATCGGCTATTCCCCGTTCGGTTAGAGACATGTGTCAGCGCTTTGCCTACCTGTCATTATACATACCATCCTTCAACTGCGATAACGGGATTAACCGGGCTGGCAAACTAGATTCGTTATAGCAGCCCATGATATAGATTCAGGCGGCAAGACTAGCCGCCCATGGAAACCCTCCACAAAGCCGCTTCGATGCTGCTGTTTCTGCCATCTTACGTGGGGGGGGCTACCTGGAGCCAATTAGGCGGCGGCGGCAAGCCCTTGTCCAGAACGGGTTCCGTCTGACACGGTATTGTCAGATTCTCATGCAACATCCATTTAGTCCTTGCGATATCATTGGATAAGCTGTGAACTATCAGGCCTGGCTAGATAATCCTCGTAATATGTAATGCTCGATTGCAGGAATCTGCAGCAGATTGTGGTGTCCAAAGAGGGCATTCCGGAAGACTCCCCCGGAGCGGCGGCAACCCCACGCCGGCAGCAGTGACCATGACTATTGGCTGAATCAGATTGTCGTTGCGCCATAAAAAAAAAGACGAAAGTCCTTTCCTGCAGTCATCATATGCCTCAGCCTGAACCCGCCACTAAGCCCCGTGCAACCCTGAGGGTGCGCGTCTTTATCGTGATGCGGAAAGGACCCTGCCAAGGTGGCATCATTGAGCATTTGAAAGGCTCCACCGTATATATCAGCTTGACTAGGACGTCATTGCTTTGCATGGTCGAAAATTCAATTGCGCCAATGTGAATTCTCGATATCATGACAAAGTTATTCTTGTAAGCATCGCGCGCCCACAGCTGCTTATGTTGCCTCTCCGATTTCGGCTAATTTCAATACAGTCTTGGGGCTACCGGCCATATTGGGGGCGCAATAGTGAATGCCATTTGGGCACAACTTCCTGAGGTGGAGGTTGCGGCTCTTGTTCGAGATCAAGATAAAGCTGCAAGGCTCGAGAAAGCGTACCCAAGGATACGGGCGATCGTTGGCGACATAAGGAATGTGAACCTCATAGAAAGCGAATCCAAGGCCGCCGGCATTGTGATTAGTATGTCGTACAAGGCCCCTGTCCAAGTCATGGAGTGTCTCCAAACTCACACGTCTAGATGCGGCTCCTGATCAGCTCAATGAGAGTCCTGCCGCCATAGAAGCAGCCCTCCGGGGGTTGGCCTTACGACCTAGAAAGGGCTTCTATATCCAGACGTCTGGTGCCTTTCTTGTTGGGGAAGACGCAGGCGGGGAAAGAGGCACAGACATGCTATGGAACGACGTACAGCATATCGAGCGCATTATAACGATGTCACCTGACCGGTACCACCAGCGCACCGACCAGCTTGTGAGACATGAATCCACCGACGTGAATGTTGCTATTGTTTCTCCGACAGTTGTGTACGGTCTTAGCAAGTCAACTCAGAACCAGATACCAATTACGATTCGCGACATCGTAGCAACTGCGAAGCGGCTCTCAGCAGGATTCACCATAGCTCAAGGCAGGAACATTTTAGGTTACGTCCACGTGAATGACCTCGCGGATATCTACGTCAAATTAGTCGCCGACGCCGAGAGAGGCAGCGCTTCTGATGCGCGATTGTGGGGTCCACATTCTTATTATTTTGCGAACGGTGAAGAACTTACGTTCGCTGAGTATATGGAAGCCTTAGTCGAAACTCTCAAGGAGAGAGGAGTTATATCTACGGACGTCATAAAGGAGATCGGAGCTGAGAGCAACGTTTCAGATTGGAAAATTGTCAATGCGACTGCTGTCGTTCATGGTTACGGTATGACTGTTAGGTGTCAAAGTGAGAGGGCGCAAACCTTACTTGGTTGGAAGCCAAGGGAAAAAAGCGTAAAGGAGACACTGCCAGAGGTTGTGGACCTCATTTTGTCGCGCGAATTATGGTGAATAGTATGAAATTTGAATTCACCCCGAGACTAGGGCTGCGCCTAAATTAAGCAAAACTCCGAGCTGATCGATTGTGGCATTCCAAGCGTCCAACTTGAGCTTATTCGAACTTACTTGGCTCTGCTTGGAAGCATCTATAAGGTCCCCAAAAAGGTCCAAACCCATGCGCGGCATGGACTTGTATACATCATATTCCAACTGCCACTCTGAACGTGTGCTTGCCTCCCAAAGTGCTTTAGGCGAAGGGAGGGGAATCTCTCGAAAATTATCCCAATTATCACAGGGTACCCCAATTTTGATTTGTACCATCTGTGTGATAAGCAGCCACACTATGACTGTCCTACAATCTTGTTAGAAGTAAAGCAAACAGAGGTTTTAGAAAAACTACCTTCTTCTGGACTCGGCAAAGACCCAGTCTTCCCAACTAAAACACGGATAAAGTCTCTCGCCTTGGTAAAATGGCTCATTACACAGAATCTTGAACTTATCGCATAGATCCTACAATAGTTAGACAAAGGTTTTGTAGGAGGAGTTGTACCTCATACCGAATACGTGACCAGCAACTCCAGGTTCATGTCCGGTTCAATCTTTGAATTGTCGATGATCCGCATTATGATATATATAACCTGAGCTTGTATAGCCGCCAGAAGGTCTTCCTTTGAGAACTGCCGCTGATTTGTCTATGCTCAGCATCAGCGATTGTTACGAATTTGTTTGGTAATACTTGTATATGCTGGATTAGGAGCTGATTTGAGACCAATGAGGCTGTGCGGAGGTATGATGCTCTATTCGGGGAGTCTTTTTTGTGAAGAAAAATGAGTGCCAACCTTTTCAGCCGAAGAACGTTGCTCTAATAAAATTGTGCGCCATAGGAATGGCCTGGTGTCAGGATTGTGGGAAGCGAACATCTGTGCTATACCCATACAGTTGACTAGAGGCTTAGGGAGGGCAGGCTCTGTATCGCTTTGGAGCCGGAACCAATGTCCGTGTATGAAAGAAGGGAGAGTCTCTCTGCGGAGCATCATTTGTGGAAAAGCGCGAAGCATCTGCATGACAATGTTGGAGGTAAAACTTGAAATGAGGTCTGGCATAACGAGGGGAGCCAGGAAGTCAGAGTATGACCGCTCGAACAGGTGCGCAGGCGCGGAGAAGGCAGAGACATAGTCGTCTCTAGGGGCCCAAGCAGTCCAAGAGAGTTTGCTCTTGGGACTTGGCGGGAGGATACCAGGTGCGATCAAATCCAGTGCATCCCAGTCCATGTCCACTTGCGCATCGTTGTTGTTTGTGGGCTCCCCAGGCGCGCACAAACCATTGAACATACCATTGATGCCGCCATCAGTCAATGGAGTTGGAGAGAAGACCGGTGCCGCATGCTCTGCCGGTTGCTGAATCGCAGCCTGACTTTTGGATGCAGCAGGGGCGGTAGCTATGGATGAGTCGTAAACACACTCAAGACCTTTATTGGTACATCTCAAACATTGAGGCTGGGAGTTGCACTTGACTTTAGCCATCCTGCAAGCTCGACATGACACGACACGAGTTCGAGGACGATGTTGAGCACGACGACAGTATGATACATGTCGATTGTACGGTGTTTCTATTATGCAATTAAAACGTGTAAGCAGTGGCAGAAAGCAAACGGACCTTTCAAGAACGGTTTGTGACAGAAGCCGCAGAGCCGCATGGGCCTTGGCGACGAAATTGTAGGGGACAACTCGCTTTCAGGATCCATAAAGTGATCCGACATGGGGACATATGCAAGGCCAAAGATAAGAGTAATTTGCTTTGCAGCTCGGAGCAAAATGGTCAACAAAAGTGGAAGATGAATTCCCTGTCATTCCGTACGGCGAAAATGGCCGAAAGGTGAGACTCAGAGCTGCGGCCAATCTGGCCGACGTACATGTGGTCTGTGCGCTGGCCCCCGATTCGTTGGCCTTTGGTACTTACAAACGGACAAGAGAAAGTTGGGGGTGTCTGTTTTTTTTTATCTTCTTATTTGCAAAGCAGATTACTAATTGTACACTGTCCCTACGTGCGTCCTGTATATTGCCTGCCACAATATTCAGCTCCCACACCATCTACCTTCTACCATAATCACCTTCCACCCCATTCATATTCTACCACATTCAACTTTCATTATTGATCCCTCACCGTCTTGGTGCACTGGTTCAATCCATAATGAGTCCCACGGAAGACATGGGAAATAGTGTCCAAAAGGAAAAGGACCCAGCGTACTCCAGTGGCAGCATCCAGACGGCCAGCATGGATCCCGCTTCCCAGACGCCCCCTGATATGTCTTTTAAGCAGAAGGAAGATGAAAGCTCTAGTCCCAGCTCCACCTCCATCCCAGATTCCAGCCCAAGAGATGTACATGGTTGGCGATGGGCTCTTGCCGCTATCTCTCTTTACATCGGAGCGTTTGTCTATGGCCTTGATGGAACCATTGCCGCAGATATCCAATCTGCTGTTGTTGAACAGTTTGGTCACGTCGAGAGTCTTACCTGGATTGGTACTGGTTTTCCTCTTGGTTCTGTGTGTTTCATATTGCCTGGGTATGCTAGGTCTCATCCACGGGTGTATGAGGAACGTAAAAACTAATTTCGTCATTGCAGATCTGCCATTTACGAAATCTTCGACCAGAAAGCTGTGTTCATTGGGAGCATCATTATTTTCGAGGCTGCATCTGCGCTCTGTGGTGCAGCACCTAACATGGACGCTCTCATTGTCGGCAGGACAATTGCCGGTGTTGGAGGGTGTGGCATCTTTCTTGGGTAGGCATCCCCACGGACTTGTCCGATATTCAAACTAACAAATCCTGTCAGTATCATCAACTACTTTACCCTCTGTACAGCTGAGCAGGTACGTGGCCGCTACATCTCGGGTATGGGTGCTACCTGGGGATTGGGTGCTGTCCTCGGTCCAGTTGTCGGAGGTGCCTTCTCTACATCTCCGGCGACGTGGAGATGGGCTTTCTACATCAACCTGTAAGTCAATCGATAGACAACATCATTATAGATTACTGTACTTACCAAGGTATCAAGCGTTATTGCAGCTGTGTGTGCACCTGTATACATCTTCTATCTCCCCTCTGTCAAGCCAACCAGCGATACACAAACTCCGATTCTTCGAAAGCTCAAATCTCTCGATTGGGTTGGCTTTGTTATCGGTACCGCAGCAATCGTGACATTTGTCATGGTCTTGACTTTCGCGGGCTCAACCTGGGCCTGGAATGACGGCCGTACCATCGCCACGTTCGTTGTATCCGGGGCGCTGTTCATCTTGACCTTTGTTCAGCAGTACTTCCTCATTTTCACCACTCGTGAAGCACGCATGTTTCCCCCACAAGAGATTCTGATAGACAGGACACAAACCCTGTTATATCTCAACACTGCCATGGCCGCTACCAACATCTACGTACCGCTCTTTTACATACCCATTTACTTCGCCTTTACGCAGGGAGACACGGCACTGATGGCTGCCGTCCGCCTGCTCCCATTCATTTGCTTCCTCGCATCGTGGAGCCTGCTCTCTGGGTTTTTGATTCCGAAAATCAACTACTAGTAAGTGCCCATCTTCGTTGCCGTTTTCTTGGCCGCTTGCTGATTGCGCTCGACTGTAGCTGGGTTTCATACATGGTGGGTGGGGTCCTCATGCTGGTTGGTAGCGCGACTATGTTTACCGTGGGTCCTCATACTCCCATAGCCAATGTTTACGGCTACAGCATCATACTCGGGGCGGGCACCGGCTTTGTCTTCAACCTCGGCTTCACAGTCGCAGGTGTCACAATGATGACGAAGACGGGCTCCGGCCTTGATGTCCAGCGCGTTTTGTCCATGCAGAACCTCTCTCAGCTGGGTTTCCAGACAATTTGCTTGCTCGTAGGCGGTCAGATATTCCAGAGTCTTTCCATGAAAGACCTGACTCGCATCCTAAGCGGCATGGGTTTCTCTGAGTCCGAGATCAGGAGCGCCGTTGCAGGTACTGCGAGTACCTTGTTCGAGTCCCTGGACCCCGCGTTGCAGGAACAAGCTATCGCGGCTATCACAAATGCCATGAGCCGAGTCTACATTCTTAGTATAGCGGCGGGTGCTATCACCATCATCGTCGCGTTGTTGTTGAAAAAGGAGAAACTCTTCCAAGGGAAAGAAGACGTGATGGTCATTGCAGGCGGTGCTTAAGATCACTGAAGCTTAGGGGGTGGTGCTAGAGGTGTAAGAATGTGGGGATCTTTGGAGAATCCTATTGATGTCTTGCATATCTTGTACTGGAGTTATGGGACTTAGATTTACTAGTGTCGCTATAGATAGACTTGAGATGATAGGTAATCACACTACTTACCTTAGTTTCCTAAGTTAGTGTACATGCTTGGATATCTCTGTGCCAACTCCTCTTTGCTAGAATTACCTCGATGCTCATCAGCGGGGGCAGCACGCGCAAGAGCCCGAGTGTCGGCTGAATGCAAATGACCGATCGGAAAAGAATTCGAGAGGAACAGGTCTCGAATGACGATCGACATTTCAACGAAACAGGACAGACTTAATTTGATGTCGGTTCAGGATTCGTCCGACCTCTTCGACCTTAAGCGAATGCGACAGACCCCACTATCGTTCACCCAGACCCCCCAGCTTGGAACACTCGGTCAATTTCATCTGTGATTGGATGCAAAGGACTTAGGCTCCCTCCAGCATAACCACGTAACCTTAGTTCTTAGGTTAGTGGTATCCCCCGGGTCTCACAGCCCCATAACAGTTGAATGCGATTGCGACAACGTAGTCCAGGCTCTCGACCTTCTCGAGCCCCGCCGGGCGTGACAACTACATCTGATGCTGTCGGAGAGAACGGAGAGCACAAAAACACTGAATGTTAACGTATATATGCTACAATGTCTCTTGATAAGTTGAATCGTGGAATTGTGAAGCAGCAACTATATTCAACAAGCACACCTCCACCAGAACAGAACAAACTACCGTAGCGCCTGTTCCGTTGAGAGACGCTAATTGGAAACCAATATAGTCTGACTAGATTATCATAACAACTCTTTTAATTCTTCTCTAAATTGCGATGCCCTCAGGCGGTTTCAAAGTCATAGTCGTCGGGGGCGGCCCCGTAGGACTGACAGCAGCCCACGCGCTAACCCGTGCCAATATCGACTTTGTTGTCCTCGAGAGACGATCTTGTATCGTTATAGATGCCGGTGCTAGCTTGGTCCTTGTGCCAATGGGGATGCGTGTTCTGGGACAGCTCGGACTCCTTGACTCCTTGAAGAAAGTCAGCAGTCCACTACCTCAGATTGGCCGGTGCGATCATAACGGAAATGATCTCGGCGTTATGACGATCTTCGAAGGGATAAAGAAGAAGTGAGCCAGCCGCCCAATCTAGTGAAGAGGAACCACTAATGAGTCTACAGCCATGGCGAATATCCCAGGGTACTTGGCCGACACGAATTGACGAAAATACTCTTTGAGAGCCTCCCGCGGGAGAGCCAGGAACGCATGCGACCAAACAAGCAAGTCCAGAACATCTCTACTTCGAAAGACGGCGTAACAGTGAGTTGCACTGATGGCACATCCTTCGAAGGAAGTATCGTCATTGGGGCAGATGGCTGTCATAGTCCTGTACGGGAGCAGATGCGACTCATGGCCCTTAACACAGAACCTACAAGCGGCGCTGCCCTTAACGCGGAGAATCCATACCTCACAACATACCGGTGCTTTTGGGTAAGGTTCCCCACGAAGACTGGCCTTCAGCCTGGGCAAGTGAATGAGACTCACGGCAACGGGCTGGGAATTCAGGTGTTTGCTGGCGATGATACTGCGGTCATGGGACTGTACGAGCGCTTAGAGAAGCCGACAAAGTTGCGCGCTCGGTATACTGAAATTGACGAGGAAGCTTTCGTTGGCCGCTGGGGTCATCTGCCCATCGCTAAAGGTGTGACCGTGCGAGACGCTTACAACGCACGTATACACACCGGTTTAGTTGATCTCGAGGAAGGGGTGGTGGAGCATTGGAGCTGGGGCCGGATCGTACTCGTCGGCGATGCTAAGCACAAGTTCACACCGAGCACCGGGTCCGGATTCAACAATGGTGTTGCCGACGTAGCAGTCTTGATGAATCAGCTACACAGAATCGTGGGCAGCAATGACAATCGCCCTCAGTCGCAATCTACAAGTCCATCTATGAACGATATCACCACTGCTTTCAAGATTTATCAAGACACTCGATATGATTCTGTCAAAGCAGGCTGTGAGCAGTCATCTGGTGCTACGGCTATGGCAACCTGGCAGAGCACAGGGTTGTGGTTCTTCGATAAATACATCTTCCCCAGTGCTTTCTTGCAAAGGTTTCTGGCCAATCGAGGCTCCAAAACCATTGCGAAAACACCAGTTCTGGATTTTGTCAGTGGCGCTGAGCCTATGAACGGAGTGGTCCCCTGGGTGCAGCCTATAAAGTCCAGTTTCTAATTGTCCGGTTTTGTGCACAATGCACATGTACAACACAAACTCTCCTCTATATTACAGATCTGATTGACTTTAGCACAGCTTTTATTTAGGGTTGAATCAGTTCACATCTTCCATAGATTATTGTTGCTTGGCAACAAAATATGAATCATTAACAACAACCCTCTCAGCTTAGATCACTTAATTTCCTGATGGTCAGCACGCCGCTGTTTGGTCCAGGGTACGCAGCATTAACTGACTAACCTAGCGCGCAGTGTTTCTAACCTTAGGTTACCAAATCTTGCCAATCAGTCCTCCTCCAGATTGGAACCGGGTTATTTGCAAGGATGACCAGAGGTATGTTGCTGCAGCATTTCGAGCTGTACATGTACAGATTGATCGACTGCGTGGTATTTTGCCTTTAGCAAACACTTTTAAGGTTCTTGAATGATGTAGATCAAGTCTCTTGACGATATTCCTGGTTGAATAATATGACTGATCTCATCGCCAGCGTTTAGTGGGGCCTACGGGGGGTCAGCGTCAATTGTGCGTCGCGTTGTAAGAACCATGGTCAATCGCCGCAGTCCCCCGGTATATAACTTTCATCGATTGCTCTATCCAGCCAGTGCCTGGCCAACGTCCAATTTTTGACTGCTGGTGTGATTATTGTCCATCTCTCGTACGCCGAAATAATGCAGCAATTCTTGAGCCGGCTTCCACGGCCAAAAGTCACCCACCAGCACGGCTGCCATATATTTTTGGCTCCGAGGAAATCGGTTTGGGGAGTCAGCCGGTATTCTGATCATGAGGCCCCCAGAGCAAACGCGTCGAATGACCGCCTTCAATCAATATATAAATTCGACAAGGGCCCAGAAAAACGGGGTCCACAGCCATTAGAACTCCGGTTCTGGAGATGCAAGCATACATGGCGAAGGGCGTCCGTCAACACCTTTCGCTGCTTGCTGGGGTGCACTACGGGAGACTTTGCTGCCATGTGGTTTCTACAGGCCTATTTTCCGACGTTAGGTCTGGGCCCGACGATGGCTATTGCCAGTAAGGACTTGATTCTTCAGAATATATCCCTTCGCAGCGTAATCGACGCCAATGCTGATACGTAGAGTAGTGGCAAGTGGCCTCACGACTTCCATGGTGCTGGAAACTGTTCTTCTTCGGCTTGGTCGCGACAGCTTGACTTGGCCGGCAGCCGCGAAGACGGCTGCCGGCATGAGCCTCATCTCGATGATCAGCATGGAGGCAGCTGAGAACATCGTCGATTACCACCTTACCGGCGGTGTGGTGGCACTGCATGACCCTGTCTTCTGGGCGGCGGCTGCACTTTCAGCTGTGGCTGGCTTCTTAACGCCACTACCGTACAACTACCTACGCCTGAAAAAGTATGGAAAGGCCTGTCACTAAAAAGAAAACTCGTATGGACAACGATGTGTGTAGGATAGCTTAGGTGTGTATCATTCATTGGTATATAGTTCGTCCCACTCATTAAACACTTGAGCACTGCTAGTCCTCAGACTTCAGTCGACAAATTCTAGGTGCTACTTGGCGGGCTCTGCCATCTACTGTGCCCATAGTCCTGGTCAACTCCCCGCTGGATTCTAATATGTTGGTAGACACCTCGATAGTGGCATAATGTCCCCCGTCGCTCGTCTTCTTACTAGCACTGACTGCGCCGCTTTGCTTGATATTTCCAGAGTGCTAATCGAAAGCGAACACGTAAAGCGGCGGCTAAGTCAAAGTGACGCTCTCACTGCCGTCTAAGAAACTAAAGCCGTCGTCCGAATAATTGTTGTAAATGACCGTACGGTCCCGACGTGGGGCGATAACAACCAAGCGATGTTGACCTTGGCAGATCCCGCGCTCACTTCCATGAGAGTGTACTCGCCAGCATTCGGACATCAATACGAGACAGTCGGAGTAACATTTCCTGAGAGGTACGGTTCGCGATATGGTATGGTGTCGGGGCGTTTCGGTACGTGAAGGAAAGCGTCGGATTCACAACTTGGGCACGGCGCGATATACACCCTGTAGTTGCGCCCGTATGATTCCCTGAAATTGTAGCATGGAAAAGATTTATTTCCGCCATATTCCGGTGATATTGTGTCCGTCTGCCAATAGACTTGCTTCGTGCTGTTGTCGGGCGACCACCAAGGATCAGCTATGGAATTCCCACTTTAAATCATCAACTGCACCGCTGCCAGCCATGCCATAGCCATCTCCGTCGATTTTTGTGAAGGCCGAAGTACTTGTCGCGATCGCTATATTAACTCAGAAGACAGGTTGAAAGCAGTGACGCGGACCGATGTTTCACGTGGAACTTGGGAGAGTTGCGCCCACTAAGTCGACTATAGGCGGGATGCCGCGCATGCGAACGATGAACATCGGACGCCCGCTTTCATGATTGTCCATCATGGCAATCCATTTTTCCCCCCGAGAGATTAACGCTTGATCACGGAGTTCTAGGCGTCCTTTTACCCGCCTGGCAGCACCCGTGATTAGATGGGCAGCGAAGATGTCCCCGTCGCAACTCTCGGCAGGATACCCGGTATACACATCCTGCCTTCCATTGCCGCTGAAACCGCACGCCTTATCTAACCTACAGAGCCAGAGTATCATGAATTATCTGATTGCCATAACTAATGATAGGCTGCGGAGGGGACGCCTTGCACGACCGCGTTACATTGACAATATCATGCGTCGTCGGCGCTAATGGAGTGCTTGTGGTTGGAGATGGATCAAAGACAATGTCATCAAGGTATTTGAACTGGCCTAACCGATGCTGTCAATAGTAAACAAGTTGAATTGAATGTGGACTGGGTCGGGGTGGAGATGCTGCACGCGGAGGTCTATGTCGGCGCCGGAATCGTCCTTCGTCACACGCCAGCGCATAAGATAGATGGAAACCTGTTCAGGCGTACAATCATTCGATACCAGATCTTTCTCCCTGTAATCTAGTATATCCAATCCAATAAGTAGAACGTTTACTATCTTCTGAATGACTAGGGATAGTCGTAACGCTGGCTTACACGCATGGCGTCCCCGATTATGACGTCGAAGATCAATACCACGTCCTTCTATCGGCTGTCGAATATGGGAAGCAAATTGCTGCGGGGAAGAAGATAGAACACCGGTATGTCATCTTCTACGCTGTCAACAGCTTCTCTACATTAGTCTCGTTATGGACAACTATGTCCCTGCGATTCATCGGTCCCACCCTAGTCTTCGGCTTATTATACATATTTCTTCTAACAGGTCGGCTTGGGCAGCCGGTTTATAATTAAATGCAAAACGTTGCGACTATCCTTGCACCGTTGTTATGTACCGCCTATAAAGCTGACCGAAGACTTATCGCTTGCGTTGGCACCACACTAGCATGGGCGTCTTGCCCTGCGGTTGGGATCCTGGGTGGTAGCCGCCAAGTGCCTGCCACAAATTACATATTTGTTGAAACTTCCGCCAAAATGAGAAGCTGATGTCGGAAGAGAAATGCAAAAGCGACTCGGATAGCGCGTTTAAAGCTTTGAGGCCTAACCTAGGGAGTTGCAACAATAGATGGCAGAGTTGGGGCTTGTTAATCTAATATCGACTACTCTAGAAAAGGCGAATAATGAGTGGCGCAACATTAGCAGCATATGACATGTACAACCCAGCTGAACTTGAGCTATAGATAGGGGAAGTGAGCAGACAATACTTATGAAACATGTTTGGCAAGCAGAAATGGTACAGTACCTGCTGTTAACGGAAGGGCGCTTCAAAATGTTTGGCTGTAATAGACTTAGCCTGTTATGTAAGTATGAAAGACTGAAGTGAGTATAGTGCTGACCCGCCTAGGACTAGAACAGTAGAAACACCTCCCAGCTCCCAAGGTCCTGACCTAAAGCAAGAAACCCCCCGCTCTGACAACCATCTAAATCGGGATAGGCTAGGTTAGTTAGGGTGATATCCACGAGAAAGCACCAAAACCATTCCAATGGATCATGCAATTTCGTGAGTTCCCACTCTAAGCGGGATATCTGTTATATAGTTGGTCACAATTAAATATCTAGCAACCAATCATTGTGATTCTCTGACCACAGAGGATTCATCTCGAACCAAAACCAAGTCGCTTTAGCTCACTTGGGAGAGCGCCAGACTGAAGCTCAACTTCAGTTGCGAAATCTGGAGGCACTGTGTTCGATCCACAGAAGCGACATTCGCAAATCTACCTTTTTGACAATTTCCCCAAACTTCCGAACATGTATGGAGCGCTTTGTTTTTTGGGTCCTTCGGTTTGTTTGAAGTTAATAACATGAGTGAACCTCATGAATGAGCCTTTTGCTGTGCACCATATCATACATGTTATATATACCCTATATAAATTTAGCTCACACAATAACTAAATGCCATATTAATACTATCATGGTCATTTGCCTTATCGTCGCAGAGTATATCATTAATACCCAACAGTACAAGAACCGGCCACCAGATTTATAAGTCAGATTGTCGTCAATTGATGATACTTGAACATGTGTCAAGCCTGCACTTGCTCTCGTGGTTATCCTGTGGACAACTTGTGGGTACAAGGAGCATCATCAATTCGACGAGCTGAGTTATCGTGAGGTTGGTTTCGGTGGGAAGCTTTAGTGTGTAGTGTTTATGCTATTAGCAATGGCTGGTTGAGAGATATCAACAGTGTGAGGGGTTTGCATTCTTCCATGTCACATCACGTAATATCAGGCAGCCCGTGTCGGAAGTACATCTTGGTGAGGGATTCCTGATCAAGACTTCAGGATGAGCAAAGGGGGAGGGGAATGGCAATTGGTCGTGCCAAAGATGCATCTGAAGCGAGATGGATGCCTCATCGCTTACGGAGTACATATAATAAACACCGAGGAGCTGTGGCTAACGTTAGTCCAAGACCCTGTGGCTTTTTCCAAGTTTGCCCCACTACTCCGGCCCGCCGATTGTGCACCAGGAATAGGGAGAGAGTGAGAGTGTGAGAGAGTGTGTGTGACTTGCCTGGATTTCAAGCAATTGATTGAAACCAATTATCCAGATGTCACGCGATTGCTTGTCCCATATTGGACCCGCGTACTTTCAACTTGTCACGCAGGCAAAGTACGCTTATGTCCTTAAGAAATTCATTTGTTTCATACCGCGGAGGCTTCTGGAGCAGCAGGTTGTGAAAAACACAATCATTCCTGACGCTCTTTGTCCTGTCCTGGTGAGGAGCTAAACTGTAGCCTGCGGGACGGGGAAAATAAAAGTACGTACCTCGAACATGGAACCTCGAGCTTGAGCATGCTCATCCACTCCTTGCTCCTTGCTCCTTGCTCACGGTCCACTTTCCATCTCGACATTGGGAACTTAAGTCGTACGGCTTGCCAGGGCTGATTTGGAGAGAAAGGGCGGGCTCGAAACTGCAGCGAGGAAGACAGAAAACAGCGAGATAAAGACAAAAATAAAAATAAAAATAATAAAAGGGCTGTCTCAATCAATCCAATCCAAATCGACGCCAGCCCGGCCCTGGCCCTGGCCTCCCGTGCGTGAGTTGAGGTTCTTGTAACCTCCCCTAATTCACCCGCCACCAACTGTCCATTAGGTTGACATTTGATCTATCCCAGGGGACTAACTTTACTTTACGGATCGTACCTGAGCTAAACGCAACGCAACGCAACGCAACGCAGGGAAAAAAGGATACGAAACGAAGCGGAATTGACCGACTTCAACCCTCGACCAAGACCAGGTTACGTATCTGCATCGCATCTGCATCGTATCTTGTTTTGCTTCGTGCTTGCCAAACCCTGGTCCGAAGACTAGAGACGGCATCCCATCTCGTCCTCCCCCGTCCAAACCACCGAACACACGCAACAACAGCACCAGCACTTGCATATCCGACTGCATCTTCTATCCCAACATCGATTGCACGAGCATGTCGTCAGGCCTGACGCGACGCCGCGGTGCCGGCGCTGGTGGTGCCACAGAGGAGGGAGCGAATGGCCCCTCGAGGACAGCGTCATCTACAAATGTCCGCGACAGCGCCCCCGAGACCAGCTACGAGGCCAGCGAAAACGGTCACAAGATCGCCTTCGATCCTCGCGACATTAGCGAGAGCGCCGAAAGAAGCAAGCAGCCCAAGCTCACCCTGATGGAAGAGGTCATTCTGCTGGGAATCAAGGACAAGCAGGTACGATAGACAGACATCTGGACCACCATGCCTGCATTGCGTTGCATTGCGTTGTGCGGCGTTGCGTTGCATCGCATGTGTGCCGTTCCATGCCATGCTGACTGCGCTATCATCAGGGCTACCTCTCCTTCTGGAACGACAACATCAGCTATGCGCTCCGTGGATGCATCGTCATCGAGTTGGCCTTCCGTGGCCGCATCAGCATGCAGAAGGATCCCGCCAGACGGCGCTTCCCTCTGGCTGACCGGGTCATCGAGGTCATCGATGACACCCTTACCGGCGAGGTGCTGCTGGACGAGGCACTCAAGCTGATGAAGGCGAGCGAGAAGATGAGCGTCAGCTCGTGGATTGACCTGATGAGTGGTATGCCATGGCGGCCCTTCCCCCCCCCCCCCCCCTTACCAAGAGCATAATCACTAACGTACCCAACTCGACAGGCGAGACCTGGAACCTCATGAAGATCGGCTACCAACTAAAACAAGTCCGCGAGCGTCTCTGCAAAGGCCTCGTCGACAAAGGCATCCTGCGCACCGAGAAGCGCAACTTCCTCCTCTTCGACATGGCCACTCACCCCGTAGCTGATGGCGGTGCCAAGGAGGAGATCCGTCGACGCGTCCGAAACGTCCTTACGCAGCGCACCGTCGTCCTGCCAGCCTCCCAGTTCCTGCCCGAGAACCTCGAGTTCCGATACATACGCACCATCGCCATGGTCTGCGCCGCCTACGCCGCTAACGTCCTCGAGAACGCGCTGTCCACCCTCGGCCACGAGGCGAGGGAACGCGCTTTCACCCAGACGGACGAGATCCTGGCCGAGTACAGCCAATGGCCGTTTGGAAAGAAGGTCGGAGGCCAGGGCATTGGCGCCAACATCCCCCAGGTCATCACCGAGGTACGGACCTGTGACTGTCACAAATGACAAGAGCGCACATCTTTTGACCGTGACAAGTGCTAATGCCTACACCCACAGGAGCTTACCAAGGGCAAGGACAAGGAACTGCAGATCGAGGTCGTTGCCGCTTGCTTGAGCGTCTTCACCCGACTCGACTCGCTTCTCTAATCCAGCCCCTCCATTCTCCTCATAGAGCCGAGAGAAGGCGCAATACTCATAATGCCGTTTCTCTCGAGTGCGAGTGCCTTTCCTTTCACGGCCCACGAGCGTCCGAAAGTGCCAGTCACACGGCGCGCGATTGACGAAACAACCAAAACTTTGATAGACGTACGGCATAAACATGCGAAAGGGAGAAAACATGTGGGCGAGTCACCCAAATCCACATTGTCGCCTACGAGACGAGGTGGAAGCGTACACACACAGGGAAAGTAGTCCAGGACGACGAAATGCGACATGTCCATTGTTTTGAGCATGTCATGAGGGGGGAGGGTTTTGGGGGCACTGTCGAAAAATTTCATGGTGCTCACAACGGGGAGCACAAAAGACCAAGGTCTTGGCGTAGGCAAGGTCCATGAACTGTCATTTCTTCGGTCCTGTCTTGTAATAGTCTAAACTGCTGGAATACTTTTTGATTCTATTTATTCTTCATGATCCTACCTCGGCAGCCTCTTGATGTACCCCATGCAGGTTTAAATGTCATTGAACCTCGGGTGCCTGGGTATGCTCCCAGATACAAGATTGCGAACCGTGTATCTTGGTGTCTTGAACTAGAGGCATGGATACTGTCCCATCAGGGTCCTCTGCAATGGCTATGCTCCGCAGTGCTTTCGAGCGTCTCACTCTGTGGTCGACATTCTCGACATGGCTTCGTAGCAGGTGGAGATATCATCACAACCAACAGCCCGCATCGAGCGGTGGGCACAGATTCGGCTATCAGGGTTGGAGTCGTGCAATCGTAGCCAGCGACGGGAGGATAGGTTTTCACCTATCCACTTCCGCGTCACGCGGCCGAGCCTTGCTCTCAGTCGGTCTCACCCGTCGCAACCTAAGCTTCCCTGCACTAGTTCACTGTTTGTCCTTTCTCGTTCACTTGTCCTTCCGTATCGTCTCAGCCCAGCCGCCTTTCTCAAATAACCATATCGCCTCGACCGCGAACGCATGCGCGCTGCGATGTCCCCTGCCCCTCGCACTGGCACCGCCCGCCTCGTCGTTTTCGTCCTCGCCGCCGCCCGTGCTCGACGCGGGCGGGGCATCGGGGTCTACGCCGGCCTCCTCGTACAGGCTCTGCATGACGTTGCCCTCGACCACCGAGTTCCAGACGCCGTCCGCCAGCGCGTCGCCGCGGCTGCCGTAGTTGCCGTGGCCCAGCCGGTACAGGATGCGGCCCAGCGTCTGGTACGCGATGCACCGCTGGCCGGCGACGGCGCTGCGCGCCAGCCGCGCCAGCTCCTTAATCGTGTAGCCCGCGGCCTCGGGCGCCTCGCCGTGGTGGTGCAGACCCCGGGTCGTGGGGACGGCGCGCGCGATCCGGGGCGGCAGCAGGGCGCCGCGGAAGTCGAAGCGCAGCTGCGACACAGGGATGCTGGACTGCGTCGGGTGGTACGGCGAGTCCAGGTCCGCCGGCGAGTTGGCTGTCGGTATCGGCGCCATCCAGGCCAGCTTGCTCGGGTCGGCCGGCAGGTGCGGGAAGTACTTGTCGTGCAACGAGGCCAGGAAGTTCGGGTCGGCCGGGTCGAGCTCGGGCGCGGAGGGCGCGTGCGGCCAGTGCGTGTGCGTGCCGCTCGACGCGCACTCCTCCGTGTGGACGTGGTCGGACGGCACCGAGGGCGGTTCGGCGTCGCCTGCGTCGGCATGGGGCTCGGCTTGTGTCGAGAATTCCCTCGCTGTGGGCGCCGGGGCGGGTATGGGGACGGGGTCGTCCTCGTCGGGCACGTCTTCGAAGTGGACTTTCCTGGGCGCGCTCGAGGATTTTGGGGGCTGCGAGGTCTCGGGTGCCGGGTCAGAGGTGTCTTGGGCTTGTGCTGCTGGCGGGGACGTCTCGGTGTCTTGGTCGAAGGGCGAAGGGCCGTTCTTCTCGTCGAGGTTTGCGCGCCTCAGGAGCATCTCCAGGGTCTTGGGGTCCAGGCCGCCGAACAACTCTGATTGCGCCTCCTCTATTTCTGTGGACGACATGCTTGCGATCTTCTCCTTGTTCTCCCGGTCTATTTTTTGTTTCTCGCTCAACGTGGGGGCACGCGGTTGGGTGCCGCTCGGCGGACCTCGCTGTGCTGCTTCATGGTTGCTGGTGGGCTCCCGCTGTTGCTGCTGCTGTTGCTGCTTGAAAGCAGATATCCGGGTGCGCTTCTTGTGTTGGGGGAATCCTGATGAGCTGGAGCTGATCTGGGGGAAAGTCGGGGCCTGCGGCGAGTTGGCCTTTTTCTCCTTGACGTCGGAGACCAGCAGTGGGGAATCCATGGTGAAGACTGGCTGGATATGATGATTGTGCGAGTTTTGAGTTATGACCTCTACTTGGTAGGTAGAAAGAATCAAATCTGCCCGTTTGCGTCCGCGCTGAGGCGGTAGGCATTGACGAGCTAGTCTAGGCGGTAACCTGGCGGTTCAAGCTAGTCTAGGTTAATTCACTTAATCTAGCATCTATAAATAAGGTCCCTATCCGCGGGTCGCCACCCCTTCTGTGCTGAGCTGTTGCTGTGGACTCTATAACTACTCGCGCGATGTGAACCGGCGCCAGCTTCGTCAGGGCCACCGCTCACGCCACGGTAAATCCATTCCAAAGCGTTCATCCAGCGAGCCAGTTAACCTGGCTGGCCTATATTTCTCCCGCAGTGGGAACAACCACCCCCCGCCGAGGACAAAATAAACCGGACACTCTCATTGCGCTGTACCCTTTCGTATATATTGTAACTGCACAACAAAATGATGACTTTTAAGGGACTTGAAGATATCATCATGTTACGTTATCAATCGCAATAATACTCTAATCCTGTTCACTTTAATCAATGTTTCAGCCGTCTTGGCGAGATCAAGTGACCCATGTCCGGTTACTATCTATGTATGTGCTTCGTCCTCTGCGGGCCGCTTCTTGCACATGACGCATCCTTCTCAGTGGGGACTAGCGCAAGCAGAGCCTCATGCCTGGAGTGATTGATAATTTGGCTCGGGGGTTCATAACTCTGTGAGGATGCCCGAACATAGGTTGACGTGTGCGGGGCGCAACATGAATACAGCGCAATGTGCATGCCCAAAACCCCCATAATTTGTGATGTAATGAGCACTTGGGTCGAGCTGGCTCTGTTGGGGCGCTGAGCAGCTCATCATGAAAGGCTTGCGGTGGCCTCCCCGGGTCTTGGCCTTCTATCCGCCACACTACTCCTTCCAAATCGTCACACACAATCAGTCTGTATCATTCCGCAGCTGAATGGGACACGGGGTATACGGCCTCCGAAAGTCTACGGTCACGTACAGCTTCGTCCCAATGGCACTCTTGGACGTCCTCTTCCCCGGCTGTCTAGCGCGGGTTTGAACCTAATAGAGCAGAGTTTGGTCGCTTCCAAATCCCCGATTGCTCACCGCGACCGGGAAAACCCAAAAGGCAAGGTCCAAATTATATGTTGTCTATTGTGATTCGACAGCTACAGATCCCTGGGAAGTGGTCGTTCACCTTGTATCCATGAGAACTACTTCAGTCGTAAAATGCCGACACACGCCCGACCCCAGCTGTCCGATATCTTTTCATCGTCCGTGTCAGGAGATTCAGCGCCAGCTGATAAAGCGAGTGATGGCCTGGATAGCTGAAAATCACGTCACCCATTCATTTACCATTTCATACTGGGAGAGTTGTCATGATAAGCCATGAGAATGACCCGGCTGGGTATCATCGTGAACACTCGTGGCATTCATATTCATATAAAAAAAAACAGGCAGAAGTCCCCAAATGATCTGGAATCAATAGATAGGCAGCGGGCTGGTCAAGGGATCCTTATTCCATGAATCTTTCGCTTTCGTCCTGATGCGTCTTGAGATCGTCCCCGGCGAGTCTTGAACAGGGTGGCAAGCCCTAGAATCAAATGCACAGCCGGCCGGGGGAAGCAAGTCATCCAACCAACACTTACAGTTTGCCACCACCTTGTCTGGATGCCACGCCGCTCTCAGTTGCCTTCTTCGATGCTCAAAAATTTCATGATCTTTTTGACGGTTTGTTCGACCCCCTCCACCCTGTTGCCAACTTCTTTTCGGCCCATCTCTCTGTGGAACCGCCTCCAAGATCGATGAGCCAAGCATCATCTTCTTGGTCGATAACAACGTTGCTTGCCTTTCCATTGCCCCAGATTACCTCGGTTTCGTGTAGTTGGTTGACCGTTTTCGGCATTGTACTCAAGGTTTGCTTCAAGACAGGTGTGAGCTTCGTGGGGTCTATTGGGACGACAGCCGCCTTGTCGCCAGCAGTTTTGAGACAGAAGGCGAGTGTTCTGGGGTAAAAAGGAGAGTGCAATTCTTGACTTGGGGGTTGGAGAATGGCTTTGTTAAGCAGCGCCACTTCAGCGAAGATATCCTTTTCTCGCTTCAAGTGCAACGCCTAGAACGTCGTGTATATTGTCTTCGTGCGCATCGTCGTCCATTTCCAGCAGAGACAGCATGGCTAAGCATATCTAGGAGACGATCTCCAGTGCAAGGTTGCTTTCAATCCAAATGGACGTTGTGTGCAGCTGGAGAAACTGGAGAAAAGGGACACAGCAATTCGTGGCCGTTGAAATCGAAAATCACATCAGCACCGCCGCTGTCCCCAGCATTGATTTGATGCACAGCAATATCGTCCATCTTGTTCATTTCCTTCAATCCTGGGATGAGTACACCCGACCACCTGACGCGTGGGAGGGTAGGAGGGCTAACGTTCATCGCTGATCGAATCTGGTTAATGCGAACTTTAATATATTTTAGGTTAGCGCTCTTTATTATTGCTGGGCTATCTGAGCTACTATTCTAGGTATCGTTATGACTATTATCATAGCGTGGCCATCTTTTTTTCGGGCTCATCTTCTTTATATGTTATATTACCCTTGTACCTACTACTGTCATATGCAATCTCATAAGGCGTATACATGATCGTAAAACACGCTCCATGATGCACGGTTCATTCGGTCACGATTCATTCGGAGCGAAAGGGCACTGCGAGCTGGCGAGTGGCTACTTTGCTACACGGCGGGATTGCGTTGCGGAGCACCCTCCCATCGCCTAGAGGGGAAGGGTGATTGCTAGCTTTGGGCTGGAGTGTAGGTTTTGAGGTGTTTGTAAGAGAGAAGGAATTGGCAACTCGCCGGAACAAATCCTTTCCCAGTGCAGGACATACGGTATCGATCAATGGTGGCCGTTCAGCTTTGTACATGGACGGGCGCCGAACGGAGGGTTCAACGTCCAGGTGTATAACTTACCAAGTCGTTTTATCTCCGGAATATGGTTTAATTTCGGCGCCTGGCAGTGCATAGCTTGGTGGCCCACGCAAGTCATGGGAACGCTGAACATATCATGGGCGTAGAGAGAACTTCACGTAGTACATAAGCACCGTCTAAAATGTACTTTATTAGGGGTGCCAAAAATGGCGGGTTTAGACGTCCAAGAACGGTAGCCCGACCCGCAACACACGGACTTTATCTGGAAGTATTTCAGCCAAGGCGGAATTAATGATAAAATGCAATAGCGGGGCAGCGGAATGAGAACGAGAATGAGAATGAGAACGGGAATTGGAATGGGCATGGGATGCTAGCGCACGGGCCATTAAATTATTATGTGTTCAAGTCGAGTTCCCCTACTTTGGAAAGACGTCTCGGATGGAAACAATGCTTCTTTCTTGTGCCACTACCGTTTCCGTTGAATCACTTCTTGGATGCGGACCTGCGCTATTTAGCGACTCCACCGGGCCTCGTACAGAAGTCTGGTCTGTATTTCGCCATCGTGTTTGGCGTAGTTGATGAGAGATTGTCCAATGGGCATCCGAGAGGCATTCAAGGGGCACTAACGTTGCCTGTTTGCGTCTCACCAGCAGCCTATATGCTTCCATCTGTCGCCGGCCTTGACTCCCTCCGGTCATCGTAAATCGGAACTAGCATGAAGGTGATTCCATGCTTGAAATCGCAGGAGACACGGTTTAGGACACCCGAATTTAGCGCAGCCATTTCCCGATCCACTGACCGGATAAGTGTCTCTCCCATCCAAGTGTCAGGGAAGGTTAGTATACACGAACGGATATCAACAATTACCTGTCATGGCCCCTGGTACGTGAAACAAATGGCAACGCTGAGTTTCGAGTTGTTCCAGCTTTTGCTCTTTATGATTCCGTACTGCACAGACAGTCTTAAACCTATTGCACATACAGTGCCAAATTAAAGTTGCCGAAGGTTGACAGCCCCAAAAGCCGCCAGAGATTCTATGCATTAGCGTCGATTCACCTCAGGCCGCTGCCGCGCTTGGCCAGCCAATCAGTAATTTGTCCGATCATGACAGTTCATTGAGTACAGGTATGAAGATCGGGGATGGTGGAGGCATATTTACGCGAAGTCTTTCCACTATTGCAGGCTGAAACTGTTATATGTGGTTGTCTCACGGTATCCAATCACCCCGTTCATCTCTATTTAGCTCATGTACCATATATCTGCAGCGAATTTCAAGTTCTCAGTGTGAGTTTAGAGCAGGGATCATGATCATATGTCCGTGATATATCTGAATTCTAGGCCCCTCTACCTTGCAGGTGTAGTTGCTGCCAGCTGGTAGGCGAGTGCTATACAGAGAACAATTCAATCTACGCATGCTAATGAAGGGCCCGCATCCCGGGTTATTGGGGCTGCGCTCTCTCACAGCTAGACTAGAGAATAGGCGCCCTTCACCGCTATGAGAGCCCTCAATTGGTGCTATAAACCATATCGAGCAGGTTCTTTTGTCTAATTGCCATGCCTCGCAAGTCCTCCCCGTCGACTTTTGTCAATCTCGACAAGTGTTTCCAGCCCAAGAACCTAGTGGGACCATGGCAGGCTAGACGACCCCCCCTGTCTCAGAGTAAAGATGAAATAAATAGATAAAAAAGCGGCTAAACATGCGCAAGGCGCTCACTGGCTGGATCCAACGCCGCACAAGGCTCATGCAGGGTCGGGAAGCGTGGGGAAAGATGAGTGGCTCCCATGTTTATCGACCCCCGGCTAGGGTCATTTCCTATCGGAGTTGCAGTAGCGCAAGCGAACGTTCATTACAATTGCAGATTTCTTTCTCCATGCAATGCCCTTCATGCTTGCGTGCATACTGTGTCTGTAGGTGTGTGCCATTGCCGGACTATTACCCCCAGGCAGTCAATCCCTACGGATCTGGACTGCTGCTAGGCAGTCAAACGGTCCCCTCCCCTCCCCTCAGGCCCCCAATTCGCTCGCAGTCATAAGTCACAAGGTCGAAAGAATAGAAGGCCGATGATCCTCTTCCGAGGAGAGGCTCAATTTCTATTGCCCCTGGAGTACGGGGAGCTTTGTTCCCTTTCAAGCTTCGTGCTTTTGCCTGACTCTTGACTTGGGGAGTTACAAGAGACACACCCCGTGGGTCAGGGCAATCTCGACTTAGGTCAGATGTCCCAATCCGGATCGTCTACCAATTCACCTTTCGAGCCGGTCGAGGTGTCATTGGATTGGGCTGGATTCGCATCACCATCGTATGCCATCTTTATTGCTGACTCCGTGCCCCATGGTGTTTTCCTCGTGCCGCCTCATCCTGGGAGTATCTGGTCATTTTGATCTTGGTCTTTCTAGTGCATTTCCTATTTCGCTTTGGCCCGTGGCATTTCCTGAAGCTCTACAGCATGAGCATGAGCATGGCATGGACCTTTGACCCCATCCTCATCAATGTTCCCCCTTCCGCTTTCCCTTGCCGCAACCTGATGCCACAGTCCCTTGGTCTCTACCCTTATTCCCTCTCGATCCGATGTTCTGCTCTTGCCTTGCCCCCCGTCTAGTCCCATCTCTAATTCGTTTTTAATAACAATTCCCACGCAACTCTGGTCAATTGCCAGATGGTGGTCAGGGCCCCGTTTTTCCCTCGCCTTGCAACCTTTTGACTTTGCTTTGGTCAATTCATCTCGTTTTCCTTTCCAAAACGTAGCCATCCCCAATCTCCAACGCAACTCGCAAATCTCTTCAATTCTTCACAACTACACACCACCAACAACCCCCAAATCATTTGGTGTTTGATGCTTATTTCATCGAAACCCATACATCGCCGACACCTTTTTATTGAACTTTTGGCGCCTTTTTCTGTGCCTGAACGCGCTGCATCTATTGCATCAGGCTTCGGACCAGAAACCAAGTAGTTTGCACTCGTTTTGGGGCTTGAAAGGCGCGACAACGTGTCTTCAGGGCTCCCAACCATCGCGACGTGAGGTTATTCTCACCTCCAGCCCCACACCCAAAAGAGAATCTCGCCTAGTCGCACCAAGCAAGCCGATCCCTCAAAAGGCTCAAGCTCATAGCTCAGGCTCAAAGCTCAAAGCTCAAGCTGAGGTCACGTTACTCGAGACTACATATCCAAATTCGGCTGCAACCAGCATCGGTATCGGGACCGACCCCACACACCACAGAGCGCTGGGCCCGATACTGGCTGACTTCATTGTGCACATACCAAGTGTGTCCATCCATTGGACCAAAGTTTGGTGATATTTCGACAAAGATCATATTGTCCAACATATACTCACCCGACTAGTTGTCCACCCCCGATTTGATTATCAACTACTCAACTACCTGCATAACTTTGCAATTAATCAGGCCTGCGACGCTTAATCTTTTTCTTCTCCTTTCTCTCTCTTTTATTTCTTTCCTTCTTCTTCTTCTTCTTCTTGTTGTTCTCCACTTGACACAAATGTTCGATCATTCATAACAGGAACACTACATCTCTAGTCGCATTCCTTCTCACGTGCATCATTCCCTTGCACTCGCATCTGTACCATACTGCATCTCAAGGCCCCGCAGCCTTTCCTGGCGGTCAGATACCTTACTCTGGTATTTTCATAATTCTATCGCATCGTCAACCAACCCACCTCTTCATCATGGCCGCGTCCAGAGACATCTCGATGCGGTACGCCAGTTCCTCGCCGGAGCTTAGCGACCCTCCGTCTGGACTATCAGAGACCACCTCACCCACGCACTACGCAAGACGCAGGTCTGGCGGCGAGCTGGACGAGATAGTAGTCGACCATTCTTCCTACAGATACGATGTCTCTGGTCAACCCGTGCTCACAAAAGACGGTGTGCCTCGAAGAAAACCAGGCCCTAAGCCTGGCACGAAGCTCGGCAAGCGCAACAGCAGCCACAATCCCGAAGGCTCAGATGCTGGCAAGGTCCGAAAGCCTAGGAAGCCTAGAGATCCCAACGCACCTCCGGTCCAGCGCAAACGCAAGCTCCCCACAAGCGATGCTGAAGCCCCCGAGCCGCATGTCGAAGCTCGCTCCACCAGCATCGGCGCCGGACCTCCACGCCAGACCAAGATCACAGAGATGGCAATCACGACGGGCAGACTCGAGCCCATGGCGCAGCCCTTGAAGAGGGAGAATTCTACGAACCAGCCCCGAGTCTCAAACATGTCGAGCCTCTTGAACGCAGACCCAGAACCGCAATCGCCAGCACACGCCAGTCCAGCACCTCCCCGGCCTAGTGGTAGCAGTTACGACCCTATCCGCTCAAGCTATGATCCTGTTCGCGGAACCATGGTCACGCCCAGCTATTCGAATCCCTTGGCGTCGCCGCGCGCACCTACCAATATTATCAACCGTGCCAGTGCATCTCCGTCCATCGCAAGTCTGGTAGATCCGCCCTCCCAGAGCATCATTTCGCCGATCCCAACCCACACCACTTTCGCTCAGAGTGTCACGCATCAGTCACAAACGCCCCGCCAGGAACCAACCTCGATTCCCAACTCGCCTCAACCGTTCCGCCAACCCAAAGAGTTCGCGCCCCCACCGGCGCCGAAGCCTACTCCCCCCGAGATGAAGAAGCACGCACTCCCGAATGTCACGAAAGCCCAGATCGAGATTCGACCGCAATCGATCACCAGTATTGCCGCCCACTCGAAGCGAACACCGCCAAAGAATCAAGCATCACCTCCTCTAGGCGCCCAGAAGAATGGCCTCGAGCTTCCAGGTGACGAAAGATCTATTCTGGACTTTGGCAAGTCTGCTCCTGGCGAGCTCGACACGCCTTCGATCGTATTACATATTCCTCTCAGTAGTGAGACCAACAAGTATGTCAATTTCATGCGCATGGCAGAGGACCGGTACGGTTGGGATGCACTTCACCCTCGCCAGGCTGAGGCGAAAGCCCGCAAGGCGCGCATCGCTGCCGCCGCCAAGGAACTTGCTCAACAGGACTCTGGTCGCACCTCCGGCGACGAGATGAGTGTTGATGAGTCCGATAACGACGACAGCAACGTGGAGATGGGCGGTGTCACCAGCGGCGCTGACAAGCCCGATGGTAAGATCAAGAAGAAGAAGCGGCATTTCAAGGAGGACGAATATGACAGGGATGACGACTTTGTTGATGATTCGGAAATGCTATGGGAGGAGCAAGCTGCAGCTAGTCGAGACGGTTTCTTTGTGTATTCTGGCCCACTGGTGCCGGAGGTCGAGAAACCTGAACCTGGACGGTATGTGTTTCCCCTGCTCTCTTGTTCCCAGTCCGGTGCTAACTATTCATACAGTGGTGAAGGCAGACCAGCACGTGGCCGTGGCTCCCGAGGAGGTCGCGGCGGGTCTGGACGAGGCACTGGTACCGGCCGTGGCCGCGGTGGCGGTCCTGGCTCTCGTGGCGGAGTTGTTCGCAAGCCTCGCATGACCAAGGCCGACAAGGCACAGATGGATCGCGAGAAGGCTGAACGGGAAGCTGCCTTCCTAAAGTCAACTAATGGTGGTGGCAATTATAATGTTCTTCATCCTACCAGCCCTCAGTTCGCCGGCTTGTAGTTCGACTTGGCCGGCGATGCCTGGACGACACAGCCTTGTTGTTTTGTTTTATTAGAAGAAGCATAACTTGCCGAGATATGGTGTCTCGCGCGCCTCCGATTTGTGCTTGATGATACCTGGTTTCTTTTCGGAACAGCATATGGGTTGGGTTTGCTGGTCAGCGACTTTTGCACAAAAGCGGCGCTAAGGGAGGGCTGACCATAGCTAGCATAGCGATGTGTGTTCAACATGATGATTGTCGATTATCATAATGGGAAAGACCAATGGATTGTATCTTTTGGGCCAGTAGTAACCTTTTGCCGCTCCTCGTAGATCATCCCGCAAATTTCCCTCTTCGCCATGATGGTGCTCACATCTTACTCCTGGTCTGACGCTGAGACGGCTGTACTTCGCTCGGCAATCTACATAGGCAGTGCTGGCGCCGATTGAGCTAGGTTAGGCTAGTTAGCGTACTGCTTATGTATCCAAAGTCTGGCATTCGAAAACTGCACACGAATCCGTACTCGATCGAATTGCCCCGTACATGGCGAACGCTCCGACGGTCCGCCAGGAATGCCAACATGCGCAATGTAGTAATCATCATCACTGTCAAGAGATTCAAAGTATGTACATCTGCTCGACCACTTGTTTCGCATTTATGAGAGGTTCAATGAGCAATCGGCAACGGACAAAAGAGAAGATCGCACGGCTCAGCCATTCGCTCATCAATATAATACGTCTTGCTCTGTTTCACACTAAAGAAATATTCTGTAGTCGAGGGTCACCTCACGCTGACATGTCGTTGAAGACTAGGTTTCTACCACTAGTTGTGATTGTTTCCTTGTTACTGCCATTGCCGGTAATATACCTAAGGGTCGATCAACGACTTGGCAACACTATGTAGGGCTCTTTCTACATCACACCTAGGTTAGTCATGTTACCACCATGCAAATCAAAGCCGGACTCTGCCGAGTACGCCAGATCACAAACCGTGAAGTGTCATCTTCATGCTTTTGATTCCAGAGAGGCCGATCCCACATTTGATAGCTCGATAAAGCCTCACACTCTACCGCCAATGACCACAACGAATTCGTTAAGTCTTTTGTCATAAACAGCTTCACTTATGAGGTGAGCGAAGAGGCAGATCAGTGTCGAGAACAACGTGGTCAGCCAGCCCAGGTTGAAGGTGAAGAAGTATAGAAATCCAGCATGATTCTCATTGAAAACCAAAGGTCCTATGGAAGAAATTTTGCATTTGCAACCATACGGTATCCTCTTACCCTTGTCTGAGTTAGCCAAGTGCTGCAACTCATTTCACTCATGAATGAGCCGGCCAGATAGTGTGGGTATACGCATCTATGCAACCGTCAAAGATCGTCAATTGGTGCGAATCTTTCACCGAGCCGCTGCTCTCGGTAGTGGAGGCGAGCCCACCAGTACAATTGGCATTGCATGCGGTTATCGACTGCGGCGTGCAGATCGTAAGCGGTGTACCCGGCGCCAAGAACTGCTTCGACAACTTCAACTGCCATCCATGCTAACATCTCGATGCACGTGCATCTCCCTGGTCTGCGTTTCTCGTAGCACTGCGAGTTCGTGTGGCTGTGGGAGAAGGGCGCTGAGGGACAAGTGCGGGTACGGCGGCCACCAGCCGTAGAACTGAGCGCTGTGGTGTGTGAGGATCTGCCCGGCAGTCCCTTGTTCGGCGGAAGTGAGATACTAGCCTTGGCGGTGACAAAGTGTTGGAAGACTACAGGGATTACAAAGCTGGATATATCAAGCTGCCGCATGAAGCCGGAGGTAGCTGTGTCATGAATGGTCCGTTCCAGGTAAAGTGACATGGCTCTGAAGTTTTAGAAAAGAAAGAGAATTTTTGATTCGCCGCGAGAATCAATAATCTGTGGCCAACTAATTGAGACGCGTGAGAATCAACTTCACTCCTTCCGACTTCAGTCATATGCAGATCAGTGGCCTTCCATCAAACTGGACGTGTGATAACTTTGACTGTCTGCAGCACGATCTCAATAAATACAGCTCTATCAATTACAGCGACTAGATCATCCCGCCTCCTTTCTCATCACGGAATGGTGGTTGGGGGGGGGGGGGGAGAAACTCTGTGGCAGCAGGCTGATTCCGCCGACAGGACATTCGCCCTGAATGGTGCGACCGAGTATCTTGGTCCGTCGACCGCTGAGCTGGTTGCCTCCAATACTGTTCAGAGTTGAGGTATACTGGACGAGTACGAGAGGAACGAGAAATTGCTGGATGTACGGATTTATGTTTATGCTTATGATTAAAGTATGAATGTACACAAAAGAGGCGATTGATCAGCATTTTTGATGATTCGCGAAGTACGGACTAGACTGATAGCGTTCGTTTGTTTGCCATCTACGTGTTAGTTGCACATCATTGCTAAAACACCGGCTACCTAAAATTGTCCAGATCTTATTCTTCCAAGCACGAATAATACAGTTACCTATTCATTCTTCTCGCTTCTAGACTAGTCTAATCATGAATTTTCATCACTCACATCATATAAAAATTGAGTCGGCACCAATGCTGCTTCGTTGGAAACCTTATATTCAATCTATGGCAGTGGAAATTTAGGCTACCAATATCGACGGCTTTGTTTGAAAGATATGAGAACAAAACTATGAAACAATAGAATCCTAAGTATTGTCACATCAAAGGCTCGGACAATGCGTGACATGAAAGGCGACAGCTTCACAAGATCACCAAATACATCGAAATGGAAATATAAAAGAACGAATGATCCATGACAGTTTTCAAGCACCGTTGTAGAATTCTCTTACTCTTCGCACCAAAAATAATCAAGATTAAAAGCAGAAGAGCGATAATGAAGATGAAATTCGATCCGAAATACTACGCAGAAGAACCACCGAGTGAACCTGTTAGAGCACCCTTACTAACCCCAAAACTAGAAGCGCTCGAAGAATCGAAAAAAAGGTTTGCAGAAACACAACGACGACTCATTATGCTAGGGGCTAGTGCCACACGGCCGACGATCGAAGGTGTGTTGAAGGAGAAGAAGCCGCAGCAATCACGTACCACAAAAGCCAGAGACGATGATGTCGATATGTGGCATCATGGCATACGGCCTCAGCCGTCGACAACAGAATTCACCGTTGTCAGCGAAGAGGACGACTACGAACACCCTGTACCATGCGGTGACAAAGAATGCGATCGCTGCTACGTTTTTTCTGTCGTGTCCGACTTCGCTGATGATGACTTGTTGCCATATTCAGATGTTCTGGCCTCTGTGGCGCCACCGGCTCCGAGATCTGGATTTCGGGGTTGGACGGAAGCGAAGATGGATAAAACAACTTTGAAGATGAAGGGAAAAGTCCCGAAAGAACCGACACCACGGATTAGTCCCAGAGCAAGAACAAAGGAAGACTTTTCAACTAGCCGAACCATCTGCCCAGAAATCAGAACGTACGAAGCTCGACAAGACCGTCACGAGATACAGGTAGTCAAGCTCGCTCGGATCGAACTATCGAAAGAAACAATTTCTGAATACTTGAAGAAGAGAAGTGGAATTCGAGATCAAAGCCATTTACAGCCTCCGAGTCAGACTCAGCGATCCCAGACGACCCGTGTTATGTCTACGGAACATTCGAAAATCGGGAGGGAAATTCGCAGCCCTTTGAGTGAACTTCAGGATAAGCTCTCATGCTTATCAATTGCTTCAGAGGCGTCCCTCGGCTTGGCCACGCCAAATAATCTACAGATTCCTGACAATCCAACTATCGATAGGTTGCACGGTAGGCATAAGTATGATAGACCAGCAGATGTCTCTGGACCCAACCGGAACGATCCGGGAGAACATTGGTACCATCTACAGCAGAAATCATTAGCAGGAACCTGGGCAACGGAGACCCGAAGAAATCTCCATAAAGCAAGTGACTTGAAGTCCCCATCTTCTCAAATGCAAGGAACATTGCGCGGGCAGACTGAGACGACTTCTACTACCAGGACTCGCAGCTCCAGCGTCAATATTCCCAACGTGACGCGGCCTCTAGGCAGAAATCTTTCTTTCAAAGAGCGTGTATTGGAGCTTCAAATCGCCCCGGAGAAATCATTCTCAAGGCCCCGCAGACTTACACGGGAGAGTCCGGGGACCCCAAGGCTTGGTAAGGGCTCTCGTCCTCCGTTGAGTATGAGTGGTTACTGTAATAGTCAAAATGCCGGAACGTCTGATAAGTCTGCGGAGTGCAACATGTGCTAGATTCTCTCAAGTCTCTTGTGTAGGAATGAATGAATCTAGATATATCATCACATGTTCATATTGCCTTTGACTAAAGGAGGCCATAGTTCGTTTATAAATATTTTGCAAAGAACAATAAAAATGATTAGACTGAATGATGATCTAGAAATGATAGTGGATAATGTACCAATCCTTAATTGGAAGATAGTCGCTTGATACTGTGTGATTCTCAACCCGTCGAGACACGCTACATGCACGGAAACCGATAGGCACTCCATCAAAGCCATTCGTTATAACCCGCTGGACTTGAGAACAGCACCTCAGGCTTGCTGAATTAGAAAAGTCATTGTTTGGCCAACTTGGTCCCGTGATCAGGTCACTCCAGTCTGGGCCACTGCCTTACCTGAACTTAGATTCGGATATAGGGCCACAGCATACCACATCCCAACTGGATCTTTACAGCCTCTTTCCGCACCGTAGCCTCCTTTCAAGCCCCTCCCGCATAGAACATTAGCATCTAATGGCAAAATTTACCCCCGTTAAGTCCTAGTTGTGGCTGTCGCAAATAATATAGTGGCCCACGTGCACGTCAACGTCAAGTAGGCTTCCATAAATCCTGGGCAAATCTAATCTCAGCAGTTACGTCCAGTCAATACAGGCCTCGAATGTACGCCCTGCAGACAGCAAGTAGAAGATCTCGTACTCCACTTCTCGGATTACCGATGGGTAACCCATTATCACACGTGTCGTCTGCGCATCTTCGAGCGCTAGAGACAAAAGAATTTTCGTCGCTGTTCTTTCATTCCAAAAGAAACGTCTGCTGGTGCGCAATTTGATAAGCAGCGAATCCCGCCTTCCGATACAAGCATGCGTAATCCGGAGGATATACCCAAGGTTATGATAGATGATATCGGACGCAATAACTTGGGACGTACTTTTGTTATAACTTGATGTGAAATACGAACCATTCAATTAGCGGCTATTAGAGAATATTCTTGAAAACCCTCTAGCAAAGTTTTAATGACGCTCATATATATAATTTTCAACCTTTTTTATATAATAATCCCCTATGTAATTATTGGTACTGGTGTACTTATTGAACATATATCTGATGAGTACCTAGGTAACGTCTAGAACTTCCCCGAATAATTATAAGTTACGGAACGTGACGATAGGTATTCGTCTTAATCATGCCTTATCATTATGTAATATCTAGCAAAGGTAAATAGGTATATATTATATAACATGGGACATTTTAAAGAGCAAACGGCGAGTTAATCGTTCATCGGCGATTTTAGAACTTGAACAGTAGGCGCCACATCATTTCTGGCATATAAAAAGGCATCTTACGCCCAACGGCTGTCTGACTACAGCGTCCACTACGGCCTAGACGGTAATACTTTGAGCTAGCAGTAGTCGATCGGTGTGATGTTCCTTGTAGGTGTGATTGTGGGTTATCCGTGGTCACTATCACCACATTCGAATCCCCTTCTCGTGGGATCTGAATCAACACCACTTAATGCTGTATAAAACCGCACTTCGATGCTTTGCAGACCAACCCAAAAAATAGCTCGAAACAAACATATCCGTAACGATCGCACCATCCATCAGATAACTATCTCCCCAAATCAAGAAACCGTCGAAGAATATATGTGCACACAATTCTACCAGCGAGCTTGGTGTGAGCGCGGTGGGCACTTTTTCGGAGAAGGCCCCTGGCCACTAGACAATACCAAATGCTTCACAGTCAAAAAAATCAAGGATGGCAAATTTGGCGATTGCGGATCAATTGTCCACAGTTCAGAGGAAAAGCCGTTAGGGCAGAGGGGTGGAGTCTTGAGACAACGCTTGGGGACTTGTGGTGTTTGTCATGCACATTGGAGCTCTGTTGTGATGGGACCACGTCAGTAGAGGGTACGAGTAGTTGTACTGGACACGTCTGTCGTACAAGCTGATCAATAAGGCCTACAGCCCAGGAAGTGAGATGCTTGTCTACATTCCGTTATCTAAAGGGCCTACCTACAACTGACAAGACCCATAGCCACTCAGGCGTAAATAGTTCACTGACTAGTAACCAGGCTAGAGACCGAAAGTAAAGCCACCGAGTATTTTCAAATTCGTTGGTCATGGGGAACGAGCTTCCTCCACATTGAGGAACGAAAACTACATGAAAAGTAAGAGTAAAAATCAGGAAGACTTTGCAACCCGTCGCACAACCTTGAACGAAGACAAAACCGTTCCGAAAGTCAACATTTATTCATAGGCAGACGGACACAAATGTGGTGCTACATACTGGTAATAGTCAAGTATTCATTCCGGTAGAGATTAGATATTGATCAAAAACTTACTTCATCTCGTAATTGACTCACTCCCCTCTGAATAGTTGTTCTAACTGCTTATTTGGAACAGGAGATATTTGGAAAGGTTCCTGAGGAGCACTCCTACGCCGATTGTAAATGCTTAAGAAACTAACAAGATTGTGCATTTTCGGACTACGACCAAACCAATGACATGAACTGCAGATGCTCCGGAGGGTCTAGGAATTGTGCTTGTCGACATGATAAGTCTAATACAAAATATGGCTTTCGAGACTGTTGAGAAATTGAATTCAAAAGCATCGGGCAGCATGACAGCTCTTTAGGACCATAAAAAACGCCTGTCAATCCTAACTAATAGCATATAATGCAATGAGACAGAGCATACCAACGATAGCGCCGATCGTTTCCGACGAGCACCCCTTAGTGAAAAGGACCCGGAAACACGCAAAGTAGTGCCGACTTGATATTCTCATTCCGCCTTATGCAAATCATAGTTGACTAGGCCCACCAGAGCCTTACCGATGTGTGACACGATTCCTCGTGTCAGCAAGGCTGGTATTGAAAATTGTCAACCAGGCTATACCCACCCAGTTGAACCGACCAGCATATTACTTCCACGAATGGTTCAAAATCCTGTATACTTCTAATATACTGGTTTCCAACATACAGACTTGATACGATTATTAACGAGAAGTTCAAATCTTTCGTGGCGCAAAATCCAGTCCTAGTAACCACAACTCTCGGAGAATCAGACTCAGAGGGCTCGGGATTAAAGATCAAGGATACTGCAGGTTATCTCATCATTTCATCTTTATTGCATATGCGAAATTAATTCCCTGCAATTTACAACACCGGCCAATCCATTTCGATGGGCTTCAAATCTCCACTACCTCTGAAGTCCTCCTCGATCTCCGCCTGTTCACACAGCATTGTCCTGTCGACCTGCGAACCGATCTTCGCTAGACCCCTCCATCTCTCCAGGTCCTCCTTGTTTCGTTTATCGCCATGGGCGTCCTGCGCCTTGGTCCAGTGCCCCTTGGAGAACCCCAGCATGGTCGTGATTGTTTTCTTCGGGATGTCGTAGACCAGACTGCACATGGTTCCCGTCTCTTCCAACCAGTTGCACTGCCAGAGCTCGCCGGGTCGAATGCACTGGTAGGTAGCTCCTTGATAGTTGTAGCGACCCGCCATCGGCCCGCCATGAATGGCATAGACGATGCGGTCGGAGTTGTAGAACCACATCTCATAGCGCCACTTTTCCGGCTTGCCCGAGTCCGTCTGAGATGCTGGTACGGAATAAGAGTAGATCAGATGCCGATCCTTGATATCTTTGTCAAAAGAATCAGTTGATATGGACCCGGCGAAAGGCATGATGATTAGTTTCTAGGAGGTGTGGGCTCGATTTAAATGTTGCTCGGAGAAGTCTCAGACGTGTCAATGTTGCTGTTTCAATGGTGGTAAGTGAATATTCCCCAGTCAACCATCATGGTCGCCATCTTCCCATTTTATACACTGAGCGCGAAGTCATTTGCCCAACCAGCCTATTTGCACGCTTCGCGTTCGTGATGTCATTACGGGGAGACCGGCGCAGCTCTATACTCCACTAGTCGAACTATCGGCGGGGCGGATCATCACACATCGAAAGTTTCTAGAACCGTTCGGCACGCGAACTCTGGATACCGACGCAACATCCTGGGCGACTCGCCAGGCCTACCATAGGTACAATTTTGCGCTGGATTGTCCTTACTACTCTATGAAAAATGCAGTAATACGAGTCCCCACATAACTGGACTTGTACACGCAAGTCTTTTTGCTTGTCGGTCGAGCACCTTCTCAAAGATGGGATCGGTCTCGTTAGCCTCTCCGTATGGCTAACCAATGTCAATGAAACAGTGGCTTGATGTTCAATAGGCAGACTTACCTCGATAAATTACATGTCTTTTCGAATTGTTTTTCGTCATTCACCCAATCTTTTGATGAGACGAAATGCAAGGCTCCGATCAGAAGAGCTTACTCTATGTATGATGGTATCAACAATGACAACGTAAGTTATTTGGTATGATGAGAAGCTTTGGGCTGTTAATTCACACATTCACTATAAAGCACAGTTTCCTTAACGACTAATTTCCGTTAAAGAGATCCACTAGGATAAGCTTGGCGCGCAGATGAAATAGCTTGTGAACCTGCCCTCGCGATTGAGCAGTGGCGTAACTCACCAATATAGACAGTATGAATTTCTCTACCGGGCAACTTGCCTTATGTCGATATAAATACTACCCACAGACCTGTATATCAGAGTTTGGACCGAAGTGCCAGTGGTGAAACCCTCTCAAATGTTCCCAAAGTAAAGTGCATCTAGGGAAGAAATATCTTGTATCGTGTTGGTTCATCCGTCAGAGGCCAACAGACTATAGCCTCTCTGAAATCAACATGAGGTGATCATTATGCAGGGCTTAAGACGAGCTTCTTATTCTCTTCACAACGATGGTTTCTAATCTGTTAGTGAAGGTTGGGTTGCAGCTTGCCGTGTGAAATGTCGTGGCCTGCAAGGTTGGTATCAGTCTTTCTTTGTCGCCTGAACCCAGAGGGCCTCTCTGGTGGGCTTGAGGTAAAGCTGGTATCACGCGGAACGTGCAACCCGTGATACAAACCAATTACTCATGGCTAAGCACATGAAGCACGGTAACAGTTGTATCAGAAGTACGATGCTTAGATTGTATTATTAAGTTTACAGCAAGTGACTACACGGTTTCACGCGTAAGCTGATTGCATCTGATTTTGTGTTACTTATAGAACGCTAGACTTAGTTGCGTCCCTCCTCGTCTCGGAAACTTCGAGTAAGAGAGTTAATACTAGCCATCAGGTTGGAACCTTCTTTTCCTATAAAGTAATCTATCGAATTGTATCCTGACTAAAGGAAGAGCCGGATCGATTTTTCGGCTTTTTGGCCGGAATCATTGAGTGGTCTCTCTGCTATTGTAGACACGTTGCTAACCAGCTGAATATTTCGAGATCGCTCCATGCTGGCCAATTCAGAGGCCTTTTATCGCCGGGTTCTGTACGGAGATGGTACGAAGCCTCATCGGCTTTATGACGGGTACATTTTCAGCTAGACTGGCGGGTGTTATGCCTCGTGCAATTTAGCCGCACAGGAACAGGCATTCGCAGTCTTTACTCCAAAACTGCAGAAAGGTTGGTAGTGAAAGTTCAAAGGTGGAGAGCCGTGAATCAAGACGTTACGGAGGTGCCGTACGTCCTGCCACGCATTCCCTACTGCAACGGCCAACAGTCCAGCGGGATTTGAACGCTCGCTCTTTCAATCATGTGTCTACACTAGGTTAGTATAGTCAAGATAATTTAAGCCGGCCATTAGCTCAGCTATATGTAAAGAAGAAAATGACTTGAAAATTTGATCTTATGTAAAGCCCCACACCGATCAAGCCCTCCATTTTCTTTTTTATCTTCCATCAAATATTTTCACCTCAACTCGCGGCTTGAGACTGAAAAGAATTCGAGGGCTCGAGTTGTTTGGGGTGGTGCAGCATCAGGCTGTGTAACCGTCAACTACTTTCTGTTTTATCGTTCTCCGATAACGCATCATGACATTTGAAATTGTAGCCTGTAGCTTGAGCTAAGAGGATGTGTGATATCGAAATATCAAATATAATTAATGGTCCTTACTCCATGTTATTTTATTAGAGCCTATAATGGATGCGCAGGTCTCCACCTGATGCCTCAGGTACACACCTAGGGCCACCCCTTTAGGTAACCTTCAGTAGAACAGAGGATAGCTTTGTTGCTCGCCATTAAATTACATTCCATATCCGTAGACTACTATTGATCACCATACGTAACGTGTCTATCATTATATGACTATTTGAATCTGATTAATAATTCAGAAGCTGTGTTTGCTTTCCCTATTACGATATTGTTTATCTATATCGCCGCTTTGATCTTCACGGATATCCTGAGAACTGTTAGTTTCTCAGGACTTTGCGGTTAACAGCATTGCCCTGGCTAAGCTCGCACCAAATTTGAAGTCGACGTTTGACACAGGAGGCTTTGAGGTTCATGTTTGTAAATCAAACCGTTGCGTCCAACTCGTCATTTTCAACCCTTTCAAGGCTTATTCATAATACTTACAGTATCAGAGCCCTTGAGCTACCAGTTAGCAGTAAATTTTTCTTTCGACATATGCCATTTTTGCTCTAGAATCAACATTTGGACGTTTTTCGGAGCGAAATTGAACGGTGCAAATAGCAGCAGCGGCACTCTGCAGAAAACTGACTACTGGAATAATGGGCCTCAAAGTCCTAGTAAAGCATTTTGCAGGCTCCCTTGAGAAACATGAAATATATATGACATGAGGAAGGGTTCGAGGAAGCACACTGAATTATACGTACATAGTTCCACATGAAGGGGCAACCCATGAAATATGGGGCTGTGCTGCTCCTGATGTTTTCTGCATCCTATTGAGCATTTGCCGATTAAAACTTGAGCTTACTTCAGTAGCCGAAGTTTAACGGCGTCGCGCATGTCATGGTTGTATCGACTGAGAAGGTTACAGCGAAATCGATGATTAATGATTGGAGCCTGCTACAAAAGGTCTCCATGATCCGATGACCTTGCGACCACTTGAATCATTAGCATGAAGAGGCTAACATTCGGGAGCGAGGCATATCCATACTGTAAATATATAAGAAACGTTGATACCATTATACACCAAAGATGTCTCGTATTAAATTTCTGAGAGGTCACGCCGTCACCGAGATTCACTCTTGGTCATGGATGGCGTACGATGGTGGTATTGACTACATTAGTACGCCCTTCGGAGGTGTAGACTGGGAAGAGATGGATTCCCCTTGGTTTTCTAGTATGAGTGGCACCGATGGTGAAATTCACACGGATATTGATGGAGTAAATGTTGCTCTGATTGCTGAAGCCCGCGAGTATAGCGCTCATAATGGAGAGGGAGAGATCGTTTTCGATAGTCCTGGAGGCTCCAATTGCCCTCCCATGAAGTATGTCGTAATGGGTATTAGGAAGGGATCAGAGGAATTGAAAATAAAAGTTAGAATGCATTACATACTGGTGGTAACGGCGACAAAGCGGTTAGATCGGAAAGGGAATCATATCTACGAGCGGGTTGGAGCTGGACGCCTGCCTGGAAGTTACATCAGATCTGAGCGAGAGACAGTGAAGATTCGTTAAGACGCTGCATCTCTGGAAAATGCAGCGGCGAATCACGGTACAGAGATGAGAGTTAAACTATTCAACATAGTGTCATGCAATTCGGCGGAACGTGGTGAAGATCAACCAAGGCAATGAATATCAAAGGACTGGTAATTTGAGCCATTTCATTCTCTTCAAACACCAACTCAAGGCGTTGGCTCTGGATTTGTCTCTCACTGCTTTGATCTCTAACTTTATGTCTTCCGCAATAGGTCGGGCAGATACTTTTGATCATATGCTAAGTGCGAATCTGTACAATAAAACCCTGCAACTGGGATGGGACTTTATCAACCACAACCCCAATTTTGAAGAAGCCGCCAGGTTCCTTGTGGGATGAAAACGAAGAGAAATGTAGAAGTATGGGAACTACGGCGCGTTTGCATCACCAGCTCGTTAAGTTCTTAAAGTGCGCCCAAGTCATCAACCCGTAGCTCCCAGACTTGGTGACTGTGTTCTTTAATTACACACCCATGCTGAAATACAAATAGCCTTGACGCCAGATAATCTAGAGCTATCTAACAGCCCTGGCCAATACATAATTCTGTATTGTGTGACAGAGATTAGAAGCCACGCTATGAACATCGTGTGAGTTGCCTACTGCTCCATGTAAGCTCTAGTGACAATTTTGCCGCAAAGGTTCGTGAACTTTATTCCTGTGGGACAAAAAGAATCTCTGGCCATCGCTGCAGTTTCTACTTCAAGAACATCTTGACATGATTCGTCTAGGAAATGTAACAGCTGGTGAGGCTGACACTCTATTGGAGCTTTCCATGGAGAGACTGAATACAATAGCCAGGCGAAGTGTAAAATAACTCGTATACTTTTCGTAGATCTGGTCGGCATCAATGGATCTGGAGCAGGACGTTCAGAGCTTATGAAACTGTCTCTGGTAGGACCTTGAATGTCAGCCCTGGATAACTGACACCGTATGTCTCGTATACAACGAGCAGTGAGCAATAAGGCTTTTTCAAATGGTTCATTGTCCTATAGACGGGCTTTGCAATGTTTAAAAGATACCTGGGGGATTTACCTAGGATATCTATTTGGTAAGCCCTTACCAGGAAGGAATTGATGGTTGCCTAGTGCTACCAGTTAGGTAGATGCCTGAGGTGCACGGTCCAACCCTTAATAGATAGCCTTCAGGGACCCTCATAATAGATGAGGGACCATGCCATTAAACAACAATCTCCTGAGGATCAATATACACACATTTGATCAGTAGCCTGTCGTGGAGTCGGCGTTGGGGAACATGACCACTGCAGAGAGGGCTGGAAATTCCGCCCTTGACAAAGGAATGCATACCGCGTGACCATACGATAATAGTGACAAGAGCCTCCTTGCTAAGGAATCCCATATTATCGCGCGGAAGCAAGAATTCAGCGTCAACTATGACCGCAAGACCCAGAAATAGATTAATTTTGTGTGTTAAACTACTAGTTCATCCTATAGCTACCATGTAGGATCGTGCTTCATTTCGGCGCATGGCTGTATTAGAATCTTTTCACGAATGATGGATGCTGAGGGCACTATTTAACTGAGAACCTATTGATGCGCAGCAATGCAACACCTGGCAGCATCCAAGAACGCTACAATTCTAGCACATGATCGCCCTATATTTAGTTTCCGCAACTAATCTTAGCGTACCACAGTATGGATAGTTAGATAATTTGTCAGAGGTGGACATCGTTACGAAAATCATCAATCAATTAGGCGCACATAACGAGAACTCACATTCTTGACAATTCCATCCTTCAAAAGTGGCTCCTACAACTGTCACTTCTGATGTAGCTAGACTTGCAGTGAAATCCAATCATGTTGGATTCAAAGTAACAGTAACGGTGTTTGCACCTAGTGGGATCTGCCACCCTCCCCTGGATTGGGTGGCCTTTGGTGTTGTGACACTGTAGTTTGCGGACCCGGCCGTCGCTTCGACCCAAACCACCACGTTGTCGGCTATTGGTGCGACTTCTAATTGACCTAGAGTGACCGAAATCTCACCAGACGTCTGGTCATAGCTAAGCTTCGATATAATGCCTGCATCTACAGTCACGAATGCACCAAGAGGACCGATGAACACCCGCCTTCTAACCGGGTCGCGAGTCTGGACAGTAGCTGTCGTTCCACCAGACTCCAGCAAGCCACCGTAAGCGACAAGCCCTAGGTCAGAGTCGTCTACAACATAAGTTGCAGAGCCTAGAGCCAGAGCCAGAAAATTGGGACCGTAATCACCGCTGATCCCGTCCCATTTAAGTGTGTCAGGCCAAGAGTGGAACGAGGCGGCGGCGAAACCATCTTGGTTGATGTTGGAAAGAGGTCCGCTATTACCTCCATAACCTACTTCAATCAAGTAGGTATCTTTGGGATTGTCGCGGAAAGCGGAGAGCAAGACGAGCGAATTAAGACCAGAACCGTAATGGTGGATCTGACGTTCAATTCTTCGAAGTTTACCACCGTAACTGGGCAGAGGTCAGTGATTCAGAACCGTAATAGACATCCTTGACGACATATAATCAATTATCATGCTTACATGTTATCCCAATAGCGACGAGCATTTCCATTCCAGCCCCAATGTGGCACTGTGGGCATAAAACCCAACACGCTATTTACGGTCTTAAGCGCAGAATCGGCAAAGCCGAAATATCTGTACAATGGTCAGCAACTGAACTTCACTTCGATTGCACCAACACGCAGCAACAATGACGGATCTAGCAATGCTTACCTAGTCCAATAATAGACACCCTCCTGACCGGTAGAGTCCCATGCCATTTCGCTCCCATAAGGGACAGTTTGGGTACTCCACGCTGAAGCACGCGCTTTCATTAGCTTGGTCAACGTGCTCGCCTGGGCAGTCCATGCTTCTCGTTGCAGATCAGCCAGCAGTTCACCCCAGACTGTCTCTCCCATCAATCCGACATCTTTGTATGAGATGTCATTCTGCATTGTTCGCACCACTGTCTGATATGATTGGTTGAGGTACCAGCTATAGTCATGGCTGGCGAACAGGTTTGGATATGATCTGGCGGCGCGATACAGGGCCCAATAGGCTGCGGATACATGGACATAGTCGTACGCGCGATCGATACTGTAGGCCGCTGCCTTATTCCACGAAGTCCACGAGCTCCAATCCCAACCAGGGTTGTATGGGTAATTCACCGTTGGCGGCTCGTAGTAGAAAATGCTCTTCTTCACAGAGTAGTCAGCATTCTGAATAGTCTTCCGAAGAACACCATCAACAAAAGACTCGAGGAGTGTGATCTCCTTGGCATCTGGCTGCACAGATTGCTTCATCGCAGCGGCTAAATACGATCCAGCGCCGGCTTCGTCACTGAGACCAGCGACCCAAGCCCGTGTATCTTGTGTGACGATTTGGCGCTCTTCATAGTCGTAAGTCATGACTGAAGGCGCTCGACCGAAGGGATCCGTAGTATCGTCAAACCACTGATTCGTAGTCGAGAAGGTTCCGAGGTTAGCAACAGCTTCGGTAGCAGACTTGGTGATGTAGTAATGCACCGTCTGTGTGATACCATCGGCATATTTGATAGTCAGACGTGATCTACCCCATGCCGAACTGCCAGGCGTGACTGTATAGAGACCATTTGACACTGGGACCACTACCAAGGTACCAACTGGGTCTGCCACGATTGTCGCCACATCTGATGTATGCTTCAGAAGAAGTCGAGCAACAGAGTCTCCAGGTACGATGTATCCTGGGATGCCTCTGGCGACAGGTGTGCCGGTGCTCTCCACGGTGTCGTCAATTCCACGAACACCTTCACGCGCTACGGAGAATCGCAAACCGAACTCCAATTCAGCTCCGGGCTCCAATATTGCCGAAGATGCTGGATTCCATGGAGTTTTCCCTGTCCATTCATTCTCTGCCCAAGCTGTAGTGAGCACTTGCCATTCATAAAACCCCTCGAATACTTGGCTCCCATAAGCTGTGTCATCGAAATATGGCTCATCCAAGTTTCGGTATGCTTCGAAAGGAGTGTTGCCAATTGGAGTCACCACTAAGGCCGGACCAGTACCAGAAGTAGGCGTAACACGTATGTACCCTGCGTGCAAGCCGATATAAGGGTCAGACAATGAGCATTCTGCCAGCATGGTCTCAGCATCACGACCGGTGAATATGCTGTTGAACTCAGCTGGGAACCCCAGACTCCCAAGCTCCAATGAGACAGCACCAGTATTCTGAATGGTGTACCGAAGGCCTAGGTCCCCATCGACATCAACCCATCGTCGAGTAATGTTGAGGGGACTAGCTGGAAGGGTAGGGGCCAGGTTCGACGACACATTTGAGAGTGCTGTTACAGGTTCCCGAGCCGCAGCAGAGTCGCCGTTGATCCAGGCAGTGGTATCCACTTCACGATAGCGGTAAGTAATGTCGCCCCAATGGTATTGACCATTGCTGGCTCGCTTAGACAGATAGTCGAAAGGCAAGAAATCAAACGTGTCGCCGCTCGGCGTCAATGATACCAAGACTTGCGATTCTGCGACAAATCGAGCATTGAAGTTGGCTGTATTGAAGGTGACATAGCCCCCACCAAGCCCGAGATCGTCGGCAAGAACAAAGTGGGCCAGGAGAGTCAAGGCACAAACGGCTTTCGTGTAGGCCATCGTCGCCATATTTCACGCAAATGCGCCCGACTGCTACATGGATCAAAGAACGAGGTTCATAGCTCTGTGGGTATGGCAAACACTGGTTGTGAAAGCCATGATACATATACTTTGAAATATCGTATTCGCTATAGTAGTGAGATGGCTCAATTGTCAAGATAGTAACGTTAGCTTGCATTGTTACTCCGAACTTCGATCGGCACATGTTGAGTCGCAATTGGGAGCGGACCATGAAATTCTCAAGTAGCCAACTATCCCGCGGCTACCGATCCCTCCCAGCTTAGTCTCTTGTAGCAGCTGAGGGGCTTTTCCCAAAGCACTGCGGGGCATGGCAATTGGAGCGGATACAGCCATATAGCACGTCCTGTCCACTGGACTTCTATGCGGTGGAAAATTAATGACCCGCGTCAATGAGGTTACATCATGCCACCTCGTATCTTGAGCTATATTTCAAGCTTTTTGGTAGCAGATGATCGCCACAGAAACACGACAGATTCGTTCATGCGACGCATGCAGCTTCCTCTTACACGAAAGTGTACCATTTATAAGCAAGCAAGCATGTGGTAAATGATACTGGAGAAGCAACAAATCGTGGAGGGAATATTCACCGCCAAGGCAACAAACATAACGAACACTGGTATCATGAAGAATTTTAGCTGGGGAGTCTTATAGAATGTGTTAAAGAATGTTATTATCAAGAAGGCGAAGAAAAATATACTAACATAGTGACTTTTATCAAGGACTTATCTCCGAGTTAGATAAGACTACATTCTGACTATAAACATGGCGGTTCTGGCCCCCGATAACAGACAGAGTTGGGTGTAAGAAGATGCTAATATTACTCCTTTAAGTAGCTGGTAGACGATCTCGTCTCGATATGCTCGGGTAAGCTCATCCCTTGCCCTTTCAAGAGACCCAGGTCTTCGTAATTAGTAAAAGTCATACGATAGCCTTCCACACTTGTATTGGAGGACTGGAAATAATCGGATGCCACCCATTTGTCACGGCAGAGTCTGAATTTGAAGCAGGAACTGCTCTCGATCCTGTCATAAAATCGATCTACTGAATGGGGCCACAATAAATTCAAATATAAACAGAAGGGTCTCAATACTGACAGAGGACTCGTCTCAACGGTATGAGACCCCAACCACGGTATAAGAAGAGGTTTCCGTACAAGTATTACACTAACAATTGGTGTCATGCGTAATTTACTTGAAGATGACGAATTTACCACGTATAACTCTGTTTGAAAGGACATCACCATGAGGAACATCATGAGATATTGTAGAGCGTAATATTGCAGGAACTGCTACACTGGACCAGGCTATCCCACTAGCTTTGCAACCTGTTCCCAAATGCGTATTACCAAAGTGGTGCTGTAAGGGACGGAGTCTCTGATGACCGTCACGGTTAACATAATCTTTTCTTAAGCTTTATTCGACACCTTACTTGGGGCTTTCATGAAAGGGAACATCGACAGCCTATCTGCACATCTAACTGACCCGACTCATGATGTCTCGGACCAGGACATCTTGAACCTTACGACCAACCTCCGACCACAAAGCTTGATTGTCTTGGCCAAAGACTCACTCTCGTCCCTCGCTAAGCTCAGTCAATTTGGTCATAGGAGTCACAAAAGAATTCAATTTAAGAAAGAAACGAGAAAAGAGAAGAAAAAGAGGAAAATGCAAGGTAAAATGTGAAAACTGGCCGAGATCATGAAAGGGTATTTTGAGAATGATGCTTTGACAAATGCATTGCACGTTCAAAGGCTCGTAACATTGAGAGCTGCATGAGCGCAGATATCTGGACTGCACTTTTGAGGAAGACCTGTTAACCTGGATATGCTTTATCATACGGAGCAGGTACAAGGTCTAGATATCTTCAATGTAAAAGCAATGATACTACAATTCAACCGTATACTATTACCCATGTTTCGCGACAGAATCTCCTCTCCGAGCGATCCCTGCTTCCCGACCGTCCCCATCCACTCTCTTCGCTTCACCTTGCCACTAATCAAATGAAATCATGGCTCGTCCTAGCTATTGCATGTCTTACGTCCAAACATTCCATCAAGCGCATGGGAAGACATGCTTGCAGACATTATCCTGGTTATTGGGGTTGGGCAACAGTACATCCTGAATGAGCGCACAGTCGAAATCGCCAGTGTACTCGTAATCGCCATATTTCATACCAATTCTGTTATATTCACCGACCTCGTCGAGATGCGTGATATCTGTAGTCCAAGGAAGAGTGCTGAAAATTGAGAAGGGAACGACGGATTTGAGATATTCGAAAACAACGTCGTTCTGCACCCTTGTGCCGATGACTTGGCAATTACTGTCATGAACCTCGGCCTTTTTCCAATAGGAATGGGGCCAGTAGTCTAAACGCATCATTTTAGTGTATTAGAAAGATATTTGTGTATGTATGTATGCATACATGTATACTCACCTGGGTCATAAGTTCCGATGAGGGAAAGTGTGCACTGGCCTGGGGATGTTGGCTCACAAAAGACGGTCGCGGCGGCCTTGCTGACAGCGAAGGTTGCAACAGATAGAAGACCGACGAGAATACGTGGCACCATGTTGATAAAGTCAGGGTTCTTGAAACTACTGTACTTGGTGTATAGGATCGTTTTGAAGATGTTAAAAGACCGTGAATTAGAACATGCTCCATGTTAAGAGATTGGGGAAGACTTTGACTTGTAGTAAGTTATAGAAGGAAATTCCTCAGTGCGCAGACAAAGGTAAATGGATGTGATAAGTTATTTAGCAGACAAAGGCCAACTCCATGTTGCAGGAAGCACAGTCAAATGAAATGTAGTACAAGACATGTTCTTTGTTGGGTTCTTTCTCTCACTCTTTCATTCTAAGCACATTAACCAACGACCTCAGATGTTGGTTGCTGCTCACAATACGACTCACCGCTACCAATCAGCATTGTAATAAACCAATATGTAGCTCTCTAACCGTAGATGACTCTAGCGTTGAGCTCGGTGGTCTGAATGTGCTGTAGGTTTATGGCATGGACTTGGTCACAACTGTGCGTCGTATTTTATTCGACGTGTTTTATTTTTGTGTTCTATGATATTCAATTAAATGCGAACGGACATCGCTGTGGGTATATCTCTATCTAAGCATTAATATTTATTTGGTGTACATTTCTACCCTACACCTTTGTACAGACAGTTACTACACCATGTTCCGATCCGCTTGACGACGTCTCCACGTCGTCAGCACCGCCCGGATAGTGTACTTTTAGATTCTTTCCTCCCACCGTACTGGGTGTTTCGGAAATAGACGACTCCTTTTCCGGCTCAGCCTCCTGACTGCTGACATGCACCTCAGTCTGTTGATAGATCTTGAGCTGTGTTCCAAACACATCGTTGATGTTTGTCTGACTATTGCAAGACCCGAGCTCGATGCCACGTTCGCCTCTGGTGATTGTTGTGAGATGGTTCGTGCCCCTGCCATAACCCGACCGGTGATACCTGGACGGGTTTTCGCTCGTACGCGCGCCAGAGGACTTGGCGTTGAAGGATTTGAGATGAAAAGTCCTTTGCAGTAACGTCCACGTGAAAGGTAAGTTGGCTGTAATTATTGCTGTCGATGACTCGCGGATATACCAGAATGTCCATTGATCGCCAAATGGCTGATTGAAACTGTAGTATTTGTTGAGAATGGCGGACAGAATCTGCGGAGTGTAAGTCATGGACCATCAGAACGATAGTAAAGCAGCAAGACATACAGTGAATACGCCTAGGGCGAACACTCCGATAAGGATGGCTTTCTTTTTTATGGGCAACTTCGCAGCGAAGAAGATAGGCATTGGAATGCTGATAATCATAATATCTGATGAGATATTCAAGACAGCATTGGTGATCAGGTGATTCGTAGCAGCGGAGCACTGAGAACTTTCTGGAGGAACAGCCCAGTACTGACTGAATGGTCGGCACCAAACCCCCAAATAGAGAACTTCCATCAGTACGAAACCGAATGCAACATAGCCTGCAACAATCTTGACGGCTAAGTTTTGTTTTAAACTCATTCTATATTGCATGTTAGAACTTTGTTCATTCGAAAATACAGATGTCGAATGGCTACTCACGTCAACCTTGCGTACATGATCAAAAGGCAGGCTTTGATCAACCATACGGTAAGGATTTGCATCTGCTCCACAACCAGCACCAGTTTCGAGCCATATGTGCGTTCATCGATCTCGGCGGTGGTGAGAATAGGCGAATTATTCGGGTCAATCAAGTTGGTGTTCGTCCGAGCCAGAATATTCATACAAGCGATCAGAACTGTATCCGAGACCTACATGCCGTCTTAGCACTCATTCCCAATCCATCGGCTTTGGGCACGGTGGGTTCCATACCATAGCCACTAGCATGAGAATATCATCGATCTGAATCTTCTTGAAAGACCCGTGCAAGATCCTCCTCGAGACGCTATGAGGAAGGCGAACGTAAGCATCTCCACGGTCATATTAAAGCATGGGGCCAGCTCAGCCTTAACGGCGGAGTGCTTCGCGGGCGATGGGGATTAACTTACGTCCTCGCGATCACGACAACCCACGATATGGCGTACCATGTCCACGTTTCCGCTGCAAGGACCGACATATCTGGCATGGCAAGAAATAAAAAACGGAAGACTGCCTCGGTAAAGTGGACGACTTCAGATGGAAGAAAGATCAAACCATCAAATCACCAAACCGCTGCCTTGGGACGAAGTGCGATGGGGGCCCATATGTACCAGTGGGCTATTACGCGATAGCTGGTGTGGGAGGGGCGGAGAGGCTCCCCTATCCCGGGGGAGTGTCCTAAGTGTCTCAATGTTGACGACATGGGAGCCACGAGAGCTATCGGCGCCACCAATCATTGTCATGCAGGTCGCTAGTGTTCACGTAGCTCGATCTGCTAAAAGTCTTCTATAATCCACACTGCTTGTTAGAGCCTCATAGAATCGGCCGTATATCCCTGATTTGATGGCCGGTTGCTACCCCGGGGCGTTGGCTCCAGGATCCGCCCCCATAACTACACGTGAATTTGTGCGACCAAGTATTCAGGGGCGAGCAGATACACAGGCGTAATGGGAATGGCATGTGCAAGCACATCACTGAAGACTGCTGAGACTGTTACGACGCCTCAAAACGTTTCAGCACAAGCTTTTTCCAAATACTAATTGCCATCTGTAAAGATCGCTCCCGCCGGTTCAGCTCATCGGTAGCGGCTAATAACGGTTAACGGGAATTTTGTTACCGAGCAAACTCCAACCCAGTGATGATCATCACACGCCAAAAGTTTGCCCTGAGACTTTTCGGAAAGCAGAAGGCACAAGGACAATCATTACAGTCTGTGCCTCAGCGTGGAGCATATTTGTGATGAACTCTTTTGTGGCGCCATGCAGGACATTGCACTAGTGCTGATAAAAGAGAGCCGGCGTGAACCTTAGCTCATGGAGACACATCAGCTTCCACGAAGGCGACGAGGGTGGTTGAAGCCTTGTGCAGGCCAGTTGACTCGCTCTCTGGAAGCCTGCCGGGGATCAAGGGGGCCAGGCCGCCGAGCAATCGTTCGTTACCGGACCCTTGCCCAGGGCAGCCGATGCACAGTCTACCACGAACCGACGCGTGGAGTATCCGGAATCCTTATTGTGACGGTTACATGGTACCAAGCGCGAAACGCTTCGGTCCCCAGAGAATAATGCGTAATCACACCATACCAGGGTCCAGTACAACTCTGCCGTCACGCTGCCCTGGCGAGACTGAAATGAGAATGCGAGTCAGTAGAGATTGGGCAGTGGTTGAGATCTTTCCACGTGGTGGGGCGCATCGGAGGCCTGGTTGCCAAGTTCATGCAGGAACCTGGCAAACCAGCCAGACGGGCTCAGGACCAGAGGGCCTCGCATACCCTTACCAAGGGTGACAGATGACTCGATTCAAACGATCATTCCTACTGTAGGAGGCAGGAGGCTTCAAAGACTATTCTTGTACTTAGTAAACACATACCGCTTTGAGCACCGGAGATGGTGGGAAATATATGCCCAACGATAGAGATTGTCTCAAAGTATTGGTTCATGAGCTCTAATGTATTTATTTCCGTCATTTCTGATGTCTAAATAATATATCTGAGTAAAGGTAACCCAAGTTGTGGTTGCTCACCAGTACTGAGTCCCGTACGCTGAGTTCTACTTCGTCTATGACCCCACTTTGCTTTTGTACTGTATGAGCTGTGTGCTGATTTCACCGGCTTGATCCGAATCCTTCGTCTGTCTTGGTCTAGGTCTAAGGTAACTAACCTAGTAAGTAGATGCGTCCAGAGCAATCTTGTTGCAACACTCAGCCTTTCGACTAGACTAGTCAATCCTCACGGTTCCGAGGACGAAACGAATGATTTGCAGGCATACCAAGCTCGGTAATCGGACAGATCCAGAGCTTCTTCCATTTTGTCTAACTTGATAGCGCTTGCCTCATTTAAGGCTAGCAAGGTATGTTCAGCCGAGACCTCCGTCGCTCTGTCGCTGATTGTATGCTTCCAAGATTTGTTCATTTGTGATCTTGTGAAATGTCAGCTTGATGGTCACATCGCGGGAATACCACCCCAAGCTTTGAAAATACGACGGGTTTGACTATACTTCTTGAAGCCAACGTTGCGACGGCGCTACTAGTCTGATAACACTCCTGATAGAGTACGAGAGCTTCATTCCTTGATTCCCAGAACAACACCAGAATCAAGGCAAGTGAGATCTAGACGAGTGTTCCCGAAACTCTGTATTCGCCGAGACGTCTCGCAATGGTTCATGCAGGGTGCTAGATGCATATTTCTAACGGATTGCACAAGGTGATTGGTTTGTTTGTATAACTCTTCAGGTCAAGCAATGCCACCTGCTGCACCTGAGAATATGTACCTCACTACAACTTCATTGTGCAACGCTTCATCACAAGCCAAATCCGACACGGAGTTCGGCCGCGCCTTTTGCACTGTCGAGACTGACTCTGAGTTGGGTTGCGCACGTCCCCAACATATCCACTCGATGGTCATTACGCATATAAACATTATACCGCCGACACAACAGCCACGATGGGCCGGCTGTTGACCGTCACTGCTTCTTGTTCTGGGCATAGATGAAATTCGCCGCTAGCCTCTGGTCAGTATACGGCGATGGCAGATGGGCGCATTCTGAGCCGCGTGTCAACTCACCCACAGGGACTAGCCCATTTAAATGAGCCCAATCTCGAACACCATGCCTCTCCTTGCCAGTTCCCCAATGCTGTCTGTCAGCAGGCTTCGTCAAATTCAGAGCCTCAGATGTTCCATTGGCCGGAGCGAACACCAAGAAAACGTATCGGTGCTTTCCTGTCTTCTCCGGCGGTCCAGGAGGCTTGTACGGCATAATGTCTTTCAGGTTTGACAATTGCACGTGAGTACAACTTCCGCCAGCCGAAGATGACAGTACGAGGCCGGTTGCGATAAAGTGACACATCTCGGCCCATTTGGGGTTGTCGCGGGAGGGCGCATCAGGGTCAGTCAATGTGACTGTGTAGGTCGTACTCGCCCGGCACAAGTTTGGTGAGAATGTCGAGCTTCCATTCAGCGTAATGGTAGGTTCATCCCGGACTTTCTTGACCTCTAAGGTGTTTCCAAGCTCTGCGTAGTCCTTGGAAGACCACTGTGCACCCATGATGAGGGTGGGAAGGAAATCATCGATGACTGGTCAATATCAGCTGCAATTGAATGTATTCGGAGATGAGAGCGTACCAGTGGGAATAATCTCCGCTTTCTTCAGCCTGCCAACAACTCAATAACGTTGACGCAAAAGGAAAACTGCTTTATCGCATACTCATGTTGAACTTTATACACGTCTGCTTCCTTGGCGATCTCAGAGAGGTCTAGAATCGACTGTTCGTTTGGAACCACGAGAGCGTGGGTGATTGCAACAAACGCGGCGAGAAACAATGCGGATCTCTGCATTTTGAGACTCTTTTTTTGTACCTTGAGTTGCTCACCGCCAGAGTGATACCGGATATACGAAGATTTCAGAGAATTGCGTCGTGATCGAAACTCCTTAACGCGTTTTATTCTTGCTCTCTTTGGCGGCCGTTCGTACCCCACGTTGGTGTGATGTCATTATGTCCGCACCTCACAGACGTCACCAGGGGAAGGGGAAGTTTAACTACAAAGGAAAAATCGTGGTCAAAATATGACGCATAAAAGAGCAAATTCATCTCAGATCTTGCGTTCTGTTGTCTTCGAAAAGGTTGGGATTTGCTCTCACCATTCCGGTTTGCATCCTGAACAGTGGGGAGCTAAGAGCCACACACGATCACTCTTTGGGAAACATGAACAATTCTGTCAAAGGCGTCTTCACAGTTTCTTGAACAACAGTTTTGATTATTTTTCTTTCCAGAAAATCTTTGTCTGTCGAAATGTGACAGCGAGAATCTACAACTCTTCGTACGGGGGATTTTATCCGCCTCATTTTTCTCATGGTTGGGTATGGAAATTATCGCGCGGCACATGATTTTAGTACGGAAGCGCAGCTCAAGAGTCGCCATTGTGCTAAACCATTGATTTAGAAGAAAAGTTCAAGGTCACATACTTAACGGTACTGGGTGTATGCGCCCAGCTCCGACCGCCGAGCTCGTTAGCTTAAATGTCTCGCCACTCAGAGGCATTAGCATGCAATTCGCCCACATCTTGAGTGTTAAGTTATCTGTATCAGTTGAGCCGACCACAAGCACGAAAGTCAGATAATTTGGCTGGCCAACTGCCAACCCCTCCAAAAGGGGGTTTTTGGGGGGCGCGGGGGAATTAGGCAGTTCGGGTAGTTGACTGAGATGGAAGTGGCAGTCCAGTCCTACCAATGAGCTAACTCCATGTGCTGCTTATTTAGTAGCAATGCAGTTTCAACTGCCCTTACGCTCACAATCAGGACGCGACATAAGATTAACAGGAAATAATCACTCCGATTCTGGACTCCAGGGACGAACCTATGTATCCTGTGTCGCCGTTGTTTGTTTCGACTGAGAGACAACCACTAAATCCTGATATCTGCAATAAGCTTGTCTTAATCCTACAGCAGGTAACGGGCGGCGCCGTTGGGCGGGTGAAATCGCTGTGCGCTCGGACTTTGTGGGGGAGGGTCCGCTAGCTCAACCGCTACGGGTTATCTGGCTGCTGGCTGGCTGGGTGCACTGAAGGGGCAGAGGAGATTGTCTTGAAAAGAAAATACGGGTTTAGGCAAACCTTCCGCCATAGTGTAGTATAATGCAGCAAGCAGACTCCTGTATTCCGGGTTCTCTATTTGGAACCAATTTTCGGCTCGCCAACGCGTTTTAGTGAGGCGGCAGGGCGGTAACTACCTCTTCAAATTTGGCTGGTGTTATTTTTTCATGAAGATCCCGAGATGCATGGCGCTCGGCAGATCGACTAGAATATGCAAATCCTCCTTCTGGCCCAATCAAATTCTCCCCGTCAGAAAGACCAAGACTCCTTGGCTTGGAAAATACGAGCCTTAAGACGTCATTGAGGTTGGAAGGCAGAACCCTATGATTCATTGGGTATGACAGATGCAGGGTCGGAAACCTTTATTCCCCCAGGGTCCTCGGTACAGTTCTTCTTATGACCCTGAGCCCAATTTAATTACAATTGTTGAATTATTCAGCAACAGTCGAATATACCCATAATTGAACTTTTTTTAATTATTCGAATTTTATCCAATATGTGGACAATATTTGCATCCTTGCTGTCCTTGGCTTGTACAGTTACGGCCCAAGTGCAGGGCTTCAACTATGGATCTACCAATAACGATGGCTCCTGTCGTGGCTACAACGACTATGTTCGCTTCTTCAATGAGGCCAAAAACTTGCCTGGAACTTCTGGCTTTGCATCGGCACGCCTATACACCTCCGTTCAATGCGGCACAGCCGCCGATCCAATTGAGGCTTTCCGGGCGGCTATAGATACAGACACATCCATTGTGGTTGGTCTGTGGGCCAGTGCCGGTCGTGCTGCATATGAGAACGAGCTTAATGCTCTGATCCGAGGCGCTCAGCAACTCGGCACTGCATTCACGGACCGCATTATCGGTATCAGCGTCGGGTCCGAAGATCTATACCGTAGTAGTCCTCAGGGTGTCGCCAATAACGCAGGGGTTGGCGCAACCGGCGCAGAGATCGAAGGCTATATAGGCTGGATGCGCGATTGGATCAGGGGCACATTGCTGGAAACTAAGCCCATTGGACATGTCGATACCTGGACAGCATGGATCCTGCCTGAGAACCGCGGAGTTGCAAATTCGGTGGCTTGGCTTGGTCACAATAGCTTTCCGTACTTTGAGACGACCAAGCCGAACTCTATTGATCTCGCTGCGGAAAATTTCAGGACTGCCGTAATCCAGACAGAGAGTGTAGCAAGTGGAAAGCCTGTCTGGGTTACCGAGACAGGTTGGCCGCACGGTTAGTAGTTATGTCTATGATTTCTCACCCACAAGCTAACACTTTATCTTAGTCGGCCCCGACTCTGGTGCAGCTGTTGCATCTCTTGATAACGCAAAGAGATATTGGGATGAAGTCGGCTGCTCGTTGTTCGGCCAGAGGAACACTTTCTGGTATACCTTGAAGGATGCCAACACAGCGCAGACCGACATTTCTTTCGCTATCACGCCACTCGAGAACAACACTCCCTACTTTGACTTGGCATGTTGAATTCACTTGATCTCGCTATAGTTGGTAGAGCTATAATATATTAATAATGGGTATACTCCGTCATTGTCAAATTAAAACTCAGGGCATAAGTATTTGTGTAGCAATCGGTCCCCAAGCTACAACCAAGCCACTCAATGATATTGTGCACGACAAGTAATCAAATATACTGAGCATGTTTGATATTTTGATAAGTTGCTCCTCTATCTACGTCGCCAAACCTTCGGCTTCCCCCCAATAATGAGGAACGACAGTACTGATGTGACAGCCGCCACCGCGGCAAATACGATGTTCATATTACCATACCCGATAGAGTCCTTGAGCGCGCCGCTCAAGACTGGTCCGACAGTCAAACCAGCACAAAAGAACATGGAGCTGAAACCATAAAGCTGGGCGTACGGTCCGTTTGCACCAAAGAACTCCGGATTTGCTTGGTCATATTTCTGCACCACCTCACTCGCTTCGACAAAGCTGGGCGAGCCAATGACTGCCAAACCGACGCCATTCAAAGCGAGCATGGCGCAGTAGAGTGCGACGTTATTCGTGCCGTGTTCCAAACCCTCTGTGGGTAAACGCAAGAGGACCAAGGCAGGAACTAGCCAAGCAAAGCCGATGACGGCTGCTGGCTTGGTACCATACTTGTCTACAGCCCATCCTGCAACAGGACCGAAAACCAGGTACGGGATATCCAAAGCGATGAAGAGTAGTCCTGCTTTCAATGAGTTGAACCCAAACAGTGACTGTGCTTCCGTGGGGATAGTTGAATCGAACACTGCTAGTAAGGTCGCTTGAACCAAGGATAATGCAAATGCCATGAGTAGCCTCGGATTCCGCAAGCAGTAGAGGATTGGTACTGATCGAACTAGCTTGTTGGGTTTGTTCTTGATCTTGTAGGCCTCATCCCTTGTCCTTGGTAGCAACGCGTCTTGCTCATGCGCATTATCTATCTCTCCATCATCATTCGTGGTTTCGTGCTGCCTTGGATTGGTGGCGCCGCGGGCAAGCGTGCTGTCATACTTGGCTGCCGTTTTCTTCTCGATCATCAGCAGCCGCATAATAAAGTCAATGACAATAATGCCGACAGCAAGCCCAAAGACACCTCCAAAACCGGTTTTGTCGTAGAGTAACCCACCCAGAACAGGAGCGACCAGTGTGCCCACCGATATCGTTGAGAATATCTAAAGGTCTTGATCAGCGATACATCGTGCGTTCGCAGCTATAGTTCGTGCTTACCGTACCCATGGTTTTGCCAAGGTGCTCTGTGCCCACTGTATCAAGCACCATGGCAAGACCGATGGTCCACACAACAGACGCACTGACGCCCTGCAGCGCTCTCGCGATGACCATGACCGCAATGTTTTGCCCTAATGCAAGCATGATAGTTCCTGCTGTTAGTGCTACTAAGCCGCACAAGAATGGAGATTGTCTTGATTGGGTGCGATCTGCCAACCAGCCAATTGGGACCGAAGACAAGAGCTGTACACCGGCATAGACCGTCAACAAGCCGGATACGTGGGACTGGATCTCATCTTCTGGGACTGCTAGCCTGTCACGAAGCATGAATGGAAGCACCGGAACGACGAGGCCGTAGAGGAAGAGATCGGTGAACAGACCCAACGCCACGGTAGATATGATGAAGAAAGTGTTGGAGCGCCAGCGGAGGCCGCGGGGATGACTATCGCTCGCCATAGTGGTCGGTATGTCCTAAACCAAAACTGACTTGATCGAAGAATCAGGGCGAATAATATCTCAACTGAAGTTAAACACCAGCGGAAGTTCAGAAGGCAGGTTGTGTGTCATACCAAAATGCGTCTGGTTATTCAAATCGTGGGACAACTGGTGACCTCATTTTCAGCCACAGCATAGCGCTCCAGCCACAATTCATGCTGCAAATTTCCCAGGTTCATTCTGGTTAGCAATGAGCATGATCTGTATCAAAGAAGGTAAATCTTAAAACCATAGGCAAGGTATTTTTTCATCCTTATGTTTATAGTGGCCTTACGTCGGCGCAACACAGTCTAACAAGTTGCAAGATGCGGAAATTACTCCCATAGTATGAGTTTTCGACCTAGACTAGTCTAACCTTAATAAGTTTTGGCTAACCTTAGTCTAATCGGCGGGAATCGCAAGAGTTACGCGATGCCGCATTCTCCAACATAGATTAGTGCACTGCTTTCATTGCACACAAAACGGATAACAGCGCAAAAGCTCTGGCTGCGGTAGTAGCATTCTCAACGAAAGCAATTTTGACATGGTTGTACCCTGAATGTGTAGAATCACTTCCTTCGTCATGCAAAATGGCGAGGTGAAGATGCGACGCGGTGGTGCTAACCTCCACCAAAGCGTATTGGCGATTAGAGGGGTTTGTTGGAGACTATCAGCGTATGTCCCGGGTTAAATACAGTATCTCACAGGCTTTCAGTCATTTTCACAGAACTTCTCAATCCGCTTGGTTAGTTCAACTGCCTACTTATTTGGCCAACACGCTGTTGATAAATGAGCAACAAAACGATTGCTCTCGACCTTTTCAGAACACACTGAATCAATGCAGTCAAGAAAAGAAAAGAAAAAAAGAAATCGCGCCCGCCAGCCAAGTGGACCACCCCAGTCAAAAATGGGGCGGGCCGGATTTCCTGTATTATCCTTCGCATCATCCTGACCGCCGTCGTGACCGACTCCGGACATCTGCAACTTCAATTCCGTAATCGTTCGGCGTACTCCAGCTTACGATGGCTTTGGTCAGCACTTTCCAGAGTCACCTTGAAGTGCGCGCACTGGCGCAATTCGACAGTTTGGTGGAGAAGGGTGAGATTATTTGGGAGCCCACCGAGGAGATCAAAGTCGAGCAGCAGCCCTTTAACGTAGGTCATATACTCTAAATCCAACGTGTTTATTCGTCTTACATTAATTCTGACAGGTTTTTTTCCGCATCTCCCCAATCACTGCTGTCAAGCCATTCAATCCCAATGATAAATCCCGGAAGCCGGGCTTCCTGGACGATGACCCAGAATTTACACTGAGTAAAGTGGCGCCAAATCACAAACTGATCCTCAACAAGTATTGCTGGCTACGTCCACAGATGATACTGCATACCGTTGATTTCCAGAGTCAACGGGACAGTCTCACCGCAGACGACATTGAGGCATCAGCTAGCGTGTTGCATCAGCTCGGAGAACGGTACATGGTCATCTTTAACGGTGGACCTGACGCCGGAAGCAGTGTCGCGCACAAGCATTTGCAGGTCTTCCCGAGACCGGAGTGGGAGACCGTTGCAGACAAAATTGCCAAAGATTCCTCAAAATGTAAGTCTCCCAGCTCCCATTTTGCTGTGGCGATTCGCCGCTAATCCATGCAGCCCCCTTGCCGTTCCGGTATGGCTTAAAGATGCTGGCCACTGACACGACCGCTGCGGGTATATATGATCACTATGTGGAGCTTTGCAGGGAGTTGTCTATATCTTCTGGCCGGGCCCATAGTATGCTTCTTGTCAGAGATTGGCTAATGGTCATTCCACGTGCATGTGCAACCATTCATGGACATATCGCTGACGCTCCTATGCAAGGTGGCGCAAACGCCATGATTGGCATGCTCTGGCTCAAGTCAACAGAACAGTTCCAAAACTGGTGAGTCTTACCTCACCGGACAATCATCTCTCTTGCGCCATTCTAGTATACATGGCGTTGCGGATATTGTTTGTTGGTCTATGACAGCATCAAGAAGTTGGTGTCTAACATATATACAGGCAAGAGTACGGTCCTATACGGGTCTTGACCGAATTTGGTTCGCCAAAGCAAGAGTCAGCATGAGTAGTTCCACCAAGGCTACATTAGCATAGTCACAAAGCTATCACTGCAAGATTAGCAATACGATTGGACAATAATTAGACGGAGTTTCAATGTTTCCTGGTTCTGGTTTGTGACATTAGTGCCTGCTATATGAGATCACGTTCGAGTGGCTTCCTACCCATGTCTCGGAAAACAACCCAGATATGTAGCATGGTGAAAAGGGATTTTATCATGAATGACAATATTTAAATGCTGGCATAGTTGCTTCCAACATAGGTACGCACCGAAACAGTCTTGTGTTGGTTCATTCCATATCCCCTGCTTCTATTCACTTGTCTAGATGAGCTTTGAGACTCCGTAACACATTTTTGTTTACATCATCTTCCAAATTCTCGCTACAATCAACTGTCAACCTCCGCAGACCATCCTATTTATGGCATCCAGCATGGCAGCCAATATAGTCGACAATCCTCTAGTCAGAGAGTGCTACTTTATCGCGAATACTAACGAGATACTGCGTGAAATGCTCAATCACGACAAGCTATCTCAACAAGAGATTGAGTGGCCGTTTGTACCAGGACAAATTTTCACGAAGTTTAGGTTATTCATCAATGGAGTTTAGCGCGCCAGTCATCCATGGAAGTTCAGCCGTCCTCTGTGTCCTTCTTCGCCCAGAGCGTCGACTGAGCGTATGCGTATCCCAATTCAAGGTCTCCATGTTCACACATGCCATTCGGGAGTAGCCCTCGTTTCATCATCCCCCGCCCAAAATTCAATCGATATCTGTGCGCTGGAATAGAGGATCGGTTTTAGCAAAGTAGAGCTGATCATGCTTCACAACACAGATTCATCGATAAGTCCAGATGATATATTAACCATTAACACGGTCATGGTAGTCCACAACCCTACTTACTCTCTCTTCCCCCATGGCAGATATGCTATGCTGGTAGAGAATCCTTCAGATATGGTAGAGCTGAATATCATGGATCGATTCATGCCCCGTTGCAGGAGCGATGACATCAAGACACCCGACCACGTCGGCGATATCGTACGAGAGAAATATCGTATTTGGTAGCTTACACGACATGAAGACGGGCGAGTATGATTTCAAGCGGTGAAGTGCCAACCTTCGGCCGGGATAGCTCGCGTCGGTGCGGCAAGCTTCCTTTCTAACACCAAGATACAAGACTGCGACCATGGGCGTGGTCTCATTGCAACCAAAAGTGTTCAGATGGGCAACATTGTTCTTGTGAGGAAAGTTTTCTGTGCTTTGTTTGACTATGAATAACCTGTTACCAGAGTGAGAAATTTCGAAGCTAACCTTATAATATCTTATGTAGGTCCAACTACTTTGTATTTCCATTTCTAACATTGTATAATGTGGTCTTCTTGTTATCTTCCTATTGTGTTCTCTATTTTAGTTAATGCCCTTGGGCACTAATAGAGTATTTGGTCGGCTGTATTCATACTTTAACGTGGATTTGATCTGCAAGCCAGATTCAGCAGCTCTCTTCACTCATGGGTCTCTAATGGATCATTCCTCTATCCCGAAGCAGTTTACTCGTATCTTGGAGGCATCAATATTGTGCGTGCAACCAAGAACATCAAACCAGGCGAAGTGATTACTGTATCCTACGTCTCCCGTCACTCCCACAACCTATATATCAGGGCCCAGCTTGAGCTGTAACCCTAGTTCGCATGTAAATGTGCGTTCTCCAATCTGTGTACCAAGAACTTCCACAACCAGGTCTCGTGGAGATCGCATGGTGAGCTTATCACAAGTTGCTCGCAAAGCTCCAGAAAATGGTCAAGTTAATGCGGGGGTACAACCTGCACTGAGAGACTTGTGAACGATTGGTCTAATCGCCGGGGTCTCCGATGAAGGGGAGACCGTCGAGTTAGACGCGTCTGCATATGTGCCGTCCCACTATGAGGTTGGTGCAGCAATCTTTGCCGTCCTCGTTTGCAGGAGGTAGAACGAGGACAGACTGACCGAGCAGTTTGGTGATCTAGCGAAGAAGCTTTGGAATATTCAGACTGGTATGGACCTGAGATTTGAGGATAAGTTTGGTGATGTCCTGAGAGGTTCATCCTCGTTGTCTGGTAAACAAAGGAAGCGATAGGGATAGGGATAGGGGTTGGTTCGCTCCAATGATGGCCCCCTGGCAATGACCTGAGATAGTTGTAACTCATTAACCTACTTAGTCCCTGTTGTACCTGAATAAATTTGAGTTTAAGACCTGTGATCGTTATTCATCTATTGTTGTGTATAAAGATCGATGCACACATGTAAGCGGGGTTGTGGTTACCTTCATCATGGATCAGCAGCGAAAGATTTACATTTCTTGTCCCAGTGCTTGCAGGCTTTGGATTTCTTTCCAGTTGCCCCGACTGATGATTAGAAGTCGACTGTTTGACAAACATATAAACAGAGCCAAGCCGGCCAATCGCATGAACGTACTGCAATCAAAAATAAGAGTCAAAGCTAAACCTGCATAAGCATACACAGAAATGTAATTCGCACATTTTACTCAAACTCTAACTGAAAACCGTCCACAAAGCCTTGCAACTTTATAATCTCTACGACAAATTAAGAATTTATCTTCGAAATTACTTTCTCACTATGTTACTGTTGTACCTACTAGTGGTGTTGGAGCTGTAAATCTTCGCCAAAGATACTGATGCCGCGTCATTGGGTTACTGATGAAATTTTCGCGAGGATTTCATCCCGTATTCGCGCGGTACAAGATTCAATCGCCAAATCTGTCATTTTGAATCTGATTGGCCCGGTCGTGATGAGGTCTATCGTCATCGCGGTCGCCTCGCGTGCAATCCCGTCAGTAGATGCGCATTCGACAGCTTTATGCAGAAGTACATAGACCATACTGAGTGGAATAAGGATATGTTCACTATGAGCTTGATCTCTCAGATGCCTCCCCTCCCCTCAGTGGTAAAGTTATTATGCGGCACACTACGATTTTCTTTGACGACTTCTCACCATGCAAACGCGCTGGACTTCTTCGTACCTGCTTCTTCATCGAACCTGGGCGAAATGTGTGTCACCGTCGACCCAACGGCACCCTTCTTTGGCGTGTTACTCATACTGGCTTGGTTTCAACATTTTGGGACAATTTTTCTTGGGCCGAATCACGAAAAATGAACGTCGTAATGTGGAGGATAAAGCCAATAATCTGCAACCGCAGGTATTTTCTCCCCATATATTTTTACTAAATAGTCCAACTCTACGGTATTCCGTTGGTTACTTAAAATATAATTACACAAAACCCATGGCAAATAGGTATGTTAGCAAACGAGTCTTGCATGTTGGCAACGTTGTGCCCATGCAATTCGTCGAACAAATTCAGAGACAACATGCTGACGGATCTCATGGCTCAAATTGGGGGGTTTGAACTGCTATCACAATGGGTAGATTAGAGGTTGAGACTTGGAATTCATGGAGATCTGCATGGGCAACTTGCAGTCTGCAGTTTAGAACTTCCCATGGCATACACGAGATTCTCCCCTACACCTTGGACTCGTTCGCGGTGCTATGGACTGAAAGGGTAAGTCCGTAAAGAACGTGGTCAGGTCGCCGTTTCAAGCTAACTCGAAAGGCCTCAGCGAAGCCTAGGCCTGGTGATGAGCGCGATTGGGCAGAACACCTTGAAGACAGCCTCTTGTTTGACGGTGATCTTTGGATAAGTCCTTTCTTGGGATGTTGTTCTTGAACACGATCTTTGTCGAGCGTCTTCGGCGTCCACGATAATAAACATAGACTAGCCTAACCAATATGCTGGGAAGTAGCGACGGCAAATGCGAGTCCATTCCAGTGGAATACACACAACAAAAGGTGTGGGCTCAGGAAGTCCGTAGCAGTTGACTAGTGACGATCGAATGGGATAACACAACTCGATTGAATCCTTGTCAAAATACTGCGTTTGTCGATTGCATCTTTCTGATAGCACGCAAATCCGGAGACGGATGACGTGCGACGCAGACCCGCTATACTACTTATAGAGATCTCCGAATTGGCGGGCGGGCGGCACCGGTATAAGACGCCGGCGTCTTGACGCGGGAATAAAGGTTGGGGTATCGTTCCCCCTCCTTTTATTCTGTAGACGTCTATCTCACAAACTCATTGTTATTCTTTCTCCCAACAAATCGGTTACAGGATACCCAAAGTCATCATGTCCCACTCTCACGAACATTCCCATGACCATACTCACGACGAGATCCCCGCCCCACCCACGGACGGGTGGAAGACCGAAGGCGTCCGCGTTATTCCCGGTAACGACCTGGACCACAATACGCACTCGACACCGGGCATGGATCGCGCCGCGGCGATCAACTTCGCCCGGGTCGGCGCCAAGAAGATCTGGGCGGGCACGGTGCACATCCACCCGGACGCCAAAACGGGCGCGCACCACCACGGCCATTTGGAGAGCGTCATCTACGTGCTGAAGGGCAAGGCGCGAATGCGATGGGGGGAAAAGCTCGAGTTCACGGCCGAGGCCGGGCCCGGCGATTTTATTTACGTGCCGCCGTACGTGCCGCACCAGGAGATCAATGCCAGCGCGGACGAGGAGCTCGAGTGCGTCCTGATGAGGAGCGACTCCGAAGCCGTCGCCGTCAATCTGCCAGATCTCGAGCCCGTTGAGAAACCCACGACCGTCAAGTGGATTGACCCTACGCATACCCATTGATACCACAAAATGCCTGCTCCTCAAAGATATCAAGGGTTAATTCTCCATATATTTGTCACGTTTCAATGCCTGTTCATGTCCATTATACATCTTCTTGTAATACCTTACCTTTGATACAATCGCTTGAGAAGCGTAGGGAATTTGCACTACATCATCCTTCGCTTTTCTTCTTCTTTTCTTTTTTGGGAAATTGAGGGTTTGTAAGACTCTTCTGTGTAGATGTTTGAAATCGCATACAAACTCTTGAAATGGATGTTTGTTTGTAATCATGGGGCTGTCCTCGCTCATAATTTAGAAATTCAAGTTGAGGAATACAAGATTCAGCGAAGTTCCATTCCATGTAATCTCACTCATGTATCGAATCCCTCTAGCATACTATGATACAATCAATCAGTATAGCGCCAAGGACAGATGCGATACCAGCCACTCCTGCTATCTGCGAGATGATGGCTTTCGCGATAAGGTGATGGTGCTGCTTCTGAACATTTCGGAACACCCGCGACGTCAACATCAGCGCTCCGACTGACTGAATATCTAGGTTCATATATATTTCCAGCTTCATCTCCGTGGGGAGCTCCGCGAGACGGGCCATAATGCAGAGTATGTGGTAAATTATTCGAGGATGTGCGTCTCGATTTATTGTCCTTCGGAAAGAAAGCGTGATAGCCTTTGAAGGTTTGTGCGTGTTCTGATTGTTGCGTTGGGTCTTTGGTGTCAGCGCCGGTCGCGATTGTCGCTCAAGACAGTTTCAGGTATGTATGTTTTCCAAAGCTTACAAGCCCGTCAATTCTAACGGATATACTCTTGGTGAATTGTGTTTCAAAGAATATAAAGTAAAACTCGAAGAAATCTCAAAGGTAGTCTTTAAGTGAACAGATTAGGTCCAAGGTCCTTGAAGTTTCCATTTGGCATAGAGTAAAGTACCTGCGTGATGATGAAGGTGTTTCGATTCACAAAGTATGAAGTCAACTCATACTAGTATACCTTTGGCGTAAGTCGGATTCTCAGCCTCACAATCAACATGTGAATAAAGCCACGCAAGGTCCGGAACTAGCCATTTGGACACAATAGTTTGTTTGTGACAATTAGTCAAGGCAATCAGAAACCACGCAATCGTGCTAAATTTTATATCTTGAGGCCTGCACACAATGATTTTGCCCAAAGCAGGAGAAACCAATGATCCAGTATCTTTCACGGCACTCTTAAGTAGTATATAGAAATAATAAACTGCGCAATTGTACGATGGCTTACATACAATACAGCACCCACATCAGCATTGCTGTCGTTTCCGTACCTGCCAACCTAGAGACTAAGCAATATGTTCACCTTTTAATCATATCAAAATAAACTCCCTCCCATGAGGTCTATGCATATTACCTTTCCATACTTTTTAGCTGACGCAGTTGCTCCAGCACCTGTTGTTATCCCCCAATTTCTACCATCAGTTCCACCATCAGCTTTACTCACTGACGAAAACAAGCTCAGTCAAAACTCTAATCACGACAACCTAGCAATGCAAAACACATTGAACCTGACATTTCATCTTATCGAAAACAATTCTTACGATGGTAAGCATGACGAAGCTTTCCCGTGGAGTTCAACCACCAGTCGTTTACAAGTCTTGGCGACGCACGCTGCATAGGCTGCCTCATGCTCACATCACACGCCTTCCGCGAAGCTTTTCGCCAGTATTCCCATCAGATCGCCAGAGATATTGTCGTTGAGCTTGTTGTAGTTGGAGGCGTAAAGACAACTAGTCTAGTTGTCGAGTCCTCCAACTTCGACCCCCTGAGTGAGGGCTCCGTCGTAGGATTTATTAGTAATTGCATGCGTAAGGGAAGACATCACAACACTATCGTCCATATTACCATGGCTAGGAGTATATCGGATATGGTTCGTACTATTGAAAGTATATGCTACCAAATCTCTCTTAGATTCTCGAAATATTCGTCTACTGAGCGGTGCTGCACCATTCGCGTGAGCTACCTTGTCGTCGAAACTGCTTCTAATTTCTTCTATCGAAGATCCAATGGAAACATTCTCGGTTATATGCCTACCCGCACCTTTGGACACAATATCCAAGTTCCTTCTCTTGATTTGAGCTTATCCACGTCTGCAACGTTGTACAACGCTTATATTATGAGTATTCCGGTTGTTAGTACTTCCCACCACACGCAAATTTTAGTTTTCCGTCAATCACAGTTCTATGTTGCAAACACAGATTGACCGGTAACAGCAATCTGTAATACACGAGTGCAATGTTCATTCAAGGATATTTGCCCTTGCCAGGAATCCAACATGAATGCGAGAGGGCCATAAATTTCATGTCTACTTTGGTGATATAACTCAAATGCTAAATACCTACTGGTGGGAACTTATATTGCTGGACAAGGAGACAATCGAGGATATGCGATACGAGTTTATCTCGCGACTGGCGCTTAGTGACGACAGGACGGGACTCTGAGGGAGCTAGGCAATATCACGGCCAAATAGAAGACTCCTATAGTGGAAGATATTAGTCTTTATCATAACCAGCAGATTTCTTTTCCAGTTTCCTAGTTTTCAATAGTCATTATGGCTCTCTGAAAAGCCTAGCAAGTGAGAATTCTTATATTTTTACTATTCTTTACTAAAATACAACGGGGCTATTTCCCTCATGCAAGTAACTTTTGCAAATACAAGGGCACCTACAGTCCTTTCAGCTAGACCTTGACTCATCAGAATCTCAACGGAAATGGGTGCATGGGGAGACTGTTGTAGTTCGCTAAGATTCGTAGTGTATATTGAGGACTTTTCCTATAGACCTAGCTTCCTTGATTGGAACGGGACAGCTGTTGAGCCTATTGACATTCTGTGTACCCTACTTCCTGGGCCAGCTTCACTGAGCAGCTCTACACGCGACACGACCTGTAACTGCAACCACAAACAAGTAATTACGCAAAATTACAAATCTCTCAAATCATCACTTCCAATTAACACGAAATCACAATCAGATTCTGCCAATACTACGATGCCGAGCGCGGCCGCGCAAGTCAGTGCTTAGCTTGCTGTCGAGAGGTACGCCAGTTTATTTCCATCACAGACTAATCGGACACGTTCTTAGTCAGCAGCATAATCCTTCTTTGAAATTTCAGTTATGGCAATACTTCTCCGTGGGGAGGCTTCGACGAATTCACACTGTGACTGATCATCGCTTTGACGAAGTATAAAGATCGTATGTTTCTTCCTGAGCAAGCATTTGGACTGAGAGGACTTTTTCGATTGCCAGGATTCTATGGACTACGATTGAATCTATTCCCACAAGCTTAGTTTCCTTGATAAAGGAGATTTAGCAAATCCCACATAAGATAGAGGAGGACATTGGTGGGCAGCCTTAGCGTAGCTTGAGATGAACAGAGATGCTTTTTTCATACATTGCAAGGCAAGCTATATACGATATGTCATAATCGGGAATCATGTCTGCTCAGAAGAATTAAGTTGCTGAATATGGGCTAATAGCTAGCAAACGCCTAAGCCCTTCTCTGAGAACCGCCCAGATATTCATGATTTCCAGTGTTTTCCGGCGTGATCCAATTTGAGTTCCCACCACGTGCAGTTGTGCTATCAGAATACGACGAAACATGGTCAGTACCAGCGGAGTCGAACGTCGCCCACAGCGACTGCGTTGATGCGGTACTCGGGTATGGACTCGGATGAGGACTTAAGTGTGATCGAAATGTGATAGATTGGTCGGCCGGCAGCTCACAAGTCATAGGGCGCTCGTTGGCCGGAAGCTCCGATTTAAACCCAGCTGCATATGTCCCATCGACCTGTTCGTCTGGCCGTGTCTTGGGTGTAGGCTGGTGAGAGTAATATGTTTGATAGGGTTGGTACGGGTCCATAGGGTCAATCTTTGGTGGCTTCAATGCTAGGTTGGATTGGGTGTTCTGGGCCCTTTTCTTCCGCCGCCTGAACAGGAGCGCGAGAAGAATGATTACAATAATCAGGAGCGCTGCACCCGCGGCACCTACTCCTATGCCTGCCTTGGCTCCGGTTGACAGACTGTCATCGCCACTAGTAGTAGCTATTAGTGTAGTCGGGCTTGTGGAAATGGTTTGGGTCGCTGTTGTCGAGATTGTGGGAGTACGAGTCTGCATAGATGCGAATGTCGTCGCCATACCGGACAAGTCAGCCGTCGATGTGATGGGAGCGTAAACCAAAGTTGGTGCAAACCCGTTCGTCCAGGCTATAGACGAGCCTGTGCTGCTTGGTAAACTTGCAAAAGCCGGCAGGGCAGTGTTGCCTTTGTACAGTGTGTTGGTGCAGAAGGAGTCACAACTCTGATGTGGAAGCTTTTCCAGCTCTGTCGAGTCCGGCGACGTCTTGCACCCTCCCCACTGGGTATCATTGTTGCCCGTCCCCTTTTGGCATTGCTGTATCGCCACCCACTCCTGGTTGCTGAACTCTTGCGACTTCCATGGACAAGCCCTGTCATTGAAGCCTGGATCTGTACATCCTGCTATGTAGGTGTTGCCGGCTACTCTCATATGTCAGTATGTTCCTTACGCCTGGCAGTGAGAAGGCTAACTCTCGAGGTCCCAACAGGCATTAGCATCGTTAAAACTCAGGCAGAAGTCGCCGGCGTGGCAACATGGCCAATGCCCCAACGCGATATTACCACATGGGATGAAGCCGCCTCTGTTTTCTGTGTGTTCGGTAGAGAAGCAAGTGCCGTTAGACACATTTGGGTTCGCATCGGCGCTCATAATGGTAATAGGCTGCGGTCTATCTGAACATAAGTCGAGCTATCGGTTTCCAGTGCACTTCTCGAGGGGAACGATTTGGAACAGCAAAAATGTGGTAATTAAATTTGAGCTAGAGCCTTCTGAACGGCCTCCAAGCTGAGTCGAAGCCAGGCATGCAGGCCGCCAATGTAAGACGACAATGCGCCTGCAGCACATATCCGTTGTTGTATTATCTCACCCTATGAATAAGTAGTCGTTGCCAATCACAATGCAGGACCCAGACCGGGACAAGAATCGAGAGTTAGCATTATGAGATCTGATAGGCCGGGGTACTGCTACTCCATCCAGTTGGTTACGGCATTCCCTGAATTAGTGTAAGCATGCATATCAGCTGCAGGGATCTCTCAGCTGTCTCAAATCCGACGCCTCGCAGCCTTCAACCCCTGAATTCACTTTGTCAACCGAAAAGAAAGGTGGAAATTGCCGTTCAGGTTGGCCGTACAAGACTATCAACATGCAGAGAATGGTACGATACATGTATGTGGTTATAAATGGGGAATTGCAATACTCAAGTCCTGGATCTATGTCAGCTGACTCAAGCTGTTTCTCCTCAATAGAAATTCGTACCGTCCAACCACAGAGCCAAATGACCACGTCGCGACCGGCAGTTCCTCTCATGAGGGGCACGCTGACTAGGCCTTGTAGTGGTAATGCATAGGGCCCATTCTCAACATTGATTAGGCGAACATGAAAATGCGAGGGTCCACACAATATTGCGTCCGGGCAAATAGTAACAGCTACCAATAGACCGAGATAATCCGGTCCATTTATTAATCCTGCAGTGGATGTGAAAAGCGTCTGACGCAGCGTTGTATTTCACTTGTATGGCCATGTTCTAGCGAGTACGCATCAGTCGGTCATGTCAGTTGTGATTCGACAGAAACTTCATAGAATACTTACTTACCTTGGCATCTATCTACATTTTCTCCCAATTGGATTTTAAGTGGGAAAATCATAATAATGACCTCCAGAATTCTACAAAAAGGCCTTGTAGTCGTTCAAGATGGGCGGATCAGGTGCGGTTGCGCGAAGTTTTCTGGTGTACCAATAGTTCTGCGGGAATACACTACCAGAGATTCCCTCCACCCGTTCCTCGTCGTATTCTTCATCCATGATCTTGCGTGTGTGCAAATCGCACGGGTCCCCTATAGTCGACGACGTTTTCTTCTGGACCCACATGACCAAAGGTCGCGAAAGATCAAGGACGGCTTCTCGCAGGGGAAAATTAGGCCATTGGCTGATCACCATCGTCTTGTCGTCGACGAGCAGAAAGCCTTTCACGCCGAAGCCTCGAACTATGTTGAAACTTCCCATGGTCAAGACATCTTTGTCGAATCTGGTGTATAACGGCTCTTGGGCATACAGAGTGACTTCTGGCTGCCCGGTTCCGGTCAACTTCCTGATCTCTTCAATTCGCTTGGCAATCATGTGCACCAATGAATGCTGCAGCATGGGTCCATTCGGGTATGATGTCGTTCCAAGGCGACCCTCGAGACGGCCCAGTCCGAGACAGACGACTTTGTCAACAAGCCTGAACACTGCGGCGTTCTTGTCGATGAACGGTCTCACATGCATCTCGAAATCAGCATCAGGCAGACGCATTCTGGACATGGCTTCACCCATATACGCGTTAAGGTCGGCAAGAGAGAGCCGGGGTCCCCCAAGCGTCAAAGAAGCTATTTGAAAGCAACGGTGCTTCCTGTTGCAACTGGCCTTGCGCAAAGGTGCCATATTTCTGGTGAGTGTTATGCTATTGACCCTCAATTCCTCACCAGGGCCCGGATCGTGCAGACCAACACCTCGGTTGTTGTTCTTGTGTTTCTCTGCATGATCTCTATCTCGCAGTGGCAAGAGGAAGAACTCTCCATCTTTCTCAAGCTCATCTTCTGCCTCTTGCAATGCTTCTCGAGTAAAGAATGGCTTCGAGTTGCTTGACTCTAACTCGGATGTGTATGAAGTCATTCTTTTTTGTGTTGGGAAGTTTTGTATCATTGCACTGAGGGCACGTTTCAATGAGTGAAAGGTTGTGACAAGACAGGCATGCTATATAATAAGCTTAGACTGGGCGCGCAGATGGTACAGAGATACAACAATCATCATTGTATTGTGGAAAATAAGTCTTGGATTCCTTTGTTCTCGTGCTGCAAAAACATGGTTATCCTGATACATGCTTGTCGTCCATTATGTATCTTCATCCTGATAATGAAATTTCGAGAGAGGTAGAAGAATTTTGCACCTCAAACGAAGCCACGCGCAGTATCATTGTTTCAAATGACTCTTGTCTCGACAGCTTATGTATTGAGTCGAGCATCTTCCCCTGTTTCCAATGGAAATAAGCTAATCTACCAAAGTTTACTTGACACATGCCGGTGCTCAAGTTGTCTGCAGACCAGCCTCTGAATTGTTAGATCCTGAGGGAAACCTGCGTCCCCAGACGTATTGTCAAGGTGACAAATGAGAATCCCTCAATCGGCTTAATAGATCAGGTATCAGAACACCGACAATGCACCCATAGGCACCATTTAAGTCACGCCTCTCAGTCTTCTTTCTCTATTTTGATGTATAGCGTTGGCCTAAGACTCATGCCGCCTGCAATTTGTTTGCCTCGTGTATTTCCCCGCCAGTTGCGAACCAACTTGACTTGCATAGTGGGTCGCATATGGCCCCAGGTACATATACGGGACCATAGTTATCAAAGGATATAAAGCGGCAAATAAATTTCTTGGTTCAATGGAACTCGTGTCTGTGAATACGTGTCTCTGAGTTCGAAGCGGACGTGCTCCCTGTCCTGCCCGTGTGTACTGGTTCTTTTTTAGGGTTTAAATTTTTTTCTTTTAAATTTCTTTTAACTATCGCGATAAACAGGTGTGTGAAAGCAAACTGCCGCGGTGCGGCCGTGCAAAGGCGGCGAAAACAGTGATTCATAGTTGGTTGCGGCAGAGGATTTGCTCGTCCAGGCAGTGGCTTGCTTGGCCTGGCAATAGTGCTAACCTACACTAGTCTAACCTTAGGTTAGTCGATTTGTAATACTATGCCAATCCAACCCAAGTTCATGCTTACCCGAACCGCTCATTTCTTGTCTTGACATTATCTTCAGGTTGAAGTCCAATCCAGCAACTATGACCTTCCGACGCCAATTGTCGTGGACATCCGCGCCCCTCATCGTCAATGCTCCCATGGGCGACTTCGCGGGCCCGGAACTAGCTGCGGCTGTCTCAGGAGCCGGCGGGCTGGGTATGATCGGCGCCATGCTGGATCCCATCGTTCTGGGCGAGCAACTGGAACAAGCCTCCGGGCTGCTCGACGGTGCGCGAGCAAACAGTAACGGTAATCTCCAAATCGGTGTCGGCCTGCTCCTCTTCGCGCTCACGAAGAAGCGGTCCGAGATGATCCAAGTACTCGCAAAATACAAGCCCGCGGTCGTGTGGCTCTTTGCGGAAACGCAGCTGAGCGATTACAGCACCTGGGCCTCCGAGATAAGAGAATCGCTCCCGGGATCACAGATCTGGATCCAGACGGGCTCGGTCGTGGGTGCATTGGAGATAGCTCGCGGTGCGAAGCCTGACGTGCTCGTCATGCAGGGCACCGACGCCGGCGGCCATGGCTGGGAGCGAGGCGCAGGCATCGTTTCGCTGGTCCCAGAGACCAAAGACTCTCTAGCCCGCGAGGGTCTTGACGTTGCCGTCGTGGCGTCTGGTGGCATCGTAGATGGCCGCGGGGCCGCGGCGGCTTTTGCTCTGGGGGCCGAGGCGGTGGTCATGGGAACCCGGTTCCTGGCATCGAGAGAGGTCACGATCCACCCAAAGTATCAGCAGCAGATTCTAGAGGCCCGCGACGGGGGGCAACAGACCGTTAGGGCCAAGGTGTTCGATGAGCTCAGGGGACCTAACATCTGGCCAGGAGCGTATAATGGGCGGGCTCTCTTGTCCAGAAGTTTTGAGGATCATTCTTCTGGTGTCGATCAAGGTGAAATACGGGCGCGCCATGCGGAAGCACTCGCGCAAGCTGATAAGGGTTGGGGAGATAGCCGAAGGGCCGTCGTTTGGTCCGGTACGGGCGTTGGTCTGGTCAATGAGGTCCTACCAGCGGCTGAGATAGTGCGCCAGGTCAGAGATGGTGTCCAACAGGTTTTCCGTCATGTTGATACCCAGTGGTAGTTTTATTAGCACTGGAAACAAAAGTGTCGGCTTGAAACCACGAATTTACGACTGAATCAACTTTAAAATGGTGTATTGGGAGGATTGACAAGTGTTATTGTTGTGATTGTGCAAAAGCATCTGAAACTCCTTGGGAGACTTCTTGGATACGAATATTCGATAATATCTTCTCAGTTAAATGGCGATACTGGACGTATCCAGGGATGTGTGTTGCTGTGAAGTCCTTATCAAAAAGTTGAAATTCTCATGAGGGAAAGAGATCATATTACTTACTACCAATGAATAGATTTAACTCCAATCATTGTGACAATGTGGGGAATCAATGAGTTGTATTCGACATGGTGTTTGGCTTTCAGTATCGAGTGTCGCGTCTGTTGACACACAACAAAGGATTCACTACCGAAATACAATCTCTTTGTTTCTTTCATATTCTTCAATATTTATGACTTCCTTTTTTCCCTGCGTTGCAAGATGCGGCAGGAGTCTACAGGTACAGTTCTCAATCCCCTCCGCACGGAAAACTAACACAACAGATATCAACTACATACCCAAAAAGATGTGCAAGCGCATCCACCTCCTGAGATACTGCACCGGCTGTGGCCCAACGAACGAATGGGCCATGGACTGCGAACACAAGTGTGACTGCGGGCTCACGCCCGAAGACATCTATAGAGAGCCACAGCCCTATCTAAATATCAGGTGCGACGAGTGCGAAAGGAACGGGGTGTACTTTGAGAACTCGGTGTTCGGGTGGGCGTGGGCTCGCAAGAATCGTGCGAAGCAGAAGGCCGCTGAGACGAAGACTGCCGATAAATTGGTCAAGAAACAGCCAGCTTCAAGGGTGCCAAAGTGGAATCGAGATATATAGGTGGATGAGAGCTTCAGCCAGGCGTCGGTATTGCCATGATGAACTTTCGTTTGATGTAGCTGCAGTTAGGGCCAGATAACTTGGGTCTAGTATGGTAGGTAAGGATTTTACACCCCAACTGACTTCAAAGAAAGTAGAAAAGAAAAACACTCTGTTCGGATATTTATGCCTGAGGTGGCCATTGTCAGAAGGTGTGGTCTCATCACGATTGTGAGGTACATACTACAAAACTAATGGTGGATACCGGATTGTTCATTCATAAATCCAGACATTCTGGTCCGTGGTTCACCTAGGTGTGCATTCATTGTAAAGTGCTTCAATCGATGCCTGAGGAACACGAGACGCCGCCTGCAGCCACGAGGCTTAGGTCGCAGGACTCCCTCATAAACCCGACAGAATAAGCAGTTGAGCCTTGTGATACGGTGCTGTCTACCTTGATCTTGCAAGTTCCCTCTCTTTGTCCATCAGACTTCATCGTTTGGGTGGTCGAAAGAATTCAGATACGTACCCTACATGCAGATTGATGGCCATGGCTGGCGACAAAATCAAGCTTGCCTTACCCACCACTCGTAATGGCCTACAAGATCGTAGCCCTTAGGGCGTGTTACAGTGTTCTCGTCGTCATGTTCCCGAGGCACCAGCCCTCCAATAATTTCTGCGGCAGCTTGGTCAAGGCGGTGGAGATAAGACCTAGCCCTTTCCAAGTCTTCCACCGTCAGATTGCCTTTGGACTTTTCAACCCAACAGCCTCTGTAGAGACAGGTCTCTACATGGACGGGGTAAGCGTAATCTGGCAACTGAGCTTGTATCCCACCACCCGCTTCACTGCCGACAAAGAGGCCAAATGTAGGTTCGATTCTTCCAAAGCCATTCCGTGTAAACGCATGCTGGCACGCAACATTATCTACCCGAACAAGTGCCCTGGTCAGATTCGCTCGTCGAGCTTCTGCCTCTGCGAAGCTCTTCTCGACCAGGGCACTGCCGATTCCTAGTCCCTGCCACTTCGAATCAACTGCCAGAAGGTCAATCTCCCATCGCTTGATCCCAGACGGAGTTTCTGTCATGAAGTTGTCAACAAAACCGATGACCTTGTCAACACCATCTCTGTCGCAGTAAACTGCCACCATGGCGCCACGTGCTGGATGATCAAGGACGGTCGCAAGGCGCTGTAGGACAGCGTCCAGAGTTTCCGCTTCGGCTAGAAAACAGTCCACGAGCAGATGCGCAACACCCTTGTGGAATCGGGGCTGCGTATCGCAGATCCGCAAATGGGGAGCATGTTCACGATCTTGGTGTTGGGACATTGATATATGCTGCCGAGGTGGATGGAACTACAAATCTGGGAGATGAACATGCGATGTCTAACAGGCAGACTTGCACACGTGGGGCAGGATCGAGTACCCGAACAGAAGGTTACAGCCATGCATCCAGCGTCTTCGTCTTCCTACTGCAGCGACTCTTGAGTTGTAGCTTAGCCCAGCTCAAGATTCGGTTTGGATGAGTTTCAAGATGCACAAGATGCCATTCTGACACCGGACTGTGAGCAGCTTGATTATTGATACGTTCAAACTTGGTTCAGCTCGTCGCGATGATCCGATGCATTACGCAGCACTTATCGAAGTAACTAACCTACGTACCTGAGGCCTGTTGGAGGTCGCTATTGTAAGCGCTAGACATGACCAACCATTGGAAATTGGAGTTCGGGTCACTGGTCATCAAAGGAATAATCAAGATGCGTGAGGCACATAGGTTGCAGTTTGAGTTGACGCTGGGAGTTTCAACATCATGCAGCGTGCAATGAACGGATCCAAGCAACGTAGGAAACAAGGAAAACCAGAAAACAAAAACATACAAAGTAGACTGACTATGCTACGGGAGAATGGTCCTTGAAGATTCGAGTTCATGCGCAGTTACGTGCTACGGTAGAGACTCACCGCTCTACTGATGCACGGGCCCCCCCGTCCCCCCAAAATGGCAAAATAACGCCAAGATTTCGAAGGCGCCCAGTTCCGCACCCAAAAAATTTCAAACGTCCAGTGGAAAACCCACCGAGCATCGCCAACCCGCCTCAAACCCAGCCCAGCTCAACGCCGTTTGATTTGCAGATAAACCTCCCACGGCCGCCGATAGATACCCTCATCATCGTCACGAGACCGGACTGTGACCAGAGCCCGCACTGCCCCCCCAGCACTTGCCCGGATTCTCGGATTCTCGGATTTCCCACCGCAGTCCCAACAGGCACAGCGATGGCCGAGTCCTCCTTGCAGGTTTGTAGCCAAATCAACCAGGTCACCCCACCCTCTGCCGCAAAGGTTGGCTGACACTGGTGACTTTCAGGATCGCCTGCGCGATCATGCGAAAGCCTTCGACTCGCTCCTGTCCCTCATTCCAGCCAAGATGTACTACGGTGATGGCGATGATAACAACGTACGTTCATGCACCTCAATACCACTCGCACCTCGGTGCTCTCCCGCCCGGGGGCCACTGACGGTCTCGTTGCCTTGCCGCCGTTCTGAACATTGCCCGCGCCCACCCTTGACCACGTTATCTGACATGTATTCCGCCTCCAGAATCAATGGAAGAAGAAGAAGCAGTCCAAGGCCCAAGCCTCCGAGTCCAGACGGAACAAGCTCGACCCCGACAGCAAGCTCAACCGCAGCGTCAAGGAGGTCATGGAGGAGCAGGCACAGAAGAAGCGCAAGCGTGACCAGGGACTTGAGGATTCCGCAGATGAATGGTCCGAGGTCGAAGGCATCGATGCAGAGAAGCCTGGCCAAGGCTTGAAGAAGAAGAAGCAGAGGCCCGTCCCCCAGGAGCCAGAGCTGACCGAGGAGGAGAAGCGCAAGGAAGAAAAGAAGGCCGCCAGAAAAGAGCGCAAGGCTGAGAGGCAAGCTTTGAGAGACGAGGAAGCCGAGTACCAGAAGAGAAACGTCAAGTCAGGCGTCAACAAGGTCAAGCTGGGCCCACGTGGTCTCCAGCCCGACTCTACCGAGGACAGCAAGCCTGCCTCAAATCCCACGTCAGAAGCCCCGCAAGAGCCTGTGGAAGACGACCATGACGAGACTGACGATTCATCTGAAGTGCAAGACCTAGAAATGCCAGACCTGGCAGACCTGGCAGGGGACGAGGAGGACGCTGAACAGAAACCAGACTCTGCCACTGCATCGCCTTCCGAGCCCGAGTCGCCTTTATTCGACACCAACGGCACTGCCGCCGACTCAGCCGGTCAGCCTCCAAGCACAACTACCTCCATTTCCTCCACTACTGCTCCTTCCGACAAGCCCAAGCAGCTTAAGATACCCAAGGACACAGAGGCTCTTCGTGCTCGCCTCGCTGCCAAGATCCAGACCCTTCGTGCCGCTCGCAAAGCCGACGGCCCAGATGGCAAGCCTATCCGTACTCGCCAAGAACTCATCGAGTCGAGACGGGAGACAGAGGCCAAGCGAAAGGCGCACAAGAAGGAAGTCCGAAAGAAGGCTCTCGATGAGGAGAACAGGAAGCGTGAAGAGGCACTCGCCTCTGCTCGCAACTCCCCTGGTAGCATCCTCAGTCCGGCCGTCGACCTGGCGGACACCAACTTCACCTTTGGTAGAGTGGCTTTCGGCGATGGCGCCCAGCTTTCCAACGACCTGTCACACGTGCTCAACAATGCCAAGAAGAAGGGCCCATCAGACGCCAAGACTGCCCTGCTGAAGGTCCAAAATGAGAAGAAGCGTCTCGAGCAGATGAACGAAGAGAAGCGCAAGGATGTCGAAGACAAGGAGATGTGGTTGTCTGCGAGGAAGCGGGCCGAGGGCGAGAAGATAAGAGATGACGAAAAGCTCCTTAAGAAAGCAGTGAAGCGCAAGGAGGTGCAGAAGAGTAAGAGTGAGAAGGCATGGAGAGAGCGAGCCGAAGGAGTGCAAAAGGCAATGAAGCAACGCGCAGCAAAGCGCGAGGCCAATATTAAGGAGCGAAAGGATCAGAAGCTCATGGGCAAGTCGGGTAAGAAGAAGGGAGGCGCCAAAAAGGGAGGTGCCAAGAAGGGCCGCGCCGGTTTTGAAGGATCGTCCTTTGGCGGTAAGAAGAAGTAAAACTTGGAGTATCACAGCCGCAGAGGTGGCATGGGTTTTGTTCAGGGCATTCTATGAGTACGTTCCGGATATCATCGTTACATACCACGGCACAATTGCTTATTTCCCAGCGGGCGTTAATGGGCATGGGATTTCGTCATACTGCTAGAGGAACCGAGTCTCCATACGCCGTGCTCTGTCCATTGATAATTTCAGCTTCTTGCTTTACAATCGCTTCTGAAGATCGCTTGCTCCTCTCGCCGCCTTATCCACGGGCCAGAGTTGAGAACACCTGACTGCCTTGACCACCTCTGCACTTGTGACCATCTACTGCAGAAATATCTGCACTCTAAACATTCAGTCATGCGGTTAGCCATGCAATCTTTGTCAGGCTCTCTGATACTGCAGTCATCCTGTCTCGTAAGCTAATTGGACTGCTTTGCCGCTTACATATATACATACATAATATGACCTTTAGCGAACTTGCATTTGGTATTACAGCTTAGCTAATCGCAGTATGCTTCTAGTCACAACCATACAAAACACGCGTTGACCTCTATACTAAGGTTAGATCACATCCGATGTCTCGAGTCGGAATCCTGTAACTTTTTGACCTAGCCTAACTGATTCGCGAGATATGCGAGTATAGTGGTCAAGCTATCGATACAAGAATTCACAAAGTCACAAAATTTAAAACGTCAATTAATCTAATTATTTAACCCCATCAATTCCATTTAATTCCCCCCCCCCCCCCAAAGCTGCTTTCCAGTTGCTACCTTGTACCGAACTGTCGCTAGCGCTAAAGTCGCCTAACCTTGGTGCGAACTTTTCTCTGAAAAACAGCCAAACTGAAGACCAACATGATCCGCGATTGGCAAGGCAAAAGCGCTGTCTATTGTTGCAATCTGCTATGCACAAATTGTGAACCTAAACAGATTCGGTCAACTGATTGTGGGTGATGCATCGCAACGCATCCAGCCTTGTCTCGGATGTTGCTCTCCTTTCCTCGCTATGTCATGCCCCAACAACCGCCAACCAGTCCAAAGGACCCGGACCGGCTGCACCGAATGCAGGAGGAAGAAAGTGAAGGTATCTCATTGCTAGACTGATTGTTAGACCTGTCCTTTCGCTCACCTTTTCCAAGTGCGACCTGAAACAACCAGTGTGCTCACGCTGCGCTCGGTGGCCTAGCCAATGCAAATATGCCACAAACTTTGTCATTTTCACTCCTCCTGCTGGAACAAGGCAGTCTCCAGAGTCGCGAGCTGAAGCTTCAGATCCTAAGGTTTCATCGTTGGTGGGGGGTTATACACCTAGCCTGCCAAAATGTCTTCCCGATTGTCCATCGCCGTATCTGCAACATCCTCAATTGCGCTTCTTTATGCATCATTTTGCAACCCAGACATGTGACACCTTGTTTCCCTTCGCTCCGCCGCAGTTCGGCGACCGTCTCATCAGGACCGCCATTTACACACCACACTTGCTATACGCTGCTTTGACGGCTTCTTGCAGCCATCACACGCGTTTAGTGTTAGATGATCCGCAGAGGGCAGACCTCCTCAAGTCGAGGTTTACCAACTTAGCGATTACGAATCTTAGGAAAAGCTTGGAAGAGTCTGCCGGATGTCCAGACTTGTCATCTGCTTTAACAGCCATGATGCTGTGTACGAATGACGTCTGTCATGGGGACCGGCAGCTTTGGAAGACACATTTACATGGAGCCAGAGATATCCTCACCGTCCTGCTCGGAGATACGACTGGTGTTGATGAGACCTTCACGTCGTATCTGGTCAAATGGTACTCAACTCTGGACATCGCAGCCATTCTCTCTGGACGTTCTGACAGCTCTGTGTCAAATGGCCGATACTGGCCACTCACAACTATTGTCAAAACGCTGCACCTTGATACTGCATATGTGGACAATATTTGCGGCTACTCGATAGAGTTATGGCCGTTTCTCGCTCGTCTAGGAGCATTGATTCACAAATGCGAGTCACAGATTCGCCTTACCACTGGTGTGGGCAAACCTGGAACAACCGCCCCAGTAGACAGCCGGGGGGATCTTGAGACCAAAGCAATCGAGGCTGGCATCACGGCACTTGTGTATCGCCCAGCGTCGGAAGAGACCCATCGGCTGCTCGGAGAACTAAAAGCTGAAGAGCTTCGCTGGACGCACGCCGCCTTCGTCTACACTGCACTTTTACACCTACATCGCCGCGTCCTGCTTCTTCCTAAAACCCACGAGAAAGTCAGAACAGACATAACGAACATCTTAAATTGTATTCGACAAATCAATTCGGCTTCATCCGCAAATATTCTTATTCTTTGGCCGATCTTTAGTACTGGCTGCGACACAGACATACCGCAAGAGAGGGCTTTTGTTAAAGGCAGGATGATGGAGATGAAGGTCCTCGGTCTGGGAAACTTCTCACGAGCTCACGATGTCATGGTAGCATACTGGGACTCGGGAAGTAGCTTGCACTGGAACGATTTTATCGCTCACAATCACTTCGATATAGTTTTGTTCTAAGCAGATACTAGTGGAAGCTTTCCGTACCCGTCCAACATGAAACGCTCCAGGGCTTGGAGGCCATCAACCAACACTTCATGTTCCGAGACATAACCTATACGGATATATCCTCGAAAGTCAACGCCGCCGCCGAAGCATCGACTCGCCGGCACAAACATGACCCCGGTCTCTCCTTGCAAGCGCTTACAAAACTCAACATCGTCAATAACCTTGCCTTGCCGATCAAGCATTTTGACCAGCAGTGTCGTCCCTGCCTTTGGAGCGACCCATCGAAATGCCCAGCTGTATTCTTCGAGGAAGGCTCTCAGGACTTGGAGATTCTTTCTGGCCAGTTCAACGTTGCGTTGAAGCAGTGCTGTCAGTGTAGGCTTTGTGAGAGCAAACGTGGCGACCTGATCGTCCAGTTGACTGACGGAGATGGTAGTATAGTCGCGGCACGAGTAGCAAGCTCGCATGATCTCAGAGCTTCGAGTGGCAATCCAACCCAATCGAATACCGGCCAGACTGAAGGCCTTGGACATGGAGCCAGTGGCTATTGTTTTTTCGTATCCTAACGACAAGATAGACGGTGGGTTTTCCTGCTCATCTGCGTCTAGTGAGTGAAACAAGGGTCTGTACACCTCGTCGCTGAGAATTGTGATATCATGCTCTTGGGCAATGTCGACAACACCTTGCAACACGGCTCGAGATTGCACGGCGCCTGTTGGATTTTGAGGGTTGCTGGATTATGGTCAACACCCGTGCGTCTTCGTGAACCGAGAAGCTTGGGTTTGACTTACTTGATGATGATGAGTTTGGTATTGGCCTTGATCATTCCGCGCAGCTCGTCGAGATCCATCCGCCAGTCGCTCTCCTCCTTTGCTTTCCACAGACTGACCTCAGCGCCAAGGGATGTAGGGACTGTGTAGAGCTGCTGGTATGTAGGATAATGGCAGATGACGTGATCGCCAGGTCCGACACAGGTGTATAAAGCTAGAAAATTGGCTTGGATGGCACCATTCGCCACGAGAACGTCCTGAGGAGAGAGCGGCTCGCAGGAACCCGAAGCATAGAGGTCACCGATTCGGGATCGCAGGCCTTCTGATCCAGGGATGTCGCCATATATCAATTTTCTGGAAGGACTGATGATGTCTGTCAACGTGACAGAACTACCAGATAGCTTGATGAGGTCGTCCAAGGATATCGAGGCGCAGCACGTCTCAGCGAGATTGTACTTGGCGCTTTGTTCATAATCGTCCATCCACTATAGCAATGCCCCATCAGTGCACGATCACTCAGTAGTCGCGGGTAGGTATGGCGCAAACTTACTCGTTCAACGGCGAACTCGTCAATTCGAACCATGTTTGCGACTTGCAAGGTGTTTCAAAAGGATATTGGGTAAATTTGGGCATCTGTGTCAACCTTTTGAGACAATCCGGCCCTTTTAAGTTGCCCGGACTCTGTTGAGCAGAACCACACATAATCCCTGATTTGATGTCGCGAGTCACTATGCGGGTTGGGCAGAGTCATGATTGGCTGCGTCGCCTAACTATCCCCAAAGGGTAATGGTATGGGGGAAGTGTCAAGTTTAAACAACGGACAAAGTGCCTCATTATGTACTACCATCCGTGGCCTCCTATAACAGAGAAAAACTTGTCAAACGAGGCTCTTCTGTCGGATCTATGGCCCAAGTCTTCGAGCCAAGTCCCGGTCATCTAGGTATTGGATATGCGACAACTAAATAGAGACAGAAGACTAAGGAGCACCCCACCCACCGCCAACCACGTAGATGTTCACATCGACATTCTTGGCGTGGAGCACTCGAGAACTCAACTACGATTCAACAAGGTCTCCAAATATCAGAAAGACACGGCATCATCAAAGATGGACTGCGTACACATCAAAAGGCGTTTTTATTTACGACGAGATAAATATATACAGGTACAACCCTAGTCGGGCGCAAAGAATGTAACTCAGTCTCAACGATGCAGGCAGGCAAAGCTGTTTCCACTCCCGGAAGAGATCACAACCACTCGTTACAAGGTACCGAAACCAGCGGAGGAGGACAGGGCAGAAACGCTGGAGGCGGAATCGGCGGTAGCCAGAGTGTAGCTGCTGAACTTGGACAGGACGGAGCTGTCGGAGCCGGTCCAGGACCCGGAGTTGCTGAAGCTGTTGGCAACGCACACGCGGCCGATGGAGGAGGAGCACGAGGAGGCGGCGGAAGAGTCGTTGACAGCGTACAGAGCACCGTCGTCGCCGGTCTCCTGGGGCACGTCGACGTCGGAGAAGACATTGCCCTCGGCCAAGACGTAGGCACCAGAGGCGATCTCGAAGGCGTGGCCGCTGGAGTCGGTGTCGGCCCAGAGGTTGTTGACGGCGTGGAGGAGGGTGGAGCCGGCGACCTTGGGGCCACGGCCGGAAGTGTGGTGGATGTAGTTGTTCTTGAAGGTGACGAAGTCGGCAGAGCCGTCGAAGTAGATGGTCCAGTAGTGGTAGCCGTCGCAGGTGGCGGACCAGTCACTCTCACCGTCGAAGTCGCAGTTGGAGATGGTCACGCTGCCGCTGGCGGCAGTACCGAGGACGAGGTGCTGGCGGCCGATGGCAGAGGTCTGTCTTCATGTTAGCTAGGCGTGCATCGTAGTTCTGACAGAGAGGTACGTACGGTAACGTGGTCGATCCAGACCTTGTCGCAGTCGGCCAGAGTGATGGCATCACCACCCCAGACTATGAAGCTATGTCAGCAAACTCTTCGAGGGAGGAAAAGAGGTTAGGAGGGAGTGGAGACGTACCGTATTGAGGGTTCAAGTTGGTGATCTTGATGTTCTGGATAATGATGTTGCTGGCGCCGCCGGCGATTCTCAGACCCTTACCGTTGAGGATACCGGAAGAGCCCGAGCCGATGAGGGTCTTGTCGGAACCGACGGTGATACCCTCGATGGCGGCATTGTCGTAGGAGACGGAGACGGTGGGAGCGTCGGCCTGGTAGTTGGTGCACCAGTCGTTCTGGTTGATGGCAAGCTGGCAGGCGGAGGCGGTACCCCAGGGGGCACAACCGGTGGAGGTGGTGGTACCCTCAGTGCCGGTGAAGTCGAAAGTCTTGGTCAAGACAATGACGCGAGCCTCGTCATCTCCGAGGTAGGAGATCAGCTCGTCGGTGGTGTCGGGGTAGACTGCCGTGGCGGAACCACCACCAGTGACACCGGAGGCGAAACCTTCCGCAGAACCGGAAACGCTGACGGTAGCAGCTTGTGCCAGACCTGCAAGGGCCGCAAGTTTGAAGATGGCTGAGGAGACCATGATAGGCGAGCTGCAGCGATGAAAGAGTGAAAAACTGGAAAGACGAAGAGAGTATAACCAGTGGAAATCGCTAGCCCGCAGCGGTGAATGAATGGGTGGTAGAGAATGAGGTGATGATTTCTTCCCAGTAATTGAGCCTCATGGCCGCTTATATGTCTCCTGCGAGTTCTTCACCATGATCCTCAAAAGGGCATTGTGGTACCCATCCGGATGCGGACATCATGAACAGCGGAGCCGGCAATCCCAGCTCGGAAATGGCTGTACTCTATCCCATCTTTCCTCTGCCCACAACGTCCATTTTTCCTGTTGGTGCGTTTGATGGTGACAACTAGAATGGTGTTGAGATTCTGCGCTCCATCAACAGGGTCTACGCTCCCAAGTACGAGATAAAACGATGCATAACAATAAACATGCCACCACTTTGCACCGTAGTAGGTAAAAGATGTACGGGCCTGGTGGGTAAACCGCGTCAGTCAACGGTTTCAGCCTTGTCCTGTGTTCCACTTTCAATCTGGGAGTTGAGGCTCGTCCCTGGCCTACCCGCGCAAGAAAAACCCCCGCTTAAAGTGCCAAGCATGCAGGTGCCGGGCTTTGGTGTCCTGGTGCGCGTATTCAATATACAGGCCACTATATATTCGAAGATCCGAATGTTAGCACAGTACTCCACATACGCAAAGGCGAGAAGGGGTGCTAAAAATATTCCGTAGAAAGCGCTAACCTCCCAACTTTCGCTACCTACTGTACTACTACATAGTATGCAGTCAGGGGTGGGTGGACGCGTTGCGGGGCCAAACACAGTGGCCATTCGTCATTTGGCTCTAGCACATTACGGTTCGTGTGGACCTGCTTATATGCTCGTTACCTCGAACGAGCGAATGAAAAGTCCGTGTCAATTTGACCCTGGGATCGAATCTCTGTATATACCTGCAGGTTACGCACGCGATCTTGGCACTCGCCTCGAGTTTCTCGCCTGCAGGCTTGGCGCGCACTACTGCTCGACTGCTGCGAGAGCACACAGCCTGACAGCACTCTTCATGACACCACGGCTCGGCACTTCGCGGTCATCAACAACTGAACACTATGCCCGACCCGGCTTCGTGCTGGAGTGGGCTGTTTACATGACATTTCTTGGCGTTTGACGATGATTATGGACTCTGGATTTCCGGATTCTGGAAGACGACCTGGTCTTCTGCGTCGAGACGCTTCGACACTTTTGAACCCCACATCTCGGACGGTCTCCGCCAAAAAAATACTGCCCTGCTGGTCAACACCGCCGGCTGCAGTTTTCAGTTCTCAGTTCTCAACAGGCAGACGAACTCCAGGTGGTGGAACAACCACCCCTGGAGCTCACTGTACGTAGAAGAGGCCTGATTTCCCACAATTTCGATGAATTGGAAACCGAACGTCGACCGGCTCGACCGTGTACTAGGCGCCAGTCGAGATATTGGGCACCACTTACGTCGTCTCTCACGTACTGCAATGTCACCTTGCCTGTCGGTGAATTTGACGCCCCTGCGACTTCGAGAGAATTACTACCTTACACAGGTGTTTCGATCGACCACTTCAGTCACAGAGTCTACCAAAAACCTACCATAGTGACTTAACAAGGCCATGAATTACAGTAGCACCTGCAGCATGACCACTTCACCTATCCACTCCAAGCCTGGGAGTTCCCCACCAATCATGCCGTCACCCACCTGGAAATCCAGCCGAGCCCACGATGTCATGAAGATATTTCTTTATGTAATTGCATACGCACAACGAATATGTACAATATTTTGCAGCAGTCATCTATCAGCATCTCTGGAGCAAATGCAGCACTAGTGGTTTAGTGGTAAAATCCATCGTTGCCATCGATGGGCCCCGCGTTCGATTCGCGGCTAGTGCAGCGAATTCTTTTTGGCGGGGTTCCTCGCTCGATTACTACGTAGTCGGTGCTGGACGACCTTTGATGTGGTACCTCAGCTATTCTGAGGGATTCCTGAAGGCTATCTATCTATCAAGGGTGGATTGTGCACCTCAGGCATCTACCCAACTGGTGGCACCAGGCAACCATTCACCTTTCCCCCCAATGGCCAGAGGCCTTTGCCACTCAGAATGCTGCGACGCACAACTCGTTATACCGACTGATTCGCAGGAGGATGTGAGGCGCAGCAATGCGACTCGTTCTGTCAGGTGCAATGTTCTGCCTACATAAATATATTATTGCCTCTAGGCCCACCCACATCATCTTTTCGGACTCGAGCAACTAAGAGGTACTGTCCGGCTGAGTCTGGCGGCTATCATGTTCTTGTCCCACCAAGTACACGCTACAACAAGAACATCATCCGAAACAATGGAATTGAGTCAGAAGTCAACTGATTCTGAATCATTGAAAAAATGGTATCAGGAATACACGAGTCTAGATAGCCGCATGACGACGCCTGAATCTGACGTCATAATCGCGGTCCATGCCGACGACCTGGATCACGATCAGATTGAGTGCCAGGTGCAACTTCTAGTATCGACTACACATGTTGATAACGGATTCTGTACCAAATGTCAAGACCTGCTGGACCACTGGCCAGATCTTGGAAAGAAAGAATGGGACCACGGTATCGGTAGACCCGTCAACACCTTCGAGGTTGAGGCGGCAACCAGGCTGGGCTGTAAATTCTGCGCATACCTCTTGTCCCGTCTCACAAAAGAGGGACTCATTGATGTGTTTCGCAAAATCGAGACTCGACTTCGGCTTCTAAGTAGCAACGAATGCGCATCACTGTCCATACAGAACTGGGGCAATACGAGAAACCCACTGCTACTGTGGCTCAATTGGCCTGGAAAAGTGACAAAGGACTGCAACATGCCCGGAGTAGTTGCAAAATTCCAGTCGCATTACCTGGGCCCTTCAGGTGAGTCTCAAGTCTAGTCGATTATCGTATCACTAAGACCACAAAGACAACTTGTGGCAACGGCAGGTTGAGCCCTTGAGTCTTGCAAAATTATGGCTGGACGATTGCTTGCAATCCCACGAGCAATGTCGCAATAAAAAACATTACGCTATGCCTACGAGACTACTCTCAATTGGCAACAGCACAACTAAGCTGGTAGAAACCGCAGCTCTGCAAACAGCCCCTCGATATGCCACTTTGAGTTACCGCTGGGGCGATCAGCAGTTTACCACACTCACATCAGACAACTACGACTTGTTCCTACGTGGTATTGCAAACGAGAACTTACCTCAAACCTTTCAGGATGCCATACATATCGCGCGGCGGTTGGGCCTAGATTTTATCTGGATCGACGCACTCTGCATCATTCAAAAGCAAAGCGACAGCCATGACTGGCTTAGGGAGAGTGGACGCATGCGATCCGTCTACGGCGGTGCCTGCATCGGCCTCGCCGCTTCCACTGCGACCAACGTTCACCAAGGCTGTCTTACCACGCAAGCGCACTACTCTGGCGGGTTCTGTGCGCGTGTCACAACAAGTGAACTCTGTCGTGTACAGAATTTCCATTGTCAAGCGGTCTATGAAGAATCCTCCATGGATACCCATTTGGCACACAGAGCATGGGCATTTCAGGAGAAACTTCTACCGGCGCGCACGATTCGATTCGGCACAAACGGTCTGTTCTGGGAATGTCGGACAATGATCAGATCCGAATTCCAACCTGACGGGTTCCCTGGCAAGCTCGGCTCACACATGGTGTGTCCAGAAGATAAGGCGTGGTACTGGCCTGACGTTATCCGGTACTATTCCGCCGCCAGATTGACTTGGGATTCTGACCGGCTGCCTGCACTATCCGGCATTGCGAGTCGACAGTATGAGGTCACGTCCGACGACTATCTCGCGGGATTGTGGAGGAAACAGCTTATCATGCAACTTTGCTGGGAAATATGGCTTCCGGAAGATAGATATGATCGTCCAGACCTGGGCATACCCACTTGGTCGTGGGCGTCTGTCAAGGGCCAAACCTGGTACTGGACATGGGACGACAGCCCGAAAACTGTACAACAACACGCCTTCGTCGTCGATGCGCAGATAACACTTGCAACTCCCGACCCGTTCGGTGCGGTCACTGGTGGTGAAGTGTCTATTAAATGCTCTGGCCTAGTCCATGGACGCCTTGAGAGAGCTTCCAAACCTGTGCGAGGAAACTCAAGGGGGACGACCACCGAGACTGTGCGTGTCGAGGGGATAGAATGCACATTCCCAGTTGTCTTGGACTGCCTGGACGACGTCTCCGTGTCGAACGGCGACCCTGTCTATTTACTTGTCGTCATGCAAGGCGAGACGGGGAGCTGCTATGGGTTTCCGAAACCAGAATATCGCAATAAGCCGCAACTCGAATGGGAAGAATCATTGTCTGCTGAGGAGTTCGACAATACATACGAATACTGGCCGGAGTTGACGTTCTGCGGTATTGTATTGGCCAAACGTGATGAAGGTTTCTTTCGCCGGGTCGGGGCATTCAACTTCAGGCACCAGCCCGAAATAGAGGACTCAGCAGACTCGTGTGAACAAAATCTCTGTTTTTATCATGAATTTGTGCCGGTCCTGGACAGGATGGGCGCTTCCACAGCAGATTCTGTACACACCGAGGTCTCTTCGAATCCTCAGCATACGGAATCGCCGTATCTAATTACGATTGAATGAATATGCGCAGTTGGACAGCAGGTATTTTATTGTCATGACAAAATCTAGTAAAAATGCAAAGGCTTTCTTTCCCATAGAGATTGACCACTGCTCAGACATGTATGATATCTGAGTTGTTCTAAAACCAGCCACAAGCTTGAAGCCCTCCAAATAGAGAAACAATCTAGTTATATTGCCCATTAAATAGTCGTGCGAAGCCTAGTACACGAGGGCAATCTGTGAGGAGACAATCTGCCCTGCCTGCGGTAGAACCAGTACGACACGGAAACTGCGCCCTTCCCTGATCCAGTAGGTTGATGGTCAACCGTCCCGGTTCGGAGTGAGAGGTAAAATTTGACTGCAGAGAAGACAAAAAGGCAGGTGGCCACGAATATGGATCCAGTTCGAGACCATGGTTCTGGTGGGATAAGCTTATCTTTCCAAGTACCTCGGTAGCCACTCTTTCAATAGCGAAGACAGTTGTTTATGCAATACAAGTCACTGAGGTTTTCGAGGAGGTGGTTTGGTTATAACATTGCATTAACGATTGAAACATTAACAGTAGTCTATAAGATATGCCCGACTCCGACCAATTTCCCTCCACAAGGCGCCTTTCTGAATTCGACCAAGCACAAAAAGTTCAATGAGTGTGATTCCCTAAGAGGACTACTGGTACAGTAGGAAGAAAGTTATTGTGTGTCTGTGCGGGCTTTGGGAAAAGCCGCCCGAGACAAGTTTAAGAGCTGCAGAAAGACCAAGAGGATTCGACACCGTAGAAGTGGCTAGAGGACCAACCAGGGACAGAGACAGCAACTTTGGAGTCGTACTGCTGGGCGAAGAGCTTGCAGTAGGTACCCTGGGCAACACCGTCCTGGGTCAGCATGAAGGCGTTGAAGAAGTTGCACTTGTTGGGGTTGTATCCAAACAAGCTGAGGATGGTAGAGAGGAGGCCGGCCTTCTTGTTGATGGCGTTCTGAGCAGTGGCGTAGGTGGCGCAGACGTTGACATCGAAGACACCCTTGAACATCTTCTCACCGAGGCAGGTGCGAGGGTGATCGTGGATACCGGAGCACTTCTGGGGCTTGGTCCAGCCGGGAGGAGTAACAGGGGTGGTGTTGTTGGTCTTCTCGTAACCGTTGGAGCCGGTGATGACAACACTGAAGCCGCTGCGGGTCTCGCCAGTGTTGACAGCGGCGCCGGGCTGGACACCAGATCCCCAGAGAGTGCACTTGAAGTTGGTGATGGAAGGAACATCATTGCCGGTGCAAGAGCACTGGTCAGGGTTGAACTGGGGGTCACGCTCGACGTAGATGTTGAAAGCGGTGCAAAGGCTGGTGGAGTCACACTTGGCGGCACAAGTAGCGACATCATAGCTCTGGAGAGTATAGAGACCCATGTAGCTGTTGGCGTTGACGGCGGCATTCAAGTCAGTGAAAGTGGAAGCGTAACCAGAGGGAGCGGCGGCGCTCTTGGCGAGCTTGTGGTAGACATCATTGACCAAGAAGGCGTCAGAAGTATCGGGGGTGGTCTTGGGGCCGTATCCGTCAGGCTGAGCAGCGCAAGGATCCTCAGGGTTGATGAATCCACAGTAGGTGCCGACCTCGTAAGGAGTAGGGCAAGCAGTGTCAGAAGTGAAGGCGAATGTGTTGGTCCAGCTCACAGGAGTGCAGCTCGAAGGGGCGACGTTGTAGCTGGTAGCAAGCGAAGTGGTAGCAGGAGCAGTGGTGACCACGGCAGTAGCAGTAGTAGTAGCATAAGCAGTGGTTGAGACAGCCTTGGCTGTGCTGGTGGAAGACTTGCTGCTGCTAGAGCTGCTGTAGCTCGAGCCACACCAGCCGAAGCCGAAGAAGCAGAAAGTGCGCTTGTCGAGGTTGGCAGAGTCGATGCTGCGCTTCTCAGCAGTAACAGCGCTAGCGGTGGCTACACCAGTAACGGCAGCGACAGCGCTGGCTGAGGCGGATGCGGCATTGTAAATACCGGTCTCTTGAACGGCGGCAGGGTCAGGGCCAGTGACCGAAGGGGCGGGAGCGGCGTTGACAATGTCAAAGTTGAGCAGAGCCGGGGCAGGAGAGGCAGCGACGAGGCTGGCAGCTCCGAGAAGAAGGAGTGAGCGAACCATTTTGAAGTTGGTTGGTTGCAAAAGCGTTTAGAGAGTGTATCACTAAAGAATGAGTGAACGAATGAATGAATGAATGGGTTTCAGTGAATGTGAGTCAAGAGACTGTTGTTTGTTGTGTGATGAGGAATGGAAGCAACTTGAAGGGAGAAATCATTATTCTATATATACATGATCGAGCTGGCATGTCGGCGGAGCCTCCGGCTGAGGAAGTTTTGAGCATCGTTGTCGCCGAATCAGGAAATGACCCAGTGTCGTGGTCAGGTCGTAGTTAGCCTGCCCGTTGGGATGGCCTCGAACGGTGGAGACGGGAGAGCATCACCGGTTACCACCGCGTGAATGCTTACCTGATGCCTTGGGCTGAGTCTGTGTGTTCGTATATTCAGTTCACAGCCATAGAGTAGTGGCTCGTAGGGAACAGCCGGGTCTACATAGTACAAGTGCTTGTGTATGGCGTCGCGCTAACCAAAGTCAGATCAATTTAGACTTATTCGACGATTCCGGATCGCCAGAGCGCACCGACGGCGCATAGACCGGCGGCTGACTAGCTCAGGTACGTAGGTAGTCCAAGCAGACTGCCGGGCGCATTTCAAGATCGGATGGAAGCCGGATGACACCGCCAAACCACCAGGATTGAGGAAACCGCAATTCACACCAACCCGAAGTGGTGTCTCCACGGCAGATACGAAAGAGGTCACCACAAGCGCAGGGGCACTGCATTAGGCTCAACGCATGGAGCTGCACGTTGAAAGTGTCTTCGTGGGCGTTGATGAGAGCTCTACGGATCCGGCAGAGGAAACGCCGAATCAAACATCGCGGCATAGCTGCTGGTCTGATAAGTACAGCTCACACTATCTGTCAGGGATGATGAGCGATGGGAGACATCAGACGCCAAGCAAGTAGATATAACCGGAGTGTCCTGTGGGAGAGACATTGCCACGAGCAAAAACGCAGCAAAAACGTGGGAGGCTGCCGAAGAGGCCGGTTAGCGTCGTGAGCGTAAAGGCATGTGGATAGCGTGTTTGTCGGGAAATTAAACATGGCCCATTTATCCGCGCGCCAGCGGCAGCCCACCAAAATAGCTTCCGCAGCTGAGATCGGGAGAACATCACCGCAAGCCTCTTGAGATCGTTGCAGGTGCTTAAGGTTAGACCGGACGAAAACGTGTGCCAAGGAAGGCGTCCATGGCCATATGATGAAGATTTGATTTTCAGAGACAACGGCTTCAGATACCCCGACCCAGAACACCGGGTTCGAAATCAAACTTTATGTGCCCAATTGCACAGCCGTAGTTTTTACCCATCTTTGGACATGATGAGGACCATCGTTTCCCATCCAGGTGGGAACCACGATAACCTGAGAATTATTTGTCACCACTGGGGAACCTATCTGCACTCTTGGGGCGATGAATTTGAAGCCTTGGCACTATGAGATCCAAGTGGTGCGCCTTGCGGCTAGGCGCAGGCTTTTTCAACACGTTGAACTAGTCCTGAGACATTGACACTAAGCCCGTCAGACGAGTAGCTCAAATGAGACATCTTTGCAGTTCTATCGAGTCACGTTGAGTCAGTGCTCGTGCTAATGGGTCACAACGCGGCGTGGTCGTTTGCTGACAATGGACGGCATTCACGAGACAGCCGACTCCTTGGATGGCCTCGCCATAGCAATTCTTTAGGCGCGACGAGTATCAGTAATCTCGTCGTCTAAGCGCACGAAGAGAGCGCACGAGGAGCACACGTGGAGCTTACCCGACAATTAAGATTTGATATCGGCCATGCTACATAGTAAGCGAAAAGTCCGACTACAGGTTTTGAGCATCGTCTAAATCATCTCTTTTTATGGAAGTAATTAGCCGCGAGAAGGATGCCGACCACCACGTACCCCACTCTCCGCACTTCCTATAGTTTTCTGATCCGCACACTCAAAAGAAAAAATTGTCATGGTCAAGTTTGTTGTCTCAGTCGGAGGTTCGGCCGCACACGAAAACCTCCCTAAAGTGCTCTGCCAACGGAAGGATTTCCCCCGCCTACCAGATTCCTCTCTTTTGTCTCGTCCCTCATCACCAACGACTAGCAAGAAGTCTTCAATAGCCAAATTATAGTCGAAGGACGCCAAAGTTGACTCGCCACAAGTCACTTCTTGATCGACGACAGAGTTGTAAAACAAAAGCCCCATACCTGGGGAGTGTGCAAGTGTCATTAGAAAACTCTCCCTGTGAACCATTCCATTAGGGTGTGTTCAATGGATCACGGATCTGCAGAAAGTAAACAACTGTATCAATCCACTTTCTATGGCTGATTCCATCTACTTTTTGACAGGCTCGGGATATGAGACCTCGAGACCTTAGCATATCCGCATTATCTGGCCTGCTATGCAACAAGCATGGTACCGGTACCGAAAATAGATTTGACTACATACAACAGGCCATTTCGTATGGCTAATGCAGTGGTTGACGGACATGAAGACATCAGCACCGTATCATCTCAGTACGAGCACACCTCGCTGATTGTCAGCGGCGAGGGTCCGGGTAGCAGGAATCATCCCATCATGATCAAATATATTGACATCGGGACGTTATCTCAGGTACCTTCGCAGCACTTCTAGTTTGCCCAAGCGCATGACACGACCTGAGCCGAAGTAGTCCTCCAGCCAGTATTCAATCACCTCGCAAATTTTTTGGATAGTCAATTTACTCGTCATCCATACGAGCTACATGCTTCAAAAGAAAGGCGAGTTTTGCCAAAGCTCTCTGGGTCGCAACAGCCGTCCTAGTGCTCGAGTCATGTTCGTCCCCAGGAACATCGTGACGGGAAATGTAGGTTGGCATAAGCACCATTCTGAAGGACGATCTGCACATGATCGGTGGTGCCGTAAGCATAGTAGTGTGTCCAAGGCCCGATAATCTTCGTACCCAGGCGGTCCATAGCACTAACGGACAACCTGTACGTATTTAGTAGCCTCTGGTGCTAAATCACTGACTGACAAGATTTGAATCTCGGAATGCTACGCTTCCACACAGAATGTTGCGATTCTATTGAGAAGTTCCGTTGACACTCTAGTCGATAGCGACGTGGTGACAAGTTTGGCACGGCTTGAACGGGGTTTAGAATATATCCAAAGGTACAAGGAATTCTCCGGTGGTGTGGCTTTATGAAGACTGCAGTTAAATCTCACTATGCCGGAGTCGTTATCGCTTCATGCTTGAGTACCCGTATGTCAAATTTATGATTTGCCTCAAGGTAGGCCATTTGCACCATCGTTGGCGTAATTCGTACCCATCATGACTGGCAAGTTCAAAGCCAGGGTGGGATCCTGTAAGTGGTGACCGAGATTAATACGTTACCAAAAAGGCCATAGAGGGATTTGCTTACTATGAAGTCAGTATCAAAGCCTAATAAGCCCCAAGAATCAGCCCAGCCATTGTTCGTGTCTTCGGTCCAAGGAGTGCCGACGCCACTCGTCGTTTCTCGGTCTAACGTCTGAATCATGAGCTCCATGCACACTCTTATGCTTTCGATCATTGCGTCCATGATTTTGGGTCTGGGATCCTCAACACCTGACTCGACAGCGTCGATGTGGGCCAAGATTGCCGACAGCTTGATGTAGCGTTTGCAGCTTGGTCGGCCCAGGGCAATGATGTGGCGCAACTGCCCATGGATATGTCTAAGGGTGTCAACGAGTGGTCGTCTAGCCGCCCGAGAGAGCTGGATAAGAGGGTCAGATTTATTGAGTGGATTTTCAGGTGAGTCGCACTCTTCTTCCAATTGAGTTGAGATTTCCAAGCTTAAGGATATAATGATGTCCTGGCCCAGAGGACCTTTGAAGAGCCCACTTCCTCTCATTGCTAAGAGCAAGAATTCGTCCGTGACAGGTGAAGGTAATTGAAGGCTATACACGTGTGATGAAATGATCTGGCAGCATTCCAGGCATGTTTTTCGTGCAAATAAATACCGTGGATCTCTGTGCGCTTGGAGTAGATAGAGTCGAGATATTAACAGTAAGAACCGTCGAATGTAGGAATCCACAAATTTGCGATGGAAGTTCGATGCTCTCGAGTCCGACGAGAAAACGCTCTGGAAGCTTCGCGATACATCGCGACAATGTTGGCTAAGCTCATTCCCAAGTTTGACCGTGTCGTCATAAGAAATTGGGGGATGTATGTTGTTGAGCTTCCGCACGACAAGCAATCGACATTGCAGGGACTTCTGCAGGACCAACGAAACAGACATATCGGTGAACTCGGTCTCAGTCCTCAACTCCGGCAATGTGTCCATTTTGGGTGCTATGTCAGTGTCGTTGATGTTAGACGCCATGCTACTCGTAAAGTCGTCCATCGAGATCAACAGAGGTAAGCTCGAGTCAAGTGATGACATCACCATAATCTCAAGTACAGTTGCCCAGAGTCGTCGTCGCATCTCACGTTGGAATGGGCCTAAAGATGGGAAGGTAGCTGGATCCACGTGCAGTCCGATGGAGAAAGCCAACTTCAGCAACGAATCGGTACTGATGGGAGTGGAACCTCCCAACGAGTTGGAATGTCGCGCGAGGACCATAAGGCAGAAGACCTGCACGCCGTCCATACACATTGCCGCTTTTTCAGTAGGCCCAGTCAACCACCATTGGACAGCCTGGACCCAGGCATGAGCCGGGGTTCGAACACTATCCGATTCCGCTCGATCTGGATGGAAGATGGACCCAATAGTAAGAATCATTAGCAGCTTGAGTAAGAAAGGTTTGGTGCCCAGTTGTTGGTTCTCCCAGAATTGTTGGTAATCTGTTCTGAAAGAAGGAACATGTAAGATCCGGAACATAGGTTCGAATAATCTCAAGTAGTTTTCAACAAGTTGGTCGCATAAGTCTTTCGTCGGGAGCGTATTAAGCAGATCCGGAACAGGATCGACCACATTAGCCGATCGTTTATTCTTGATCTTGATTCGAGTCTTGGATGCATCTTTCACGAGAGTTATGATTTCACCCTGCAACGATGTGGCATACGCAGAGTGCGTTTGAATACTCGCCAGCAATTGGGCCTTTTTGATACCTTCAGTTTGAAATTTCGAAGCAAACTGGGAGATAAGACTTACCTGATCGAAGGCATGCATCCAATGACTTTGACCAAACATCCTCGTCTTGTCGGTCTCTGTACGTAAATGCGGATGAGGTGTCGGATGGGGGCTCGAAGTGGTGGAAGGCCAAGCCTTCCCGGTTGCAAGGCTCAACGAGTGAACCACTGGATCTTGCTCTACACTAGCCGTTACATGGTCTGGTTGTGGTCTCGCACCTCTAGCACCTATTACTTGCGCTGTAGGAGATGTAGAAGTCCTGCTGACGCTAGCATCGTATGTGCATTTCAGGGCCTGTCTAGATGCCTTGCAAGGCCTACACGGAAGCTCTCTATCACACCTGAGTTTCCTTTTCCTACATTGCTCGCAGCTTTCTGAGATGGCTGTAAATGATAGTGCTCAAGCTGGCGACGACATCGGACTGCACTCACTAACGACCCGCCGCCGTCTGCGGACATTGTTCAAAACTTCGGCTTCGGCCATTGCGAGGATCTCGGTGTTCGAAGGGTGTCACAGGAAAAAGAAACAAAGACCGTCGCGTGCTTGGAAGCCTTCAAAACAACCCATATCCATCGAACTCGGGGATTGTGAAACTCGGGTCCGGACTTCAGACGTATTCACCGAGGCCGAGCTTTCAGGATGCTGCGATTGAGGCTTCCGAACTTTCTCAGCGCCAAAAGATGACCAAATGACCTGAGGACACTTGTCGGAAAGCACTAAGGTGAGCAGCCATGCCTGCGTAAATTCCGACACCTGTTACCTAGTAACCTAGTGGAACATCGAGTTAATGGTTCGATGTGATTGACACGCTTGAATAACGTTACCCGAGTCTTCCTTCCTTCCGCCGTAGCAATAGCATTAACTAGGTTAGACTAGTAGCGCAACAAATAATTGGCAACACCTGGAAATTACGCAGAATTCTTGTTCCCTCAGCGGGGCTGTAAATTACTGGCAGTACTGCCTGAAATGATTGGCGCAACATAAACTAGGTTAAGATTGATGACTTCTGTCGTTAACCCGATCGTATCAAACAACAATAAAAACAACAACTCATGCTTGTCCACATCTTGGGAGCTTGTTTTTCGGACCATGTATTGTGGCAAGGATATCTCGAATGGGGTTTTCAGACTCGCCCTAATTCAATCGAGTCAAATATGCCCGTGCCATCTTACATCTGTCCAAAAAAAAAAAAAAAAAGCACTAACATCAACTCCGTAGTCCCCGAGCGCCATTTCCTGCAGCGACTTTCCGGCCGGCTCGTCATCGTATCCATGTGTCGCTGGACTTGTGCTTGTTCGTTCACAGCCAAGCTGTCTGATCTGCCAGAACACCCTCCACCTGGGCGGAGGATGTTACCGTCGCATGAGAGACTCGGCCTTGAGTATGCAGAGTTCTGACCTCCGACTGTTGGCCCCGAGGCTGAGATGATGCCATCCCCGACATCTGTTGTTGTCCGCGCATCGATAGTTGCCATGTATGTTGCTGTTGTCGTAGTAGTAACTGACGATTCTGCCGCTTGATCCGCGCTTCCATCTGCGAGATGCCCGTTTGCTGTGAGATGAAACCCATCGTTTCCATGTCCCCCTGCCGAGACAGCGAGGCGTCCATCAGATCGCACCAAATAAGGATTGCCGCTGTTGACTGGGGACGTTGTCATGAAGTTGGAAATTTAGTGGGGTCGTTGTGCATTGTGGCGATGAATACTTTCAATTGTTCCATGGACGACCTCTGTTCGCTGTATTGGTCAATGGTACAAAATCAGCATTTAGTGTGCATGGCAAGCGGTAAGTTGTGGAGGCTTTACTTGCCATAGAGACGACGGATGCCGTTGACCAATATGACATCTGTGAGGAAGTGACGTGCCATAAGCAACTTGGTGAATTTGGCTAGCACGGAAATCTCATCATTCCACCTGTGGCGAACACTCCAGTCGACGACGTGCCCGACGATATCGTACCAAGTGCTCATACGATGTTGGTCAACTGTTAGAGTCGCGGTTAGCCCAAGATCCTCGGCGGGTCGTGATCTGATATTATCTGAGAATTTGTGAAGTCACTATATCCCACCCGATTTCAAAAAGATTTATGATCACATAATCACGGGTTGTACTCACGAAATCCATCTCCGCTATGAGTCAGGACAGCCTTGGTAATTATGCGACCTAAAATCAAATGCATGTCCTTCATGGTGTATGGATCCTTTGTGGCAATGCCTTTCAATGACTGGAGGATCCCAGGCAAGGTAAGCACCTGCTCATCCAACATCGTGTAGCGCCAGACTCCATCCCATGGTATAACGGCTTGGACCGGCATTCCACCATACCTCACAGGAGCTGAGCTCTGTGTATTGGGCAGCATCTCGTGGGCCGCCAGTACCTGAGGCTGGGAACGCGTTCTACCCATCCTTTTCAGTATTGAAGCACGCTGAGTATTCATTGCTGGTTCGACCGGTGTGGCTGCAGACGGACCACGGTGCACATGAGTTGCTCCCCTATGAGGAGCCGACTGTGCTGGAAGGAAACCCTCTTCCGGAGGTCCTTGTAGTCCTGCAGAAGATTCGGCCGATTGCAGTGGGACATTGGCGGACACTTGCACCGGAAACATATATGCTGCTCGTTGAGAAGACCGCACCGATCTCCGACGGGTGCCTTGCGGCGCCCCGATATTGAATAAAGCTGACATGTTTGGTGCCATAGGTACAGGTGTGGTCTAGTTTCCACGTAGTTCAGATGTGGTGGGACGATTTGGCGACGATTTTATCACTTATGCCTACCACTAACCCGTGTACGCGCTGCGAGTTCATCAAAAAGCTTCTACAGAAGCTTGCAAGTCTGTGAGAATTGTTGGCTCGTGGGCTTGGAGGTGGGCACATTCTTAGTTGCAGCTCAAAGGGGTCGAATTTGCTCATTTGAGAGTCACTGACATGAAGCTAGTGTGGCTGCAGAAACTAAATGCTCAGGCGGTCGGATACGGTCTGCTACGAGCCGGTTGAGTACTGCCGCTGACGCGAGGTTAGTAACTACGAACCCCCTCCAAGTCTCCAGAACATTTTGGAGTATCACGCACATCTACGCTGCCGCCGGCCTGTTCGACCCCCGTTCTTGCGCCTCTTTGGCTTTTGTTATGGCAAATCTCATCGGTAGACTGATCACGTTTGACGCGTGACGCGAGAACGCGACTCCTCTTCGCAACTAAATGTTTGTTACACGCAATTCCCCGATTTTGGTTGGCCAGAAGTTGTGCAAACTCTAACCAGCGAATTCGCCTGTGCTAGGAAGGCACTGCGAATAGTGTCAAGTAGTGTGAAGACTAGTCGCCTTAAATCCGAACCGACGAATGAACTCTCGTGGGAATTCCCCAGACTCTGTTGCTGCAAAGTCGCACGCACCCTGTATTAGCATAAGCAATTTCTACCTGGGGGTACATCAGTAAGGAATGCAAGCTCTTGATACAGAGTTCCAGGCATAAGGGCGGGCTGCTTGAGAAATTGTACCTCGTCAAAGAAACTAACAGCTAGCATCCTGCTATCCCAACAAACCAACAATCTCGAAACTCTCATTCCATAGCCTCCCGGCATTACCCGTATCGTAAGCCCAACTCCCATACCCAGACTCCATGCCAGGCGCCTTACCCTCAGCTGGTTTCGCCAAAGAGCAAGTTTCCAGATACTTGCCTCTCACCCCTTCGTTCATTACTTCCTTGCTCACAGCCGCCCAAACCGTCGTTGCGGCTCCCTGCGCTGCACTCATCATCTGTTTCTTAAGTACGGGGTCCTCCCATTTCTCCTTTAACAGTTCCTCAACATGACGCGTAATCCCACTTCCCTCGCTCGGCGACACGACGCCCGGATCTAGGCTATAGGCGTGCATACCTAAGGAACCATAGCGTCGATCGATCTCGGACGCCATGTAGATCTGCGCAAGTTTGCTACGAGGATACCCGTCGAACGGGCTTTTCTTGACTTTGACGTGCAGGTCATCAAAGTCGATTTGCTCAACCTGGTGTGCTTTGCTGGAGACGATTAACACACGCGATGGGTAATCTGGTGTGCCACTCGAGATCAGGGCATCCTTGAGGAGGTGGAACAGGAGGAACGGGCCCCAGTAATGGACTGCCATATGAGATTCTAGTCCTTCGATGTGGAATTCTGGCGAAGCTAGGATGCCAGCATTGTTGATCAAAACGTTAAGTCGGCCATTAGAGATCCGTAGCAGCTCCAAGGCTGCGGAGCGAACGCTGGATAGTCGCGAAACGTCAATTTTGAGAAGGTGGACCCTGTCCGAGATGATGTCGGTGTGTACTCGCTTGGCTTTGTCAAGGTCGCGAACACCGAGGAAGAGGGTGGTACCTGTTGCAGCAAGAGCGCGAGCTGTCTCGATGCCGATACCAGATGAACTGCCGGTGAGCAGCATGACTTTCTCGGTGTGAGGACCATAGGCTTTGCTGTCTTCGACGATTTGCATCGCTGTAGGCCGGCCATCCCCGGGTCCTTTCACGTTCTCCACCCTGTAGGACTCGTAGTAGTGCGACATGTTTGGTCACTCCAGCGCACTCCTTGTACTTCAGTGATGTAAATGTTGTGAACGACTCATCCTCAACATAAGCCTTGGCGAAAGGGCTTGAAAGTAATGTATGTTGATTACAGTGTTGCTGACGCCAGCAAATTTTTTTTTTTTGGTACCGAGCTTTGAATGGTTGGCCAATATGCATTAGGCGCACTTGACATCACTTCGCCAGCCTCATTCCCGGTCCTTGAAAATCGGTTGAAAGCTCTCTTGTAGGACAAATGGCTTTCGCTGCTCCAACTCCATGATCAGTTGGCCGAACAGACCATTAGCCCATGTAAACCTACGGAAGCATTAGTTCATTATTTGCATCATGCTGATGTTATTGTCGCTTACCATTGCCTGGTCCATCTTTTGACGCTATAGGCGTCGACACTTTCGTGAATGAGCCCTAGACCATCCGTGCTCTGCAGGACTTGCCGCAGAGCAGTGATAATCTCCTTGTCATCATCGCTTGTCATGGCACTCATTATTACTGACATTGGCCATGTCGCGCCAGGTCGTATGTGTGGACTACCAATTCCCTTGATGATAGGTCCGGAACAATACCACGGATTAGCTCTACTCAGCAAAAAGTTCCGCGTGTTTTGGTAGATCTCGTCCGTATTGTTCAAAAAGCCCAGGAATGGTGCAGAGAGCAGCGAGGGGATATTGGCGTCATCCATAAGGCTGCGACCGCCGAAGCCGTCGACTTCGTAAGCAAATATTTTCTTTCCACTTGGAGCGGTGACGATGCCCCATTCATTAATGGCGTGACGGACCTGTGCAGCTATGTCTCTCATCTCCTTTGCCAGTCCCGGTGGTGCGTTGGGCAATTTGTCCATAATCTCAGCATTCGTCTCGAGGTATCTTGCCATCATCATGTTGGCCGGAATGTTCAGATCAAAGGTTGCGGAGTCATCGCTAGGCCTGAAAGGTGACCGCATCAGACCTGTGTCGTTGACAGGATTGCCCATCCCGTTGTTACCCAGTGTACCAAATGCCGACATGGTCTGCGATTGAAAGGTGTATGCTGGTGGAACCCATTTGCCATCTTTATCGTAAGTAGGCTGCTGCATGGCTTTCGATGCCTTTAGGATGGACTGTATGGCATAGATCCATTGGAATTTACCGAAGAATGTGACATCACCGGTGGCGGTGTAGTAATCGTGCGAAAGCTGCAGAAAGCCACCAAAGTCATCTAACTCGAAGTTGCAGGTGTAGCTGCCAGTCGGTAAGCAGGCAAATTTTACATTGGGAGTAGAGCAAACTTACACAAAATCCCGATCATACGTGGGCGTGACAGAGTAAATGCCTCCACTAGGCCCAGGGTTCATTCCCGATTCCTTTGGTGGAAGGAAAGCATTGCAATAGGGGCTGATAACCAGATATCGTGCCTGAAGATTGATGACGCCTCGAAATACAGCAGCAACATCATCGGTAGGTCTCTGGAGAACATACTTGTACGGGGCGATCTGGTTGGCACTGTCACGAATCCACATGGCATTGATATCGCCAGTAATTACGAAGCAGAGCTCCTCTTCGGTGTTGTTGGCCGCTACACCCATCCACTTGATCGCTGTGTCCAGTGTGTTCGGCCATGTGTTCTCGAAGAGTCGAAACAGGTCCGGGTCCCATATCTGGTCCTTCAGTCGCAGGATCTCATCTTCAACTAGGCTGGAATTGAAAGTGCGACATGCTGGCACAGGTCTCATAGAGCTGAGCTGATTGGCACCCTCTGAGAACGGTTCGTGTTTTGTCCGGGAGTAGTCAGCATAGTTGGGACAAGATGCAGTGCTGGCAAACTTGACAAACAGTGCTGCCGCTACAAGGAAGGATTGGATCCACATTGCGATATCCCTCGGCTGAGCTAGATCGAACGGCAACACTAGTCGTCGCGAAGGTTGCAGGATGCGATGAAGCAAACTGCTTACTGCTTAGCTAAGAGGCTCGTGGTCGTCTGATTCGAGTTTTCCCCGGAAATCGTGGCCTCAAGGGAGCTACACACATTCTCAGACTTTGTCGGAGACCATGGGCCGCTTCTTGGCAGGTTGCATCGCGAGGCCACTTGGTCCTAGTTCCGTCCTGTCCCTGCGGATGCACGGCTGAATCAACAAGCATAAATCTCGCTTGGCGATTTAGTTGACTAAGGTTAGTCTAGACTAGGACCACTTAACTCATTAGCACCCGCAAATTGATGATGGAAATGTGTTGGTCGCGACTGTTCGCGTACGAACGTGATAATCCGAGAAATCGGTGGAGACGGTCAATTGCCATGGCAGCATCGTCCCACTAGCACATCAATAACATTTCAGGAACGACGATGGAATGCACCCGGGCACAACCGATGGTGGGCAACGTACACAGGAAGGTTGTCTTCTTGGGCGATCAGGTTCACGCTGTTACACAATTCACAACGCGTGAGGCCCGTGATTCGGGCTTCATAGAATGCGCAACCGGGGAATGACAATGTCCGAGATCGCGACATCGAATGTTCGGGACGTTGTTTAGGTCTTGAGCCTGTCTTACAGTATATAGGTAATGGACGGAAGTTGTTGTAACACATTTTGAGCACATAACAGCACTATCACCCAGGACTTGTTTGGCGGTGATCGATAGACCAAACAGGTGTCTTAATACAGCAGTGAAATGTTGGAGGCACGTACATCATGTGTGTGGAAGTGGACAGTTGTTACTGGCCTAGCTGTTGCGGAGCTGGCAGTGAAGTGTACCAAGTATATGAAATGCAGTCGAGGCGCGTCTTGAATTGAAATTTTGTGCTTCGCGACTCGGCGACAACGGATATAGTCGCGAACAGGGCAGAGAGGCAAGGGGACGGGGGACGCGAGAAAGTGGGGGATGCAGCCGCTAAAGATGGCTTTGCCGTAGCGCACGTCATAGGCGGGCTTATCGAGCTTTTTTTTTTTTGGCCTGTCCAGCTCCCAGGCCTGCCAGGTGCGTCTTATCGAAGCTCTAGCGCATGTTCTTGAGCGATTTTGAGTGATCAGGTCTCCGCCAAAAATGCGCCGGATCTTCGGATGCGCCTTAGAATGGAGTCCGGTTGAACACTTTGAGCAGCCTCTTTGCTCTTTGCCCTCTGCTCTGTGCATCTGCGTCTGCGTCTGCGTCTGCATTCGCATCCTACAACTTCTCTTGTTGGTGTGGGGAAGTCGCAAACTTTGTCCGCCTTCTAATTGTTGGAGTCTTGTTCCCGACTGCTTCGAGCCGCCAATTTTGAAGATAGTTCTGCACTTCAATGTTGTAGATCATCCTTCTTTGCGCTCAAACTCCTACCGTACATAACAAACCCAGAGCCTGTCCAGGTCTCCTCCCGGGCCATTTTGTCGGATCGAAACGAGTCCCTGCTGTCACAAAAGTCCAATTCCAAGTCCGCTCGTCCCATTCTCTGAGGCTTCGTCCTCGTTCTCGTCCTCTTCTACGATGAATCAAATCTTCGATGCCAGCGAGATCCTCTCGCGCTCCGTCGATGGCAACAACCCCGACAATGCCACCGATTACATCCTCAACAATATCCATTTCAACCTTACCACTTTGAACTACTGGAACTATACAATCTTCGGCAATGGCACAATCTCCAACGGCTCATGGTGTTTCCTCACCTTTGAGCCATATGCACCGAAACTCTTATACCCCAACGGCACTTTCATCAACAGTACTTGGTGTTACACTCCCATAAAGCAGATCGGTACTCGCGGCAAGCTTGGTATCACTTTCGCCGTCCTCTACGCCTTGACTCTGGTCTTCACCCTGCTCAATCTGACCAGGCATGGCAAACTCTATCTCCCGGTCACCAAGAGATTCGCTCCCATCGGCAGAAGATGGCAATGGTACTGGGCTATCTTTACTGCTGTTGCAGCCCTCATTGGCTTGTTCACCGGCGTCGATGTCGACCGATACTACCTCTCCTCGATACCCATCGTCCTGACTAGCTTCTTCTGGTATCTACAACAGATGGGGACCATGGCCTTGGTTTGGGAGGCCATTCGTCACTGGGGAAGTTGGATGGAACGTCAATTCATCGACCCCAACCCCTTTGTGCTACAACAAGACGACAAACGAGGCAGGTTCGAGCTGTTAATCCCCCTCTTCTTCTACTTCTGGGTCTGGCTGGTAAGTCCCCATGTCGCTACATGCTGCAAACAACTGACTTACCACCAAATTGCAGAACTTCTTCTTAATTATTCCTCGCAGCTGGGGCAATATTGAGCTACAACGCTCCGATGAGCAGACCGCCATGTTTGCTGAGCCTACTGCTACTGATGGACGATTCAAAGCAGCTACGTTCTGCTTGTTCATCGCCTGGTGCACGATCATGGTTTCACTGTGGCACTCTATCCGCCATTATGAAGAACGCAGACGCGGCTTCCTCAACCGTGCTATTGGTGGTTTCGGGTTCATGCCCTTCCGATTCGTCCTTCTGTTGCCACTCAGCTTGGCCATGGTGGCATACCAAGGTCTCGTCGCATGGGATTTCAATGTCTCTCCTCTGAAGCAGGAGACCAACTACGTCGCCATGTATGTTGGTGGTTATGTGCCAGGGCTCCTGATCATCATTATTCAGAATGCCGCCGGCTTCCTGAGGAAGAACGAGGATAAGGAACTCATTAGGCAGCGTCGTGAGCGTGGCGCTGCTCTCGATGCCGACATGGGTCTCGTTCGCAAGCCGGCGTGGTGGAGACGTGTAAATGGCGACCAAGGTGCTGGTGGCATGAGGGAAATGATATTGCGCAATGTCCGTGAAGTCGGCGGCGGAAGAGCTACACATCAAAATGTCGAGGCTGCCGCCGCAACAAGGGCTCGCGAAGCTGAGGCCCAACAAAACGCTCCAATCGAAATGGGTCAAATGAGACGTGCCAACAGCGTCGCCAGCAGCACCCGGACGGGAGCGAGTGCCCCACCTCCGTACACTCCCTACAGCGGTAAGTCAGAACAGCGTAGAGCGGACAACGTGACGCGATATGCCGCTGGACTATTGTTCCCCAACGCAGCGCCACCACCTCCAGCACAAGCAACCACAACTACAACCATAACGGCGGGTGATAGGGGCCGAAGTACTACTGTGCCATCCCGACGACCCGGTACTAGTGAAAGGAGCAACAGCACTCAAAGCGGTGTCTCGTTGAATGCTCAACCTCAACAAGTGAAGAGCATGTTGGATATTTAACCAACAGCCATGGATTGTGGTTTTCTTGTTACGTGTTACGATTGCATATGGCGCTTTGGCTATTTGGTGGGCTATCCATTCCTTATCAAAACCATGCTTCACGGATTAGGACACAGAGCCCAAGTAGGATAAACATCGATAGATATAGTGTTAATACTCGGATTCAATTTCGAGATGGCGAAGGCCTCTACTACATGAACGATAGTTTTATACAATGTACCTTCTTGAGAAAGAAAGAAAGAAAGAACAAAAGAAAGAAAGGTTGAGCGAAACCCACTAGCTTAGGCCCCTGCTCGCCTTCCACCGATGTACTATGACAGCACGACAACGACAACGACAACGACAACGACAACAATACTCCTTCTCTACGACACTACTCGAAGCCCTGATCGTAATCAGCAAACTATCTGCATAACAACTATGATCGCGGTAGCTATAGCTGATTATTTCTGAAGATATCAACACTAGCTCTACGAGTCTAGTACAACCTTTCTATACGATCGACTCCCATTCATTCAAGCAAGCTATCCTAATGCTTCTTCTCGGCCACCTCACTAGCCTCCGCGAGCTTCGCTGACCGCGCAGCATGTGCAGCATAGACATTTTCGTAATTTGCCGGTTTCTTCACCTCAGCATTGTCCCCCTCGAGCCAATAATGCCCTGCTGGGACCTTAATGTGTGCATCCTTGTATCCGTGTCCTCATACGCGAGTATTTGAGGCGCGTGGGTATATTACATCCCCTGGCATCCCAATCATTTTATGCTTCATATAGGGGGTCTCCCCTTTCCATCTGAACCTACGGGCGAAACGTGTCAACGACAAACCGTTCATTTGGAATGCTATCGTAGCACAGCATGAGGTCAACGACAGCCTACACGAATGAAACGCTCATACCTCGCTGGAGATATTTTGTAAGTTCTCGGTGCCGGTCGATGGAGTAAACGTCTTGCCAGTCACTTATCAACGGGTAGATGGACACACCGCTGCCGACTGACAATATGTAACCCTGTCTCACGATTTAGCCAGCGGCAGATATCATCGCCATAGGAATGCTTAACTTGAGTGGCGCCACTCCTGTCAGACCTAGTTAAAACGATTGAGCTCGATCGTGCAACTCCGAGGTTTATGCCGGTGAGACCCCTTTGAACGATCCAAACTAAACGCTCGCTGTTACGCATGTTAAGTATTCTAGTAGGACGCTGTGACGTGCATTGCGCGCCAGTTCAAGTACGTGCAGTGCAGTCAAGAGATGTAACAAGGAACATGTTAGTAAGGCGAAAGTTGTCCCGGCAGTACAGCACCGCATATGGTTGCCCCCCAGGACAGCCCCTTTAGGCCAATCAGCCACCAACAATCACCTACGCATCTCTTCACTTGTTATACTAGTGTTTATCGCTAGACTATTACAAGATAGGTCACAGCGTAAGATTATAGATCGATGGTAAGATTTGCATGCAGATATATAAGATGTAGGAGCAAAATCTCAAAAAGCTGCGTGCAATAATTGAGTGGTGCCAATAGACAGAAAATGTGCGGACAGCTCCGGCGCGCCGCCAATAGGGTGAGCAGGTGAGCCAGCGCTGCCTTAAAGCGCGCGACGATCGCGCAATCCCCGCTGAGGTGCGGTGAGCCAGGCAATTCTGCCTTGCAAACCTTCCTGATGAAATATTGATATGGCTACGACACACTAATTTCCGTTGCGTCTGTAATTTTCTGCTTGGGTTTGGTTCGCTATTCTGTGCATACACCCTAGACCACGAGAGGTGGCGGCAGTGGAGCGTGCATAAGAGTTTTAGTCCTCCCTCGGATCGAATGTCTACTAACCTAGTAAAGCTTTCGAGTGGCACACGACAGATTGATACAGAACTTTTCTCTTCACGCATTACGCACCTTCTGTACATCATAGCGGCTCCTGAACTCGTGAGTGCCGTGACGTGCTCTCAAACCTGATCTGTGAAAGTCGTGGCCAAGCACGTAGGCCAAGGTTGCTTCCCTACCCTACAAATACAGAACCGTAGTCGACACAGCTAGTCAAACATCCATACCTTTCCTCGAGGCAGTTCTGCACCTCATATACGTACGGTCACGAAAAGTCTCTATAGTTGGCCTTTCGTAGTGCTTATAAGCTTTGTTATTAAAGCGATTCGGTCCTTCGAGCCTAGCGTACACCACCGCATCGAGAAATACGTCGGCTTCATGGTCACAAAATCTCAATTCCTTTGGAAAATAGCTGAGGAGTGGAGATTCGCCATCCCTTAACGTCTATATTTGCTGAATTTCCAGCTCTTCGCAACTCGTAGTCTAGTCCTCATAACTAAAATAACTACATTAGAAACAAGAAAACAACAGCCAATAAGCACCGCTGCCCACCTAAATTCTGCTAACTTGACAATTTGCGCCGTAACCAGTAGCCCAAATAATACAACCAATCCATAGACGAACATGTTAATCCCAAGCCTTGCCCCAATATCCCGTAGTATAGATATGTTCGTAACTAGAATTGGAAATATATTAAGGGCAGGGTCACTACCAAAACGGAATAACACTGACTAAGCACTCATTACAGCGTTCTTTACTCCGGGTAGCTATAGACAAAAGACTAGAATAAAAGTTCTAGGAGATTATAACAATAGTAGTATTCTAATTGCCTAGTACATCTACAAAGTAGTTATTTACGCGACGATTATATAAGCTGCCGAAAATTATTAGACGGTTTTACAAGCGATATTACGAAGACTCCCCCGGTTCCATTTATAAATATTACGAGGTATATAATAAACAACGAAAGGCTCTAAGTGAAGTATATAATATGCTTTTTATATAACTCCTAATATTTAATCGCTTAGTCCGGGTAAGGCGAAATTTTGCTAATCCTATAAGCCCCGCCTTAACATGTTTAGTACCTAAACGTAAATTTAGCGGCGAAGCCCTTGTATATAGCATCCTCTATATACGCCTATAGTGGGCCTCCTTCCGAGGACTTTCCCGTTCTAATCTCAAGGTTTTTCTTTATAAGCTATGGAATTTGTTAAGGTAGAGACAATACAATATCTTTCGGCTATATAGTATTATTCTGCGATACGGCCATTGTTTTACATTATGTATCGTCTCTATCTTTTCTCTCTATCTAATTATATACTCTGGAATCCCTACCTCTTTATAGTTGTCGTTCGTGATTTCTGTATGGAGACAACTTATACGAATCATCCCAGCTAGCTTTACCGCGGGATCTTAGGACACAGAGATCAAAACCTTAAAGGCTATAAATCCTCCACTGCGCGTAGAGTATACGATAGATCGACCATTACACGCTGCGGTGACACTTCCACAAAGCCCGTCGGGGTTCATGACTTTCCCGAGACTTTCTAAGAGCTTTGCACATAATGTATAGGGAAAGGCTAGAGGGCTATAAAAAGATCTTGTTCTCTGGACAACAAGCTAAGCGCAATGGGATCGAGTACTTCTGGGTGGACACGTGCCGCATCGACAACACAAGTTCTGCCGACCTGAATGACCTACGTCGAATCTCTAGCAGTGTTTGTACAGCTTGCAAAGTATTTCCATCCTCGTTCTCCGGGGGTTCAACACCCATTGAATTGCCTTGGCTAGTCTCTTCGTCGTCGCTGGCGTCCTATTGTGTGGGTTTGCGGCACCTCGTCACCTTCGAAGGACCATTATCTCCTTTCTATCCACCACATTTGGAATGAGCCTGGGACAGGAGACGATAAAAGGGAGGTGCTCCTGGCCAACTGGCATTCTGATGATGGTAAATGTTACCAGATTAACGATGGCCCAATCTCTTTGGGGAGCCATAAGGCTTTCCCTACGGCTCCCATAGACCCTCAAGGTGCCGATTTATGGTGCCAGATTGACCTACAACTCCCTATGAACATTCGTGATTACTATACGCTTTACTGGGTTTGGGAATGGCCGACTATTCATAGTAGGACGGCCCCACAAGGCCGTATGGAGGATTACACGAGTTGTATGGATGTTCAAATCCTGTCGGGCATTTCAGGATGGGCTGGTCTCATTCGAGAAAGGTCAGGACTTAAACTTCGCTGGCATCGAGGAGCTAATGCTTGTGGGTGGGATGTCAGTTACGTAGCGTCATAGCCATAATTACTTTGGGGTTGGCTTCGAAGCAGGTCTTCTGGTCAATTTACCTTACGGCATCCTCTTCATCATTTGCATAGCCCTCTGGTGACTCCTCCACCTTGCTGAGGCACAACTAGCATTTCTCGATTGATGAGACGGCCAAACGTTCAGATTTTGCGACATGAACGGACTAAGAAGGAAACTTTCTTTACAGAGGGCAAAGTGAACAGTGTATCTCAAACTTTCGCACTTCGATCTGATGATGCTGGTACTACCATCAAAATGGCATGGAACGAATAATCCCAATCAATCTCAGTCTCGTTTCCAAGCCATGTAGTTGGTTTCGCACCAGCAAGAAGCCCTGTTCCAGCAGGATTCGCGGCCGGCTCCTCGTTAAACCACTTGACATGCTTGGAAATCTCATCACTAACATAACCGATGCAATTAAACCCGCTCAATTTATTCACACGATACTTTAGCGCTTTGAACCAAGGTTTAGATCCACGCAGCTTACTTATCTGGGCAGATTGATCCGAGAGCAGCGGCGATGAAGCGATGGAGTGTGACGATGACTCGGTTTATATAGACTGCTCTGCAAAAGCGATGGAGAACAATTTGCGTTGGAGGTCCCGAGATCAAGACCCCTGGAGCGTAAGTAGATATCACTTATTCACTTAGTAACATTGTCACACGACATAGTTGCTTTATCGGGAAGCATAATGATGTCGCCGAGTTCGATGAGTTCCTCCGGTGTAACATCGTCCACTTTTGCTCTTTGAAGTAACACCCGTGGATCGTCTATTATAAAATCTACCGGCTCTTCTTCAAAGTCGGAATCAGAAAGCACCTCACACAGTATGGACAGCCCAAAAAGTCCAGTATTTTCGAGATGTTGAGAATGGGCACTCTGGTAAAAGTCGTTACGTAACATATTCGTAATACTCACTACGCGAGTGATGAGACGAAGCTATTGGTCAAAGGCTGGCTTCGCGTTATGATTAGCAGCCAAGGCCGACCTAGCACAATCCTAGAAGTCCACAACAATACGACTAAGGAAGCTGCGTTGTTCGCGCTTATTCTGATAAAGTGGTCCAAGGTTGTCTAGTAGTTTATAAGACTCTCGTTACGTAGTGTTAATCAATAGTGATCCTAGCTGCTCTCTTAAGGGCGGCTACGCCGACTCGATCGTATAGGAGATTGTTCTATGGGTGCGTTCGGAAGGTCTAATCAAGTTCGTCATAATGAACCGCGCTACTATTTGCCCCGCGATTTTGGACGAGAAAGTAACCAAGATTAAGCGGCCGTTTCTTGCCCTGAACAAGTTCATAGACGGCGGCCTGCGCACTAGGTTCAAGCACCAAATCGGGTTTGGTTAGCACGCCGAAAGTATACTTACCATTCTCGTCGTACTCCTTAACAAGCTCTAAGATCTCTTATATGGCAATGTCGACGATACTCGGCAAAACTAATAAGATAACTATACGGTCTTATTTAATATAACCTTTAACTAAGTCCTTTATATTAATGTGACGATTATATTATCGGGTTGTACAACCACAAATAATATAATGTAAGGGGGTTTATGCTAACAAGATATGCTAGCCGCGAATAGAAGACTATAGAGATAGACCTTCGAATATACTAAGTAAAGAGATTTACAAGTGTAGTCGTCAAAGCGTGAGCTTTACTTATGGGTAAGATAGATGCTTAGATTGATTACTGAAGTAATGACTGTCTATGTAGAGTAGGAAACCTAATCCTTATTATATCCATTTATTCCTTCACTGATGTTGTTGGCTTACCTCTGGCTTATTGTTGGCTTACTGCCGAGTTGGTGATCTAGGAGTGATCCTTTGTTCGTGCTTACCTTTGGCTTACTGATCTAAAGGTGATCTTGTTACGTGACCCTTCCTTGTTGGGCCAGCCGTTAGGCGCCCTGCCGGCTGTACATATGTGGGGCCCTTGGCCTGCCTTCCGGCCAGGTTCGTAACATTAGGTTCTCCCTCTCTTTCGTCTTAGCCCTCTAAGACTTGGTTCCTTAAGTAGGTCGCCTTTTGCCTACTTGTCGTTTGGTGAGTCTTTCTCCCTTGTTTGTATGTTCGTGTGATGTCTGCTTATCATGTCTAGTCGTGTCTTAAAGTCGACACCTAATTTTACAAAATTGTCGAAAACTGAGTAACGCTATCGCCTCGCCGCACTTATTAAAGAGTTGGGTTACGACGTGATGCCTTGTTCCTTATGTTATAAAAGAGGTTGGAAATATCGTATAATGGAGGGGACGGATCGTTGTAAGGAGTGTGTCCGTCGTGGTCGTTCTTGCGATGGTTTTAGTGTTCCCGTGTCTTCCTTAACCCGGATTGTGGGCGAGTCTTAGCGTATCCGGCGCGAGGAACGCGAGACAGCTAAGCGACTTCGTCAGCTATATACGGAGACCACGGTTGCCTTAGCGAAGCTCGATCGTTTAAGGGTTTAGCGCGAGTCTTTGTTGTCGCGGGGTTTGGAGATGGTAAACCGCGGTCTTTAGTCCTTTAATGAACTGGATAAGGAGGAGCGTGATGAGTCGGAGGCCGTAATCGTTACGTAGGCTGGTGGTGCTTTCGGGGTTATTAATTAAAACTCCGTGGGATTCTTACCTTTTGAAGCCGTGGCTTCTTTTAGTAATCTCGTAGGATTTCTAGAGACTTCGTAAAATGCTTCGTAAGTTCTTAGGTGTTTTCCGAATATAGGTAATCCTTCCATTTGACTTTATATTTATATTTTCGATTAATCTTTTAATGTCTTAAGATTTTCTTAATTTCGTAATCTTGTTAACTAAGCTGTTCCGCTTTTAAGTTATCTTCTAGTTTTACATTTACTAGTACTAGTTCGAGTAAGGCTATATATACGGTTAGAAATATCCGTATAGTTTTTAGTAGCGATAGTCGATAATTAACTAGTGAAATAACTTCGTTAATTTTAAATGGTCTGATTTTCTTAAAATCGAGTTTGTCGCTTAGTCGCTTTATTTTAATATTTTTACGTAAGAGGTAAACCTTATCTCCCCTCTTTAAGGTTAGTCCCTTAACCTTATTCTTATCGTAATATGTTTTTATACGTTATTATATAAACATTAATTCTTATTATAATAATTCTTATAAGTTTCGTAGCTTATCGACGTATTCGATAACTTTCGGAGCTTTTTCTCTATTTAACGGTTCTTTAGTAATGTCTAGTTAATAGCTATAGTTTGCGTAGAATGGTAACATTTTAATGGGTTTACTAACCGTATTATTATATATAAACTATGTTATAAGTAATAACGATACTTAATTATCTTATTCGTAATTAATATAGTACCGTAAATATTATTCGAGCGTTTAATTAGCTCGTTCCGTTTATTTATCCGTTTATAAATGATAAGCTATAAATAGCTTATACTTAACGCCTAACTACGTTATAAGTGATTTCCAGAATTTTAACGTGAAGAGCTTGTTTTTATCGGAGATGAATTCATCTAATAGCCCGTACTAGCTAATCATTACTCGTAAGATTATATATACGAGTTCTTTTATATTACTAGCTTCTTTATACGGAATGAAGTAAGCGTACTTCGTGAGTCGTTTTATAATGACTAAGATATTATCGTATTTTGTACTTATTATAAGTTCTTTAAATAGTGGTAACTTAATAATGAAGTCCATGGTTATTAATTTCTATACTCGGTTAAGTAGTATTATTAGTTATAGTTCCCCGTAAGGCTTATATCGTAAAGCCTTAACTTTATTATAAAGGTTATAATTCTTAATATACTTTTATATATATTATCTTAAGTTAGTATAATCGAATTTTTGTTAAATTCGTTTAAGTGTCTTAAATACACTTATATATCCTTGAAATAATAGTTCGTAATAGTCTTTAATAAGATCGTCTCGGAACTTCTCCGGAATTTATAATTTGCCGTTATATTTCGTAACGTTTTCCATTCCTTTTACTTCTAACGTTAAGTCGTGGAACAAATCCTAAAGGTACGGTTTTATCGTAACTTTAATCTTACTTATCTACGTGTTTGTTATGTTTACCTTAAAAGTGGCGTATATGCTTATAACGGGTATAAGGTTTCCATCTTTATTTATCGCTAAAATAACGTGTGTTTCTTTAAGTGTTACTTAGAAGTGGTTTACCCGTCGGCTAAGTATATTTACACGGCCGTTATCGGATCCTTTCCGATATATAATTATAAAGTTATAATTTATAAGGAATTCTACTTAACGTACTTATCGTTTGTTAAGTTCTTTATTCTTAGTAAAGGATATTAAGTTCTTATAATTTATATACACTTTTATAAGGTATATGGTTTTACTAAGATAGTGTTTCCATTCTTTAAATGCTTTAATAATGGCTATTAATTCCTTATCGTAAATCTAATAATTTAGTTTTAGTTTATTAAGCTTCTTAGAGTAAAATGCGACGGGGTGAAGTTTCTTATCGTTTCCTCGTTAACTGAGCTATCCTCCGATCGCGTAGTTTAACGCGTCGGGTTCGATTTCGAATTCCTTATTTAAATCGGCTATAGTTATAACTGGTTCGCTTATTATACGAAGCTTTAGTTCGTCGAATACGTTTTGCTCTTTCTTTATCTATTGGAAAGGGGTATCCTTCTTCGTTAGGTCCGTTAAGGGTTTATTAATCTTTCCGAATTTAATAATGAACATCCGATAAAAGTTTATAAGGCTTAAGAAGGATCGTACTTTTATAACGGTTATTAATGTAAACTAGTCTCTAATTATTACGATTTTAAAATCCTTTATCCGGATTTCTCTTAAGGATATAATATATCTTATAAATATCACTTTTTTTTAGTAAAATTCGCTCTTTTTAACGTTAACTAACAAGTTTACGTCTTATAACTTTTGTAACACGGTAATAACATGCTTTTTATATTCTTCGAGCGTTTTCGAGAATATAAGGATGTTATCTAAGTATATTACGACGAAGTCGTCGAGGCATTCTCGTAATACTGTATTAATTATATTTTAGAAGTTGGCTAGTGTATTGGTTAAGCCAAATGGTATAACTAAGTATTTAAAGTAACCGTACTTAGTCTTAAATGCCGTTTTCTATTCGTCGCCTTCTTTAATTTTAATTAAGTTATATGCGTTAAATAAGTCTAAGGCCGTAAACTATTAGGCTCCGTGTAACTTGTCGCGTAGGTCCTTAATTAAGGGTAAGGGGTAACGATTCTTCTTTGTAATTTCGTTAAGTTCTCGATAATTAATGTACATTTTCTATTTAACGCTTCCGTCGTGGCTTTTCTTAGGTAT